AATGAACCTCTCAATTAATGAAATGCCATAATTGAGCACCATTTGGCTGCTTGTGAGGATTATGCATACTGCATACTGGATATGACTGCTGACTGAGCCATAATTGCTATTGGCGAAGGGCCAAATATTCAAGTATAGGATAACAATTACCTAAAGGATTTACTTGACCAGAGAACGGAAGCTAGAACGCTATTTCTACCGTACTTAACTTGTGTCTTTTTCATCTATCTTTTTTTCTTTTTATTTTTTGGTTTTGTTTTTGTTTTTGTTGCTCATCCCATTCTTATTATGTTGCCATTTTTGAGATACTTCCGTGACGGAAGTGTGTTTGGACCATGTTCTTATATCTGCATCACTCTATCTGCACCTTTCTTGTCCGGTCTGCGATGGGCATTATCCTGCGGCAAGTGTCCTGTCTGTCCATATGCCCGACTGTCAGTTTGTGCATTTTGCATATGAAAACAAACAAGTGAACGGCTGCAAAAATCTCAACAAAATTTGTCTAGCATTTTGGGCCCGGTTAGTCTTTTACCAACAACAATAGCAAACAGCAACAAGAGCGCTTTTGTTGCCTCGTCAAGCGGCACACGTGTAATCCTTGAACACTTCTTAAACACTAGACAGTAGACACAAGACATAATATTAATCGAGGCACCTGTAGCTCTTCCTCTTGATATCTCTATCTCTCTCTCTCGCTCCTGCTCTCTTGAAATTACTTCCTCATTAGCCTGTGGAGGCACCTTCAGCAGATTTGCTTGATAGGCTTATGGAACCAAAGTGCACATATATATGTACATACATGTCTACAACATTGACTAAACAGAATTCATAAGTCCCCACTCTCGAAGAACACGAGAATAACGGCAGCCATAACGTTTTACAACACTCATGTTTTCATCTCTAGATTAAACGCGATTCTCGCTCGATTTTAACGTTAAACTTATGCTCTCAAAAAGTGATTTTAAGATTAATTCCACAGTCAGTTTTATGAAAAGTTAGCTGATTTTCGAAATCCAGGGCTTTTTAATCATTTGTTATATAAGATTCAATATCCATTTGGCAACAACAAAAAATGCTGTTTTGTTCTAGATGTAGATCTAGTTGTTAAGATGAATGTAAAAACTTGATTAAAATGTCTGTAGAAACTGAAGATTATCAGAATATGAAGTTTATGTGTAGCAAAAGTATTTGGCTCCTATTTTCAAGAGGTCCTATTGACAGGACCTTCTATTGTATAACAGTTCCACCAATCGCACAATTTATACTGTTAAGTAAAGTTCTGAAATAGTTTCTAGCACTTTTCAGGTACAACTTTCAGGACAAAATATGATGTGGTTATACAAGATCTGATAGTATAATAAGTCAACCCATTTCCAACGATTGGCCAGGGCACACTACTTACAACATTAAGTACTATAAAAGATTAAACTATAAACGCAAAAAGCCAAGGAGTTGAAGTGGATTCTGCGAAGTATGTAACCGTATGTAGCAGCAGCAATACCAGGACTAGGAATAGCACCAATAACCGAAAACCCCTTTTAGTCAATTAGTCGCTGATTTTCTTTTGTACCTTTTTTTTGTGCTTTTTTTTTGGTGAAATTATAAAAACGCTTTCACAATGAAACTAGGCACAGGGTACCGGGCAAACCCTTTGCTTTATCGCCACTACCAGCGTTTTACGAGGTGCTTACCAACAGAAAAAAAATATATATACATATAAATATATATATTCCATCGATTTCGACCTGAGCGTTTTACTTTTTTTCCACCGAAGAGTCCATTATGCAATAAAAAAAAAAAACCAAATGAGCAATAGAGGCTAATGCTTTACGAAATATGTATAGCAACCCGTTCGGAGCGCTTTACCTGCCTTTACCTTTTGTCTATTGTTAGTTTGTTTTTTTATCAGCAGCTAGCATAAAAAACACGCTCAAGGTCGTGCCGGGTAAAGGATTGCACAAATATTGCATCTTTGTTTGCCGCGGCCAGAAAACGACAACCAACTCATTATATTACGAGTAACAACTTCCATTGCTTTACGGCATATGTATGCTTCTCCGATTCTCTTTTTTACGATACGGTACGGCTGGGTGCAGCCAAGTAAGGTTTCGGTTTTTTACTGCGAATTTGGCAACTCTTTGGCAAGGATCGCGACTTTTTATGGTCAGCAGGTAAATCAACAATTCAATGACTGCTCTCTTCCCTCCCCTTTATGTATGTGTGTATATACATTTTGTGTATGTGGGTGATGTGTTTTAGTTTTATCCACCATTTTTACGGTAGGATTAGAGTTGGCTTAACATAAGTTCGCGGTTTTTTTTTTAGAGATTATTAAAATTGATGTTTTACGAATGATCGATGGTACTTGATATAAATGTGAATGAGCTACGATCTGGGTTAAACACTATTACATATGAATGTCATTAAAAAATGGAAAAAATAAAATATAAATAATTATACCACCGATTGAATTCAGAGATCGAAAGATCGTATTGAGCTATGCAGCAATAAATATTCAAATTTTTTAAAACGTAAATCATTTTTTTAGCAAATTATATAGAAAATATACTTTTCGATTACTGAGTACAAATATTCAGATTCATATATGCCTTAACAGTCCGGATGAACTCTGAGGGCGATTTGTACTTAATCTTAAAAACTGCGATAGCAAATTTGGTATTTGGTAGTCAGCACTACCCAACAAATTTCACAAAATTCATCATTTTACTGGTTAGATTATATATGCATATATATACAATCTTTTTTCTATTTACACACTTGAGGCTGGTTGGTCACTTCCGCTTTGTCGCGACATTGTATATTTTTTTTTGTGCCAGGCATATTCTTAATCCCAAAATCAACCTTCACGGCAAAGAGCACCGTTACGGGGCAAACAGTTAAGTAAAGTTAAACAAAGGTTTAGACCGTATATTTTCGCTATCCCACGCTCTGGCGCAGCCAGAGTACACTAAAAAAAATAAATGAAAGAAAATAATCTATTTATTTCTAGCTTTAAAATTCTGTCTCTCTCTCTCTCTCTCTCTCTCTCTCTCTGTCTGTCTCTCTCTCTCTCTCTTTCTCTCTCTGGCAAATTGAAGTGTAAGCCCATCAGAAACTTTCTTTGCATTAGTCAAAAAATTGTCGTTGAAAAAGCAGAATATATGTTTGCTCTGATTTCTGGAAAACTCCAGGACATGTATGTCGTTGTTTTGTTAAGTGTAGAGCTCTCAGCTCTCAGACGTTGAAAGTATAGTAAACATGAGTGCCTAAAATATAAATATGCGGACACTTGCTTGGCAGCATGAATTAAAACCCACCAAAAACGAGGCAGAAACTCTTGGACTTGGACTTGGCCTTGTCAGGAAGTTGAATGCTTCCAGGAATGCATTTTGGACCGCAGCAGGATCACAGAATCACAGAATCAGAGAATCAGCTTCCCGGCAGCCTGGTTAAAAGGATGCGCTAACTCGCGAACTGGCGAGAAAAGGCTCGCCAACCTAATTTTCATAATTTGTCACGCACAATCACTTTGTGTAAGATGTGCATAAAATTCGCAAAACGCAAACACACACACACACACACACACACAACGAAGTCTGGGCTGGTCAGAAAAGGATTTTGCAAAAGACAAAAGCGCAAACAAACGGATTTAACTATTCGTAACCCTTGGCCTTAGTACCCTATCTCTAGCCAGCTCTGTCCGCTCTCCCTCTCTCTCTGTCTCTGTCTCTCTTTCTCTCGCACTCTTTCTGCACCTATATTTATCGCTGCTGATGCTCTAAGTCAATTGTTTCTAGAACTAAGTTCATAAAATAAATATCTCATTTGTTGTATTCTATCCTCATTTGAATCTCTAAAATCCACAGCTTCAAAGAAGAGCACATAAAATGATTTCTAACATTTTTGATATTTTTTTACTGTTTTTAAAATATTTGACTTGTTTTCTGATATTTTTTTATTCATAAGCCAAACCCCGTTCAACTTATGCTTAAAATTATTTTGAAATAACTATCTTTAGTTTGAATCGTATTTAAGCAGAAGTTAACCTATATTTACCAAATAAAATGTTAAGCCTTAAAATTAATTCAATAAAGAAATGCATAGGTTTCATGTATTATATATTATATAACAAGATTTTGAAGTTTGTGAGTGGAAATCAGCACTGAAATTCAACAAATCTAAACTCTAAATCTATATACATAGAGTATTATTATCAGACCAGTGAGAACTGGACCTAATACTGAATACCGTATATTAATATTTAAAAGCAAACCATTCTTATATAAAAAGAAAACCCAATTTTCGCTCAGTTTCTTTGCACAAATTGCTAGGAACAACTTCGGACCCAAGAACTTTAAGCCTATTTTCCAAAAAATAGAGGGAAAAACGAAAAGTTACTTGTAGAAATTTGTAAAAAAAAAACAATGTAAGAAATAAACCCAAAAATTTACGCGAAAAATGGCATAAAACTAATGCAAAAAAAATAAGGAAAAGGAAATGAGAAGAAAAATGAAAATGAGAAAAGGGTCAATGTGACTAAAGCAAGCGAAACACCCTCGTAAAACCCTTTGATGTACATACATACACTGAGTGAAACAGCGAAACAGTAAGAGAGAGAGAGGGAGAGAGAAGGTGAGAGAGAGAGAAGGTGTGAGAGAGAGAGACAGGGAGAGAGAGAGAGGGAGGAAGAGTGCGTGTGTGCAACTAACCCCTTTGCCGTTAGAACTGCTACCTGTGCCCGCACCCGCACCCGCACCCGTACCCGTACCAGTACCCTCTCTTTTGTTGCTGTTGCCGCCATTGCATTGTCCATTGTTGCGAGGGGTGCGGGAATGGAATGAATGAAGCATGCGTCGGCGTATAAAAGGCCGTCGAACTGTGCTGTTGAAATCAGTCAACGTTCGACAACGTTAGCGGCAAGACAACACTTTGCGTTGATTTTTGGGTAACGCTCTTTGGATTAAACATCAAATAAGAATAACAGCAACAACGTCAGCAACATGTTGATGCACGAGAAACTCATAAGTGGACAGTTCTTTGATTTGAAGACGGGTAAGTTGAGTCACGCCCCCAATGCAAAGTAAACGCCTCTTTTTAACACACACTCTCTCTGCTCTCATTGATTGTCTCTGTAGATCGCAAGCCGCTGCTGCATCATCATCATCATCATCACCATCATCAGCAGCAGCAGCAGCAGCAGCAACAACAGCAATATCAGCTCCAGCAGCAGCAACATCATTTACACCAACATCAGCAACAGCAGCAGCAACAGCATTTATCGCTGCCCAAAATGGATTTGTATGCCGCCTATGCCTATCAGCAACAGTTGCTATCGCTCAGTCAACAACAACAACAACAGCAGCAGCAGCAATCCGTTGCTGCCGTCGCTGAGGTGCTGGACTTATCGCGTCGCTGTGACAGCGTGGAAACGCCAAGGAAGACGCCCTCGCCCTATCAGACCAATTACAGTTACGGCAGCGGCTCACCCGCCGCCTCCCCAACAGCAACCATACCCAGCAATCTGCTCTACTCTGCACAAGCAGCAGTAGCTGCACAGCATCAGCAACATCAACAGCAACAACAGCAGCAGCAACTGGCAACGCTTTATCCAGCGCTATACTACGGCGCCAATATTAAACAGGAGCACACAGTGGCAGCAGCAGCAATCAAGTCCAACAATTGCCACAGCAGCAGCAACAGTACTGCCAGCTTGCTGCAATCGTTTGCCGCTGCCTCGGCAGCAGCTGCTGCCGCTGCTGCAATCCAATCGCGACCCGCCAGCAATGCCAGCACCATGCAAATTGATGTGCTTGAGGCGCCACAATCGCCACCACCAACAGCAGGAACAGCAGCAACAGCATCAGTAGGAACGACAGTCGCTGCAACAGCGGCAACAACAACAGTCGGCAATAAGAGCAACAACAATTGCCACAACACCACGCCCACCAGCAGTACAGCAGCAACAGCAGTTGGAACACAGCCCAGCACATCCGATGCGATGAAGCAAACGCGTCCGTTTAAAGCCTTTCCACGTGATCCGCTTGTGATTGCAGCGAATTTCGCCGCAACCGATGTTCTGCTGGATAATCCGCGCGTGGAACGCTATACGGAATACCGGAAGCGTGTACTCGAGCAAATACGCAGCTCGAATGGCGGTGCACGCACTGTAACGAATCCGAAAATGCGACGCACTAACTCGAGGAGCGGCAGCGTTAACGAAGGCAGCTCCTCGACAAACAACAGCGAGAGCGAGGATCGGGCCGATCGCGCCGAGGAGTCCAGCGATTGCGATTCACAGGCGGGTAACTACGACAAGTTGACAGGAGCGGTACAAGGTGGCGTTGGAGGTGCCATTGCTGCTGCTGCTGCAGTTGCTGGCCAAGTCAAGGATGCCGCCTACTATGAGCGACGGCGCAAGAATAATGCTGCCGCGAAAAAATCGCGCGATCGTCGTCGCATCAAGGAGGATGAGATCGCTATAAGGGCCGCATATCTGGAGCGTCAGAATATTGAGTTGTTGTGCCAAATTGATGCGCTAAAGGCGCAGCTGGCTGCCTTCACAGCAAAAGTAACCGTTTAGGCAACGATAAAAGTGCTCGAGTATATCGATAACCGATTAGCATCGATTGTTGCGTTGAACGCCTGCAAATTTCTTTCAGACTTTTCAATTCTTTCTTTTTGATGAGGAGGGGCAGCTTATCTGTGAATACTTTCGATCTGTTTCTCTTAAACACACGCACTCATACACACACACACATACACCTACACTATATTTTAAGAGTATTATTTTTTTTTTTTTACAAGTATTTTAAGTACTTTGAAGTTAAGATGTACAACGCCGCGTATACGTAATATACGTTATTTGTAGTAAAATGTAGTCTTAAACGCGATTCTCGCACAAATCTCACCAGTTAATTAATATGTATACCTATATAATTATTTGCATGTAAGCGACATATTCTTTTCATATCTATAAGTGTAATAATAAAACAAAATTACAACTAAGCGCCGCTTTTCGCTTGTATCACATATATCCTAGATGCCGTCATTAAAAAAGGATTTTCAGTGTACCCCTAAAAGTAGTCCCCATTTTTTTGCACGAGCATAATGATACCGATACCGTTTTTATGCCATAGCTCTACCATATCCTTAATCACACGTGAATGGACTATTGATTCGCATTACAGGATTTCGCGTGTTCAAAAACAAATTGCCATTTAATAACACAGCGGGTCAAGTCAACATTTATGAGTAAAATAAAAAATCCGTGGTAATTAAGATTATCGGTTTACCGCGGATAGTCCTACGTCGGCCGATTCTTATTTTGAAACTCAAAATTGCTCATAAATTGCTCATATCCTTGCGGACAATTATAACAGGTTATTGCGATTCTAAAGCATCATGTCCTTTGGAAATCTATAAGAATATGTACCTCAAAAAGTATGTGTGCGAGTGAGTGCGTGTGTGTCTGTGTGTGCTACATCTTATGCATAATACGTCACACATGCATATCTGTCCACTCTCTAATTGGATGTACGTACATATGTATTCCTATGTATGTAGTAGAGTCAATGTAGTTACTAATTGTAATCGTAATTGTCATCGTAATTACTTAGAACATTGCTTATGTTTAACAATTGTTGTCGTTGTTTTGTTGTTGATGTTGGTTGTTGATTGTTGTTGGTTGTTGTTGTTATATTGCTAGCTTTGCCATGCTGTTTTGTCAACGCTCATCATATTTTCCTTGTAGTTTATAACACGTCCAGTGTTTCACAGTGGGCAACCTCGGCTAGCTCAGCATTCCCAGAGGTGGGTAGTTACAAAATACGCCGCTAGGTAGCGTTGTGTGCTGCAACGGCTATTCAATTTTGAATTTAAATCGGGAATCTTGCCAAATCCGATGAAACCAAAACAAAATTCGAACCAATATGATTATTACTTTAGACGGCCCTCAATCCCTATCCTACCCTATTAGAGCTCCAATATAAGTATTCCGTGTATTTTGACGCAAAAATTGTTTCCCCAATTTGGCAAAAATCCGGACGCCGGATTTTGTTGAAGAACAATGGTACTTAAATATTTAACTTATTAATAAATATGTGGATAAATAAATATATGAACATGAATAACGAATAGATATACAAATTACTTAACATAACATTCAAATACATACAACATTTACTTAAATATTCTGAATGAGGAATGGATGCGCTAGAGCACTGCGACCTGCGCGCTGAATTCGGGTTCGACACAATGTATGATTGTTTGGCTCTGATCACATACGCGCAGTCGTCTTGCACTCGACAGGGCATGGTTTTGATTTTTACATGTGTTCTTCCCTTTCCTTCCCTTCCCTTTCAACTTCAGACGAGTTTTTGGTCGCCAAGCAAATTATATATAACATAAATTATAAACTTGCGGCGTGACCTGCCGTCGGCCATCTGAACATAAACCACAAAATTAAAACAGCACAACAATTATTTAAACAGACACACTTACGCCGAATTGGACTCCACAAAGCCTAAAGTATAACGGAGGGTTAAAGCACTCCTAAAGACACTCCAACCTTTGTTTGCACGGCACAAACAAATCTACGCGCCACGGAACATGACCTAACCCACAACACGCCACCTCGCGGAAAATGCCACCACAAGCAACGCTGATCTCGCTGACCCTGCCAGCTTGCTTCCCTTTTTCAGCAATGTCTCCCTTTTTTCCCTTTTGGTGGTGGTATACGATACTTGCCTATCGATACGCTTGCAAATGCAACAAGTTTTTGATTTTGCTGTCGGTTTTTGTTGCTGGTGCTTTTCTCCATGCTGTGGTTCCCCGCGATGCTTTTCTTGATTTTGTTGTTGTTGTTGTGATTTCTTCGGTATCAAAGTATAACAACAGATTAGTCATAAAAATCGTTTATTCAGGTATAAGTATTTTTTAAACTGCGAAATTACATTAAAATCAGTGCTATTATGAAAAAAAACAGCACTATTCTAAAAGCGACGTCTATCTCTGTCTAATTCGTAAATATCGCTTGCTTGTTATTCGTTTCTTTTCCGTGTATTTTTTATTTAAAAATATTTCGTTTCACATTTAGATATATATATATATATATATATATATATACGTAAGAAAGAAATATGGAAACAAATACAACGGCGTCCTAAGCTGTTTCAGTGTCACTCTAGCTGCTATCACTCGAACTTGACGACGATGAATCGCTGGGACTTGAACTGGACGAAACAGGATTCGCTGGCTGCACAGCCTGCTGCATAGACTGCCCAGGCTGCTGCACAGGCTGCATAGCCTTCACTTTGCTCGATGTTTTCCGATCTGCAAGAGAAGCAAGAGTATGACATTATTACATTATTGTTATTATTATTAATTCAAACATAAAGTTCATAATAGAAAATTCACTTGTATCACAACCCTCGTCCCAACCAGATTGTTTATTTGCATACCGAAACAAATGGAGTTGCTGATGTGGTCTCAAGGTTTAGTTACAAACTTACAACAAACTTACGTGTTTTTTTGGCCAAAGACGACGTCACATAGTGTCTTATCAGCGTCTCCGGATTTAGCGTGACATTGTCAAGCTGCGGCTCATCCTCAACCGAGTGGCTCTGAGTTGGGCCTCGATTCTGAGCGATGAACCCCAAATATCGCTTTTGCTGAACTGTGTGTCACACGACGTAAACGACATCGATTGCGGAGCAGGATGAAGCGGAGCAGAGAAAGAGAAGGAGGAGTTAATATATTTACCTGGCAGAAATTCAACATTGTCTTCTGCTAAACATGACCACATCTGGACATAGCCAAAGCCTCATTGATTGATCGTCGATGAGGAAGGAGATGGCATTGGATGGATTGTGTGCACTTAAACCCAACGGAACATGAGTTAAAGGGCAAAGGGAAGCGACTTCGACCCCTTCATTCTTGGTCAGCAGTTACAGTGCATCATTTGGAAAAGCAGTTCGCGCCTACCACACGCAGATCAAGATTCGCGATCGATTCCCAGTAGTAAAAACAGACACAATTTGAATATATCCTGATATATAGCATTGATCATGTTGTCTTCTATTTATGCTTCCAGATAACCATCTGGGTCTGAGTAGACGCAAGTAATCGGACACATTCTAGAGTTGTCCCCTTGGGTTTGAGTGCATACAATAAGCCACCATCATCTCCCTCTCTCTATGCTCAAATAAGACAATTGAATTTCTATCATTTCATATCACATTTGTGGACATTTTCAACAGTGCAACTCTAAAATCACTTCCAAATGATAGTAAGTGCATGCGTGTGGGTGTGTAGATTAGAAGCTGCGTACGCGTCTCACCTGACATCATATTAACAACATTCTCGGAGCCACCAACTCCAGCACCGGCGTTGCTGGCATTATTGCCGTTGTTCTCGGTGCGTCTGGCATTTGTGGTGCCTCCACCAGTTGTGGCAGACGCTGTTGCATTGGCAGCCGCTGGGCGTGCTCCACTGCCGCCGGCATTGACATTCGCATTGCCCTTACCTCCACGCTGTCCCTGGCTATTAGTACCTTTGCTAGTGCCACCAGAGCCGCCAGCTCTGGCCGCAACACCAGGGAGCCCAAGGGAGCTCGCCAGTGCATTAGCGGGCGCTTTACCACCGCCAGCTGAAATACCCACGCCCGGATAAACGCCTGCATAACCGCCGGCACCCGCTCTTCCGGCAAGAGGAGGTACATGCTTGTGTAAAGGCCAGGCGTTGCCGCGCGCAAACTCTACCGAGCCCTGCAAAGTAAAAATAATAATAAGCAAAATATTATTATGCTTATATAATGCGGAGTTCACCTGCTGACAGAAAATATTTAATTATTAAGTTAAGCGACCGACCGATAACTATGGTAGTTATATAAATGATGTAGTAGTCAGATCGTACTAACGGATAATTCAACAGGAAACAAATATGGATATTTAAAGAACAATAGAGGCGGACATGGCCATATGGACTTGACTATTAACGCCGATGGGAAAAGTAAGCACGAAAACCACGTGGTGCGATAAAGGAGAAACTTTTGCATCATTCCTGGTAATTACCTGACGACTCGATTCCTGCCTCATTGCTGTGTTGGCCACCTTGGCCATGGACGATTCAAATGCATTCACGTCCGCAATTCGTTTGACGGCCTTCTGCTGGACGGGCTGGATGGCATTTGGACCCATACTATTCAGAGTCGGCTGGATGACCATGATGGGATCACCATCCAATGCTGCCACAGCCGCTGCCAGCATTTTTGCAGCTGCTACTGATGCTGATGCTGCTGCCTTGACTTGGGCTGTCGCTGCTGCTAGCGCCTCCAGCTTTTGTGCCCTGGAGGATTCGGATGATCTTCCTGTCGTTGTTGCTGTCGCTGTCATCGCTGCCGCCGCAGATGCTGCTCTTTTAGGGGCGGTCGGTGCGCATTGATTTTTGTTGCCCCGCTTGACCGCGACGGACTCCAGTTCGAGCTCCTCCTTGGGCATATCTTTGATTGCCTGCAGAAAGACAATCTCGAGCGCTTTGGCCCTACCGATAACATCCTCAGTGGGCTCATGGTACAGGTAACAATTGGTGAATACCATATTTATATCGGCGACAGCCTCCGTGGCGGACCAATAGTAATTCTTCGTCAATCGCTTCTTAATCGTACCCAAGTCCATTGGCTGTTTAATGATATTATGGTAGTCGGGCAGCTTTAGTTTTTTTGCATTGACCGGCTGTTTAAAGGGGTGCGCATAATGATGATTCCACAAGGACTTCATAACCGTTTTTAAGATATAGTCCAGTTTATTTGTACGACGTCCCGGTCGATCCAACCGCGGCACAGTCGATGGCTGGACGACGCTATTTCCTGGTTTGTTGGATGCCATAGTTCTTTTGTTCTATGTTATATGGAGATATATGGATATTTATAATTATATTTATTATTATTTTGAAAAATCAAATAATTTTTTGATGCTTCGGGTGATTATTTTACGCCAAAAACCAAAGCCAACCACAAACATCAAATCACAACTTCAATAATGTCAGACACAAGCCCGGGGCTTTCTCGTCCTCAGCAAATTATTGTCAACTGTGAATTGATAATTGGTTGCTTTTAGTTTCTTCCTTTTCGCAATGTTTGACTTACCATTTATCAGCTGCACCTTTTTCTGCTCTACAATTTAATACACTTATATAATATTAAATGTTTTTGCTCTTGAGACTGCAACACAGAACAGAAGTCAGCAAAATGCGTAAGGAAAAAACTAAATCCGCTCACAAGCAAATGATTTAATCAATTGTCATTTGTGAGAAGCAGATGACAACTAAGGAAAATTTCTATGTTAACATTTACATCAAAATGACATTTTGCAATTTTAAAAAATCTGATGGCTTATTTGACATTACTGTCAATATCCAATATTAGCATGAATGTAAATGTAAACAAGGCTTTTCAGTTTTGCTTATTGATTATCGATAAGTCGAGTCGAAGAAGCTTTTTGGCAAGAATTGAAATTTAACGGTATTTGGAGAAAAGAATAATATTCGCTGATCAATTATTTGATTTCACTCTTGGGATATATAGATTCTGGTTACCCACAAAAATGATCTAATATCTGGTGAACTGGCGAATGAAGGGAACTTCATAATGCATAATAACATTTTCGAGTGTTTAGATTCTAGATGACTTCATAATCCTTGAATGCAGTTCGTTTGTTTTCTCTGAGTTTTGCAGGTATCTGGCCTTGTCCTCTTCACGATATTCCTGCGCCTGCTCAGCGTAAATACAAAAACTCACACATATATAATTTTTTATCAATCTTTATTTCTGTTTTTTTTTTAAGTTTTTGTTTCTTTTTTTTTGTTGTTTGATTTTGTCTGTTGCTTTGTTGTTTGCGCTCGTAGGCCCGTTTCTTGTTTCATGTTTAATTTTATTGTGTTTTTTTGCTGGGTTTGCTTGAAAACATGTACTAATTGTACGCATTAAAGGTAAAATATGTGTAAGTTGTTAATGCATTTTCATTAATAGTAGGCTTACTAAAAATTGTTAAATTGTTATTTTGCATTTCTGAATTTTACACTCGTAAATACGTACTACTACTACTACTACGGGCCTAGCATCGGGGCTAGATTAACAACAGCTTCATTCTCGCTTCTCGATTCTTATGTTCCACTTTGGGTCTGTTTTAGTTCATTTTAGTAAGTTTACATTTTAGTGTTGTGTCGCTTTCAATGTTATCGTTATTAACTATTATGTGTTCTATGCATTTTTATAAGGCTAAATCGTTTACTAAACGCACTTAATGTTATTTGTTTAAATATATATATATATATATGAACTATATATATGAATGTATGTTACATGGGCTTTTGTAATCGCGTCAACTCAGTTTAGTTATAACAGAAAATGTCAGACAATTCTAATGCTAAAATTTCATTTGCCATATCCAGGATAAAGGATCCATATGTGTCCATACGTGGCCTGTTAAAATATATATATACGTAGTCATATTTGTATGCATAACTTGTTTAGATGTAGATTTATGTATGTATTAATCGGTATATATGGATAGTAAGGAAAACTGGTTTTCATTTATTTGTTTTTGTTCTTGTATCTTTATTTTATTTGTTTTTTTTTTTTAATTTTTTCATTGTTATATATACATATATATTTATATATATATATATATATATATTTACTGATATTTTTCTTTCATTTTCAATTAAATGCTAAAATTAATTATAAAAAAAAAGTTATTTATTGATACATACATATATTTATATATATATACACAATATATATATATATATGTAGTTATATATATGGTGTGTATAGTTAAAAAGCTAATTTACACAAATAGAGGTGACATTTGAGAGAGGGGGTTGCGGGGTATAGATAACAACATGAGGATGTGTACTTTTGGGGTTTGCATGTAAAATGGGTTTAGGGGTATTAGTATTTATCGTAGGTGTACACAGTAATAATAGGAATAAAGTAATTACTTAAACACACACCGGCACCCACACACACACACACACACACACACACACGCGCCCACACACACTTGCTTGTATTTACTGACCGCCATTTTATATACATTAAAAAACAAAACTTACACATGCAAAAATAAAAATTAAACAAGCAGCAAAAGTACAGTGCACTCAAAACACTCACAGATATATGTTTTGTGTAATGCTAGACGACCTTGCTCAACACTACAACTAATTTTTATTAACGATGTGTGAATTTGATTCTCCTCTCCCTCTCCCTCTATCTCTCTCTCTCTCTCTCTCTGTCTCTCTCTTTTACATTAACTGAGGATGAAGGAAGAAAAAGTAAGTAACGCTATTATCGTTGGAAGATATACAATCGGTGTTGTTCTTGGCTATGGATTGCGCATAAATAGATCTGTCTGTGTCTGTCCATGTGTGCACATATATATATATATATATATATATATATGTATACATATATATACATATGCCACTCACTCACGTAGAAAATCAGAAGAGCTTAATGGAAGTACATACATATGCTTAATACTTATTACATATATACGCATATATAATATATATGGATTGATTGATATATGTGTATATATAACAAGCAAATCAGAGGCTGTTTTGATTATTGACAATCTACGTTCATTCTGAGCCTAATGTAGAAAAATAAATATATATATATGTATATATACATATATATATATATATATATATATATATGAATATATATGTACATATGTAGATTCGAGTAGTTGTAGTTTTAGTTTATCTATGGAATCAAGGAAACCCTCCGATTTGAGCATCATCCTAATTACTATGGCAGCTATAGGCTATATTATAAGCTATGTATGTATGTACACATATATGTATATGTATGTGTATGTGTGCGTGTGTGTGTGTAAAAGAAAATAAATCAAGTGAAAGATTTGTTTAAGGCTCGCAAATTGCTCTTGAATTTCATATAGAAGACAATAGATCCAGGACAGGCCAGTCCATGCCCATGGGTCTCATGGGTCTCTGTTTAGATACATATTACACGTTAAAAGTTTAGTTTAAAAATCAGTTAATGCTATTATGCGCTATACAATTATTATCGCTTTTGGGTTTTTGTTTGCTTGTCTTGTGATGTTCTGTTTCCCTTCTACAAATTATTAAAACTTAAACACACACACACACACACACCACTAACAGGCACACACCGAAAGACATTGCAACTTTGATTAGATAAATGATCTTGTTTTCTTTTGTCCTTTACCCTTGCAGAAGGTATACGTGAGGAGACTCTCCTCTTAGCTGCAGGCAATGTTGGAGACGGGTGGTTTGAGTCAGGAATTAATATATCATATAGCTGCCATATGAACTATCGGAAGGTTTGGATGTGAGCAGTTGTCGGTGCCATTCTGCAAGGGTATATATATTATTCGGTGTGCCGAAAACGTTGTTTGTAATTGGGCGCGTCACGTGAACAATTTCGTTGCTACTTAAGAACTAAATGTACATTTAATTAAATGTGTGTGTATATTTGTGTGTGCATATATAAATTACAAGTGGTCAGTGAGAGGGGCAGGGGAGCGGGGGAGCAGGGGTTGCAGTCGACTGCAAAATTATTATATAAGTAAAATATAATTGAATTTTTCTGTTCTTGTTGTTGTTGTATGTTAAAGTCATCAACTTTAAATTAGTTAACAAATGTATACAAAAAAAGAAAAAAAAAGATTTTTAATCTAAGCTTATCGGCTACAAATCAATAATCAATGTTAAAATATATTTAAATCAATAATAATAAATTTAAATTTATTTGATTAATTTAAGAGAAAAAAAAGTGTACAATTTATTTTGTATTCAAAGGAAATTTGCCTTTTAATATAATGTGTTGGTTGTCTGTCTGTTGTGTTTTGTGTGTGTGTGTGTGTGCGTGCGTGTGTGTGTGTGCTATACCCTATGCATAATACGTTACATGCATACATATGCAATTTATGTATGCCTTTGTGTGTATATATATTTGTACACTCTCTAATTGCATGTACGTACATATGTATTCCTATGTATGTAGTAAATGTAGTTACTAATTGTAATCGTAATTGTCATCGTAATTACTTAGAACATTGCTTATGTTTAACAATTGTTGTCGTTGTTTTGTTGTTGATGTTGGTTGTTGTTGTTGTTATTGTTGGTTGTTGTTATTGTTGTATTGCCAGCCTTGCCATGCTGTTGTCACCGCTCATCGTCTTTTCCTTGTAGTTGTTGATTTTGCTGCTGCTGTTGTTGTTTCTGTCGGTTTTTGTTGCTGGTGTTGTTTTTCTCTATGTTGTGGTTCATCGCGATGCTTTCGATGCGACTTTTCATCACGCCCTTTTTTATGCAGCTTTTCATCGTTCTGCTTTTCATCACGATGCTTCTTTTGCGGATGTTTTTCGCGATGCTTTTCTTGTTGTTGTTGTTTTTGTTGTTCATCGCTATGCTTTTCTAGTTGTTGTTGTGGTGGTTCTTCGTTATGCTTTTTCTGTTGTTGGTGTTCATCGTGATGCTTTTGTTGTTGCCGGTGTTCATCGCGATGCTTTCTATGCTGATGCTGATGTTGATGCTGATGCTGATGTTGATGTTCATCGCGATGATCTTGGCGATGCTTTCTGTGCGGCTCCTCATCGCGATGTTTTCTGCTATGTGATCGCCGTTTCTGTGAATGCGACTTGCTGGTGGCAACGCTGGTGGATCTAGATTTGGATTTGGATTTGTGTTTGTGGGAGGACGACATTGCCGCCGTGGCCGTTACCTACAGTGTCTCCTCAAAGGCAGCCATAAGATCACTCTGCATGTTCATGTCAATTTGGCCAGCCATCTGCGCAAAGATTTTTGGGTCAAATCAGCAATTAAATAGTAATATTTCAATAGTAAGTTCAACCAAAAGCTAGATGAGCAATCAATGTATTTGACAACTTGCAATTGTTGTCAGCAGTTAGTATGAATAATATTATTCTTGATTAAGCTCGACACTGAATGCTCAACTGTAGCCAATTTGTAATTGTTATTTGTATTGGAGTATTTGTATTTACCGCTTCGCGTCTGCGTCTCTCTTGTTCCGCACGTCGTTGCTCCGCACGCTTGGCAGCCGCACGATCCTGCGGCGATTGCTGTGCCGGCGAATTCTGACCCTGACCCGGCGACGCCTTGATGTCATCCATTCGCGATATTTGCGGCTGTGCATCGTGCACACTTTTCCTGCAATGTAAAATGCCAAAAAATGGCATTATACAATTGGTTAATACAATTTGGATATGCAACTTGTTTCAGTTTTGATTCTCCGATTCTCTGAATCTCCGATTTTTTGATTTTCTGATTTTCTAATTTTCTGATTTTACTCACCGTCCGCTTTCCATGGCGCCCAATGGCGATGCAGTCAGCGCCAGAGCATTTACCGCTGCCGATGCTTGCGCAGCGGCTGCTGCTGCTGCAGCTGCTGCTGCCGCCGATGCTGCTGCTGCCGCTGCTGATGAATGCTGATGCTGTTGTTGCTGTTGCTGCTGCTGCGACTGTCCACTGCCGCTCGACTGATGCCCATTGCCGGAGGCGTTGCTGCCAGCTGTAGCCACACTTGAAATGCCGCCGCAGCTGCTGCTGCCGCCTTGGCTGTTGCTATTACCGCCAACTAGATTACTGGCCGTCGCAGCGCCTAGACTGGCAATGGCAGCGCCCAAGCTGATGTTGCTGCTGTTGCTGCCGCCGCCATTGCCGCCGCCGCTGTTGCTATTGCTGCCGCCGCCGCTGCCGACAAGACCCATTAGTGGATTGTTGCCGCCGCTGTTGCTGCCGCCACTATTGGCGCTGCCGCCAGCAACCGCAGCAACAGTGCCACCGCTGCCAACACTGCCAGCGCTTCCCGGTCCGTTGCTGTTGATAGAATTGCTGCTATTGCCGCTGCCGATGCGTGAGGCATCTGTGGCGCCGCTGCTGCTACTACTACCACCGCCACCGCCACCGCCGCCGCCACCGCCACCGCCACCGCCGCCGCCGCGTTCGCCACTGCTGCTGCCGCCCAACGTTGACGACTGCTGTTGCTGCTGCTGCTGTGCCCCAGCGATGCTGTTGTTGTTGTTGGCGGAGCTTGAGGCATTGGTGGTTGCTGCTGCTGCTGCTGCTGCGGCGGCGGCTGCAGCAGCAGCAGCAGCTGCTTGATTGACAGCAGCATTATTTGCAGCTGTATTTGCTGCAGCAGCCGCAGCAGCAGCAGCAGCAGACGACGACGATGATGAGGAGGAATTGGATTTGTGATGCTTGCGCTGCTGTTGCTGCTCCTTTTCAGCGGCCTCCTTCTGATGCTTCTTCTCCTTCTCGGCCGCCTCGAGCAGCTTGAGGCGATCGCGTTCTTTGGCTTTGTTGCGGAACTGCTGAAAGGAGTCCATGGCCGGCTTGGCCTTGCTCGATGTTGTCGCCGTATTCTGTGGCGAACTGGCCGATGCCAGCGATGACCACGAGCTGGCATTCTTCAGATTCTGCTCGACGGCAGTCTTGAACACCTGATAGCCGGCATGCGCCGTGTGGCCGAGATGCAGCTTCAAATCGGACGGTGACTGTTGCGGCGGCAACACTTTTTGATTATGATGTTGCTGCTGCTGCTGGTGTTGCTGCTGATGTTGATGCTGCTGATGGTGTTGATGCTGCTGCTGATTTTGCTGCAACTGTTGCTTGTCGGGCGGACTGGGCATCATGGACTCGATGGGTTTAGGTATGATTAGCATTTTATTTGCAGCCGCTTGCTGCTGCTGTTGCAGCAGCTGTTGTTGGTGATGTTGTTGCTGCTGTTGTTGCTGCTGTTGCTGCTGCTGCTGCTGTTGTTGGTGATGGTGATGTTGCTGCTGCTGTGGTTGCAATTGTTGTTGCTGCAATTGCTGTTGCAGCTGTTGCTGTTGGTGTTCGGCATCTTTATGCTTGCCGCCGCCACCACCGCCACCGCCGCCTGTATTGCTGCCCATCATCATCACATGATCCTGCAGCGAAGGTAATGTCATATTGAGATTATCAAAGACGGGCATGCCACTGAAATCATTCACATTATAGCCATTATTGTGCGACTGTTGTTGTTGCTGCTGCTGCTGCTGTTGTTGTTGCTGATGCGGCTGCTGCTGCTGTTTCTGTTGATAGGCAGCGTTAGCAATGTCCATATTGAAGATGGTATTATTAAGCAAATGATTGCCATTCATTCCAGACACATTCTCCAGGCTCTTCGACAGCAGCTCCGTCATGTAGTCCACGTGTTGTTGTTGCTGCTGCTGTTGCTGCTGCTGTTGTTGTTGTTGTGGTTGTTGTTGCATGCCAAACTGCTGCTGATTGCCTGGGGTAGGCTGCTGTTGCTGCTGCATCTGCATAAGCTGCTGCTGCCGGTGTGCCATATAAAAGGAATCCTTCAGCGCTGACGATGGTGTTGATGATTTGCCCGTGGAGGAGGCGCTGAACTCCAACGAGGCCAGCGACTGCTCCACGGGATCATCGAATTGTGGAATTTGCTTCAAGCCTGTTGCTAGTGCATCGTTATTGTTATTGTTGCTGCTGTTTGTATTGTTATTGTTGCTGGCAACACCACCACCGCCGCCACTGGATGCGAGCGCAGCTGCCAGCGCCGCATGAGGATCATTCAATCCGATTCCCCCATCCGGCTGCTGGTGCTGCTGCTGCTTGTGCAGATTGCTGGCAACCCGTATGCCACCTGCCGCCGCACCGACATAGCCATGCGTCGTCTTGCCAGCATTACTGCCCAATAGCTGCTGCTGCTCGCTGCTCACACCCGATCCAGCAGCAGCACCCGTACCAATGGCCGCACCCGTTTGCACACCGTTCTTATGGTGTCCAGCAACTTGCAGCATACTGTTGTTTGCGGCGACACCGCCACCAACTCCAACATAACTGCCCCCCGTCTTATTGTTGTTGTTATTCAGCACTGCTGCCGCAGCCATCGGATTCGCATTGCCCAAAAGGTTAGCGAAACACAATAAAACACAACAAACGACACACACACACACATGTGACGGTACAGCAAGACAGGAGCAGGGGGAGCAGGAGGAACATACGATAAATAAAATAAAGATTATTCACATCAATCATTTATACAGATATAAGTATATATATATATATATATATATGCCCCCCTTTGGCATATTCTTGCTTGAACGAGACATCTCCGTAACCGCATAAAGGATGTACTCCTCATTTGAATAGACTGCTGTTTGTCTGCTTCTTTGCAACCTAATTCCTCAGTAATGAACTTATAATAAGCTATAGAAGATAAATCAAATCAAATCAGCAGGAATGGGAACAGGTTTGTTTTGCGCTTGCAACTAAACTTTCAACTCTGCTTCATAATTTGTTTGAACGGAAATTGGACGGGAAGCAGCTCTGACTCCCCCATCAAGTGGTAGGTATCAGGTTATCATAAACAGATCAAGTTTATTTCAAATCGAAATTTCCGATAGCAATTGTATACCCAATTGTTAATATTCATACTCTGAGGCATATTATTGATCCGCTGTATAAATCTCATGTCTCATATCTCAGATCGGAGGAGAAATGATCTAACTGGCGGTTCAGGGGTATCTCGTCAACGATCATTCTAACATATTGCTGCCAGAGGGGTATATACACATGTACAATGTACATATCTGTTCATTGTTGCTGTTGTTACTCACACATTTGCGATGCGACCGTATTCCCCACCGATGAGGAGAGCATCTGATCCACTTGGTCCAGCTGCATTTGCATTTGTTGCTGCACAGAAGGTGTTATGGCGACGCCGGTTGACAGACTGTTGAGCAGCAAGTTGCTAACCAGGCTGGTATTATTATTTACCTGCGATATATCCAACAAATCAACACAAAACACACACACACACAAGCAGAGCACACCCACACACACACAGAGAGTGAGTGGGAGAGAGAGAGAGAGAGAGGGGAAACGCACAAAGGTTAAATGAGAGAAAAAAAAAAAACAAAAGCAAAATGTATTATTATATTATTGTAATGTTGTAATTTATAATCTTATAAAATTCTAGGTAGAAAAAATCATTGACTCGATCGAATATCACTTGAGCAATGCAAACTGTTTATAGAGTTTAATATGTGTGTTTGTCCGCGTTTAAGCCAAATAACATTGCCACAATGAACAGCGCACAACATGCCAGATGCAATACACGACAGCTGCGACACGGCAATATCTGAGCTTACTTCTTTATTATATTTTGTTATTTATATATTTCGCATCTATACAAGCGAAACGATTCGTGGATAACATAAAGTGTACAACTTCGATTCTGAATTTCAATCGGTAAAGATGTTCTTCCGATTTCTATATCAATTCCTGGTTAGAACTTTCAAGTATTCAACGGTTGTGAATGTAACTCGACCAGACCACGATTGATTGATTCGAAATGGATGAAATGTTGAATGATTTAATGGATATATCCGAGACCTATACACACGATTGATATTTGAGCAGTACTACTACTGAGCAAATAAATAGCTGCTAATCGCTGAATTCTTTTAGTAAGCGATTGCTTAGAAGTGTAATCGATTTTGATTGATGCAGCCACGATGATCAATCCTATATCAAGTATCGAAACAATTCACCGAACATTTTGGGTGCTTTTTTTCCCCCTCACAACACACTAACTGACAACTGTGAATATCCTGAATTGAATTAAATTAAACAAATGTGTTTTAAATTGGCTGCACGAAGTTCTGTTCGATTCGTTCAAAAGTGTAATAGTTGCACAAAAGTCTGTTACTATTTATCCTGATTTTTATTTTTATTTTGATTTATTTATTTTTTATTTTTTTTGAAAATTACTCACATTGCTTCCATTTGAATCAATTCGTGATTTTTTCTTGCGTGGTGGCCGATCGTCCCCATCGCCTGTAATTTGTCGGAAATTACAAAATTATACATTAGTAAAGGTTTTTGATTTATCATTTTATTGCTTTTTGAAGTGAGGAGGAATAAAAGACAAAAACTAAAAAAGACAAAGCATAAGAAATAGAACCAAAAAATCATACTAAGGAAGGCGAGGAGTTGAGCGTGAAAACAAAAAAATATGGAACACTAAAGGGCGGGGTGGGAGTAGAATGGATTAATTTGAGTTTGAATTTGATGTGCACTTATATTATGTACATATAGCGGATATAGTTGTTATAAATAAGAGTGTGTGTAGGTTTTACGAATCAAAAATACCTCGATACAATTGTCGAACGCTGAAACCAATGTGAAGCAATTGTGGTACGGGGGCGGGGGCGGAGGAGGGATTCGCGCGGTAGATTTTCCTGATAACATTTTCGATTTTTTTTCACACTTTTCATCTACCATTACCTCTCCCACTCTCTCTCTCTCTCCCTCTCTCTGTCTCTCCCTCTCTCTTTTTCTCTCTCTCTCTCTCTCGCTTTCTGACATTTTCTCCCTTACTCTCTGTTATTGTATTTCTCTTGCCTAAACGCTGGAAATAAGAAAAACTGGAAGTCTGCGAGGTAAAAATCCTTTTTTGTTTTTGGTTTTTTTTTTTTTTTTTTAATTTTACACAAGTGGGGAACCAACCAACTTTTTGTCTGTTATTCGATCGATATATGTGTATCAAACATATATCTTATTTTTTCTTTTTTTTTTCTTTGCTTTATTGATTTATTTTTGAGTTTTTCTTTAGGTATCTTCTGTAAAAACACAAATATGTCAACGGAAAAAAAAGAAATGAGTACACAAACATAAAAAAAAATTATTCATAGAGAAATGGAGAAACACAGTTGTTGTTATTTTTTTTCTTTTTAATAAACGTTTTCTTTGTTGTTGGTGTTGTTGTTGAATTGCCTTTGTTTTCATTTTAGTTGTTGTTGCGCTGCATTTGCTTCTTTTTTTTCTTTTTCTTTTTTTGTCTTAAACTAATTATGTGTTTGTTTTCTGTTATTTTGCAGTTTTTTTTAGCAGCTTCTCTTTAATATTAAATATTATTTTACTATAAATATTTTTAGATATAGGTATAATGGTTATTGTGTCTGTGTTCTGTGTGTGTGTGTTATATCTTCATATGTAATTTATGTATAATGTGTCCTTATGCTAAGTGTGTGTACGCCGTAGTGTATGTCTGTCTCTGCGTGTGTGTGTGTGTGCGTATGTTGGTATTTTTTTTAATATAAATTTCCTGCCATATTCATTGCGGTTGGCTTTAGCTAAGATTTTCACTATTTTATTTGATTTGATTTTATTTTATTTTATATTTATTTTTATAAATTTGCTTTATTTAAGTGTGTGTGTTTATATATATGCGTGTGTATGTGTGTGTGTGTGTGTGTTTTAGAGCGTCAACAAAATGTAGCCATTTCTGCTGCTCTTTTTCTGCTTGAAACCAAAAATGCAATTTTTTTTTTATATTTATTTATTTTTTTTTTTATTTTTACAAGACTTTGAGCGTGTTTACATGTGTATGTGTGTGTGTGTCTGTGTGTGTGTGTGCGTGCGTGTGTGTGTGTGTGCGTGTGTGTGCTTAAGTTGTTGTTTTGGTTTTTGTTCTCACTTTTTTTTTAAGCATATGTATATTTATAAATATATATATACATATATATATATATATATTGTTTTTGTTGTTGTTTTAGTCTTCTTTGTAACTAATTTTCAAACAAAAATGTGGCTAACATAAGGAATAACGAAAAAACAGTTATATACATATGTGTGACGATATATATATTTTTTATGTATATGGTGACGTTATTGGCAAATATCCCAAGAGTGCAGTAAGCCAAAAGAAAATGGTATTCTCCAATTACTCTTAATTTTTTTGTATTGGATATTTTCTCACTCACACACACACACACACACACACATATATATATATATATATATATATACAAATATATATGTATATATGCGTCGAGTAGCGGGAGTGCAGGTGTGGGAGGTTAGACGAAACCAGAAGTTTTGAGAAATAAAAAAATGTTCAATTACAAAATTGTTTGCGCATTTTTTCGGCAATGTTTTTTTTTTGTGACTTTTATTTAATTTGTTTTTTTCTTTTTCTTTAAGTAAATAACAGCAAAAGTGAGTTTTAAAACAATACAAAAAGAATTCTTAAAAAAGCATACAACATTCTTCGACAATTTTCTGAGTGTGTACGAGTGTGTGTGTGTGTGTGTGTGTGTGTGTGTGTGTGGGGGGGGGGGGTGTCTTTATGTCTGTGAGTGTGTGTATGTGTGTGGTTATCTAACAGCAAATTACAAAGCACACGCTCGAAAAAAATCATTAAATGTATTTTTTCTTTTTAACGTTAATTTGTTGTGTTGTGTTAAAAATAATGTTGAAACATGGTGTTGTTCTTGTTGAATGTTTATATAATGTATTTATATTATTATTGTTGTTGTTGTATTTTTGTTTTGTTTTGTTTTCTTCGTCTTCTTGTTTCCTTTTTGCTGTTTATTTAGTTTAATATTAAAAATGTATATATTTAAATTTATTTAATGCAATTTGTTTTTTACGTTTTAATCATTTCTATATTTTTTCTTTTTCATTTTACTCTTTTTTTCTTGCTTTTATTTATTTTTTTTTATTTATTTATTTTTTTTTTTTTTTTGAAAAAACGTGCAAACAATGTGTAAAGGGGAAAACCGACAGCCGAAAAATAAATAAAAAAATGCTTTTCAAAATACATTTAATTATTTGTTTTCAAATATACCTTTTCTATATGCATGTATGTATGCGCATACACACACACACGCGCGCGCACACACACACACACACATATATACACTACTAGATGTGAGCATGTACACATGTGTATCCATGAAGCCAAAAACAAACTTCATGCTAAAACTGGACTTGGGTTGATTTTCATTCCATTCCTTTACAAGTATATATATAGTTGTGTTTCTTTTTCGTATTATTCTTTTTGGTTGCAGTCTGTCTGTGCGGTCTGCATCTGTATATTTGTATATTTTTATAATTTGTGTTCCGTTTTTGTTTTGATTTGTATATATATATATATATATATATACAACGTTGTTGGCGTTACTTCATTACCTCCTATTCTATCTCTATCTTTCGATTTTGTTGTTGTTGGTGTTTGTTGTTTCCTTTTGTTTGTTAAAGTATTATTGCTTGATTAAGTATAAATATATATATTTATACATATATTTGTACACATAATTTGAAGTCTCGTCCTGATAACCTACAAGTTGCATATATGCATATGTAACTAGATAACTAACTTATGAGTTAACTTCTCAAAGTCTTTTAAGTATTTTTACTGCAAGTTGTAGTTGTAGCTGTGTGTGTATATGTCATTGTGTGTGTGTCTGTGTGTGTGTCTGCGTGTGTGTCTGCGTGTGTATCTGTGCTTGTTTCACTAAATATTAGTCCGAAGTCGTCTTCAGACACATATCAAATCGAAAGAGCTTCACATAACTTTTGCTTTGTCAATTGAAAATATAGAAAACATTCAAAGAAAAAAGAGAAATAAACAACAGGAAGACCGAACAAGCACATAAAACATAACATACATGTGTGCGCCTGTGTGTGTGTGTGTGCATGTGTGTGTTTGTGTGTGTGTATGTTATCTTCGTTGCATTCCATAGTGTTCCCCACAACGGACAAGAAAAACTCTGCACTGCTTGCAGCCCAAACAATAAACACGAAACGAAGCAGTGCACAGTGGGCAACAATATACAAAATAGCACACAAAATATGTTCCCAGTACGTATGTGTACGCGGCTGTGGTTCTTGTGTTTCGTTTGTTACCTATCTAGCTACTTATATACCCACCCCCTATGCCACACTCTCCCCCACACACTCCTGTAGTTGCTCCCACTCTCTCCAACACTTTCATCCTTCTAGTTTCTTGCTGCCCTTATTTAATTCAATTCTTTACATATTTATTAATCTAAGTATTCGCTAATCGTTGAATAATTGCTGTTCTGTGTTGTGGTTGCCTTTTTTTGATTTTTTTTATTTATATATATACTTTATTTTTACACATTGTCTGCAAGTGTGCTTTAATATCATTCAATTTCAATTGTTTTTCATTTATTTTTGTATTTATTGTATTTTTGTCTTCTTTTTCTTTTGCATGTAGTCTATTTGTATTTGTTTTTTAATTGCTATTTCTATTGATTTAATAATGCACATATGAATTGTGTTCGTGTGTGTGTGTGTGTTTTTTTTTTTGTTGTTGCAATTGATATCATTTTGTTGCATATTTTTTCTCTATTTGTATTTGGGTTTTATCATTTTGAAATATTTATGAGATGTAAAAAAAACTATGTATGTTTGTGTGTATACAGACATACTTTATTTTGCATTATTTTTTCCTTTCTCATTTAACGCCTGTCCGTTTTTTTTTTTCTTTCTTTTTTTTGCCCGAATATGTGTGTAGATGTGTGTGAGTGTGAGTGTGTGCGCGTGTGTGTGTGTGTGTTTGTGTGTAAGTGTGTGTGTGTGTAGGAGGGGAGCGAATGCAGTAGCTGATTGCTGTAAAGGGTAAGTGTATGTGAATGACAAAAACCTGACTGAAATGAGATGAAAAACTACGTTGCGCTGCTGACGTATGCATTTGAAAGAGCAAGAGAGAGAGAGAGGGAGAGAGATACGTGTTGAAAAACATAAATATTATTCAATGTTGAAAAATAAGTAACGAAACAGAAACCAGTTACAAAATTTAAATATATTGCGAATAATCATTCCGATTGATGCAAATAAAATAATATAGAATATAATTTACATAGTGATTTAAGAAACTATCAATTAAAATAGTACAACAAATATTATTCAAAAGTTTGAGTCGCTGAGTAAACAAGTATGGAGAAGAACTTGGATGGAGATAGACAATTGTAGACACACTTATTAATTATGATTGCCACATGATTGGTGTGGGTCAAAAATATTCTAAAATATTAACAAACAATTTCAGTTAGCATATAAATGTAAATATGTGTGGGTGTTAATGTGCGTGTGTGTGTGTGTGTGTGTGTGTGTGTGGTATGCGAGCATCTTCTTGATTGGCTCTGTTTCAATAGATGGGAGACTAGATTACGTAATTGATTGATTGATTGAACTGCGCGCTGTTGGCAAATCAGACATATATATATATGTATATATATATATATATATATATAATGTATATATATATATATAATATATATATATATTAATTATATATACATATATTAAAAAGGGAAGTTTCAGAAATATGTGATGATTGAGGTCAGTAGTAATAGTGAGTGTCTGTGTGTTTGTGTTTGGGTGTGTGTGTGTGTATGCACTACTTGATGGTTTCATATATATTGCTTATTATTCATGCATTGTTGTAGATCCTTGCTTTTATTCCTCTAACTCTCTCTCCCCCTCCTCCGATTTTGTTATGTTTATACATATATATTTATTGACGCAACTTTCTTAATTTTCAAGTATTTTGACGAGTTGTTTTTTTTCGTTTTGGGTTGTTGTTAGATAAATTTATTGATTGATTGATTGGTTGGTTAGTTGCTGGTTGGTTGGTTGATTGATTGATTTGTTGGTTGGTTGGTTGATTGGTAGAGTGTAGAGTAGTTGGTTCGCATTAGTTTCTTTTTCAGATTGGCTGCCCCCAGTACACAATTGCTTCACGATTTTTTTTCAGCATATTCTCATAATAATCATATAATAATAATAATAATCATATAATAATAATGTTCTTTTTTTTGTTTTGTTTTCGATTTGTTTTGTTTTTTCAATATACTTAAAAATTATTGAAGCTTGCATAACGCAAGCTTTTCTTCTTTCTCTTCTTCGATTCATTTCTTTGTTTTTTTAATATAAACTTCTTTTCAAACTTTAATTTCCTTTTTTGTTTTGTGGTTGCTTGTCGCTATATGTATATACACATACATTAAGTATATACACATACATATTCATATCTACATATATATATATATGCATGTGTATATATACATATATAAACAATGTTTTCTTTCTTTTGTTTTTCATTTAAAAATACAATTCGTTTAATACCTAGAAAATGCTTAAATACAATATCTATATGCATATACATATATAATAAGTGTATATATACGTATTACTAGATCTAAATAGTATTTATGTATATCTATATATATGTATATATATGCATATATATATATATATATATATATATATGTATATATATATTTCACGATAATCATTTTACAGTTGTATGTGTGTGCGTGTGTATCTGTGTGCGTGTGTATATGTATGTGTGTGTTGGTTAGTCTTTTGTCTAGTTGAAATAAATTATAAATTTGGTGTTTGCGAGGAATTTCCTATTATTTATCCTTGCCATATATTTCTGATATAACCTCAAAAACACAATTAGGAAAGTACTCGAAACGAAATTGAAATTGGAAAATGCTCCGAAAGCAGCCACAATTTGTTTAACAAATTCCAAATGCTGCCAAATCAAAGTAAAAATTGCTCTAGAAATTATTTGTATTCTTGCAAATTTAAACTATATTTTAAAGTATGACGAGAAAATCACAAAAAAAAAAAAATACGTTTCGTGTTACCCAAATTTCAATTATGTTTAAAAAGAAAGTAAACGCATATTGCACTTTGTCATGAACTTTGTTCTGGGCATCAGAGAAAAAAAAAATATTTAAATAATTTTTGGGTTATACAAAAATGGCAATCTGAAGGGGGGTTTTGGGGGCGCACGCACACACAAGCGCGCTTTCTGTTGAACTCACGCACACACACGCATACACACACGCATACACACACACATACGCACACGCACACACAGGTGGCAAACAAAATCCGCTCCAAATGTATACAACTTTAATAGGTGTATGTGTGCGTGTCTGGGTATGTATGTATGTAGGCATACATGTGTCCGTGTGTGTGTAAGAAAATTGTTAAATATTAAATATGAAAGGTGTTCACAAACAAAAACAACAAAACAACACTGCTCTAAAAGCGCCATCTACCGCACGGCTCAATTATTTGCTTGCTCTCTCTCTCTCTATCGTATCTCTGTCTAATCCACAACTTGATATTGTATATGTATGTATATATGTACATGTATATGATGCTTGCTTGTTATTCGCTTCTTTTCCGCTATATTTTTTGTTTTTTGTCTAGACCTTAGCAAAAAATTATCAACTAAACTAAACAGATTGTATGCCTGTGTGTATGTGTATTAAAAAATTACTAAGGTTTCAACTCTGTCATATATAAATTTCTAATATATCGGGTAGTGTTGTCGCTCTATACTCCATATTCTTTACAACACTGTCAGCTACTACTACTACTCCCTTACTGCACAACACTCCCTCTTTTCAATCTATTTTCTTTATGCTAGTCTCTGTTCAGTTATTCCCGATGTGGGTGTGTGTGTGTGTATATGGTGCGTGTGTTGTGGGTGTGAGTTTCTTTGCGTTTCGTACTATTTTTTTTTTAGCGAGCTTAACTTTTTACATATAATTTCGGACATACAACTGATTCTTTCCTTTGCAGGACTTTTCGACTAATATTTATATTTATAATCATAGAAATAAAAAATAATAAAAAAAAATTATGAAAATGCTGTTGTTGTTGTTGTTGTTATTATTCTGCCGTATGTGTGTGTGTATGTTTATGTTGGTGTGAGTTGTTGCTTTTCATTTTCTTAAATTTTTTTAATTAAAAACATTTCGTTTCATATTTAGATATATATATATATATATTATATATATACATATACATATATAGTTTTTAGGGTAAGGGGGATTATTGATATATATATACATATACATATACATATACATATATATATATGTATATATATATATATATATATATATATATAAAATACAAACAAACAAACAAACAAAACGGCGTCCTAACCTGCTTCACTGTCACTCGAGTCACTCGAACTGCTATCACTCGAACTCGACGACGATGAATCGCTGGAACTTGAACTGGACGAAACAGGATTCGCTGGCTGCACAGCCTCCACTTTGCTCGATGTGTTCTCATCTGCAAGAGAAGCAAGAGTATGACATTATTACATTATTGTTATTATTATCAATACATATATAAAGTTCATAATAGAAAATAGACTTGTATCACAACCCTCACCCCAACCAGATTGGTTATTTGCAAAGCGGCAATCTACTGAAACCGAAACTTTAAACTGATTTTGATGAACAACAGGATTTTTGTGCAAATAATATCAACGTCTAACGAGTTTAGGACAAAGACTTGCGTTGTCCCATAATCCAAAAGATAAAACTAGGACTGCACAAATCACATCCATCGATGTAAGACTCTCAAGCCATGTGGCTCTCGCGCCGTCTATCCACTGTTGACTACCCAAAAGAAATGTGAACAATGTTTATACGTTTATTCCTGTCTAGGATTAAGCCACGAGTACCTACAGTTAGGCGACCTCATAGCTAATCACTGTTCCTGTGTCAACACAATCTCAATTTCAAACATATTATTGACAGCTGCCCCATATTCAGCATGATCATGCTATCCATAAAACTAACAAGCTATATAAAGCTTACCTTTCTTGGCGGTTTTCTTGCTAGCGCCCAATTGGCCTGTGACGTCTTGTAAACGCTTTTCCAGCTCCTGTTTCTTTTCCGCCATTTGCTCATCCTTTGATTTCCCAGAAGGCTTTTTATCTGTAACAAGAGAAATGCATCATTATTTCAGACAATATATGCAAAAGACATTATATATATATTTATATATATATATATTTAAACAGCTTGAAAGCGATTAGTTAACTGACAAAGCAATAAACAGACAAAAAGACAGAGATGGAGGGAGAGAGGGAGGGAGAGGGAGAGAAGAGAGAAATAGTTGGAGCAACAGCGTGTTGTTTTTTCTTTTTTTTAATTAAACAGTTAGTCGTTGCATGCGGACTGAAGAGGTTTTTGAAAGATGGATTGATCAGCAATCATCAGATGTGTCAATCAGCCAATCAATCAATCAATCGATCACACGCAAAACAATGCAAGAGTTCTAAGCGCATGCAATTGTATCACTATGAATCTCTTTTTTGAGCTACATTACTTGAAAAACAAAAATTCAATCAACTGGATACCCTTGCAGAGCATTTTACTTCGACATTTGTATTTATGTTTATATATTTGAACTGATCTCGGATAGCGGATGCATCTTCAAGTGAAACTTCTTTCAACAACTAAGGTTTCTCTATTCTATACCTGCAAGGGTATTTCAACTTCGGCTGCCCAAAGTTAACTCTGCTTCTTTTTCTTGCCGTTGTCAATTACACATTTTTCAAACTTATTTTCGGGAAAGTAGCGCAAAAAATTGGAAACAGAAAAGAAAAAAATATAAATATATATATGTATAAATACATATACATATGTATATATATATATATTTAAAAAAAAAAACATTGAAGCAGCAAACTTAAGATATATATTATTTTTCTTTTGGTTTTTTCGTTTGGTTTTTTTTTTTGAGAGTTTAGCTAACTAAACATGTGACCACTAAAGTAATTTGCGTTTTGTATTTATATTGAAAATTTGGAAAATTCTTTTTGTTTCGTTGCTGTTGTTGCTTGTTTCAATCGATTATCGATTTATAAAAATTGTGACAAACAAACACAAAAAGAGTCACAAGCAACAAAAATGAATTTGTTGATTGCGCACCAGCTTAAAATATTTTGTAGCATAATTAAAAATGTTTTTTTTTTTTTCAAAAATTTGTATATCATTGCTTCTAGTTGTTGCTGTACTGGTTGCTATTGTTGTTGTTTGTTGTTGTTGGTTGTTGTTGTTGTGGTCTCGTGGTTTAGTTACAAACTTACAATATGGCTTACGTGTTTTTTTGCGCAAACACGACGCCACATAGCTTTCTAGCTCGCGCAGCGTCGACGGCTTCAGCGTCTCGAAGTCAATCTCAATCTCATCCGGATTCGAGTCGCGCAGCGATGGCTCCCGATTCTGTATGATGTGCACCACACGTCCCAGCTTGTCACCTGTTAGCCACACACGACGGGAGATGCGGCATAGATAGTGGAAGGAGGATAGATAATATATGTTTAATTAGTTCATTTGTTCATTTGATTTCAAATGCATAGTCGAGTTAACAATAACTATTATCACATTGAATCTTCTATAGGTTAGGTTAGGTTTGACGGATGCCAACCAAGCTCGACACACATAGGTAATTTTTGGCCCGTTGTGATACCGTGTGGATCTCACTATATTTTTATGGCAATCATGTGAGCATGAACTTTAGACCTCTTTACACAATCAAGTGCTTCGCATAATGCGGATTCTGCCTTATAACCGAGAGTGTTGCCTGTTGTCATTTGGTCAATTGGTGTGGTGCGAAGAGACCCTGATACGCATAATTCAACCTTCTTAAGCTGTTTCTGTATGGTTTGCCTTTCAGGCAAGACCACCACACTATAACACCATATAAGAGGATAGGCCTAATGATTGAGGTACATCCATCGGACAATGCTTGGGGACATACCCATTCTTTAAATGTTGTGTAAAAGACAGAATCCCATAAAGTATATTTAAGTTCTTCTCTTCAAAAGTGATAAGACTAAGGAACTGCTCTTGTTTGATATCCTCTAGTTCAAATGTTCTCACTTAGCAGCAAAGGGAAAGTTGACATCACTCAGAACCAGTGGAAGGTTAAACGGGAACTGGAATCGGAACCTCATTTTTACCGATTGAAATACAGACTGATAGACATGTTTCGGCTTGACAACCTGCTCTAACACTGGTTAATAATAGGAACTCATGCTACTGCATTTCATTTACCACTGCCCGATCAGCTTTTTCTTATAGACATAATCGGGATCTATTCGATATTCAACAGAGACAAGTTCTTCCTGCTTCCTGTATGTGTGTTGTTGTGAGTGTGTAGATTAGAAGATGCGTACGCGTCTCACCTGGCAACTTGTTAATGTCGAGAGATAGCTGTCGCTTCTCATCGTAGGACATGGGCTTGGCTGTGTCCTCCTCCTCGGAGTCGAAGTTGATCACCTGGTTGGGCCTCTTTTTGCTGCTGCCACGCGCACCGACTGCGCTGCCGCTGCCGGCACCAGCCGCATTGGCGCCAGCACCACCGCCACCACCGCCGCCACCAGCTCCAGCGCCTGCGTTGCTGGCATTGTTGCTGTTGTTGTTTTTGGTGCGTTTGGCATTTGTGGTGCCACCACCAGTTATGGCAGCCGCTGTTGCGTTTGCAGCGATAGCCGCTGCATTCGCAGCATTGGCAGCCGCCGAGCCTGCTCCACTGCCGCCGGCATTGACGTTCGCATTGCCCTTGCCTCCACGCTGTCCCTTGCTTTTAGCACCTTTGCTGGTGCCACCAGAGCCGCCAGCTCCGGCCGCAGCACCCGCTGCGAGGGCGCCCGCCAGGGCATTAGCGGGCGCTTTGCCACCGCCAGCTGAAATGCCCACGCCCGGATTAACGCCCGCATAGCCGCCGGCACCAGCTCCTCCTCCGCCACCGGTTCCAGCGCCAGCGCCCGCTCCGCCCGTCATCTGGCTCATGACCAGCGCCATTTCGTGAACTTGCTGCAGTGTTGCCGGACCGGGAACACCGCTTGAAACGCCACCAGCGCCGGCAACGCCACCGGCATTCACCAACGAACCACTGAGCAGGGCGCTCAGATTGGCACTGGCTGCATTTGTGGAATTTAGAGCGGCCACATTTGGTGGCATGGCGACGCCGCCAATGCCGTGCGAGGCATTGCCGGCATTGCCTGACCCACCAAGCGAATGATGATGATGATGATGACTGCCGCCACCGGCGGAGCCACTGCCACCGCCCGACCCACCCATCCCTGTGCCCAGTTGGCTCTTTCTCTTCTCCTTGAGTTTTTTTCGAGCTTTCTTTTTGGCTGATGCCTCCTCGACCAGTTTACGTATCTCCTCTTGCAGGCCTAGCAGCTTGGATTCAAGCGTTTTCAGCTTGGCATTGCGCTCCTCATCCGAATTGGATTCATTTTCCGTTTCACTCGAATCGTCACTGGATGAATCACTAGCATCATGCTTTGATACACTTGAATAGCCATGATGATGATGGCCAGCATTCGCTACTGTCTCATCGGGTATATTTGCGTAGCGCATCTCGAATACATCCTGCAATTTACGTCCCATCGCAACAACATCATGATCTGGCGGATTATACTTATAACAATTTGTGAAAATTAAACGCACATCGGCGGCAAATTCCGGCGCGCTCTTAAATTCACGATTGTCCATTTTCCGCTTAACGGTGCCCAAGTCCATTGGTTTCTTGATGATGTCATGATAGTCGTGCAGGCCCAACAATTCCGCATCCACCGGTTTGTAGAAGGGCCAGGCGCAGCCCGAGTGTTTCTTGGAGAAGAGCTCTTTGAGTATCTCGTTGCATGACTTTAGTGAATCGGATAGTTTCTCCTTTGATTTGGATATGGAGCCGCCAACACTGCTGCCGCCGGCAACGAGACCAGGCATACCGGCGCCACTCAATGGTGACATCGGATACCCTCCCGAGCCCTGGAATGTAAGATCCTGTGTTCGTTTTCATTCAATTCATCGAATTATCGGATATCGGTTATCGATAACGATTCGGTTTTTTTGTTGTTGGCAGTGCGTAGTGTGTGGTGCATTGATTATTAGATGATGGCAATAACGATAACGATGATGATGATAATGATGAAAACGATTAGAAAGAAAATAAAAAGAAAATAAAAAAAAAATTAAGAGGAGGAGAAGAAAACAAAGCGACAATGGATTAGAGAGCATTCAAATTAAATTCAATGTACAATAATATTAGGCGTATACAACGATGCCTGTTTTTTTATTTATTATTTTAAGTTTAAATATTTAGAGCTGAACAACAACAATTAAGCGAATTCTGCATTCCAAATGAGCAAAGATTTAAAGCAATGTTTCTCGTTTTTTAAATTTTAAACTGTTAATTGCAAGAATTGCGATCGATAACTACTTTACTTAAACAAGACAATGCATTTAATCGATAACTACTCTGTGATGGCAATTAAGTTCGCCTCCGACTATCGATTGTTCTCAGCTCTAATATTGTACGCATAGTGGGTGGGTGACATTATCTCAAAGCATAAGTGTAAAAGGCAAAGGCAGCGTTTAAATACATGAGTGAATACGTGTCACTTTTTTTCTTGGTGTTCTTGTGGTTGTGTTGTCTGAATATGTGTATGTTTTGGGGGTGTGTAGGGGCATGTGTGTGTTATTGTGTGTTTTTTTGTGTCAGAGTTGGAACTCATCAAACTATAAATTCAAGCATATAAACCAAATTACTAATATTCAATATCAATTAAGTTTTAATTATTGTTCAATAGTTGAGTTTTCAATCCAATTTTAATCGATTAATTTCGATGGACGATTTCGGCTACGGAATGACAGCTGCCTTTGGCCCAATCTTTCGTAATCCGTAATTTCGTAAACATATATTTTAAATATTTTGAATGATTGATTTGACGGTTGAACTGATGAATATTTACAAGATAAAAGAAAATTCGAACTCAACTAAATTAATTTGCCCACTTTTCAGATTTGCTATAAAAGAAATCGATGTACCTCTTCCGACAAATTTGGGCACCCACAAACTATCAGCTTAATTTGGGAAAGGCTTGTTGAAATTAATTCGTATGCCAAAATGGTAAGGAGAGCGATTATCCTTGAAAATATGTATAAAGTAATCGGAATATATCGAAGAATCAGAGAAGTTGGCCAAGAAGTGGGTCCTTCTCTGAGAAGAAGTGTGCCCGAATCCAAGATGCCGCCGTTAGCAATTAATTATGCCCCCTCAAGATCGTATTTATATAGCCAGAAGTTTTGTGTAAATGGAAAGAAATTTCCGATCTTGAAGGACGGCTGAGATACAAGGGCGAAAATTCTTTTAAACTCTATATGCATATATGCTAACCGGGTCTGCATATATATATCTGGATATATCGTAGCCCGTGAAACAAATAATATTGAAAATTGAGTATCAGCTTGCACACGCAAAGACAAGGAGCTGTCAATCAGCATTTCCCATACGTAAATCAAGGCGGTCTTTCAGACAGTTTGAAACATTGAATAAAGAAGACGAAATAATATCTATATTAGCTTAGAGTTCCGATCCGCCCTCCAACCCAAGAGGTGTATATGTATATACATATATGCGTACACACACATATATATATATATATATATATATATATAATATATATAATTGAGCGTAAAAGAAAAATCACGAATGATAAAATGCAAATACGAACCACTCAAAACTGATTTTTGATTAGATGTTGATTAATGGTTGAAGGATTAAGGTGATTAACGAGCATGGGGAATATGGGGAGCATGGAGGAGAAAGGAGAAACGTCTGCGCTAGATTTGCCTCTTACCTTCTTGCCAATTACCTGACGATTCGATTCCCGCCTCGTCGCTATTTTGGCCACCTTGGCCTCCATGGCGCCGTATGGCGATTCGAATGCATTCGCCGTTGGCGTCGTCGTGTCCGCCTTCCGTTTGACGCCCTTCTTCATCTTGGCTGGCTGCTGGGGCGGCAGTACGGCATCAACGACACCCGTACTATTCACATACGCCTGTACAGCTGCCGCAGCCGCAGCATTTGATGTTGCCATTGTGGCGGCAGCACCACTGCCATCTAATGCTGCTGCTGCCGCTGCCGCCGCTGCTGCCTGAGCTTGGGCTGCCGCCGCTGCTGCTGCGACCGCTGCTGCCGCTGATGCTGCTGAGGAGGAATTGTTGCCATCCAGCAGCGAGTTGCTGCTGTTGCTATTATTGTTGCTGTTGTTGCTATTGGCCAGCGCCGTTTGCTGCTGTTGCATGCTGGCCGCATAATTGGCGCTATGCGCCGGATTCAATAAGCTGGCCATTGCTGCATTTAGGGCGGCCGCATTGTTTGGTCCGCCCGCCGCTGCTGCTGCCGCTGCTGCTGCCGCTGCCATTGCCATTGTCGTTGTGTTCGTGCTGCCGGGCACTTGATGCGGCGGCATTGTGCTAATCGGTGGTATGGACGGTGCACTGCCTCCGCCTCCGCCCGTTGATGAAACCGTGCCGCCCATCGCCGAAACGGGACGCGAGGCATTTCCTCCCGACGACGACGACTGCTGCCCCAGACCGCCCAATGATCCCGATGACGACGCCGCCGCCGCCAACTGCTGTGCGGAGGAAGTGGATTGCGATGCTTTCCCAGTTGTTGTTGTTGTCGTCGTTGTTGCTGTCACCGATTGGGCGCCTGTCGCAGATGTTGCATTATTATTACTGCTGCCGCCGCCGCTGCTGCTGCTGGCTGCCGTCGTTATGCTCGTGCTTTGGTTGGCTGCCGCAGCTGCTGCCGCCGCTGCTGCTGCTGCAGATGCTGCACCTTTTGGGGTGGCCGGAGCGCGTTGTTTCTTTTTGCCACCCTTGGCCGTCACGGGCTCCAGTTCAACCTCCTCCTTGGGCATACCTTCGATCTTCTGCAGATAGACCTTCTCGAGCGCATGGGCCATAACGACAACATCCTCGCCGGGCTTATTGTACACCGAACAATTGGTGAACATTGTGTTTATATCGTTCACAGCCTCCTTGGCGGACCAATAGTAATTGTTCTCCAATCGCTTCTTGATCGTACCCAAGTCCATCGGCTGTTTAATGATCTTGTGGTAGTCGGGCAGGTTTAATTTTTTCGCATCGACCGGCTGTTGGAAGGGCCACGAGAAATGATGCTTCCATAAGAATTTCATGACCGTTTTGATGATATATTGCAATTGATTCGTGTTACGTCCCGGTCGATCAATTGGCGGCACAACCGGTGGCTGGACAATGCCATTGATTGGCTCCACAACGGGCTCATAACGTGGCGGTGGTTCGTTGGATGACATAATTCTGTTGTTGTAGTTTTATATAGTATATATATATATACAACTATTGTTGTATATAATACATATATATATATATATATGTATATGTCAGCTATGTTTTCTTTCTGCTGTTGCTGCTGCTGCTAATGCTGCTCTCCAAAAACAAATTGACTGAGACGGCCGACGCACACACACACACCACACCACCAACACAACAACAACGCCGCACACACGCCCGGGGCCGTCTCGTCCTTCTCACGCGTCCTTGTTTGTTGTATGCCCCGCTACTCAGAGCAGCCACGGATGCCGGCTGCTGTTGCTGCTGCTGCTGCTGATGCAACTGCAACTGCTGCTACTGTTGCTACTGTTGCTGCTGCTGCTGGTGTTGCTGGTGCTGCTGGTGTTGCTGCTACCAACAACGAGTGTTGCTGCTACTTCGTCGACGGCTTCTGTTGGTGGCTTTTGTGTCCGTTGCATGCTCAGTAAATTGTTGTCAACTGTAAATACGAATCGCATTAAAATATGTATATCTACACAAATATTTATGAATCCCTATCCCCTAGACTTACCACCACTTGCCGGTGTCGTGGCGCGGCGGCTTTCTCCAGATGTCCAGCAGATATTGTTAATTGGTTGCCTTTAATTTCAATCGCTTCTTACGTTTTCGTTTCACTTGCAATTAATCAGTTCATTTGGCATTTTTTTGTTTTCATTTATTTTTTCTTTTTTGTTTTTTTGAATGCAGACACTTCTTGCTGCTGTTACTTGTTTGTTGGAAGTGGTAGTGCTACAGCTACTTCGTCTTCCTCCCTTTTGTTAACCGTATTTTGTATTTAATTTGTGTTTGTTGCTTTTGCTGTTGGTGTTGCTCTTCTTATTGACATATTTTGGTCGGGGATCCAAGCAGCGAGGAGACTGCAAAAACACATAAGTAAGCACAATATCAAAATCAGTCTCAATCCAGAAGTAAAAAAAAAAGTGATGCCTTATTTAACATCGATATCGATATACACAATAAACAGAAATGTAAACACAAGCATGTTATTTTATTTTTTTTATTTATTTTCTTTTTTCGACGCCGGCCGGGATTATCGAAAAGCCGAAAGTCGAAGAAACTTCGGCTCTTTTGGATAAAAATGACATCTCGAAATATTTGCATGGACAATTATTTTCTGCACACATACTCTCAGAACAAGAGAACGAGAGAGAGAGAATCACACGTGAATGCTTTTTGAGCAAGAACTTTGTTTTATGTTATATAAACAATAAAATGCTATTCAAATAAACAAAATACAAACAAAACAAATATACATACATACGTGCATACAAAACACGCACACACACACACAGACACTCACACGCATACGATTCATTTCTCGCGCGCGCTCGCAGAAATGCAAAATGCAGCGAAACATACAAAACACAGCAGGCAGCAGACGGACGCAAAAGCTAAAACAGCGCGCAAAGCAAGCATCCAATAAATAAGAAGCAACACAAAAACGCTTAAATTTGCTTCATATTTTCTATGGCAATTTTCTTTTATACACACACAGACACATTGCAGCTGCTGCTGTTGTTTCTTGGGCTTTTATTTTATTTAATTTTTTTTTGTATTACGCTTTCGCGGGTTGGCCTTTATTTTTCGATTTTTGTGTTTTCGTATACACCACATAGTATGTGTTTGAGTATGTTAGTTGTTACTTTGCCGCCGTTTTGACACTCACGGCAACAGCAGCGCTAACATCACCAGCACCAGCGTACAAGTCGAATTGAGCGGCGAGACAACTTTCGAAATTCGAAAATGAGAGAACGGGAGAACGAAAAAAAAAGATTGAGAGCATCACACAACACACACACGCACGCTAGGCGAGAGACACAAAATGCTCACGTAGAGCTGTCCCACTTGCACACATGTGTGGCTTTGAAATAGTTTTGTTTGACAGCACGTAAAATAAAATAAGAAGCAAATTTTTAATCAAAACGAAATTAATGTTCTAGTTATAAATATGTAATATGTTTAAGGTACTCTCATCGACCAGAGTTCTTCAGGTGAAAAATGTCACAAAGTGAAAAGAACACGAGCGCATCTACATATATATATATATATATATATATATATATATATATATTGCGGGCTGAGTGAGGGAGACACACTGCTATGTGTATTGTGGTGTGTTGGTGATTGGTGGAAGAAATTCACCACTCAACCGCCGCCGCCAACTTAGCTTGGTTATGTTCCGTTCGTTCCAACAGAGTAGCAGCAGGCAACATGATTCATGCATATAATAAAGTCTCTTTGTTTGTTGCTGTTGTTGCACATTGCAAGCACACATACACACACACATGGAAAATAAAAAGGCCTACCTAATTTTGTTTTTAACACTCTCACACCCTCAACACAACTCTGGCTGATGAGATATTTATGGTGAGCTGAGCGGCGGCAGCGGAAGAAATGACTCTCGTAAAGCTCTGATGACGACGATGACGGCGGCTGCCACGAACAACAGCACTGACACGAGCAGTTTTCTCTCCCTCTCCCTCTCTCTCGTACACATATGTCCGTTGCTAGGCTGCACAGTGGTTCGGCGCTCGCATAAATTCCCCCAAGCGAATTTGTAAACAATGCGCCCCAAATTTATTGTAACTGTCACACATATCGCACACACACACGCATACTCGCGCATAACTATGCACATATATATGTTTAGGTGACATATTGTATTTAGTTTGTATATTTTGCCGGCCGGCAAAGCACACATTGCTTTCACTTGCTTGCAACTTTTACACACACTTCAATTAATCGAGTAAAACATTCAATTTGAACCACAGTAGGCTATGCAAAAGTTGCCAAGGCGCTAAAGAAAATTATGTGACGCAAAATTCAAATCGGAAAGGAAATTCAGTAAACAAAATAACAGCAGTCAACAAATGTCGTAGTCATTATCAAAAGTGTGGGTATATTCAATATTTCTATAACGCGCAATTATTATTAAAAACAACAAAAATAAAATAATACAAACACGCCAAGATAAAAACAAAAAAACATACGCCAACGTCAAATTGCATGCAAGCACAGAGCGGCAGCAGAGGTCGGAACAGAGACGGATGAGCGGCGCTTCTACTCTTTTTTCACTCTCTCTCTCCCACTCTTTTTTATTTCTCGCGTATTCTCTCACAACAAAACAAAACATTAACTGGCAACACCAACACAAACTGAAACTCACACACACACATACCACAAACGTGCTGATGCTCGCTGCGCTCTGTTGTAATTATGTAGTACAGTAGACGACTTTGAGTTTTCAACAAAAATTTGTACGTATAACAACAACAGCTACGACGTAGAGTAGCGTAACGTAGCGCTCGCTCTGCTCGGCGTTCGGGTTTCGAGCTTCGGATTCGCTCGTCTCACACTTCGTGTTTGCAGTTGTGTATGTAACGGACCGCGCCATGCATACTTGTATGGATGTGTGCATGTGTGAATATTCAAGGCAAACACGATGACGTCGAGATGATGATGAAGAAGAAGAAGCAACAACAGAAGCAACAATGGCATGCATTTAAAACACTTCGAGCATGCCACAAGGGGGTCAGAGGAGGAGGCGGGTGGGAGGAATGAAGAAAAGTGTATATATTATAAAGAGTCAAGTTGAACAATAAAGTGCTAGACATGCATATATTTGAACATAATTCCTAATCCTTCAATCCGAAAACAGGCAAAAGAAAAGCACGTTGAAAAGTTCGTTTTATCAACAAAGGTCAACACACAAAAGAATTCGTCGTCAGTTTTAGCAAAAAAAAAATGTGCGCTCTTAAAATAAATATTTTATTATGAACGGATCCCTTGGGGAAATGTTTCATTCAAATTCAAGCAGAACACAATCATTATTAGGTTTATCTTTTTTCTTCCTTTTTTGCATGCACTTGAACTACGCGCAAAAAAAAATACATATGTATATTTAAATAAATAAAATACAAGTGATCCACACACACATATAGCAGAGTGTCGTGACTGAGCACTTGGGGGCACACTCGGCATGTGTTAGAGTGAGACAACAATTCGCTACGTAATATATATTCCAAATGCAAATATGGCGGCAGCGGCACGAGACACAGCAAGAGACCTAGCAACGACCCAGAGAGACGACGACAGAGAATTTTGCGCTTGCATGTGTATTGGTGCACACGTACACATGTACGTGTCTTTCTCATTTTCGATGCCCAGAGTTCGAAAGTGAAAAAGGCAGGCGGTAAATTGAGTAGTAGTAGCAGCAGCCACCGCCGTCAGCAACTGTTGTTGTTTTGTGTGTGTATGTGTGAATGTATGTTTTTTGTTGTATCTGCAAGTATGTGGCGCTGCTGCTGCTGCCGATGCCGACTAACCATTGTAGTGAAGTGACGACGACGATACGTCACAAGCGAACGAGAGAGAGAAAGAACGAACGAAATGTCAAATCGAATCGAATGTCGAATGCCGAGCGGCGCCCGAAGAGAGCAAAGAGAGTGACGACGCACGCAGCAGAATCTTCGTTTGTTCTTTCGTTCCACTGGCAGCCAGGCTGTTTGCCTCTGGGTTAATAAATCGTGCTAATAGTGGCACGAATTTAAAGCCGGTTTACATGCGGCACAAACACAGCACAGCACAGAAGCAACAACAACAACAGCTTTTGCAATCGCTGTCGCCTTCGCCGACGACGACGTTGACAGCAAAAGCATCAATGAAATTGCTCTGGCTGTCGTCGTCCCCCTCTCTCCACTCCCCCTTCAAACCAACAAGCGTTCTTCGCCCACATAGATAATAAGAACCACAAAACGCATTAGACATTTATAACGGTGCTGTGGAAAATGTGACGTGCAAAGCACACCACAAAGGTAAACAAGAAATTTGAAGCTGCTTTTGATTTTGCGCGCGAAATGCAATTCGCCACACACACATACACGCATAACAGAGAGGGAAAGACAAGAAGCAGATGCAAGCTGAATGAACAGCCGGTATATGACTACGTATATATGTATGTGTGTATTTATGTATAAATGTGCATTTAGCCTGTGTGAGCCGCTAAATGTCACAGTTTTGTTTACACAAATTTCGCGCGTATTCGATCAAAACTTCAACAATTTATTAACACTTTAAACGTTGCTTGGCTTTTTGTGTACACACAATAAGCACTGTTTTTTCTTTTTGTTTCTCTCGATTTGACTTGATTTCCCTACTTTTGCATAAATAAATATACATGCATATATATTTATATGCAGGGGTAGCTAAATGTAGCAAAGCAAATGCAGCTGCCTTTTTTCTTCTCGTTGGGAGACGAAGGGTTGTAAAATACCCAAAAATGTTTATTGTTGTCTGAGCAAATCTAAACGATCGATTTCAATTTGCAGCAAGTTGCAGCAGCCAAAAAAAAAGATCACACAACACTCAACATTCAAGCTCGATCAATAAGTTTGTGCGAGTGATGCGTGGGGCATGCGCCACGTGCGTCGAGTTTCAAGTTTACTTACATTTTCAATATATTTATTTTGTTGTTGTTGTAATCCAGTCAATTGTTGATTGAAGCGGGGAGTTTGTTGTTTGTTATCCGCATTTGTATCTTGTTTACGTTTTTCAGTTGTTGTTGCAGTCGCGATTTCCTTGCTGTTGTTAGTTTTATTTATTTGCTTTGCCTTTTTTTGTTGTTGTATCAATATAAAGATACATTTATATTTTTATATATTTATATATGCGAGGAGATTTTTAACAAATACAACACGCAAATTCTAAATATCTACACAAATGTTTAGTGTAACTGTAAAAAAAATAAATAAATAAATATATTTCATTTCGCGGCACCAACAAATGTTTGTTGTTTTCCCCCGTTTTGCAATTCGATGGACGACGGCGGGAGAGGGGATGAAACAGAAAGAGAGAACGCCAACAAAATGTGCACATGACGTAGCGGGCTACGTAAACGTAAGTGATGACGGACAACGTTGATAGCGGTAGCCATAACGTAAGCTGCGACAACAAACTACGCGGCGTCCTTACGTTACGTGAAAAACAGCGGCGGCAAAACAGCGCGAGACAAAAACACACACACACATGCATACTCACACACACATATACGAGAAGGCACATGCAACGGGCTACATAACGTTTACGTGTGTACGTAATAACATAATAAAAAAAAAAAAAAATTAAATATAGTAATTTTATTTTTATATATTTTTCCTTTATATCAAATCAATTTTTTGTAGCGAAGAGAAACTTTTTGCGCGTTTGCGTTTTTGTTTTTTATTTGTTGCTGTACGTGTGTATTTTTTATTTATTTATTTTTTTTTTATACTTAATATATATATATTCACTGCCTATTGCTGCTGCTAAGCGCACGTACACACACACAGACACACACACACACATTCTCAGCGACATATAGTCAGCGCTGCTGCTTCTTCTTCTACAGTGCTGGCTGGTTGCTCTGTTCGTTGCCACCACCAAAAAAAAAAAAAAGAAAAAAAAAAGTATAATGAAAAAAATTGTCATGTCCATTGAAGTCTCACATTTTCAAATGCATTTTTTGGCGCAAAATTTATTGTATGCATAATAAATTTGAGTCGCAATCGTAGCACATTGCATTTAATAAACACTTTACACACAGTTTATATAATTTTCGCTAATTTTTACCACAATTTTAAAGCAATTTTTACACACCGATATATTCGTAAGCGCTACAATTTTCGACATACGCGCGTTTCTCGTGAGTAAAGCAGCCGTCGTTGTCGCCATCAAATATACAAAAAAAAATTTCGAAATTACTCAAAATGCGAATACACACACACACATACAGAAAAGCAGCGAAAGGCGAGCGCACGCGTACACCGAGTGCTCTATAGCGGCACTGCTCACATCCAAGACTAATGGTCGTGTGTGGAAATGCAACCGACATACCAGCGCTGCATTAGCTGGTTCGGAGCGCGAGAGCGGAGACTGTGTACATGTGCGAGACAAGTCGAAAGCGTTTGTCTCGCTCAGCGTCCGTTGTTTGTGTTGGTGTGGTGGTGGCAATGACAAATGCTGCTGCTCTTTCTGCTGGTGGTGGTGAATTTTCGATGTTGTGTATGTGTGTGTGTGTACAGAAAGCAGCGAGCAGCTCGCATGAAAAAAAAAATGCACGATGAACAAACGTAACGACGAAACAAAATGGCTGTCTCACAATATTTTCCTAGCATCGGAAATGGTGTTGAACGCCTTTTTTGCTCAGTCTAAGCACCCATGCGCCCCAAAATGTCCAAACGAAACAACAAGTTGAACGTCCATTCGGTATTGTTTGCGTGCGCAGCTAAATACAATATTTGATAAGCATTTACATATATTATCTACATTTTAGCATTGACTAGCACATTTTTTCGTGTTCATTTTCAGCACGTAGCGGCGCGAGTACTATTGTTCAGCATTGTGCCAACATATCGATACGTGAGCTATCGATGCCAAATCATCGACCAATAACAGAGTGTGCTCTCTGTCATCGCCAACCAGCTGCTAAGCCAACACAGCAGCTGTGTCGATAAACGAAGCAGTCCGAGACCGATAAATATATCTAAGGCAGTCCAACTTGCGAAAAGGGTGAGCATAGAAAAAAAATATAATACCAGCGACGAAGTGCTGTGAGATTGAAATAAACGCAAATAAATCGAAACGAAGCCTTTTTGCATTTTCATTGAAACAAATTCGAAATTAACAAGGTACGACGCCATTTATTTTTGTGGAAAATCTTGCTAGCGGCAGCAGTGATATACACGCGTGCGCACGCATACACTTGCAATCACACACTCGCACATATACACACACAGACGAGCCATGCATATGTGTTCACACAAGAGAAAAAATAAAAATGCCTTAACACATTGAGTACTAATACAAATACAATTTACAGAGATACGCAATGCCACGAGGAAAATATGTTAACCACAAGGGCCGCAGTCGCCACTTCACATCGCCTGAGGAGCTGCAACAGGAGTCCGAGGAGGAGAGCGATCAGTCTAGCGGTAGCGAGTCGGGCGAAAAGGAGTCTGGCAACGCCGACACCGCCGCCAGCAGCACAAATAAGCCGGCAACGCGCAGCAAATTGGCAAAGCCAGCAAATAGACAAAAACAAACACGCCGCGTTCCCCACGCTGATTCCGATGATGATGACGATGATGATGATGAGGACGATTCGGATGATGATTGGGATGCGGAGGCTCGTGATTCGAAGAAAGGTGTCGCTTCCCTTATCGAAATTGAGAATCCCAATCGTGTGATCAAAAAATCCACACAAAAACTATCGCACATTAAAATCGATGATGGTCCAGGCGGCGGAAGTGGTGCTGGTGGTGGTGGTGCTGGTGGTGGTGGTGGTGGTGCTGGTGCTGGTGCTGGTTCATCCGGCCACAAACCGGAACTGACGCGTCGCGAACGCGAACAGCTTGAGAAGCAGAAGGCGCGTCAACGCTACGAGAAACTGCATGCGGCTGGCAAAACAACCGAGGCGAAGGCCGACCTTGCCCGTCTTGCCCTCATCCGACAGCAGCGCGAGGAGGCTGCAGCCAAGCGCGAGGCAGAGAAGAAGGCAGCTGCCGATCTCTCCAAGAAACCACTGTCCAAGTAGTAGCATCAAAAACAACAACACCAGGAACAGCAGCAACAACTACAACACACAAGAAGGAAAAACAAGCAAAAAAATTAACAGTACAGAACATTAACAGTAACAGTAGCAGTAACGCAGGTCTGGCAACGTCGTCGTCGTCAGGCCAACAGGATGCGGATGTGGATGGAGTAGTAAATCAGCAGCAGCAGTCTGGCAACGGGAATTATGGCAATTCGCATTCAACTAGTTAAGTGTTCGAATTTCGAATATCCGCAAATGGACAGCAGCAACAACAACAACCACAGCAACAGCAGCGAATTTCTTTTGCGTGAATAGAGTAAAGAAATCTATTAACTATGCTAACTATTTATAAAGTGCAATTGCTATATATACAAATTATTTATGTCGATTTCACAACACTAACAACAACAAAATCAAAAACAAGCGCGTTTAGTTAAGATTTGCCAAAACTTTACTAAGCAAAAACATCTTTTCATAATTCTCTTCTTTTTTATATGCATTCTTTTTGTAACTGAGAATTGTATAAATAAATATACATGTAAAACATTCAACTTTGACTTTTGATAACTTTCCCAGTCGGTTATTACATATGCATATACTTATATATATATGAATATAAACTAATCCAAATAATTACAAATAAAATCCTTTGCTAAATGACGCCCCAAACCTCTTCGAAGGCGGTGCACAATTTGGAACAGGCAATCGCCGCCGATAACGGATAGTTGCTTATCGAGAATAGGTCCTCGGTGTAATCGGATTTTAGTACGCCGTGCGCGAAGGCGCCTATTACCATGACAACGGGTTCATTGTAGGTTGTGGTGCCCTCGTCGCCATGCGGCACCAAATCGCGACAATTGCTGATCAGTTTGCCCGAAAAGGACATTGCGTACTTTTTGCAGCCGACTGGCAAATGATCGGTTATCGGATTCTTGATGACGGCCATCAATCGACGCGACGAGTCACTGGCTCGAATCTGGAACTTGTGCAGCAGCTGAACCATCAAGCCCGCAAATCGTTTGAACGTACGCGGAATGCGCGTCTGAGGATTGATCTCGATGAGCACATTGTGCTCGGTGCGGACGAACACCTGCAGTAGCCCGGCCCGATTCAGCGGCGAGTCGAACAGCATCAGCAGGCACTGGTGGGTGATGTCCGGGCGGCAGGAGCCCGGATCTCTTTGATTTTTGCGCATAATGCCCGCATGATCGTCACAATTAAGCAGCTCAAATGTGCCGTGCACCTGTAATAATCAATTGTTCGATTATAGTTTGATATCGTTATCGTTATCATTATCCTGATACGCACCTTGACCGTTTCCAGCTGAGCGCCTTCGAGCACAATGATTAGACGCTTCTCTGTTGCGTTCAGGTGCAACACCTTGAAGTGCTTCTTGTCCAAATCGAATTCGGGATCATCGGATTTGCGGCCAACGAACTTGCGTTTGCGATTTATCATTTTCCCCTGGCCTCCCATAACAATAACTGCAGTTGTTGCTCCTTGCAACAAACAAATGAATGAAATGTGCACGCGGCTGCGGCAATAAAGATGTGCAACACATCGATAACGATACAGATTTATACATATCGCAGCTGATAAGCTCAACGTGCGTTAGCATAGCAATCGATAGTGCGCTGTTGTTGATATCGATATGAGGTATTTGTTTCGCATCTACATGCAATTTCAAATGTTAAGTTGCAAGAAATACGATTTAACTGCAAGGACTGCAAGTTGTTTATTCTTCTTCATTAATAATAAGAAACGTATCATTTATTTTGCCATTAAAAGTCCAAAGTTATGGTCTACCGTGACGTCATACAACCCCAGCCAAAGCTTTAACAGAGCCAACAAATGTTACGTTTTGCAGTCGATAACTGGGATAATGGAATATGCCATCACTAAAGATAATCGGCTGTATTTTGGTTGTTGACAAAGTTGGGACTCGTTTCGAACTTTAAATAAAACAAAACAAACAATTGACAATGGCTGCCGTTAGACGAGATATAGCCCCGTTCCTGCAACGCGTGCGTGCCTTCCTTCTGGGCGTAAGTATCTCCGATATCTTTCGAATTTTTCGCCACCTAATTTCTCCACTACGTTATGTAAGCTTGGATGTATTTTAAAATATTTTTTGTTTGCATATTTTCTTATGTGTATGTATGTGTAGCGGGAACATACCGTTGCGTTGCGCTTCGAGGATGGCCTCGCCGATCGCACGCAGCCCCAGCCGGAACTTCCCGACGGGCCCTCGCACATATATTCGGCCAATTATTATTGCACACGCGACGGCAGACGCGAGGTGCAGCCGCCAATCGATCTGGTGCAGCAGCAGAAAGTTCTTGATGCCAATGCTGGCGATGCCACCGCTGCTGCATCCAAAGCGAGCCAACAGCTGCTCCCCACACCCGGCAAGGTTTATGCCTGGGACTAGGAACTAGTTCGCAGATGGGGAACAAGTCAACAACAGAATTAACTGCACATCAAATGCATGCAGTCTGTGTTTATTAGTTTGTCTCCTTTTTTTTTTGCATAAGAATAAAAATATATAACTTAATACTGTGAGTGTGTGTTTTAGTGTGCGACAATAACTGTAATTGAAATTTTGAATTTCTCGCTCTCTCTCTCACTCTCTCTCTGGCATCTGGCAGCACCGGCAATCATTCCGTTAGCTGGTTGAATGATTGCTGTTTTAATATTATCAATTATTTTTGTTATTCCGTTACGCATCAGCTGATAAGTGATAACATCTGTTCCTGCTGCGCTCTCTCTCTCGTTTTCAGCTGGCTATCTCTGTTATGCCGATACCCTGGCCGCGTTCTTATCAAGCGAGCATTCTGATTCCCATACAACGTATAAACGAGAATCGAAAATAGTTATTAAAGCATATAACAAAACTGGATGCACTTTATTGACGCTGGCAATGCTTATAATAATATATATTGATCTATTATTTATTTAGGATTTATGTACAGGGTATTTAGTGACCGAACACTCGCCTTTTAGTTCATTCCTTCTTCGTGTTGTTATAAAACAGTTTGTAGTTTATGTCGCACTCGGTGTAGCTGTACATTTTATAATGCATTCAGATTCTGTCCCCCATTCGCAGTGGATTTGCTAGCATGGTAAGTAAATTAATTATTTGTTTAAATCATTTGCATTGCAAATAGGCGATGCAGTTGCCGATATCGATATGTTTCTATGTAAGCTGTATTAATGATATATATAATAATTGATTGGCATATTGTATATGAAAATATTATTATTATTATAATAGGTTTAACGCAGAAAATTCAGTCGACTGTTAAAACATTTACAGGATATTTGCCTTAAAAACATATTCATAATTTAAATATAAACGCACATTTAAATTTACACAGAAATCGGGTCGTTTTTCTTTCTTCCAATAAATTGTGTTAACGGAATAAGTATATTTGGAATTAATTTTGAATTATAGATTGAGAAATAATGTTGGTGATAATCGCAGTGATTGGTTTGCTAGTTTCGCTGCTGCGTCTGCTGTTGCAACTGTTGTGGCAGGAGCGAAAACAACGTGAGCAGTTGTCGAATTTGGCGCCCAACGTGTCCCAGTTGCCGCTAATTGGCGCCATCTGGCAGATGCGTGACTTTCAGCCGGACAGTGAGTGCTGAGATTTAATTACTCAATTACTTAATTAAATAACTAAGATTAATAATTTATTGGTAGATTTGCACGAGAAGTTTGCGGCATATGTGCGGCGTTATGGACGCAGCTTTGTGGCCACCACATGTGGACGCATCGTGCTGGTCACCTCGGATCCGGGCCATGTGGACGCGCTGCTGATGAGCAAACATCAGCTGCGCAAGGGCGTGCTGTATGGCGCCCTCACCAGTTGGCTGGGCAACGGACTCCTGCTCAGCCGTGGCGAGAGCTGGCATGCGATGCGGAAAATAATTACGCCCACTTTCCACTTTAGCATATTGGAACAATACATCGAAATCTTTGACAGACAGTCCAATATACTAGTGACCAAATTGAAGCCATTCGCTGCAGCTGCAGCTGCAGCAGATCCACGGGAAGCGATCAATATATATCCGCATGTGTGCCTGGCTGCGCTGGACATCATCAGCGAGGCGGCGATGGGCGTCTGCGTGAATGCCCAGCTCAATGTGGATGCGCCCGTGGTGCAAGCTGTCAAAGAGTATGCAAATTATTGCAAATACTATATATCACTTTATAAATATTCTATGTTTATCTACTAATAGCTGCTGACTGCTTCTCTTTCTCTCGCTCTCTCTCTTTTCAAAGCGTGACGAATATTTTGGCGACGCGTTTTATGCGTCCGCATTTGTTGCCGCCGCTGCTTTTCCGATTGCTTTGGCCCGCTGGCTATCGCAAGCAGATCGCTGGTCTCCAGTGTCTTCATCACTTTACCAACGCCATCATCGAGCGGCGTCGCCAACTCTTGGAGCAGCAACAACAGCTAAAGCAGGAGGCGCAGCAGTTGGGCAAAAGATTTGCCTTATTGGATACATTGTTACAGGCCCGCTTGGCTGGGGCATCTTTAACGGATGACCAGATACGGGACGAGGTGAGCACGTTCATCTTTGCCGGTCACGATACGACCACATCGGCTGTCTCCTTTTGCCTGTATCTGTTGTCGCGACACGCAACCATCCAGCAGCGTCTGTTCGAGGAACTTGCAGGATATTATGGCAAGGATTTGGAGCAACCGGTTTGCTACGGCGACTTTGCAGCACTGCCCTATTTGCATTGTGTCGTGAAGGAGTCGCTGCGTCTCTATCCTCCCATACCGGCAGTGAGTCGTTGCCTGGACAAGGATCTGCTGTTAGGCATGCATATCTATTGTAATATATCATTTTATATATTTATACAAAAATACCGATTTGTGTGTTGCAGGCGAGTCGCGGCTGCCGTCGGGCAGCAATGTGATTGTGCTGCTCTGGCAGCTGTTGCGCGATGAGCAGCTCTACGCGGATCCCCTACGCTTCTGGCCGGAAAGGCATTTGGATGCCGCCGGCAGAGATTACAATATACCGTTCAGTGCTGGGCCACGGAATTGCATTGGGCAGCGTTTCGCACTGCTCGAGCTGAAGACGATCGTCATCCGGATGCTGCGACATTTTGAGCTGTTGCCGCTCGGTCTCGATGTGAAGCCGTCCATTAAAATTGTGTTGCGTTCGGCGACTGGCGTCAACTTGGGCCTGAAACTGCGATCCAAAAACTAAACACACATCGCACTGTTATCGATTAATGGCATCGATCATTTTGTGTTAACACATTGCACACTCCTGTTGCGCTATCGATATAAATATGCATGATCGTCTTCATATCGGTAAGAATTGAGCTGGTACGTTAGTGACATCTAGTGTGGAAGAATGTCAAATAGGCAGCGCCACCTATCGGTCAACATGGAAAGAGAGTTGTAGGAGTAAGAGCGAGGATGAACGAAAACAAGAACAAAAAAAGAGAAAAGAGATAAAGGAAAAGGAAAAGGAGAAGGAGAAAGGCACCGCTACTCGCTCATAACCTATGTGATATCAGTGATGCGCAACAGTGATGCTCATGCTGTGAAGGACATTTTAGCTTACCGAAAATATTACCCATTTATAATTAGATAGTTTAGATAATTGATAATAAATCAAATAAAATATGCATGTGCAGCATGAATACATATGGAAATGAAGGCAGACAATACGATAGATGCGTCAAATCGACAACATCGCGGATAAATGATAAACCCAGCCTTTTATGGGCATGCGCACCTTTTCTAATGGCTCTAACGGGCTCTGAATGTGTGCGAAAGAAGCAGCTAATATTGCTTACGGATCATGCAGACCCATGAATGTGTGCGAATATAGCAGCAACACTCTATCCTCGTCCGTTTGTCTTTAAAAAACAGATTTGAAGTAGGTATTGGATTGGATTCGACCGTCGACTGTCGAATGTATTTTCCGCTTAGTGATAAAGCTATTTCATCTTGGATTTTTATTGCCATCAGAAATGGATTTAAAGATTTAAATTTATAGTATGCGTGACTTATATTCCAAAACTGGAAGCTTTCAACTTTTATAATCTTTGAGACGGAAATGACTAAATAGAGTCTGCTTTCTGCTTTTGTGGCTGATCAGGAATACAAATACTGTCAATTTTTGCACAGAATAAAACATATATAAAATTATCTACGCTGGATATTCTATATACGACAAATGACCGAGAAGAAATAATAAAAAAAAACGTGTCTCGTCACTCATTGATAGATCTAGCTTATTAATGGCTGAAAGAGTTATACAGTTATGTTTCAATCGATTTTCTATTGGATATTGCTGGATATTTGTACGCTCCAAATGCGATTTGCCCGTTTGCCCTTATAAAGTCGTGTTCTTGAAATTTACGCAACATTTGGCGCTTCTTTTGAGGCGCGTGATCTTGACGTTGATGTCGATGTCGATGGCGTCAACCTGCATCATTATCTATATATATATATATATATATATAGATATATATATATATATATATATACGCCACCCACCCATCCACCCCCTGTGCAACCCTCCACGCTGCTGCCCAACGCCCCTTAACGAATCGTTGTAAATGTCGTGTTCCGCCCACGCGACGAGGATCCAATGTGAGCGATTCTTAAGTGCGTCGTTCTACATCTAATTCCAATTCCATTCCAATTGTAAGAACTTCCAATTTGAGCAAAAGCAGAACGACATTCTGCCACACCAAGATCGCATTTTATGTCTATCTATGTGTGTGTATCTGTCTGTGTGTGTGTGTGATTGACTTTCATTTTGCTTATATCCGAGCTACTACAGATGCCAAAAGTGCGACTCAGCCAAGCATATAAAAGCGATGCGAAGACGCTTCGATGTTTCAGTTGCTTCCAAATTTTCGTGCACTCTTCAAGCTATTTTTTTTCTCGTTGTTGTTGTTGTTTCGAATCGACGCTCACAGAAAACAGACAAAAGCAAGCAAAGCTAGCAAAAAATAAAACAAAAAAAAAACGAAAAAAAATCCAAGAAAAAAAGCATAGAAAGATGTCTTACATTGGCAACGCCTCGGATTTGGAATGTGAAAAGAATGAGTTCCCAAGGCCGCGTCCTACGGGCATCGTCACCAAAATGGCCGCCCACAAGCTATCGTCGGAGCCAAAGTGGGCCGATAAGCGCGAGGATGATTCCGATTCGGAGGTCTCCTCGCCTGATAATTTCCTAACCAAAGGTGCTGCCTCAAAAAAAAACCAATCTCAAAATATAAATAAAGCAATTCTATATATATATTTTTTAATTTTTATATTTAGTATTTTTTGTTGTTTTTTTTTTTTAATCGCATGGTTTAAGAGTGATTGGATATTTACAGAGTGAAAGCTTAGAAGAAGCGTAAATTAAAGTAAAATAAATTGGCTTTTTCGTAATATATATATATTTTTTTAATAATAATTGCATGCCTAAGGAGTGAAAGGAGTTTTAAAAGTGAGAGCTAACCTAACATAAAGTTCATAATATCAACGAAGTAAAAAAAAAAGAAGAAGAGCTTTTTCTAACTTTTGATTAAGTATCATGTAGAAGATACACACATTGTTGAAAGCATGTAGTTCATGTCATAACATCGTTTACTAACTGAGGTCAAAATAAAATTCATCCGAACTTGCAGGGGCATTCCTATTGACACCCTCCTATGAACTATCCATGGAACGAGCTGCATTAATTTGCGAAAAAATGAGTTTCAAGGGATGTTTCAGCTTGACGAAAACCGCTACAGGAATTCTATTTAAATTCTCACATCCAGATGATTATCAGGCGGTCTTCAAGAAGGGTTTCCACAAAGTGACCGGTGCGCGTTTCTATCGCAAAGTAAGTCGGATTTTGTCAACTTGAGTCAACTATGGTCAATGGTCTATGGTCTAGTATGTATAGTATATTAACAGCCGTATATAGCAAGTAGAGTTGGGATTGGGATAAAAGCTCAACTCACATTTCTCAATTCCCCCGAAATACAAAAGAGGCATTCCTTATGCATTTTGTAAACTGTTTTCCAAAGTTGAATAGAAAAGTTTTCCTTATTTATCCCGATCCCATTTCTAGTAGCAAGATTTTCCTTCTCTCTCTCTCTCTCTCTCTCTTTGTCTCTTTCTTAATTTATCTGTATTCCCATCACACCCGCATGACTGTATTCTTTGAAATCTTTTGAAATATGAATATTTTAACATTTTTGCAGCAAACATTCTCGCGCAGTGTGAGTATTTGGCGACACATTGGCAGCTCCCACAACATATCATCGCCAATCCCAATAACAATAACAAGCTCATATCTCTCATCAAGTATATACATATGTGTATATATATATATGTTTGTGTACTAACCCAAGATACTCCAGATACATAAAATAATCATCATTCTGCGTGTATCTGTCAATCTTTCGTTACTTGTTGCGTGCGTGTTGCTTGTGTTTCTTCTGTCTGTGTTCCGATTTGTTTTGTTGATGATTCCTTGATAGATTGCCATACCATGTCGGCCACGGAAAACGTTCACGCTGTACGTGCTGGATGTGCCGGAGGATCTGCCCGTGGAGGATATACGTCATGCGATGTACAAGTTTGACTCGGTCGTTGAGGTGGTCCGCCTCCACATCTATTCGAGCCCAGGCCTGGGTGGCAGCAGTGGCGGCACTGGCAGCGGCGGCGGCGGCGGCGACAAGGGCGTTGAAGGTGAGCAGCTGACCCACAGCATCCAATCCCCGAGCATGAGCATGACCATGAGCACGAGCCTGAGCCCGGGCCAGACCCAGATGCAGACACTGCGCCGCGCGGCCATTAGAAGTAATTGTCCCAACCACACATTTCCGCTTCGCCGCATTTTGACGAGACACTCACAAAGTATCCATTGCCACACACATCTTGAATTTTTGCAGGCAGCAGTGCCAAGAGTGTCGTTGGCGGCATTGTGGGCGATGCCATCGAGAAGGCGGAGCGTCCGGAGCGCCGAGAATTGCCGCCAGCTGTAATACGTATCACACTGGCCTCCATGGATGAGTACAACATCTTGCTGCAGAACGGCCTCAACTTTTACGATGCCACATTCTTTCCCACTGATGCGAACATATCCCTAAAAGGCGCCAAAATCGATTACAAGCGTCGGTAAGAACACTCCTACGCCCCAACCCCCAACCCCCACCCACCGCCTCCCTGCCCCACCATCCCCTATATTGTGTTGAATTGTCAGTCAGGTTGCTGACATGTTTTCTACACTCGCAAAAATAATCGGCTTGAATTTTAGAAAATCGTCCTGAAATAATTTCTGAAACTAAGAAAAACATTTCTAAAAAGCTCGACAATTCCAAAAATGAGGTTTTTTTTTTTATATTTTAGAAATATGTTTCGAAAAACTAGAAATGCAAAACTGATCCTTGGAAAAAAAACCTATCTAAAATTCAGAAACAAGCAATGTAATTTAGTAGCTCGTCTTTTATATTAGAGCTTAAAAAACTGCTGAATTTTAGAAATATGCTTTCCGAATAGAAAGCTGAGTTGAGTTACACTTGGCCCCGAAAGACTGGCGAATTTCGAAAAATCAACGTAACATATTTTTTTTGCGAGTGTATAATGTATAATCATGTATAAACACTCTCGATGTCAGCCGCTCTGTTTATATCTATCTGTCTTTGGTAGCATGCTAGATGGGTCGATACCGGGGCGTGTGCGCGAACTGTTGCCCGTATTTGATGCAGCTGGCTTCTGCAAGCTGCCGCCGCCCACCAGCAAGCTAATTAAGCCGCCGAGGTCATAAGCGACAGCGACAGCGCCAACAATGATGACGACGACTAAGACGACCCCACATGTTCCGGCTAGATAAACAGCCAGCGGTCCGGTTCGAGTCGAGTCGAGTCGAGTCGGTCCCGAAACCAGCCTATCCAAACAACCCATGCCCAAACCCATATGACGACAGCAGCAGAAGCAGCAGCAGCAGCAGCGAATTCTCCATTTGATTTTCAACGGATGCTTGGAACGTTTCCGCTGCCAACAACAACCACAACAACAACATCTACATATATAATAATTCCTATTTTGGCTAAAAACAAAAACAAATCAAAAAAAACAAAACATTTTTTTTTTTCATCAGCTCTTTTTTCTTTTATGTGCGTTTATTTTATATTATATATATTTTTTTTTGCCTAGTTTTATTATTAAAGGCCCATAAAAGGCATAGCGTCTAATTTGTTTCGATTGTCTAACAACAAAAAATAAATAAAAATGAAAAACTCTTTTCAATGGCAAACGGAAATGAACTATTTGAATTTCAGTCTTCTACGACTACCAAATATGTATTTACTGGCTTCCTATCGTAACTTGTAAAAATCTATAACACTGACATCACATTTATATCATATATATATATATATATACACATACATACACATATTCAATGCATTTTCTTTGGGGAGCGGGCTAAAAAAGTGTGCTAAAAGCCTGCAATGAAAACAGTTCGATTCTATTTATGTTGGGAATGATATCATTAGTTACAATGATCGCTGGACGAGAGTCAACTCAACTTGTGGCTATACCTTGCCATAAACTGCCCCTGCTGGCATTTATATAGTGAATCTGAAGTCGTTAAACGATGCGTCTTACTCATGACATATCTATGGATTCTCGATGAACCCATTTTCATATTTCAAGTCATACGATTGAAATCGGGTTCATAGCTGACCTCATAAGCCTTGATAGAGTTGGTTCTTTTGAAAATCGATCAGTATTTGCCACAGTTGTAGCTAAAAAAGCACAGCTCTGCCGTATCCTTAAGGATATGGTAATGACACATATTCTTATATTGTATACAAAAATTCGCAAGAAAAATTGAGAAATATCTATAAAACAGAGGATCTAACTTGCCATTTCAAGGACATTCTGGATATCCTAGCGTTTCGAATAAGGTAGTAAAAAGGACGAAGTCTTTCAAACCGTTGAAAAAACGGTCTTATTATCAAACACAAAATGATATATAGCTTGGTCAATTTCTTTCCGAACCATTCGAGTTTGTAATTTTTTGATTTCGAGTGAAATTGGATTCTTCGCGGTCCCCATAATCCCTGAATGCACTTCGATAAAGCAACATGTCCTGTACAAATCTATAAAGATATGTCCGAGCTAAAGGAAATCAACTTGGCGCCCCCAAAACTATGCCACAATTTTTCATGTTTGCAATTTTGCCAATCCAACAACCTGAAAAGCAAAGAATGACGAACAAAAACACAAGTTTTTTGTTTATTTGCATTTTGACATTCACTAAAAATCAATATATACTCACCTAATATAAATATAAATAAATAAATAATAAAATAAATATATAAATATTATTGTTAAACTTGAATTTAATTTGCATTGCTCTTGGGACTTACTTTGGCAGGTTAATGGCTCTCCGGATGTAGAATGTAGAATGTATGCAAATATTTGAGATGATGTCATTTGTGTTGTATTCGGAAGAAGAAGAAATTGTGACAGTGTTGCAAATTGGCTTAATACTTTTTGCTTTTTGTTTATTTTTGCACTTTATTTAGGTAATTGATTTAGGTATACATAATAGATCTTGATTGATTTAACAAACAAAATTTGTTGCACAAAGTATAACACAAAGACATTTTTTCACACACACACACACGCACACACACACACATGTAAGTGTATATGTGTATGCGTGTGTGTGTGTGTATATATATATGTCGTATATAGAATATACATATAAATATTCTCATAAGCATATAATTTACCATACTACAGAATGTCTTGTATATAATAAGTAATAATTGATTTAAAGCATATAAGTAGTATGTGTGTATGTATATACATACTATAAAGTATATATGTACACATTTACACACATATATAAAATACATGCATGTATGTATGTGTATATGCATAGGTATAGTATGTTTATCATATAAGTAGTATATATATATATATAGTCTGTTTAGGAAATACTCATAGAATATAAACGAATCGATCATGAATTCGTCAATTAGTTGTGGTTTTTATTATTGTTGTTGTTTTCTCGCTTGTTTTTTGTTTTTTTTTTTTTGTTGTTGTTGTGATTGTTTCTTTGATTATTGGAAGAAGCGTCGCAGAGCGACAAAACAGCAAAAAAAATTATGTATATTATAAAAAAAAACTGTATCATATATGTTAATAAAGAGGAGTAATAATAATCAACGTTTAACAAACAAAAAAATATTGGATAATAAAATACGCATACACACATACGCTCGCTCGCACACACCCACACACACACACACACAATCACACACACACAAGCACACACACACACACACACACAGGCACACAAAGACACAGAAGAGCACAGGCTAAAAATGTGCATGGAAAGATTTAAGAGAAAGTTCAGAAAATAGCGACACAGACGAGGACGACGATGCGAAGGACACGCAATATTAGTATGCAAATTATACTTATTGTAATTGTTGTTTGCTTGTTTGTTTGTTTCTTTTGTTTAATACACGGTGTGAACAATGTTATCCTTCTCGACAAGTAGTCGAACTTTCATGCAGCCATCGGAGCCGCAGGAGAAGAGACGACCAAACGGATCCACATACACCTGGCTAACACCCTGGCCGGTGTGCTTAAAGAATCCATTCTTGGCATGCTCATGGGGGAACGTATTGATTAGCATGAACTGGTTCATGTCCCATATCTATAATCAGATCGAATACTCATTGATATGCTATATACAATGTGAATGTGTACAGTATGTGGACGCACCTTAATATCGCCCTCGATGGAGCCAGTGACAAAGAACTCCTCGTGCGGATCCAGCGCAATGCACTTAATGGTGCTATCGTGTGCCTGTACAAGGATTCAAATTCCAATTCAAATGGCATATTGGGGACTAATTGCAAATCACCACTCACCTGATAGCGATGCCGCAGTGTGCGCTGACGCACATCAAAGACGCAAACGTCGCCGCGCTTGCCGCACGAGATGAGCACCTGGTGCTGTGGCGCAAAGACCAAACAGGACGAGCCCTGGTCATGACACGTGAAGGCTATGTGCAAATATAAAAAAATAAATAAATAATATATACGGTATATGATTTTCTTAATCTTAGCCAGACTCCAGCTAAAGGCTGAAGCGGAAAGGATTACTTACCCGAAACACAGGACTTCTTGTGCGGCAGCAGTGTGTCCCAGATGTTTATGTTCTTGTTCTCGGAACTTTGTCCAGCTGAGGCAAGTAAATCAAGTAAATTTCAAGTTAACAAGTCTTTAAAGTTATATCAAAGAGGACGAGAAATTTATCCACTTACCGCTGGCTAACAAGCTGCATGAGCCGAGGAAAACGAAATCGGAGAGCGCCTTATTGTGGCACTGATAAGTCTGCGGATGGCAACAACGGATAATACAATTAATAATGCATACTACTACTACTACTACTACTACTACTGCACTCACTATAAAGGAGCGATTGTGCTGGGAGGCGATGCCCGCCTGCCACAGACTCAGGTTGCCGTCGCCATCGCCGATGCCAAACTTATTGCCCTGCTCGGAGAAGCGACAGCGGGTGACCTTGGCAAAGGTGCCGGAGGTGCGCGGACAGCAGACTGGCTGCTGGTGGCCCCACTCCCAAATCTGCACGGATCCATCCTGGCCGCCAGTCAGATAGAGCGGCATCAACGGATGCGCACTCATCCGCTTCACATTGTCCACCTTGTGGCGCAGCACCTGCAAAAGATGCCAAAGATATATAATAATGATATATCTAAGCGACATAGCGAGGTCCTCAAGGACTCACCATCGATGTGCCGCGTCCCGACTGTGAGGCGCTCTGTGTGGTTGCGCTGGCTTCACTGTACGCACTTCCCGTACCGAATTGGGCCCTATTTTAAATTGGAGCAGAGATTTGAATTGAATGCGACTTCTGTGTGTGTGATGGAAGAGATGTCAACTCACTGGTCCTGCGACTGGATAATAAGGAAGGAGGAACTGTTGGTGTCCGCATCTTTCGAGAGGTTCATCATATCGTAGTCGCACTCATCCTCATACCAATTGGGCGATTCCAGCAGCAGCGATATATCGAACTCCTGTATCTCCCGCGGATTCGCAAACGCGATCATCGATGAGCTGTTGTTCTTCAAGCAGAACGTGAGAATCGATTCGTGATCCTTGTGTATGATTCGTATGTGGTCTGTGTTCTCGTTCGTCGAATGTGATTGACCTACAAACATCGAGAGAGAAACAGAGAGAGAGAGAGAGAGCGAGAGAGACAGAAAGAAACACATGAAACAGAGAGAGAAAGAGAGAGAGTATTTAGTATCAATATGCTTATGACAGAGATAATGGAGCTATAGCTATCCAAAAAAAAAAAAAAAATGTTAATTTCAAATAAATTATTGCAGTCGCTTTGCAAATTACTTGCAAAAATAAGAATTTACTTGTTAATAGAATTAAATACATTTTCTTCTTCATTCATCTATAAAGAAAGTAATTCATAATTTTTATAAACTATAGTTTCAAATTTTTAAATCAATTTCAAAATTAAATTTTAAGCTCAAAATTAGTTTAGTATTTGAATGTTGCATTTTGCGAGAGATCACTGTACGCTGTCGTACACAGAACGTAGCGTTGCAATGTTAAGGCCACAATGTTAAGCAACTAATGTTAGTCTTGGTCTTGACACCGGAGGTGTTAATCACTTTCAATTTGCAGCCTCTTTAGATTACGGTATCTTATCGGAGTTGTTGATATTGCCTTTAGGCTGTTACACATTTAACAGTGTCCCGGCAAGCAGTCGCCACAGAGTTAACAGAGCCAAGCAGTTCAGTGTTATCGATTAACAACTGATATTTGCACAGATAATGTGTGATAATCTCTGCTCTAATTAACAACTGTAAATACGTTTTCGCAAATACGTTTTTTTGTTGATATAAAAACAAGGTAGGTGTTTATGTAAAACAACAACAATAATATAATCAAAAATATAATTTCTGTTTCAGTTTTTAATACATTTCACTGGTATAATACCATATTCAGTAATACGAGAACATCTCAACAATAATCACACATTTCGATAATCGTTTCAAAAAGAAAACAAAAAGATTCGACACAACAAAACTAATTAAAAAATTACATAAATATCGTAATTTAATGCATAAGAAGCAGAAAAAGAAGAAACAAAGTCGAATCTCTTTTAAAACGATCATACGAAATATGTTTATAAAATTAATTCATGCCTAAAATTAAGTAACATCTGCCACCTGAATTAACTATTAACTACGATTGAATTAACTATTAACTACGATTAACTATTAAAACCAAACAACAAAACAACAACATATCAAACATTATATACATTATATATATAAGTTGAATAGATTGCGAATCATTTTCGCAACTTATAGCATTGGTTTGTAATTCAATTAATCAATCAACCCGTGCTGTTAAGCTGATTAAATGATTCTGCATATAAAACACAATAAAGTTTTTTTTTTGTTGATTGTCAATAGGAAAATAGACTAATTAATTATCAACAATATATACATATATATATATAAATATATACGTATATAAATTTAGTGTATTGTAAATATACTTCTCTAGGTGTGTGTGTGTATGTGTGTGTGTGTGTGGATGTGTGTGTGTGGCGGAGGGTGGAAGAGGGGATTGGGAATTTGTTGAATCAGAGGAATTTGCAACAACAACAACTATAATAGCAACATTTTGGAACGAAATACACACCTTCATCGGTGTCGTTGTCGTGCTGATTGGTGTGATGTGAGCTGCGTGCGCTGGGCTCGGTACTCTTGCCAAAGATGCTCTTGATGAATACCTCCTGGGTGGGCTCCTGGCGCACCAGATAATTCCATAGACGGCGTATCGGGCCGGCGGCGGACCCCGAAATGAACGGTGTATTATCCTTGTTGAGTAGCGATCGATATTTGTGTATGCCCAGGCCACTGATGCCGCTTTCCGCCGAGCAGCCGGGTATATAGTGGCGCGACGGTGGACCCCGGCTTATCAAATCACTCAGCGCGAAATCCTGCCAGCGATTCAGGGTGCGCAGCACCTCATGCGACAATGGACTAATCACGGGCAGATCTATACCACAATAATAAAGTAGAGCAAAAAAAAAAGAAAGAAAAAAACAATATGTATTTGACATGTGAGGAGATTAAGAAGAGATTTGGCGTTAGCTCACCTTGCAGCTCGATGCCGGCGACTTTGACAAACTCTTGAATCTTATAGGTGCTAAACTTGATGAGTGCCAGTCGCAGAATACTCCACGAATAGGACATGGCATTGGTGTGCTCCGTATTGTCTTTGGCCTTCAATTGCGAGCGACTCACATTGACATCATCATCGTCATCGTCCTCCTCCTCGCCATCCGACTCGTGCGAGTCATCCGTGTCGTATTCATCGCAATCTACAACAATATTTAATTATACCATATATACATACATATATGATGATTGAAAAATATATATACCAATGTTGTTTGGCTTGGCCAGGAAGTAGGAGAGCATCGATGTCTCGGGCGGCATAAATTGTTCCCTGTACGTCGGCTTGTCCTCCTTCATGTTGCTGGAGGTGCTGTTCTGACTGAAGCTGCCCAGTATCTTCATATTGAGCTTCATGCGTTGCTTTGTTATCGATGTGACCGTGTTCCAAACGCTATTCTCATCCGCTGTCTCCTCTGCTGCGCCACCGTTGCTGCCACCAGTCAGCTGTGCCTGCCCCTGCGCCTGTACAGCGTGTGGCTGGGAGGCCGGCTTGATGAGCAGCTTCTTCATGCCGCCACCAAAAAGCGTTGACCAGGTGTCATTGGTGAAATTCTGCCCGCTCAAACGGTAGAGCAGACGACTGTCGCAGGTGGAGAGCGAGTAGATGAACAGGGCCATGTACGTGGACACAAAGGATTCGAGCAGCAGTACATTCAGCTTGGGCACATCCTCATCCTTCTCCCGGGCGAGCAGTGCACGCAAATTGGTGACACCCGGCCACTTGGAGGGCGTTGTACAGATGCCAGCCGGCTCATCCGTGGAGTACTTGCGACGTCGGGTGAACGCATTGCGGCTGCCAACAAGATAGCTGCACTCAAAGGACGAATTGATCTTGGCAATGTTCTCCATGCCCGGACTGGGATAGCCATTGATCATTGAATTATTGACCACAAAGCTCTCCGAATCGCACAGCGACTGGTAGATGCATGAGGAGAGTGCCACAGCCAGATCGCGCAGCACAAAGATCTCGCTGAGGGCGCTCGATTCGATGCCCGGAAATGGCAACAGCTTAATGATGCTTTGCAGCATGTCCACCGTCTGCGACTGCAGATACTTGATGGGATCGGCAATTACCGTTTTGTTGCCGGCCACGCAGGCGCTCAGCAATGGCAACGTTGTGGGAAACGGCAGTGGGCTGAGCAGCTGCTGTTGGGTCTTCTCCTGCTGCAGCTCCTGCAGCAATAATACTAACTCCATTCGCACCGATGCCAAACCTCCGCCGCTGGCGCCATGTAGCGAACAGTAGCTAAGCAGTGTTCGTAAGAGCGTCTCGTTGGCTGCAAGATAAGAGAAGCAAATTTAGGATTAGGATTCAGCTTTAACTAAGCAGCGGATGCAGTTTTCAGTTACCTTTGAGCCAGCGCTTGCGTTTGGCGGCACGCATCACCTTGGCCTCAAAGTCCTGCTTGTCCTGCATGAGGATCTCGTGGAGCGTGGGCCGCTCTGTGCTGGGATAGATGCTGGCGTTCATGTCCTTGTCCTTGGCATCGCCGGCATCTGGGTCGCCGGCATCGTTGGCCTGCTCGGAGCTGCAATAGTTGCAGAGCTGCTTCAGTGCCTCCACCTCGCGCTCAAGCCACATGTAGAGCTGATAGCGCAGCTGGCCGCCATCCACCTCGAAGCCGGTGGCCAGCGTTGACAGCTCCTCCATGAGGATCTTGAGGCAGGCCACAAATTTCAACTGTTGTGCCATGATGTCCATTTTGCAATCACCTTGGACGGCATTGGCCAAGCATTTGTTGAGACCACCGGGCTGTGGAGTGACCAGATCAGGGTCATCATTGTCCCTGTTATTCGCGTTGTCGTTGTCCTTATCCCCATTCTCGTCGTCATCGTCATCGTCATCGTCCCACTTGATCTCGAATTTGGCCTCCGTGATGCCGGCTGAAGCTGGAGCACCCCAATCGAATTGATCGGCGGTGGCTTGTGTGGTGGGATTCTTCTGCCACTGATCCATGATGCCCGTGTTGATGAGATTGGTGTCGGTGTCGGGCACCTGGCTGCCAGCTATGCTGCAGGTGGAGGCAGCACTGTCGCTATCGCTAATCTTCATGGGCAGCTTATTGAGCACCTCGAGCGCCAGAGCCGGGCAACCGGACTTGAAGTGTCCATGGGCCGTTGTGAAGTACAGCTGCCGTTCGATCGGCGTTATTGAATCCTCCAGCTGCAGCTGCTTATCGCTGGCAACCGCTCGCGATTCGCCCGCATAGCTAAACCCGGAGAGGACAACGTGAGCGATGCGCTTCTCCTGCGCCGATATCGCAATATTCTGCCGGATGAGCAGCGGATGAGTTCGCAAATAAATGTAGAAGTTGAAGACATTCGGATTGGCATGAGGCAACTCCGGTCGCAACAGATCCTCCTCCCGATAGCTGGCGTGCAGACTGCCGACACCGTTGAGTAGCAGCGTATTGAGGCTCTCCTGATACTTTTTGATGTTCCAGTACGTCATGGAGCGCAGAAACGGATCCGGATGCGCCCGCGTCAAATCACAGCGACCCGTCTCCACATCCGTGCCGAGGACATGCTCGTGCAACAGCCGATGATAGTAACAGCCCTCGACATCGCCCTCGTACAATCGTGCTATGATCAGCGCCAGCTGGAAGTCCTCCAGCTTATTGATGCACACCTCGATGGCATCGTTGAGCGAATTGGCCAGCAGAAAGAAGGCGACAGCATGCTCGAATCTCTGCTTACCCAGCAGCACGAAGGCATTCTTGAGGGCCGCCTTTCGCCAGCGATCCTCGGCAAAGTTATTGCCAAAGAACGCGGTCATCTTCTCGTCCCGCATCGACCGGAACAGGCCCCACACAAGAGACTTCTTCTTCATGGCCAGATAATAGATGGCCGCATCCAATGGATCCTGCTTGAGCTGATAGGCGCACTTGGCCAGCTTCTCGACGCATCGCCTCAGCGTATTAATGTTCTTCAGCCAGTAGCCGACGCCCAGGTCCCGCAGCGTTGCCCAACGCAAATCACCTTTGGTGTAGCTGGGTATCAGATGCAGTAGCTCCTCCTCGCCCTCGGAGTGATAGGCCCACACAATATTGGCGGTGCCGACGCCCTGGCGCTGGAATTGAGCACGCTGCTGCAGCGGCAGGCAACGGAGCAGATAGGTGAAGTGCTTCATGGCGAGCAGGAAGCGCAGGCCGCAATCGTCCAGCGATTCGGTGCCCGGTTGCTGTTCCTTGCCCAAACCAGCACCAGACGACATGCCAGCGATGCCGCCGCCGCTGCCACCACCAGCGACACTTCCGCCACCCTGCCCCTTGCCCACATCGGTGGCGGCAAACTTGTCCGAGAAATCGGTGTTGCAAGTGGCCACCGTGTCGGCCAAAGCGAGCAGATGCATCTGATCCAGCGACGACAGACCCGGCAGATGTGTGTGCGTCAGCAGGCGAGACAAGAGCTGACCCTGGCGGGGACCAAAATGCGAAATGGATTGCTTATCGGGCAGCGAGAGACGACGCTCCTGTCGCTTCTGTTCGCCATCGCTGAGCAGCTCATCGAGATTGTCATCCGAGTTGTGCATGTCGAAGAGCTCATCGTAATCCTTGTCGCTCTCCGCCGCGTTCGGCCCCTTGCCCGGCTGCTCTCGATCCGCATTGAGCAGCACCCACAATGGCAGCGGCGGTATCGAATTGATCTCGGCATAGTCGAGCATCAGCTCCTCGGGTATTTGGGTGGTGCTGCCGCGATGCTCCGCCTGTAGGTTGCTCGTGTCCGCCGCATAGCTGATGCTGAGCGTACGTGATCTTGACCAGCTGCGCTGTCGTCCGCCGCCAGCGCCGCCACCAGCACCACCGCCGGCGCCGCCACCACTGCTGCCATCATCATCGTTTGGCAGACCGCTGGCGGCGCCAACACCGCCACTGCCACTCATGCAACGAACGAGATGCGCCAGTATGGCCTTCACCCAGCGAATCTTGCCACAATTGAGCAGTTCCATCAGCTGCTTGGGATGATACTGTGGCAGCACAGGACACGCAATCCGTGATGCTTGAAACAGCCCGAAATCGGTCATGTAATCATCATTGGGCGGCGCATCGCCAGAGAAACCGGCTGCCGCATCCTGGCTAGAAATACCACCGCTACCGCCCCCATTCATATTGGCCATGCTGGGATTGGCGGCGAGGCGACGTTGCGACAACAATTGTAGATTGGCGGTGCTCACTTTGCTAATCAGTGGCATGGAAGCGACATTCTTTAGCCGCAGCTGCGTGGACTCATTGGCCAGCGAACGGAGATCCTCGTCGCGCAAATTGCGCGTATCGGGCACATCCTCGGCCAAGGCAGCAGCCGCCGCCGGTGACATAAAGTGGGCACCATAATGCGGCTTCCACTGCGAATAAACGTGCATCTCGGAGTCCATGGCAACGACCAGAATGCCATCACGCACCCAAGAGATTTGCATCGGTAGCGGCGGCAGGCCATCTGCCGTTTGCAAATCAATCTGTCGCAGCTTCATCCAGCGTATCTCATCCACGAAGTTGGGCTGTGCCAGGGAGCTGGCCTTGCGCAGAATTGGTCGATTCACCGAACGTGACTCCTTCATCGCTTTGATGTTAGCCTGGGCAATGTCTGAGCTGACGGGAGTGTACAACAGAATCTTGCTGCCGACAGCAACGGTAAGGATGTGTGAACCGTCTTCCTTGGATACCCAGTCGAGTTGCACCAGATGCTTCTGGGTGAGCGGACATGTGTTGCCATTCTCGGCGATGCTCTTCCTCAGCGATTGCAGCGTGCTGAAACTGGGCACAGTCAATAGGCCGGAGACCGCAGCAGCCGATGATTGCTTGCCAACCGTTGTCAGTTCGGGTGTGGTTTCACCGCTGCGCGGCGAACGATTTTCCGGATCGTGGGCAAAATTGTGGAGAACCTGGTTGAGTCGTTGCTTCTTGGCCAGGAGTCGGCTGTCGTGCAGATAACTCAGATCGATGCCGTGGCCAATGTTGATGCGCGGCAAGTGGACATTCTTCAGATGAATTGTGTCCTCGAGCACCCATTCGCTGCCGCCGGAACTCTCGCACTCGTAGATTGCGACACAAAGATTGACGTAACGTGAATCGGGATCACCACGATTGGGACGAGTGAAACTCTTGCCGTATTTGTACGCACAGGCAATGCGGCCGGAGTAGGCGGCACTGATGTTCAGCGGCTGGCCGGGTATCTCAATGGCCGAGTGCTGGACGCGACTAAACATCTTCCACTCGGACCAGTGATAGGCATCGCTATCGACGGGTTCGCATTTCCAGAATCTCGATATCGAATCGGAGCAGGCGGTCACAATGATGTACGGTGCAAAGCAGGCGGGATAAATGCTCGAGCTGCTCAAATGGCCAGCGGCCGGTGAGGCATGAATGACATCGACGCCCTCCGGTAACGGTAGCTCCTGGGTGCACACCTTCTTCGTTGTTATCGAGATGTGTGGCGCTTCCACTTGCGGCCCAAAATGCTCGGCACCAGTTAGGGTCTCGGCACTCTGCGACATGCGACGCGGCTGATCCTGATCATCGGGTTCCTGGGTCAGATTCGAGTCCGGCACATACATGGCCGTCTCGGATAGGAAGGAGCTCTGCTGCTTCGAGCTGATGACAATGCGCCACATGTGGATGGTGCTGCCGCGCAACGTCTTCTCGATGTTCACAATGTAGAAGGGCTCCTCGAAGTCCACGTTGCGCTGCAGATCAACAATTGCATCCATATCGGACTCCAGCAGTGCATTCATCTTCGGCTCCTCCAGATCATTCATTTCCGGCGCCATTGCTGTACGCTGGCCACCCGTAATTAGCTGCGCCTGAAACACGTGCAGAAACTGTGTGTTCTGCCAGTCGTGTTTGGCATCCGAGATGGCATCCAGCTGCAGGATGCAGCCGGGCCGTGCCGTCGATTGCTGGGAGACGACCTTAAGCTTGTCGTGCAATGCCGAACGTGTCGCCTTCATTGTCGAGGACGCATTCGAGATCATCGAGGATAGCGAATGCGATTTGTGCAGCGTATTCAGATTCTCCGAGCACGAGATCTCTGCGAGCAGTGTGCGTGCATCGATGACCGCCTGATAGACGCGCAAATTCTCACCATCGCTGGCCACAAAGCAGGCCGAGGGCGAATTGCTGTAGCTGCCCAGCGTTGTGCTTGGCAGGAGCGTCGGTATCCAGGCCACATTGCTAAACGCGGATATTTCCGGTGAATTGATCCGTGCCAGTTCACTGACACCACCCGAATGACAGAGTGGACCCACCGAATCGACGCGCCACAATATCAGCTCCGAGCAGAAACCCGTCGGTGTAAAGATGTCCTTGTCGCCATTGACTGAGGTAGGAGTACCACCTCCACCTCCAGCCCCAACACCATTACCACCACCAGGATTAGTGCCACCCATAGCCAGTCCAGCGGCAGCTGAGCCGCCGGCAAGTGGTTGCTCAAAGGGTGACATGGGCGATTTGGCCTCCGCACTGTCCGGCAAATTGTGATGCGAGGTGGAGACGAGCAGCGGCAACACCGGATGGCAGGTGATGTCATTCACACGGAAGCGATGACCCGAGGCACGGCTCACATGACCGATGCTTAATACTTGGGTGAACTTTGTCTTGAACGCAAACGTCAGCTGCCAGAGATTGAGGGTACCGTTCGAGTGTTTTGTCACCATCGAAACGGATGGTGAAACATTCAGTGGAAGTGCGGAGCCAACGGCGGCACCAGCTGAATCCTGTGAGCTGCTGCTTGCAGCGCCAGCAGCGCTTCGATCGCCCCCATCCTCCTGCTGCTTGTCGTCATCTTCGTTTTGTTGATCCTGATCCAGCTGCTGCTGCCTGGCCGTCTGGTCGTTATCATCCTCATCCTGTTCGTCATGCTTGTCGAGATTTTGATCGCTGCGCAATGAATTCTGATCGCTGCCGCCAGCCTTGTGGAACTCATCCTTGCTGCGCACATTGTTGGCAATGTCGCGAAACGCAAGCGGATGTGTGCCCGTATTGAATAGACTGACCGTTGTCGACATGGACATGGCATCGCCCAGCGGGAATGCCGATGGTATACGCGTCGAAAACGATACCTGTGCTTGTCTGTACGAGCCCGGATAGTAGTCATCCAGCCACTCAATGACCCAAATCAAATAGCTCCCATCCACGGGATGGATGGCAAAGAGCAGATCTGGACTCTGATGCCAGTCGCGCAACAGACACTCAATCTTATTGTCCAGCGAGTCCGTCAGCTGTGTGATAGGATTATGCTGATCGTTGTTCAGCGAATTCTGCGATGTCGTATTCGACATGGAGTTCAAATGCAGGCCGGCACCAGTGGCGGCCGTGTGCTGTGAATACTTACTGAACTCCTCGCCGCTATCGTCCACCGATACGGACTTGGAGTTGCGCATGAATTTCTTGTGCGGCGGCGGCTGTGCATCGTCGGGCAGATCAACGCCGGCCGTTGGTTGAGCCGAACTGTGATGGCCTGTATGGTTGCCATTCTCCTCGTCGATGACCTTTTTGGTTAGCTCCTGGAGTATGGCCTCCGCTTGGAGGGTGAAATGCATTTCCTTGTTGTTCAGCCAGTGCAGGATGAAGACATTTTGATTGGCCGGATCCGAGGTTTGCATTGACGGTACCAGCGGTATGTCCGTCTCGGCATTAATCGATGCCGCCAAATGGAAATGCATGCCGGGCGTAACACCGGATCCCTGGAACCCATACGAATGGAAGTCGTGGACGCTGCACGACGATGGCAACGATGGTATCGGACCCTGGTAATTACTAAAGCTCGCCGGTGAGCTGCCCAGGCCCATTGTGGCGCCACTGGAGCCAATACCAACGCCTCCGAGCATGGCCAATCCACCGGGTCCGGTACCGGAAGCTGTTACAGCATTACCATGGGCGCCCGCCTTCATGTGGCGACGCAGATGGAAACAGGTCTTCATATGCTTCAGACGTTGCATGAATCGATGCTTGTGGCGATGGGTGCGAAACTTGGGATTTTGGGAAGCGAGCGGATCGAATTGTGTCATATTGACCATGCCATCGTCCGGCAGCACCGTCTCAATCCAAATGCGACAGATGTTGTCCAGGCAGGAGGTCACCAGCATATTGGCCACCGAACCCTTCGGCATATACTTGCTCGTCTTCCGCCACACAATGTTGGAGACGGCGCGCGGATGCGCAATATAAACGTATGTGAAATTTAAATCGCCAACACAACCTAATCCCGATCCGGCTGATGCTGCTGCATCGTGTGCCATGCCGCTGCTGTTGCTCGATTTGGCTGGGAATAGCACCTGCTTGTTCTCGTACCAGATCTTGACTAGACGATCGTTGCGGCCGCAGGTGGCAAACAGGGTGCCATCGGGACTAAATGCCATATGATAAATGGGTATCGCCGTCTGGCACGACCAGATATTCTCCCACGTCGACACATCATCCGACTGACCATTCTGTGTGCTCTGCTTTGTCTCCTTGCTCTCGCCAATTTCGAATTTGACACCTGCAAGGGAAACAATAACAACGATTAATAAACGCTGCAAAGCTGTTAGGAGCTGTTGCAAATAGTTGTTGCCAACATTATCAACATTCCGAAGCCACTTTCACTTTCGATTGTAGTTCTTACATACGTTATTCATATCATAGAACAGAATCTCACACAATAAGGAGACTAAGACATATTTAGGAAACGACGTGCAGTGTTATCAAAAATATTATATAAATTTGATCTCTAGCTCTCCCACGTTACACCTTAAATGGGCACAAAGAGGTGCCTCTCTTTGTCTCTCTTGTGTCTGTCTTTCAGTGTGCAGCATGCTGTAGCGCAAACTTACCCGTGTGCTCCTCCTCTTGCTGGTGTAGGGGCGATTTGCTCTTCCAGAGCTGTATATTGGTGCCGCCGGTTAGGAGACGCGTGCCCTCCAAATTCCAAGACAATGTGACCACATTTGAGTGGCTGGTAAACGAGCCCGTTTGCACCCATCTGCAAGGAATGAATATAGTTCAAGACCAGATCACAGCGATCAGTCGACTCGACTCTGGGTGGCCAACTTACCTGTAGTCCAGAAAATGTGTGTTATGCTTGCTGGACTCAATCACCGGCGTTGGCTCAAAAATGCATATCTTGTTCTCATAGGCGGCGGCTATTTTGCCGGTGTCGGTGCTGCAGTCCAGTGCCGATATCTTCACATAGCCATGATTGGCACCCGGTATGATCTGGACGCGCTCGAATGTGCTCGCCAATATCACCACATTGCAGCCGGCAGCATATGCCTAAAAAAACATAGCAAATTATCAAAATAGTTCAAACTAATTCATATATATAGAAAAAAAGAAACTCATATCAATAGAAGTCACGGTAGACAATATAGCAAATTATCAAAATACTTAAAACTAATTCGCATGTATAGAAAGAAAAAAAGAAACTCATATCAATAGAAGTCACATGATAAATGTTAAGAAAACCCATTAGGCAGTATACGCCATAATAAGCATTATATAATATCTACGCGACTGAAATAAATACACCATTAAGATAACAATCGATTAAGTGTGTAATCACAGCTAAAACAATGACTAATTGGTAACTAAAGTATTTCTAGAATTAATCCTAAAATTCCACATAGAAATTCTAAGTTATTAATGATGAAGCTTAGAGATGTGAACTATGATTCTAACTCTTTGTAGAGAAAGGCCAAGGATTTTACAAATACGTTTCACAGCTGAACTAGGACAAGGCCAAGAATCTCATGGGAGGATGTGCCAGTTAAATGGGAGGGGGATTGGGTTGCCATACAAAGTGATGTAAGAGAACACAAAGTGAGAAAAAAAAAACCAATAGATATATATGCAAATTGACAGGCGATAAATGAGTTGATAAATGGCTGGGGATGACCAAGTTTGAACAGAGATAAATGTAGTCTGACATGGACCGAAACTCATATGCATGCAAATTACACAAAACAAAAAATCCCCCAACCCCATTCGAAAATTGAGGTGGGCGGTAATTTCTAGTTTGAACGCGTGCCACAAATCTAATTTAAACCAATTTGGATTGATTCCGGAAAGCACAGGAAAGGTTCAGTTTTTTACACAAAAAAATAAAATAAATAAATGAATAAAATTACTAACTCGTTTCATGCCCTTGAATAATCATCCCTCTGGCTCCCCCCCTCCCTCTATATATCTCTCTCTGTCTCTCTCACACTCTCTCTGTCTCTATTTCTCGTGCTCACGTGCTCTTGAGTCGTTATCTTGGCTAATTGTTAGTTATGGTTGTTGTTGTTGGTTTTAGCTTGGTTAGTTCTAGCTGGTAAAATGTGCCTGCGCAAGGGGCTGTTTCTGTTTCACAGATATGTATAAATACATTTATATATAAATATAAATATATATATATATATGTGTGTTCATTATCTTCAGTAGGAGCCAAGATATGGCTGCGGATATTTTCTTGCATGAGGCCCCTGCTGCTGCATGCAATGCTGAATGCTATGACACTCGGTCACTCGCCACTTACCCATGGCCAGAGGGCGCCACTCTATGTACAAGTGTGTGCGTGTGTTTTCAAGTTCAGCTACGCCCGTGCCTATTTCTTAATATTGATGTTGTTGTTGTTGCTACACAAACAACATACATACATAAATATATACATATGTGTTTATAAATATTATAAATATACACTCAGTATAATACAATAATTGAAATGATGGCATTTAGTTAAATGAATGGGTGGCAATGTCAACAGCAGCGGCTCGCAGCTCATTACAGAATATAATGCAGATATGTACACACTGTACACACAAACCCACACACACATGTGCAGCTGTTCTTGTTGTTAAAAATGAAATTTTGCCAGCCGAATGAAGAGAGTTGGGGAAGGAAGGCAGGCAGCCAGTGTTGCCATACACACACACTTATTATTATATTTATTCTTTAGTTATTGACCGTGCACAGTTAATTATGCTTGTGACTTTGTTAAATTACATACATAGAGAGAGAGAGGAGGAGAGAGAAAGAGCAGAAATGAAAAACAGACCTCAAGAATTAGCGGTAAGCAAATAAACGCAAACAGTGCACAAGCAACGAGAGTCCGGATGGGAGGGAGGGGGGAGGGGTTGTGGTGCCGTTGTCGTTAGTAATTAATATTTGATATATGTATATACATGTACACACTGTACACTCACAAACACATATATATGATCATAAAAATAAACATAAAATAAAATGAACGACTCCACACCAGAGACAGTATCTACCCCCCTCTCCCTTCCCCACCACAACACACTAAAAAATATAAATGCGTGCTCACGACAAAATTTTTGCAGCATGTTTTATGGCCAGTTTATAATTTATTTTCTATTGGCGTTTGCTCGTTTGTTCACATTTGTTATTATTATATTTGGAGAGGATTTCGGTTTTGGGTTTCGATTTCAATTTGTACTGAAAATTAAACTGAACGCGTTCATCAGAATATCGAATTTTGTTTAGCCACAAAAATATCCAAATAAATATACAATATTTGGCTAGACAAAATTCGATATTCTGATAGACGTATTCATTTCAATTTTCAGTGCAAATCGAATTCCAATCCAACCATAATTATATATATATATATATATATATATATATATATATATGTATATATATATATATATATATATAATCTATATATGTTTGTTTGTTTATCGAATTTAGGGCATCAAAGGCCATATGACCAATCGAATAATATATGTATGTTGTGTGTGTGTCTGTATGTGTGTGAGAGGCTTGTTTACAGCAGCAGCAGCACTTGACCTTTAAGTGTAATTAAAAGCCACAAAACATGTTAATATTTCATTGATTTTAAATCGAAGCAGCAATCACAACTCCCCTTTCCCTAATCCTTCCTTGTTTGCAGACAACAACGGCAACAAGAACAAGAAGAAGACTGAAGCAACAACAAACAGCTGAAACAGCTAACAGCACTTGCTAGTTGTTGTTGCTATCGAATTTACACAAAAAAAATTCATTGTAGCTCATCAGTTGCTTTTGATTAAATTGACAGCATGACAAGCATCACATTTATTTATATGCGCTCCTGCTCACATACATGCATACAAAAGCACAAGGTGCAAAATATGTAAATAAAAACATTAAAAAAATATTTGTGTATTCCAATTGGGAATTCGCAAAAACCCCAGCCGTGTTGGAAAATGTGTAGATATGTATGTATGTGCCACAAGTCCGTACCCTTAAGTACTAAGCGTACCTATATAAATACATGTACATATGTACCAATCTATATACACACGTAAGCCGTCAGTCATATATGTACGATGTTTTCGTGTGTGTGCGCAGGTTGTACAATATGATGGATGCGTGATAAAAACGAAAACGAACAAAAAAAAAAACAAAAAAAAACTTGGCAATATAGTAATCGTAATCGGTCGTATTCTTACTGTAAAAGGTATGCCTTCCACGGAGCCAATTGCGAAGCACCGGTCACCTGCATTGCAGGCACCGCTTAATATTTGATGACAATTCATTATTTGTTACAATTGGATATCACATCACAGCGCACAAAGTAATATTCTTGGTTCTTTGGTTTGGTTACTAGCACGATTTTTTCTTTGTAAAACGACAACAAAGTGATGAGTGACATTACATAAAAATGTAGGCCAAATAGTGATGGACGCTATCGACTGGTGCTATCGAAATGAGCGTGTGTGCAGTGTGTAACAACGTTAACAAGCACTTGCTATCGCTTGCACAACTCTACGCTTATTCCCATACGTTCATCGATAGTAAGCACTCTATGTGAAATTGCTGTCGTTCTAACAATATATCGTGTGCAGAATATCGATATGGTATCGATAATTGCGGCCCTGCGCCCTGAACTACAACCCTGGCAAGCGAAACGCCGTGAATGGTTTGACTGCTTGCATGGAGAACTAATTGTATTTGTTAATTTTGTTGATCGTGTGTAAGTTTGACGAATACTCTTCTAATAGCAAAATGGCCGCAGGTCCAATTGCCGAACGCAACCAAGGTAGGCCGCATACATAACATACTTTTGCCATCAAATAACATATTTTGCATCTAGATGCCACCATTTATGCCGGCGGCCTGGACGACAAAGTATCCGAGACGTTGCTATGGGAACTCTTCGTGCAAGCCGGTCCAGTGGGTAAGCAGTGAACTTCATCCAAAAGTAAACAATACGACAATGCGTTTCTCTCTGCTTAGTCAATGTGCACATGCCCAAGGATCGGGTCACACAAATGCATCAGGGCTATGGGTTTGTGGAGTTCCTCAGCGAGGAGGATGCCGATTATGCCATTAAAATAATGAACATGATCAAGCTTTATGGCAAACCGATACGCGTCAATAAGGCGTCGGCACATCAAAAGAATCTGGACGTGGGCGCCAACATTTTCATTGGCAACCTGGACGTTGAGGTGGACGAGAAGCTGCTGTATGACACATTCTCAGCATTTGGTGTCATCCTGCAGACGCCAAAGATTATGCGCGATCCGGAGACGGGGAAATCAAAGGGATTCGCATTCATAAATTTTGCCAGCTTTGAGGCTAGCGATGCCGCCATGGACGCGATGAATGGCCAATATCTCTGCAATCGTCCCATCTCCGTTTCGTATGCGTTCAAAAAGGATCACAAAGGCGAACGTCATGGTTCCGCCGCCGAACGACTGTTGGCAGCACAAAATCCATCCGCACACGCGGATCGACCGCATCAGTTGTTCGCCGATGCGCCCGTACAGAATATGATGCCGGTGATGGGTGGGCAAATGATGCCGCCACCGATGATGGCACCGCCACCGCCAGTGATGGCCGTCTCATCGAATAACATGGGTATGATAGCGCCGCCGCCGCCGGTGCCGCAGCCGACACCATATCCGCCATCAATACCACCGCCACCGTTACCACCAATGGGCGGCGGGCAGCCGCCACTGCCGCCAGCGATGGGTATTCCGCCGCCGCCACGCATGCTCCAGCCGCCAAATGCATGGGCACCGCCCGGTATGCCGGTGCCGCCGCCACGTCCACCACCAACGAACTGGCGTCCGCCGCCCGGCGCCTTTGCGCCGACGCCATTCTCACGTCCCTACCAACCAGATGGCTATCAGTACTAAGTCCAACATCTAGTTATACAATTTAAAAGTGACCGAAATAAATCCTAAAATCCAAATCAAAAGCATTGTTTGTACGCAAATGAAAAATGAGCTGAGCTGAATGCTTGTTTTGATTTGTTTGTGCGTATATAGCTTATATGAGTAAAGCTGATCTATGGATAGATCGTCACTTTCGAGAAGTACAGCATGAAAATAGGCAGCAACCATTGAGATTTATATCGAAATTTATCCATATTTCCATTTATTATTTATATTATCCACATCAACCATATAGATGCTGGGTATTAAAGCCCCTTACAAAGTCTGAAATATAAACGTAACTTAGCCTGAGGCTTAGAATAGATGCATGCATCATATGCTTGGAATGCGTGAGCCAATTGAGATTGGGACGAACACACAAGGAGTACAACGGATAATTAGCACCATGAATGAATGGATTGCTCCAATACTATATTATATATAATATTTTATTGCAATATTTGCTATGCTATTGCACCACCTTGCGATAGGTGGCGTCCATCAGGTGATCTACGAGTTTGTCAATGGGATGCACAATTAAAGGTATGCTTGCCAGTCCAATGATCGTTGGCACTGTTTTCAGAACAAATCCTGGTGAATTTCTCAGCAACATACGACTGGCCGCCGTAATCCTGTCAAGGATTGAGTGAGAGAGGGAAACTGTCAATCGGGAATAATATGTAAATATATATTTACCGATTAATGGTCAGGCCCGGAATTATGACGGAGGCGAACATTTGCCAAGTGAATACATCTGCACCAACTAGCGCCACCTCGCGGTCGGTGGCGCCGGCCATTCTCTGACGCAGGGACTTGTCAAACGTATCGGTGCAAACATATCCAATGGCCATGCCGTAGGAAGCGGCCACAATCGATTTGGGCACTAGCGGGCGAAACGCTTCGCCCACCTCGTTGCTATAGCCTGCAAAAATTGCCAGATAGCTATTAAGTTTGATAGGAAAGGCACTCGCAGCTCGGAGGCAGCTTACCCATATAGCGTATGAATGTGTCTCGATATATGTCTACATCTTTTTTCTCACTTGTTGCTTCTACGACACTCGTTGTTGGCGGTGTGTCGGTGGCCATTATCAACCGATTTAAGTTGGCACTTAGTTGCGTAATGACTAATGGTCATTTAAATAACATTCAAAACGGCTCCACTTTGTATATATATCGTTGTAATAATCGCGGTCTGGCAACTCTTGTCGGAGTTGATAACGTCAATCGATATTTCTTATCGATTGGCCGCCACAATCTATCACATACACGTCAAGCGTATCATGGTTCATTTTTTTTGTCGTGAGCGTGCGTGCGAGTTTTTTTTTAAATCAAAAATATCCTTGAATTAGCCACATTTAATTGGAGTAAGTTTTGTTTTCCTCTTTGTTATTTTTTGTGCATTGTCAACATTAGTTCGCACAGCAATGCGGCATCAGCAGACGTGCAATTGTTGTAAAAGACGCGCGCGCGGCAAATAGCCAGCCACAAGCCACACAAACACAAACACACACGCTGACACATGCACATTATTACATTTACCAACACAGACACATTCAGATGATGCAAAAAACACAAACAACTCGCAAGAAAATTGTTGAAGCCGCAAATTTCCTATCGTTTATTTATTTATTTTCATTCCGTTTGTGTTGTTTATGTTTTCAGTACGTTATTGGCAGCGTCGCGAAGCGTGTTAGCAAACTTTTGCGCCAGGCGACGTGCAGTTTGGAGCAGCAGGTGCAGGTGCGGGTGAAAACGACGCTTTCATATCCAATCCGGCTGGCTTCTCGACGGCACAACGATTGTTGTTGCGGGTGCCATCATGTCCGATTACAGCGATCTCGATCGCCAGATCGAGCAGCTGAAACGCTGCGAGATTATCAAAGAGAACGAAGTGAAGGGCCTATGCGCCAAGGCTCGCGAAATCCTTGTTGAAGAGGGCAATGTGCAGCGCGTCGATTCACCGGTAACCGTCTGCGGCGACATTCACGGTCAGTTCTATGACCTCAAGGAGCTGTTCAAGGTGGGCGGCGATGTGCCCGAGAAGAATTATCTGTTCATGGGTGATTTTGTCGATCGCGGCTATTACAGCGTCGAGACATTCCTGCTGCTGTTGGCGCTTAAAGTTCGCTATCCGGATCGCATTACGCTGATCCGGGGTAATCATGAATCTCGTCAGATCACCCAGGTGTATGGGTTCTATGATGAGTGCCTGCGCAAATATGGCTCGACAGCCGTTTGGCGATATTGCACAGAAATCTTCGATTATCTCAGCCTATCTGCCATCATCGATGGCAAGATATTTTGCGTGCATGGCGGCTTATCGCCATCGATACAGTATTTGGATCAGATACGCAGCATCGATCGCAAACAGGAGGTGCCCCACGACGGGCCCATGTGCGATCTGCTGTGGAGTGATCCCGAGGATCAGACTGGCTGGGGTGTATCACCGCGCGGCGCCGGCTACCTCTTTGGCTCCGATGTCGTCTCACAGTTCAATCGGACCAACGATATCGATATGATCTGTCGCGCCCATCAGCTGGTGATGGAAGGCTTCAAATGGCACTTTAACGAAACGGTGCTCACCGTTTGGTCAGCGCCCAACTATTGCTATCGGTAAGCAATGCTGCATGTACCCAACAACAACTCATTCAATTATTGCAATCTCTTTTTTTATGTTCAGATGCGGCAATGTGGCCGCCATTTTGGAATTAAATGAGTACCTGCATCGTGACTTTGTCATCTTTGAGGCGGCTCCGCAAGAGAGTCGCGGCATACCATCAAAGAAGCCACAGGCCGACTACTTCCTCTAGACGAAGCAATGGCATCGCATACACACACACACACACACACACACACGCAACCACAACGTAGCTGTAACATTGATAACTGCCTGCCTGCCTCAAGCAAATGAAATTAATCAACTATATACAATTAACACATATTTAAGGCCACAGTGACAACAACCAGCAACCAACAGCAACATCCACACCTCAACACATGAACACCCATCAGCCATCAGCCATCACACACATTAAGCACATATTGCATATTGTCCGTTCTTTAACTGGTGTCCTTTTTTGGTTGTCTTCTGAACATAGCTGATTAGCTGATTACTATTAGATCTAGAACCCCAATTCCATTACAAAGATGTTGTGGGAAAACGGGGAAATTGCATTCTGGGCGGCATGGAGCACACACACATTTTTAGTTTGTAAGTAAGGCATTAATTAGCTCTCCAGTCAGTTTTCAGGCTCGGCACTCGAACAAATCCAAAACGTGGAAATTGTGACCGCAAAACGTAATCATAAATAAAAACCAACATCAACAGAGAACGCATTGTAATAATTCAAATGTGTGGCCATTAAGGAGATGTCCTAATTAACAACTTGTGCAGGGATTTGTATCATCACATCCCCACCCCACACCCCTCCCCCTCATACACACACAACAACAACAATTTATACATAAATACATTCACCAATATCTATGTATCTATATATATATATATATATCCATATATATATATATGTATATATATACATAAATACCGATATTTACAAATATAACTTTGTAAGCTAGTACGTACCACTATATATATATATATATATCTATATATATATGAAAAAAGGCATTTTTTCTTAAGGACCACCATAGGGATGTCGATGTGGATTACCCCTTTCGACTCCTGACATGCGATTTGTCTGCAGTTTGCGCAATTTATTCGCATTTACACTTAGCAACTAAACGTGTAGCATATTAAGTTAACAAAAAAACAAGACGGAAGAAGAGTTGATCATGCGACGCTTGGTGGAGAGTGGTTTGAGTTGAATCCTTGGTCCTTGGTTGCCGTTTAGTGCTCATCCAGAGCCAGGCCATGCTCCTGCATATGCTCCAAGAAGCAGCTCTGATAGGCAACAGCCGCATCGCAGCTGAGGATTGGCGAAAAAGCATTTGAAGCTTTATCTAAGAAGAAGCCACTTTTAGTGGTCACTACTCACTGATCCTCGGGCACCTCGATGGTCTCGCAGGTGTCAATTATTTCGGCGCCAGCTGCCTCCTTATCGGCATCGTCCTTGCTCATCAGTTTGACCAGCTCCAGGGCGTGCTCCTTGCTCAGCTTGCCAGCGTCATCCATCTAAAGAAGGTTTTTCAATACAAAACATAATTTGGGAAAGAGAATCTCATCTTGCTAACAAAGCTGAACTTCTTCATCATGCAGGCGCGGAGGCACTTGCTCTCGTGTGAATCCGCTGGCTCATGCTTCATCATGCTCTCCACTTCCTCTGCAATGCAGGAGATATATATAGTAATATAGTGAAATTGGCTTATACAATAATAATCTACCATCTGTGGCACCCGTCTCCGTTTTGCACTCTTGGGCCTTCTGTCCGGCGAGCTCCTTGTTGTACACCTCGTGCGGCTTGGCAGACACAGCTATCGCAGCGGATAGGAGCAAGATCATTGCCAGGCAAACAAAACGTGACATGTTTGCTTGTTTTTGTTATTGTTTTCTTGTTGATTGCTAGACGAACGACGACGACCGGCGACTTGGATGCGGACTGCTGGCGATGCCGGTGTTTTATATAGCTGGGATTTGGTCTCTCGACAATAATCACAACTGATTGACTTGACAGATTGTGCGAAACGTCTCCCATCTCTCTCAAGCAATTAATCGCAATTATTATTGGCAATTGGCATGGGAGGCAATTGCACTACATGGGCACCACATGACACTCGATCTGGGCGAGATCCGGCGACGGAGATGCCCTCCGCTGGGCGACGTGTGAAATAAAAAATTGCCACTCGCAGTTGACTCCCCCAATGACTGACTGACTGACAGTCTGACTGCCTTACGCCATGTGTTATTACATGTTTAATTGGCGACTGGCATGAAATCAAACACAAACTCAATCGAAATGTGAAAATCCCAAATCCGTTCAAAATTGTTGATCTCTGTGATTGACTACGAGTGACAGACAGCGACGGGGTTGAGGACGAGAACAGCTGAGAGATGAGGTCAGTCATCAATGCAATTTTTTACACGTCTCAATATGACTTATCTGATATCTACATCGATTCTAGATGGACATCGAGAGCAAGTATGCCTGACTAGCGTATGCCCTGCAAATATGTGCAACGAACAAAAAAAGAACCCGTTTCAACTAATTTACATGATTCCACTATTCTTCTTCTTCTCGCTGCAAAGCACCGTGTGTGCGTGTGTGTGTGTTTGTACTTAATCATATTGCAGTGGTGTAAAATACCTACTGTGTTAACAGTTACAAGCTGTTTGCCATGTGTGTGTGTGTGTGTGTTGCAGTTGCTCCACTCGTATTTACGTTTGTTTGTGTGTATGAGTGCACTGCAATTAAATTTGTTGATTTGCGTGTTTTTGGCTTGGCAATGGCTAATTACAGCAAATACAATGATAAATGTGGAACGTGACTTGGAATTACTGTTGACTGCTGACCATCAAAATTTATTACACCAACTGAGTGCAGGGCTGATACCGTTATTTATGTATGTGTGTGTGTTTCTAATTTAAGGCGCTTGCCTGTCAATTAAAGTGTTGAAAAGTGTAATTAATTTATGAGTGTGTACATACAGCTGCGTTCAAAATAATGCATATCTTTTGGAAAATGTTGCCAAAAATTATGAAAAAAAATTTTTGAACTAAAGCCATCAATATTGAAGATAAGTAAATATTAAAAGATGAATTAGCTATAATATTATTAACAAAAAAAAATGTAAAGTGTTTAAGTAATAATATTAAAGCTTTCTTAGCTTTCTCTGGGTTAAATAATACTTCGAACAACTAGATAGGATGACTGGGTGTATTAATATGTATATATGTATATTGTGTTAATATATATCATTAGAAATATCCTGATCGTCGGTGTACCGTTGGAATGTTTAAATGGCATATCATCGTCTCACAGACCTCCTCGGTCTCCGTATTAGTAAACCACTTTTGGATTCGATCGAGCTCTAAATGCTCATCGATTTCTTCAATTGTTAATTCTAATTTATTAATTATAAGGTATTTTTGGATAATATGAAGGTCTTTCATGGTTTGCATTCTATTAAGCAGCAGTACTATTATTTTGAACACAACTGTATAAAAATATGTGCAGTTAAAATGCAGTTATAGTTGCTGAATTGCGCATTTTGAGATAGTTTTTTTTTTTCGGGGAATGACAATGTAAGAAACTTGAACTTGGGTCGCTTTGATAGCGACAGCGTCAGCAGAGATTTTGAAGATGTGGGAAGGTCAACTGTTCAATGTGCTCCATATAAAAGCGAACGCAATCTGGAGCAGAACCAGAAGATATGATAATGATGATAATGATGCGTTTGGAGCTGCTCTTACTAGTCTCTGCACTAACCGGCTGCATTCAGGCACAGAGCAAGACGGTCTTCGATCTCAGTCGCCTGTTTGGTGCACGGAACAATGAGCCGCTGACAAAGCTGCTGGACCGCAATTTGCCGGAAGTGCAGCAGTTGATCGACAGGACGAAGGAGACCTGTCTCGAGAAGCTGGATATGCCGCCATCTCAGCGATCCCTGATGCGCGTCACGAGTCCCAGCGAGCAGGAGAAACTACTCATCGAGTGTGTCCTCAAGGGCATTAAAATTGTAAGTGAATTTAAATGTTAATTCAAATGTAATCTAACCGATAATTCAAATATTTCCTGGCAGATGGACAGCAGCAGCAACCGGTTGAATTTGCACCGTGTGCAAGAGCTGACCAGCATGGTGACTGATGACAACAAGCTGGCCATGGCAGTCAGCAGCAGCATGGCCCAGAACTGCAATCGTTCAATTCTCACAAAGAGTTCCTCCGAGGCAGCCCATCAGCTCAACCAGTGCATCAGTCGCCAACTGGAGCGCAATATGATACAGCTGAGCTGGTAACTGCGTGACTTAAATTGTTCCAGTTGTCGCAGATTGAGTTCTACTTGTTTATTGTGCTGTGCATGTCCTCGAATCAGGAATCAAGAATTTTTCAACCAATTTAAATATCTAATACAAATACAAATACACTAAGAAAAAAAAAACAACAAAAATGTGATTGAAGCTGGGTTCTCCCACGGGAGCTGGGAGCTGGAGCTGGGAGCTTGACAACTACTCCTTTATATTGGGTATTTTGTAGTCGGCGTTGCGCATCTCATTCAGCATGCACATGGAGATGAAATGAGCCACCTCGCACCTAGACAGAGGAGGGAGTAATAAGGATTCATTCTATCTCTCTTTCTCTCTATCTATACTTACTCATCGCTAACGTCGGTGACCGCCAGATTGCATTTGCTCATAATTATCTTGGATTGGTCTTCCTTATCGGAGAACATCATGTTCATCATTTCGTTGGTCTTTGCCTCGTTGAACTGCGTTGTGCCCTCGGGCATCAGATCAAACTGTTTCAGCAGGCAGCGTCTCAAGCATTTGCTCTCATGCGATGCATCCTCCTTGTTCAGCACCATCTCCTCAAAGTGACCTGCGAGACGAATTTTGTTTAGGTTTTAATGCGATTTCAATTGACAATCTGTTGAGACTCTCACTTTGCTCCGGCTTCGGGTCGCAGCCCTGACCAAAGGGCTCAATCATCTCGACTACCTCCTGCAGCGTCATGCTGTCGTCGTCCTCGGCATGGACCAGGCTCAGCCAGGCACCGGCACAGGCCAGCACCAGCAGGACGCTCAACCAGGTATGTTGCTGCTGTTTCTCCATCTGTGTCATTCTGCTACTGCTGTTAATGATGTACGTGGTTGTGGTACTTGTTCTGGTTCTGGTTCTGTTGGTTACTCCTCCTTGTTGCTTACGCTGTGTTGTATTTGCCAGCGATGCCGCACCTTTTTATAGCTTGCCAACGCTCCACATCCGGCGGCCAACATGCGAGCATTACTCGAAAACAGATCACAGATCGCAGATCGCCGGATGGCACAGCATTTTCAACATTTCCATGTTCACCAGAGAGATTAATGCAATCGATTGCCGGATTTGGGGCTTGTAACTGTAACTCTGTCTGTCGACGTCTAAACTCGGTTAGCTCGCTGGCATCCAATCAAAATACGACACGGAAATAAATATGAACATTGATCGCATATATATCGCTTCTAAAAATTAGCAAATTTCAAAATACCTAGCAGGCAGAAGGTAGCATCTGTGACTCCATAATGTACATGTATATATACATATATATATATATACATATTCTTGATCAGCAACAAAAGTCCAGTCGTCTTAGCTCTCGATATCCCTCCGTCTATCCGATATCACCAACTCAAATTTAGACTATAAGTTCTCATTTGATATTGGTTTGGGTTTTATAATATTGGCGTAAAGTTTACAACGCATTGAAACAGTGAACTATATATATTCCTGATCAGCATTATATGCATATGTTTAAGGCGGTTCGGATTACCATGTCAAAGAACTGCTATTGGAACAATCAGTCGAAAGATCTGTTCTTTCAATAATTTAGATGATGGATATTTTCTCAGGGACTACCAGCTTATGTAATTTATTCACAAGAAACTAAAATTAATCGTCAATTAGTATTGGGAATTTTAAAGCGACAAACATTCTTTATATAGATATCGGTCGCTTAGGGGAAAATAAATATTTCAATCGTGCCCACAAAGCAGGTGAGAAGCGCATGGGCGGCATCGCAGTTGTTTTTGATGCCAGCGCCGGCATCCTTGCACTCGCTGAGGCCCCTGCGATAGGAGGCTTTGTAGTGATCCGGCATGAGCAGCTCCACCTGCTTGAGCGATGACTCCAGCTGGAATTTGCCCTTCTTTATCTGTGGATGACGAGAGATGTGCACTTGTGGCAGATAGTAGCTGCACTTTTACTGACCGTTTGCATCATCTCCATGACGCAGTTCATGTAGCATTTGGCATCCTTGTCGTTGGGCAGTCTGCCCTCATGGATGTCATCGGCAATAGCCACCGACACCTTGGGGAACTTGGGCAAGCACACGTCACGCATTAGCTTACCGGCGGCCCACATCTGCTCCTCGGTGGCCTGCAATTGCAAATATTGAGCAAATCACAAATGGCACTTAGAAATCCGATCCTTGCGTACTCCGGACCAACAGAGTGGCAAACCCATCAGGAAGCTAACGAACAGCAGTTGTATGTATTTCATGGCTCCAGCTCTACTTATGATTGAAGAGATTACAGTTTTTATGCAACTTTTATACGATTGCAATTGTCATTTGCATTCGCATTCCCATTTAAATGAATTGTACGTTTGTCTGGCTGTCTGTCTGTCTGGCTGTGTCTCTGTCGTCGCCTAGGCCAGCCCCTTGGGGGATCATTAGGCCATAATACCATATAATCATTGCCCAACAATTGGCATGGAATAAGGATTGCCTTATTGTTCAGGCCATTGGGACACGCCATATTGGGGTAGGACCAGTAGCACCATCAATTCCATTCATCCACCCACCATCATCACCACAGCTACTCATCAATCTACTGAAATATTTATAACTATAATGGAAACGAATGAATTATAATTAGTCGCAACTGGTTTCGCCCATTCCGCCACTTGATGCTACACATACATGTATATTTTGATTCGGTGCAACACGCAAGGCTCAGCAAGATTGGAGGGGCTTGGATTGCCACAGCAAAAACCGAAAAAAAATCGTCATTTTACATATTCAAATACTTAATCAGATTTGTAAATTCGAGGGCACTTTAAAAAATGTTTAAATTGAATTCGAAAATGAAATTTAGTTTCAGAAAATGAATTTGCTTTTATTTGCTGCCGCTTCTTGTCTACTAAAACAGTCTTTATTTGAATGTGCTTCTCGCATGACTTATTTTCTACTAAATCACACTTTACTTAATACGCGTCTCGATACGATTATTTTTTACTAAAATACTCTTTAGTTAAAGGATGCTTCTCGCTTTCCTTTTTTCTTCTATGACGCTCTTTAGGTGAATGTGCTTCTCGCTTAGCTTCTCTTCACTCTAAATTCACGTCTCGGTCTCCATCGTGTATACTAAGATATGGCAAGGACCATATACATATTTCCCTTCTATTCTCAGTAAGTTCTCCTTCAATTTCCTCATCACTTCCAGACTCGCTTCTCCTATTAAATCGCTTTTCACTTCATTGCATGCCAAGCATTCCATTTGTTGAAGTGATTGAGCTGTAAGTGGAGATAAATGTTCGTGACCTGGCCAAATAATATAGTACTTAACACATTTGCAATCGACTTGCCGTAATCACATGGTATATCTACCACTTATTTATTCAGAAAGTGTGTGTACATATATCTAGTCATTATATATTACCTGTAGTCAGTTCGAAAAACTTTTTATTTTTATTAATTCTATATACGAATTTGCTTTGTGTGATGAAGCCAAAAATTATAATATCGTATTTCAAGATGACAACTGTCAAGCATCTAAAATTCTATTTCGACTTACAACTTCCCATCAGACTGAATATCCGAATCCGAGTAGGCCATTCCGTTAGGAGTCCAAAAAGAAATCATATGTCGAAAAGTGTATTAAGCAAATTTAACGAAAACATTGTGGAAATCGTTAAAATTATTTCACTTTTCAATTGAAATCGATTTAATTGGGATAAATAGACGCATTTCTCATTCTCATTTTCAGGATGCCGGGTCAGTTCAATTTCAAGGAGCTCTTCAATAGCAATACTGTGCGCGGACGTGCCAACGTAAGTCAGATTTTTTCTATCTATGCCAAGGCCTAGCTTACGCCTCATCCAACTCGAATCACAGTGTGCCAAGGCCACATGGGCCTCTGTGGGTCTCATTTATGTCCTGGTGAAGATGCATCGCTACAACGCTGAGCTTCGCGAATCCGCCAAATACTGCAAGGGATGCCAGCGAAAGATGTGCACTTAACGTCCAAGTCGCCTTCAATCATGCTTAATCTTCGCTTTAACTTGGAAATGTTATCTCAAATCTATTGTGTTCTGTTCGGTTCAGCCTGTTAATAAAACTATTTCGTGTTTTGAGCAACGACAATTTGAATGTCCTTTGGCCAGTTGATAGCTCTAGTCAGTGGGTATTTAAGTGATGGAAACGCCAAGCTTTCATTAATATTTGCATTTTATTTCAGATGTTTGCAATTTTGTATATTTTTTGTTTGTTTGTATTTTGGTGTTTTTTTTTGTTTGTTTTTGTTTTTTTTTTTTATTTATTTTTTTATTTTGCATTTGTTTTTGCGGGAAACACACAACTAGAATTGATCATCATTAGCATATTATTATTTTGTATAGCATTATCTCAGTATCAGTAAACATTCATAGTTAGTATATAATATCAATAATCTTATCAACAGCATCGGGCAGCAGCTGCCAACGGTAAGCTAAGTAAGCATATATGTGTAAGTGTATCTTTATGTTTATAAATGTATGTATGTATGTATGAATGCGTGTATGTATATGTATATGTATTTGTTTATATTTATGTATGTATAGGCATGTGTACGTGTGAGATTCCGTGGACTTTTTTAACTAACATTTATGCAATATGGAAATAACATTTAATTAACTTTTGTTTGCTTAATATGCATATTTTTGGTTTCATATCTCTCTCTACTTATCACTATCTTTCACGCTCTCCCTCTTTCTCTCATTCTGTGTATCTCTCTGTTTCGGTCTATCGTTCTGTCTTTGTCCGTTTCAAGTGTCTCTTGTCCAAATAATGTGCAATTGCCAATCGACAAATCGATTGAGCAGCTAATCATCTAATCTAATGCGTTTTAAGTGCGCTTATCATGTTGTATGTGTAATTTGTTGTGTGTAATTTATTTGTTGTGGGCAGCAGCAGGAGCAGCAGCAGCAGCAGCAGCAGTAGCAGCAGCAGCAGCAGCAAAAGCAGCAGTTTCCTCTTATCCCTTATATCCCATTTCGATTCATTGATCCAGCGTTGGTTCGTTGATTTAGCCATCGTGACTGGCAACCGACTCCAGATCGCTATTATCCTCGCTGCCAGTCGCCTCGGTGGGTTCGCCCATGGCCACACGGGCATATTCATCCGTATCGATGCTCTTGCAGAAATGAATCGCATACTTCAGCTTCTCCAGCAGCACGGCCTGTAAAATAACGAACATAGAGTTAAAATTTGATGGTCAATGGTCAATGGTCATATTATTACCTTGCAGGAGTAGCGCGGCATTTTGAGCAGAAAGAAACACGTGTAGCTTTCGGGCAGAAAATGATCGGGCGGATTCTTCTCGAGCACCTGCAGCACAAAGTCGCGTCCCCGGAAATCGGCAATGGTGCGCGGCAGTCGTGTACGGCCCCAAACAAAGCGCAAGAACAGCGAACGTTCCTGAACATCAATTACGATATCAATATTTAAATAAATGTTCGTTCAACTTGAATATTTATTATTTCTTACCTGATTGGTAAACTCCTCCATGACGTCCCAGAACCAACCGACTAGCGCCGAACCGGGATCGAAGCCCTTGTAGGTGGCCACCGATTTGAGCAGGCCGAGCGGAATGTCCGGTGAGCCGCAGACCATCGCTTGTAGCTCAGCGGCGGAGAAGAGCGAGAGTAGCGGCACTGGTATAACCTTGGACATGCCGTCGCGTACCGCCTTCACCTGCTCATCAAACTCGTGCAGTCGAAAGCCGAGCGCCAAGCGAACGTATTCGGATCGATTTCGCGGCGAGATGTGGGTATATCTGGTGGATAGAGGCACTTCGTGACCACGCGCCGACGATGTCGAGAACGGCAGCTCCAGTGTGTTGAAGAGCTTAGCATCGTCGTCCATATTACGGATACAGAGCAGCCCGGCCACATAGTCACGATCGACCTCGGTGAGATCTGTTGGCCGCAATGCCTCGCCAGTCAGCTGCCGCCACACAGGCTCCGCCAGGCTACAAAAGAGATCAGACATCCAGCATTAGTTGAGGCACAATCAATTCAAATCGAAATGTTTTCATTTTCAATTCAAAAACTTACTTCAGACTGAGTGGTGAGCCGGTGCGCACGGCAATGCCCATGAGGACGCCAAGGAAGCGGAACATGTTCATCTGTAGGACGGAGGTGAGCGTCGGATCTAGTAGAAAGCAGTCGCGATTGGCGCCCGCCTCGCCACGTCCATTGGGCGTGCTAATTAGAAGGGGAACACTGCCGTTCTGCAGCTCATCGCACATCTCGGCGATGGATTCGCTGTAGCCACCGCCGCAATCATCGACGCTCTCGCCGACAAACTTCACTTTCCAGACGCGATGCGGCAAAGCGAGCGCCTCCTGGGTGAGCAGCGGCAACTTCTGGACCATCTGGCCGAAGACACTTTTCATGCCATCGATGCCGGCGAGGCCGTTGCATCGGCTGCGCGAACGTTTTACCTGGATGCGATTCAGTTCGATGACGGGTCCATGCTGTTTGTCCCGCACCATCGTCGTTTGGATGACCTTGCGAAAGGCGGCCTCCTTGATATTGTAGACGAGTACATCCTTGAGGGCGCCCAGACTCAGATCGCCGGCAATGGGCAGCATGGCCAGGCAGGGGCACAGCAGCTCCGAGAAATGATGCAACAGAATGAGACGGGCATGAAGTGCCTCCGGTGCCATATCTCGAACAAGGTCGTATTCCAGCGGCGGATTGGGCAGCGGACGCAATCGTTCGCTCAGCTGTGATGTGGACAGCGCCAGTGTGTGCGCCGATCCGCAGGTGACCTTCACAATGTGCTTGCCTTGGAGGGCGGCAACAAGCCGGGGCCGTTGGATGGCGGTGACGGTGCCATCGCCCAGCTGTCCCTCGTCATTGTCACCCCAGGTGTAGACCTCGCCGGCATCGCTGCAGGCGACACAATGCAGCGAACCGGTCGCAATCGAGATGATCTTCTTGCCCTGCAGCGCGGCCACCTTCTTGGGCCGTCGCACATGATCGACGGAGCCGTGGCCCAGCCGATGGAAGTCACCCTTGCCCCAGGTATAGACGGCACCGGATTTCGTTAGCGCCACGGAGAACTGGGAGCCGCACTCGACTTTGATGACACCCAGGCCGGCGAGACTCTCGATCTTGTAGGGTAGCTTACAGCCATCGCTGCCGCCACGTCCCAGCTTACCATAGTCACCATCGCCCCAGCTCCACACATTGTCATCGTCCGTGATGCACAGCGTCTGTGCATCGCCCGAGCCGCAAGCAATGTCTATCGCCCGATAGCCGAGCAATGCCTCCACAAGTTTTGGTCGCAGTTGATCCTCGGAATCGCCATGTCCCAAGCGACCATAGCGTCCCTTGCCCCAGGTGAGAACGTGTCCGCTGGCCGTGATTGCCGCCGAGTGAGCGCTGCCACAGGCAATGTCCGCCACACTCATGCCATTGAGATGCTCCAGCAGCTTGGGTCGATCATAGCTCAGCCGATTGCCGTGGCCCAGCTTGCCATCCTCGCCCTCGCCCCAGGCATACACCTCGCCATCGGTGGTCAGCGCCAGGCAATGCTTGCCACCCGAATTGACCGCCACCTTCTTCACAAAAACATGCTGTAGCGAACCTAACAGCGTCGGTATTGACCACGAATCGCTACCACCGACGCCCAGCCGTCCACCGGAACCATAACCAGTGGCAAACAATTTGCCATCGGGCGTGACGGCAAACAGGGATTGTTCGCCGCCGGCCAGCTGGACGGGTCGCAGCAGACTGAGCGCTTCACAGGGCGTTGGCGTCTTGATGCGACTGCCCTCGAGACCGCCCAGTTGGCCGCGATGATTGTGTCCCCAGCCATAGATGGTGCTGGCGCCGCCCCAGCTCAAGGCCCAATCGTCGGGTCGTCGATTCAGCCACTGCAGCAGCTGGGCATCGTGCGGTGCCTGGAATAGCTGGTGATCCTCGTGGAGCAGCAACAGCAGCGGCTGCTGCTGCTGATGTTGTTGCGTCTGTGCCAGTTGCTGTTGCTGGTCCACCAGCAGCAGCAGTTCCTGCTGTTGCATCTGCTCCGCCAGCGATGCATTGCTCACCGTGCTCGAGGAGAGCGATGTTGTCGAATTGATCAAAGATGCGCCCGGCGATGGGCAGCTGCTCATCGTTGTTGTTGTTGTCGCTGGAGCTGGCGCTGGCAACATTTCGGCAAACTTTTTGCGCACCTCCAAGCAGAATTGGCGTGGCAACTCTGTGCGTCGTATCAGGGATTGGGCGACGCGCACCGCGATGCAGTAACGCTTGAACCACGCCCACTTGTGCACATCCCCCGAACTGGAGGCGGAGCTTGTTGCGTTGCCGCAATTGATGGTGCCATTGGTGGTGCAAGCAACTGCACCACCACCACTACCACCACCAGCTCCAGCACCAGCACCGCTTCCACTGCCAGTGCCACTGCCACTTGGCAACGCTGCATCCAGTTGCATATCGCAGGCGAGCGCCGCCAGCGTCTTGAAGTAATCCGAGTGCATCAGATGAATGCCACCACGCACCTGCGGCTCTTCGTATTCGTATTGGCGCAACAGTTCCGGTATGAGTGGCAGGAGGATCGCTGCCAGCGCTGGCTCCTGCGGACGTGGCGCATTCTCGAGCAGCAGCACTGCGTGCAGTTTTTTCAATGCCCAGATGCGCTGCGCTGTGCTGAGGGCGCCCAGTTGGGCACAGGCCGCCAGGGCGGCGGCCAAACGGAGCAGCACCTGGGGCTGACGGGGCGCCAGTCGTGCATCCAGCAGTGACATGACCAGTGCCATCGATGGTTGCGACAATACGGCACGATCCGAACCATTTTCGCCAAGCGTCGCTGCCGGCATTATGGCGTGCACCCAAAAGCGCCAGCCCCATCCATTCACCGAGCTATCCGAGCAGAATTTCCAGCGCAACTCGTCGCCGGGCACACGAATCTCGGGCGCCCAGTGGGCGAATTCGCGGCCGGATCGCATGGCCAGCATGCGGCCGGCCGAGTCCATGATCACAAGTGGATCGTTGCGTTTCTCCGTGCTGCACTGGCTATCGAATTCCAGGCGCAACATTTCGGCGCCCGGTATGCGAACAGTGCCACTGACATTCATGTTGTCCACATACGGATGACTGCTCTCCTGCATCACCGGTTTGGGCAGCTTGCCCAGGCAGTGGCGCGCCGTGCACAGGTCTTCCAGCTCGGTGATGCATGTCTCCAGCAGCATGGCTGCGATGGCCGCATTGCTACTCAGCGAGATTAGGGTTTCGGCGATGGTCTGAGCCGTGCTCGGTGGACCGCAACGGCCGCAAACGGCCAGCTTGAGCAGCTCGACCAGACTCTTGGCCTCTGGTTCCAGCAGCAGCGCACCAAAATCATCCAGTCCATGATTATGGCCGTACTGTGCGAGCATCTCCTCCTGCTGTGTCATCGTCGCTGCCATCACGGACATAGCACTGGCCGACATCCTCGAGTGCGAACCGGCCGACATGCCCGACATCGACAGCGAACCGGTCAAGCTCTGGAATGCGCTCAACGGTCCCGCCGGTGGTGGTGGTGGTGGTAGCGCTGATGCAGCTAGCATTTGTGGGGCGAGCGCCTCGTCGGGACTGTGCTGCTCCGGCAGTAGGGCTGCATCGCTGGCATCTGCGGGTGCTTCGCCGCCACCCTGAGCAATCGCCTGTTGTTGTTGTTGTGGTTGTTGTTGCTGCTGTTGTTGTTGTTGGGCCGTTGTTGTTGATGCGGCGACTAAGCCGGTGCCTGTGCCGACACCAGATCCCGAACCGGAACCAGAACCGGCCGCCGTATTGAGCTGCTCCTCGAGTTCAATGTGTGCGCCCGCCTGGCGTGCGGCGGTCTCCTTGTAGTTGACCTTGCTGTGGCTGGTCAGCGCAGCGACGATGAGCTGCCTCGCCTGCAAGATGCTCATCGCGCGCAGCACATGACCGAGGGCCGCTTGGCGGGCCGCTGGCGTCTCCAGGGCCAGACTCTCGCTGAGACTGGCCAGCGTCGAGGAGGATCCACTGCCGGAGCATGCATTGCTACCGGACGATGAGCAGCCAGCACCTGAACCGCCGACAGATATCGCTGCCGATGCCTTGGCATCGATTTTATCCTGTGATGCTTGTGCCTGTGCCTCCGCCTCGTAGATGCCCAGACTGCTGCCGCCGAGCGGATCGCGGGTGCTGCCAAATGGCACCGGGCCACGTTTCTCCTCATCGGGACTGGCGTTGGGTAGGCCCCAGGCCATTGAATGTGAGCTGCCGCATGCCACTCGATTCACAAAGACCGCATCCAGCCCGATGACCAAAGCGGGCTTCTTGTTAACAAACGTATTACCGCTGCCCTGCTGGCCGTGATCGTTGTCACCCCAGGCATACACCTGCCCGGCATCGGTGACAGCCAGACAGTGGAGGGCGCCAACGGCGACATGGATGACGCGACGTCCACGCAATCCGGCAATCGGTTGCGGCTTGCGCACATGCTGATCCCCGCCGTGGCCCAACCGATAGTAGTCACCCTTGCCCCAGGTCCAGACCTCGCCGGCACGCGTCAGCGCCAAACTGAACTGGGCGCCGCATTCGATTTGAACAACACCGATGCCGGAGAGACGTTCGATCTCGTGCGGGGTCGCTGATCCCTCGCTGCCGCCACGTCCCAGCTTGCCAAAGTCACCGTCGCCCCAGCTGAAGACGGCGCCATCCTCGGTGAGGGCCAGCGTCTGGGCATCCCGACTGCCGCAGGCCACCTGAATGACACGACTGCCACAGAGGGCCGTCACCAATTTCGGTTTCAATTGGGTCGCATTATCGCCATGGCCGAGACGACCGTATTCGCCCAATCCCCACGTGTACAGCTCACCCTGGCTGCTAATTGCGGCCGAGTGCGAGGAGCCGCACGCAATGTCGCGTATCTTCTTGGCCCGCAATGCCTCCACCAAACGTGGCTTGTCCAACGTTGTCCGATTGCCATGTCCCAGTTTGCCATCCTCACCCTCGCCCCAACTGAAAACTTTGCCGTCGAGGGTCAGGGCAAGCGCATGTTTGCCACCGGAATGAACTGCTACCTTCTTCACCACATACTGGTGCAGTACGGGCAACTGATGCGGCAACGGCACATTGTGGGTGACGCCCAAGCCCAGACGACCGTTGGTGCCTTCGCCGCAGGCAAACACCTTGCCATCCTGGCTAACAACAAACAGCGACTTGGAGCCGCCGGCTATGTGAATGGGTCGGAGGCGACTAATGGTCTGTGAGAATGTCGGCACCTTCACCTTGGAGCCCTTTAGGCCGCCCAACTGTTCCTTGTCATTGAGGCCCCAGACCATGACGGTACAGGGTACATCCTGTTCGGCACTTGCTGCCAGCAATTCACTTGCTGTATTCGCTTCTTGTGCGGCTGTTGCTGTTCCTGCTCCCGATCCCGCTGCAGACGGATCTCCTCTTGCTGGTGCAGCAACGATGCCAGAGCCAGCTGCAGCTGCTACGGCTGCTGCTGCTGAAGTGCCACCGTAATCGCAGGCTAGAAACTGGGCATTGGCGAGCATATGCTGAATGTCGGGCTGCTGGCGACGTCCAACGAATTGGAGGCCATGCACTTTGCACTGGATGCCATTGTTCTGGCACTGTTTGATGACAATCTCGATCCAGGGATAATACTGCACCACCTGTTGCATGAGTACGACGCGACTGGCGCCGGCACCCACCGGTATCCAGGTGTACTCCTTCAAGCTATCGATGCACTCACCGACACGCACCTCAACCAGCGATGGCATATGCGAATGATCCTCTGGGCTGACACGCAACGCCAAACTGTGCACAAGGACGCGATCGTGCAACTCAAGCCGGATCCAGTGGCGGCACGGCACACCGCTCGAACAGCTCTGCCAAGCGATGGGGCTGCCATCGAGCAGATGCTTGGCGGCACCCTCATTCGAGCTGACGGTCAGCGATCGAATGCAGCGTGACCAATCCTCAATTAAATCCACATTCGGTGGCAATTGCAACACGGACATTGGACACGGCACTGACTGCTGTTGTTGCTGCAATTGCTGCAACTGCTGCAGTTGTTGACTTTGCGGTATTAGGGGCTCCACATCGTTGATGTGACCCTGCCAGTTGGGCTGCTCCGGAAACTCGACGGTCAGCTGCTTGCCACGCAACGCGGTTACCTGCCCCACATCCAGTTGACTCCGTGAGCCACCCAGCCGCATTAGCTGGCCATGGCCGGGGGCACGAGTGCCGTTGCTCGCTGTACGCAATCGGACGCGAGCGCCCACCGTTAGTGGCGGCGGTGGGCGTGGCAGGGTGCCAACTGGCATCGATTCAACCAGCTCGATGTGGACGAAACATACCCAATAGGTGCTGCCATGATTGCGCCAATCCACTTGAACATTAAGATCGTGCAGCCCCTCCGTATCCACAACGAGCACGGTGCCCATGTCGCCCTGCTTAATCTCCTCAAAGTCCCGACAGCAACGCACCAACATTCCGGGCCTAACCAGAGCACGCACATACAACGCATAATGATCGGCCGTCTGGAAGTCCTTGCGTGTCTCGAATTTGTGTTGCGGCTGTTGTCCCTCCTCGACGGTGTCGGAGGAGTTGTTGTTGCTTTTACTGGTGCTTGTGTTGCTAGTGCTGCTGGTAGTGGTGGTGGTGGTGGTGGTGTTGGTGGTGGTGGTGGTGCTGCTGCTAGAGCTGCTGCTTCGACTGCTCGCGTTGCTGCCACCACCAGCACCACCACCAGTCGCGGTTGCTCGTCGCTCCAATGCCACTAGATCTACTACCTTTGATCCTGCCTCTGTTGCTGGCATCTCATCCTCCTCTGCCTCCTCCTCATCCACCTCCTCCACCTCCACTTCACCGGTCTCGACCACATCCGACTCAATGGCCACAATGGCTGCCTCATCATCATTAATTGTATTTGCGCACACATCCGGATGCTCGAGTATCCATTGGACAATCTGTTCGGGTGTTGGTATCGTTTCCGCCTGCAGCGATAGCTGTTTCAATGCCAATTCTACGTTGCGTCGCGTAAAGCCCATCTCCATTATCTGGCCAATTAGCTGCGCATCGCTGGCTGGCGCCAATTGTCGCCTCTCCATTCGCTGCTGCGACTCCGCCACCAGCTGGTGCTCCGCCTTGGCCACATTGTAAAGGGGTATGCCATGCACCATGGTCGGCTGCGCTGGACTCGCCAGCTGTACCGGCTGCAGTTGATCCTCTGCATTGAGCTGGGCATGCGCCTGACTGGCCAGCGATTGGACACAGTTAAGCGCAGCCGTTGCCAGATCCGTATAGCTGTAGCATGCCTTAACCGGCGACGGTTGCGTTGCACGCAGCAACAAACATTGGATGAGCAGCTGTTCCGTGGTTAATGGCTGATGGCTGCCATTGATGCTGCTCGTGCTGCTATTGTTAATGTGGTTGTTGTAGCGACTACAGCGAAAAAGAGAGAGAGAGAAAGCGAGAGAGAATGTGAGAGTGAGAGAGACAGATGAGAATTGGTTAAATTGATTAAAAGACTGATTGACTGGCTAAGTGATTGATCAATGTTTCAGTCGTTGACTGTTTAATTCAATCTATAATTGACCCACTGATTGACTGAGTGATTAATAAATCGATTGATTATTAATTAAACAATTACTAATTTATTAATTAACTTACTTTTTGTTTTGGGGCTGTTTCATGCACTACAACCTAATCGAACTGCGCCCCTTTTGAGTCTATAGCTCTACAATCATCCCCATTTTTCAATGTCTTACTAGGATACTTCTTCTCATTCTAAGGCGCTGTGCTTTGAGGATTCATCCTAATTGTCACAAAATTTGCAGATCCCTCTACTGATTTGACCTACTTAAGCTAAGTGATTTCAACAATCCTGTCAAGAGACCTGGTGCCTCTAGTCTTGATGAACTGAATTATTACATATTGGTATAGCTACCCATTTGTATTATTGTTGTTGTTGTTGCTGCTGTTGTTATGGGATTCGGATTGCTCCGACTGCTGTTCCGGCTGTAGTTCTGGCTCTGGTTCTGTCTCCGTCTCCTCGTTGCTCTCCATGCTGTTGTAGCCACCGGCAGGTGCACGCTGTTTAAGTATCTTGCGCAGAGCCGCCTGATGCCTGTAGAGGACTCCATTTGTGTGCAGCACGGCCAGTTGTAGCTGTTGGCTGCGCAGCAGGCGAACATCGAGCCGACCCTCGCTGGCATTGAGCAGCTCCCAGCCGTGGTTGCTGTTAGCCCCGGCTGCTCCATAGAGGAGCACCGTCCACGCATTCAACAGCATCTCGTTCATGGGCAATCGGCTGAGACTGAAAACGCTATGATCAAGCTGGAGCAGGACCGACGCTAACGGCACCTTCACCAGACACTGGCCCTGTCCCGCGGCGGAGGCAGTGACCGCCGAGGTGGCAGCCACCGCTGTAGTGCTGCCCATGGATGGAACACTGTGTGCGAGCAGGCAGCGACCCTTGTGCGTGAAGCTGGCGATAATCATATGGCTGCCCTCGTGAAAGCAGTGGAGTCCGATGCGCGGCCGCAGATCATAGCCACCCATGGCACTAAGAACGCCCAGCACATAGCTGTGTTCGGCGTCCAGCGGTGACAGCGGCATTTGTGGCGACTCCACCTGCAGTAGCTCGGCGGCAACGCACAGTTTCTGTGCCAGAAACGAATTGATAACCGCATTCCAATGCGGCAGCGTGTGCAGGCGGCGCAATAGCGCCACCATCTCCTCGGCAACGGTGCCTGAATGTGAGGCGGTCAGCAGGACGCGCGTCTTGCCACCCTCCTGCACCTGGAGCGTTGCATCGCCCGGACAGTGCAACGCAATGCGGCCGAGTGTGGCGAACAGTTGACGGACAAGCGACGCCATGCGCGGCTCCTCCTCGACACCCCAGGCGGAGAGGATGCACTGCAGTAGGCGCAAACAGTGTAGCTGCCGATAGACACCACGCTCGGTGCCTGCCGGCTGCTCCAGCAGCGCGAAATAATGTGACAGCCAATTCGGAGCACTTAGCTCCAAACACAAACGCGGACAGTCACCTGCAAAGAGAGCAGAAAAGAAACAACAAAATTAAGATATATCTTTAAAACTGTATTTTATTACTATCGGAATTCGAATTCGATCGATCGAAATGTATCGATAAAATGAAATGAAGTTAATCTGCGTGTGGTAGACGAGAGTTTACTGGCTCTTTTAGACTAGATCGGCTCGGCTGTTGACAATCATCAGGAATATATATATATATATATACCTTATGGGATCGGTGACGCTTGCTTCCGTCTCTTACATACTTTTCCACAGCTTCATTTTACCGTTTTAATCCGTTTTTTTTTTCTTTTCTGAAGCTCATCTTGTACTTTTCTTTCAGTTCCCGATTTCAAAATATTTTTCGCCATTTTCCGGACTCGCTAATCGAATTTTATCCAATTATATATTATATACGAGTATACTTCAATTAATTTATGAGTATATGAAAGTGAGACAGATCTGTTTGAAATGCACTTTACTACAACTATTTCTCATTCACAATCTTAACAATTTTGAGGGTTTAAAGGGGGATGCTTTCCAAAAATATTTACAAATAATTTGCAATTTCACAAAATGGATGTTCAAATTTGAGCTTCGTCATGCGTCGTCAAGTTAATAAATCATAATAAATAAATAAATTGTAAAACGCTGAAACTATGCGCAGAGCACAACTATCGATATGAATATGAATATGGACATGGGGATGGAAATGCCATCATGGATGAGGCACTGCTCGATCACTCAGTTTTGGCTTCACAATTCGTTTACCCAGCTGCAGCTGCTGCTGTTGCACGATCTTCTTTTTCAGTTTGCGTTTTTGCTGTTCCGCTTCGCGTCTCTGTTGCACCTTTAGCATGAGCTGCATGTGCTCTTTCTCCTTGAGGATTCGTGCCGATTTCAAGCGCTCATCGCGACGCTGCTTCTCTTTGGCCTCGCATGTTAACTTTTGCTTGCGCATCTGTTCGCGCATCTCTCGCTCCACCAGCTCCTGCTTTCTGCGCTCCTTAATCTGCACCAACTTCAGCATCCGCTCCCTGAGCGCCAAATTTGTGAGGCTTTGGACTCTTGTCAGTTTGCCGCTTGATATTTGTTTCTTGATCGCCTCTTTGGCGACTGCGTGCTGCTGCTGCTTCTCCTCTTTGTCCAGCTTGGCTCTTTTTGACACTTTGGCGTCCTTTTTCTTCTTCTTCTTCTTTTTGATTTTCGTGGATTTTTGGTTCGGTTTCTTGATAGTATCGCAATTAGCCAGCTGGCGTTCGTTCGATGGCTGCTCCTGTTTCTGCTTCAACTTTTGCTTACTTTCGCGCACCTCCTCCAGAACCTGCTCCTGTTTGGTCAACTGATACGCATGGAGCACATCACGCAGATCTCGACTGCTGTTCTTTAGCTCATTGAATGGATACATCAGTTGTCCCTTATCCCTTAGCTGGTTGAGCATCAGTGCAATGAGGCAATTGCGTGCAAACTTCTCCTTCTTGGTGGTAATCGCAAATTTGGCGAACCACTTGGCGCACAGCTCATCCGACATCTCGTTTGGCAGCACTTGAATGCGTTGCATCTGCTGCACAAAGTGCTGATCCAGCCAATCCTCAGAATCCTCAGCACGGGCTAAGTGATCTTTTCCAAGTGCCTTATCCATTTGCCTGTACATTTTTTCAATGTTTTCGTTTTCGTTTCTGTTTTTGTGAATTCTGTTTTCAACTGCTCTGCAGAGCTGTCTCTGATTCACTCTAATTCAAACATTCTCAAATTCACACTTGACAACTTTGAAACTCACCTGAGATGGCACGTATGAAGCCGAGATTCAACCAGTTCAGACAGTGGACAACATTAGCCAAGCCCGGCTTTGGATCGAGCATGGATCGGAACATGCTGGTGACGCCGCGCAATGCATGCCTGTCCAGGTGGGCGCCATGCAGTCCACTGCCAACGGCCAGGATTTGAAGCAGCTTGGCGGCGCAGTGTCGCAACAGTTTCGACGGATGCGATTCACTGGTGGGTGGCGGTTCCGTCGTGCCAAGTTCCTCGCGTTCTGGTTCCGTTGGCGATGCCACATTCAATGTGCTGTCCGCCAGCTGCAGATCGTATTGACCCTCCTTGCCCATGCGATACGAATTGGTTGCGCCCGTATACCATTCCACGCGCACCCAACTGACGCATATCAAGGGAGCGCAGAAGAGATGGAAAGAGAAGAAGAAGGGCGGATTAGGAGCATTATCAATTATCAAGGCAGCATTCAGCATTCAAACTCGATTATCAATGGGCATTGAGAGATATTATGTTTTAAGGAGGGATCATCAATAGAGTAAGTGAATTTGTTGACTGATTCAGGCAACAAATGTGTGCCACGCCCACAACTGATTTCATTTATACAAAATATTGTTTGCCACAGTTTTAGAGTCCAGCTGAATGCCAACTCTTTAATTTGATGATTCGATGAGTCAAGGATATTTAATGGACAATTTTTAAGGCGCATAGTTTGACAGCCAGTGATTACCAAGAAGTAGTCACAGTTGGAAAGTCAACTACTGTTCGAAACTCACACAATTTGAAAGCTAGAGTTACTAAATTGGAAAGGTATATTGGTAGTCACATATCTCCCGCAATTGAAGAGCTAAAGTTAGCAAACCTGGAAGGTCGATTACTGGGAACCTCCTCCAAAATTGTCAAAATTGGACAGTCAAACTTGAAAGCTACACCATCCACCCTGTTCTGTGGCACCCGTTATCAGCTTGTATTACTTATTGATATCAGAGTATTCTGCAGTGGTTATTGTTAGTGCCTTTTGTGACTCACCCGTCCTCGCCAACTTCGCTAATGATGCGTCCCTCGCCGGGCGGATTGCCATCTTGGTCGCCCCATTTCCAGTCGGCGCCGCGCACTATGCGTGTGCCGATCTTCATGAGCTTGGCCAGATCGGGTCCGCTGAGCTGCGCTTTGCTGCACTTCTGCTTGAGAACGCTGTCCTCGTAGAGAACGCTCAGTTCGCTGTTGTTGCTTTTGGCGCCAGCATCGGCGCCCGTTTGGGCCAGCAGGCCGAGCACGGTGCCCAACAATCCCGAATTGATCAGCAATCCCAGCTCGTTGGCGCCCAGCTCCTTGGCCAGCAGACCGAATACGCTGATGAGGAAGCGGGCGCGTGGCAGTCGCTTGAGCAGCACATAGGTGCTCAGGTTGCAGCTATCCTTGCCGCGTACGGCGCCCGGCTGCTCCTGGTTGACCAGACGCCTCAATTCGCGCACCGCCCAATCCAGGACACGGGCCTGCGCCAGCAGTAGACGCGCCTTCTGATAGGCGCTCACCATGTTCAGCTGGCCGAGCACATGTTGCGGCGAAACGCCGCTCGCCGCCGACTTCAGATGCAAGCCCAGATAGCCATTGAGCAGACTGTACTGGGTGGCATCCAGCAGGCCATGCAGCTCCAGCAGCTGCTGCACCAGCTGCAGGCCAGCGAGTCGTAACTGGAAACGCTGCATCTGGCAGTACATGGCACGACGCACTGTCTCCACATCGCAGCTGTCCTGCAGCCCAAAGTCCACAATGTCCTGCATCAGTCCCGCGTCCAGTTCAATGTCCGCGTGTAGCTGGCGTTCATTAAGGCGACGCAGCAATGATTCCTCCTCGTCCAGTTGCTTCTGTTCTTTGGGCTTCTTTTCGATTAGAAGCTGTTCCTGCTGCTCATATATCAGGAGCTCCTGGCCAGCTTGTTGTTGCTGCTGGTGCTGCTGTTGTTGTTGTTGTTGCTGTATGCTGGCATTGAGTAGATCCTCTGGCTTGGCCGCCGGCTGTTGCTTGGCCTTGCGCAGCTCTTGGAGCAGGCGACGCACGAGCAGCCGGAAACGTGGTAATCGTTGAAGGATGGGCAGACGACGCAATCCACGCTGCTGTGGACTGACAGCGGGTCGCACCTCATACAGCAGAAAGCGCAAGCGTTCCAGAATGGGTGCACAGACCTCCTTGTAGCTGCGATTCATTTGCTGGCGTGTGCGCACCACACTCCACTTGGCCTGATGCACCAGCCGTATGATCTCGCCCAACTGCTTTGGCTGTGACTGCTGCTGGTGTTGATCAGCTTCCAAAGCGCTGATTACCAGGCCGCCCAGGCATTGATGACGCAACAGAACGGCGCTTAGAAGACGCTCCAGCTCCTGTACCGGATGTTCGGTGGCGAACTCCTGATGCCACATCAGATTGTGCGCCTTGCAATATCGTTCGGTTAGCGAGAGCCAGGCGGCGACCAAGGGTTCACTCAGTCGCGCCTCAGCCAGGCCCGCAATGAAATTGTCCACACGATTCTGCAGATGCTCTGGTGTGCGACGCACCCGTGTTGGAGTTGGTGGCACCAGTGCCTCCGTTGGCGTATTCCCAGCTGTGCTGTGGCTGCTGCGCGCCTCGCCCTTCTCCTCGTCAAACGGATTATTGGGTTGGAGCATCAGCAGGCCACCACTAAGCAGCGATGATTTGTCCAATTGGCGGCATTGCAACTCTGCCGGCTGCAAACCGGGACCGCTGCACATGAGATTCGCCACCAGGCCGAGCAACTGCGCCAGCGTACACTCCGAACTGAAGTGCGTCAAACGTTGCGCTCCTTGTGACGTTGCCTGCAGCGAAGATTAAAAGATTAAAATATGACAAAATAAAAGGGAGGTCTCTTCAAGCTTACCTTCTCCTCGTTGGCGCTCTGTGTCGCCAGGTATTTGCCCAGCTTGTGGTGTTGCAGCAGTTGCTCCATAACACTCCGATGTCCAGGTGTGCTCAACTCCGCGCTTAGATCCTTGCCGAGGCCCATGTCCAACAGAGCGCGCAAGTTCTCCGATTCGCAGCTGAAATGAAATGCGCAAGTTGTGAATCCGTCAAAGACTGCCCTGCTCGACTCGCAGATACCCTGCACTGCACAGTTTGGCATCATTATTTGGAATAACTTACGCAAAGCCATTGATGTCGCAAACGTAGCCGGCTAGAATGATGCAGCGGCTGCCGTCGAGCAGCAGGTTCTCCATGTCGGCACGTCGGACATAGTGCGTCTCGGGATCAGCAGCTGGTGGCGGTGCGGCACCCTTGGGTCCGCCGCGACAAATAATGCCCGGCCAGCCCATGTCATCGCCGTCGCGCAACTCACCCTCGCCCAGCGCCCGATTCAGACAATCCAGGACACGCAACAATGGCAGGCAGAGGCGCGCCCAGCGCAAGCTACCCAGGCACTGTGGTCGATCCCGTTTCAGCAGCACCAGACCCACGAGCAGCTCATGCATAAGCGCATCCGAAATGTCCGCCTGCAGCACGCGACTCAATGCCCCGCCAAACGGATGCACGCCCAGAGTGCCCAATTCACTGGATTCGCGGCACTGCAACGCCAGTTCGTGTGCCTGCTGCAGCGTCGTCACGCAAGCTGGTATCAAACTGTGCAAGTATTGGGCAAGCAATGCTTCCGCTCCCGTTGTATCCTCGTCGTCGGTCGCCTGGTGTATGTACGCCAGCAGCAGACGCTGAAAACGATGCAGCAAACAGAGACTGGGACTAGTGCTGGGATGATGTTGATGCTGGAGCTCCTCCACAGGCAGCTGCTGTTGCTGATGATGATGATGATGGTGGTGGTGATGGTGGTGATGATGATGCTGCTGTTGCTGCTGCTGCTGCTGATGTTTGCCCAGCATCGCCAACGAGAGACGACTCTGTGTGAGCGCCGCATTGTTGTTCAGCAATCGTGTGATTAACTGCAGCAGCGGCAAATGTGCTCCATCCGTGCAGTCTTGCGTCGAACACGAGCTGCTCTCCAGTCGTATCGCATGTTGTAGCGCCGTCTCCAATCCCCCCTCGGCCATTAGTGAACTAACGAGCAGATCTGTCATGAACCGATGGCCCGCCGAGCACGCCTGTCCCGGCTCCGAGGGCAGCAACGCTGTCAGCGTCTGTGCCCGTTCCGCTGCCGTCGGCAAGAGCACACTCCAACCATCCTGCCACACACACAGACAAAATGGTATTTAAAATGAGTATATTAAATAATTATTGTTATGACTCATCAGCCAACCCACCTGGATTGCCTGCTGTGCGGCTATTTGAATGGTGCGCAGCACTTGGCTGCCACCGGCGAGACTCAGGATGCGTGTCTTGAGGCTGTTGAGCAGCCGGCCACCGCTGGCCAGACCCACATTGCGCGGCTCCACACCATTGGCGATAAGCGCGAGCAACTGTAGCCGCACCAGATTGAGACAGGCGACCGCAATGCATTCGGACTCCTGGTTGGGCGTCTGTCGATTATCCTGTGCAGTGCTGGCACTGCACATGCCCAACAGTTGATCGAGCAGACGGAATGTCGGTTCGCCCAAATCGATGACGAATGGGGCACGCAGCGGCACACCCTGACGGCTGCTCTGGGTCCAGATCAGGCTCTGGACAGCGGTGCAGGCCATTCCGCTGGCGGGCAGCGTTGGTAATGTGACCAGTATCGGTTGACGCAACAGCGGTTCACTGCAAACGGAGGCGGGACAGATCTGTTGGTTGTCGTTGCGACCCCAGCCAAAGATCTCCCCGGCGCTGCTCAATGCCAGGCAATGGGTCACGCCCACAGCGACGTCCACAATGCGCTTGTGCTGTTAACAAACATATAACCAGAAATATATAATATATGAAATAGCTGGTTATTATTTTTGTGGTTTACCTGTAGACTGGTTATAAGTCTGGGCACACTGCAGCCCTGCACATTGCGCTCGACAAGCTGATGGCCCAGACACGAGGCTTTGCCCCAGCTATATAGCTGACCCTCGCCGGTTAGCGCCAGCGAAAACTGTGAGCCGGCAAAGACGCGCTGCACACGTGGCAGACACTCAATGAGCAACGGTTGGAGGCTGCTGTTGCAACTGGCGTTGCCCAGTTTGCCATAGTCGCCATCGCCCCAGGCATAGACCAATCCCTCGTTGGTCAGACAGAGAGTGTGGGCATCACCGCTGCCGAGGGCAACGTCCACCACCTGATGATCCTTGAGCGCCATCACCATGGTGGGCAAGCACTGATCATCCGAAATGCCATGCCCCAATCTGCCATAGTTGCCGCGGCCCCACGTATACAGATTCCCCCTCAACGTGATGGCGGCACTGTAGGAGCAGCCGCAATACACAGACTTGACGCGACGCACCAGACTCTCGATTTTGGTGGGCAGCTCACGTGAATGACAGTCGCCGTGACCCAAGCGACGATTGTCGCCAGTGCCCCACGAATATGCGTTAACTACGTGAGAAGATATGGAGAGAGATTAGCACTAATTTGGTAACACCGGCACGCGCACCAGCACAACCACAACTCACAATTATTGTCGACGGCCAGAAAGTGGCGTCCCTCGCAGTGCGATGCAATCGAGATGAATGTCTCGCTGCCAATGTCCCCAAAGTCAAGCGGTTGGGGTTCCGTGTCCGGTTTGCTAATGTGCCAATTGTAGAGTTTGCCCTCCTTGCTGAGCAGGAGCACAATGTCCTTGCTGCACGCGACCTGTTTTACGTGGAACTTGCAGTTGAGTAACGCCGGCGGCGGCCGTTGTGTGGATGCGCTTGTCCAGCTGAGCGCCGGTTCGACATTGAAGCCCTGCTGCTCCTTGGAGAGCGTTGGCCAGCCGAGCGCATAGACTCGCTGCTGTTCGAGCAATGTTCGCTGCTTTGCAGTGTCCTCGTCATCGTCGTTGCTGAGCTCGTCGTTGCTGTGCCGGCGCAGGCAGCTGGGCATGTGCGTCTGATGTGGCATATGAGGCTGTACCAGGCGATCCAGATGTGAGATGATGACGACAGCGGCACGTCGTAGATCGACAATGGCAGCGCTGCTCTTGGGCAGCATGAGGAAGCGCAGAAAGGTCTCCGTTGCGCTGGCCATGGGTATTGGTGTCTCCACCGAATTGCTGCAGCTGCTTGAGCTGCTGCTGCTGTTGCCGCTGCTGTTCGAGGCAGACACGGAGCCAAGGCGCTGATAGCGCTGCAGGATACGCAGCAGTGGTGCACCAGTTTTGCGTGGCATATCCCGATTATCGGCACCGTTCACATTGCCATGTCCGTGTCCGTGGCCATGTCCATTGTCGTTGTCCTTCTCCCATAGGAGCAGCAGCAGCACCACACACTCCAGCGTCGCCGCCAGAGTGCCCTTCTGGACGCCCAGCTCGAGCAGCAGACATAGCGCCGTATGCCGATCCGTTAGAGGCGCCAAACAGCGTCCGCCCATGGGATCACCGAGTGCGACGAGGCGCAGAAACTTAATGGAGCGCTCCATCACCTCCAGCCAGAGCGGCGACACCTGTGCTGCCGCATCAAACAGTGTCGCCTCGGGCAACTCCTGCAGCGATTCGAGTGCCTCGCTCAACAGCTCGCTGCACATTTCCGTATCCTCGCCGGAGCGCCACGCTCGACGCAAGAATGCAAAACTAAAATTGAGCGCGGCACGCGTTCCAACCCGTGCTAATCCCAACGCTGCATGCTCTGGCTCCAGTGGCGGCACCGGTGCCGGCGCCCCTGAAGCTGCTGCCACCACACAATCCTCCACTAGCTGTTGCTGTTGCTTCTCCGGTTGCTTCTCTTGATGATGCTGGGCCTGGTGTTGATTGCGCTTGAGCGCGACAAAGTAACGCTCGTAGATGAACAGATGCTGGCGCAGCTGCTGTGCGGACAGACAATTGCCGGCGGCGCGCAGCGCCAGCTCGTGCAGCTCGGCGATTAGCGAGCGTTGGCAATCGTGCTTGGCCAGCTGATTGGGTGGCTGGCTCCATAGCCAGCTGTTCAGGGTGAGCTCCGTGGCGTGCTGCAGGCCAGCTGCCGCCTGCTGTGCCGCCGCCGAGGTCAGCTTCTTGATGGCCGTGTCAGAGTCGAGGGGACGACAGCTGTCGCAGTTGCAGGCGGAGAGGGGGCCACAGTATTCGGGCTGACAGCAGACACATTGGAGCGCCTGGGCGCCACAATAATGTTTGCCATCGTCACCGAGATACGACAGCTGGCCACGGGCATTGACGAGGGGTGCGGTGGGCGAGGAGACCAGTTCACAATCCTGGATGAGATGATTCCACAGTATCGAGCCCTCGGAGGCGTTGCGCAGGCAGGCAATGAGATCGGCGCGCAGCCATTTCGTGTCTAAATACGGTAACGGACGCAAATAGAGATCACTGATCGGTGCCACTCCACTGGAGATCGACGCAGTTGCCTCCGATCCGCTGACTGCAGCAGTCGCAGGAGCAGCAGCAGCACCACCACCTGCAGCCGTGGGTGCAACAACAGCTGCAGAAGTCGGAGCTGCAGCAGCAGCAGACGAAGCGACGCCAGCGCCAGCGTTGCCCAACCGATTGAACATTGTGTTTGTCTTTTCTTTTTGACGGGGGCGCGGAGGGTTGTCTAGCGAGTGGTGAGACTTTATTCTTTGTGCTTAGTCTCTAAGTACTTCCTACCAACAATATTAGTAATAATATTCACATGGCACATTTATTATTATTTGCATTTATTTCGCCAGTTTTTTTTTTCGATTTTCTGCTCTTTTTTGTCCGCCTCTTTTTTTTATGTTCGTTGAGTTGGGTTGAATTGAGTTGAGTTCTGTTGTGGACGAGTCAAGAAGAAGCAGTATAAGAAGAAGAAGAGGAAGAAGTGCTTCGGTTACTAGCTGCGTTTCCCGCAGTTGTGGGTGGTGCAGGGGTGGGCGGTCTCGGGGACTGTCGTTGCAAGCTCAGTCAATGTCGTCAGACCCACACACTCAACACATAAACTCACACACACCAACACCAATGCCAGCACACACACACTCACTTATACACGCACAAATAGTGACTTTGGCTTAGAATGATGATTGCTAGTTTTCGTTTTCGTTTTCGTTGTCATTGTGAGTGGGTGGTAGTGTTCTAAAGGTTTAAGTTGCAGTTAAACCATAAATATGTCAGCATGTCCATGACACTTGCACTTATCGCAGGCACTTCCAGCTCACATTGTTGTTATAGTTTATCAATCGAGTTCTTCACGTTTGTTACATCGCTTAAGCTAATGAAGTATTTAATCAATTAATAGTTGCCGTTGTTCTGCTTGCAAGCAGCGAACAAGGCTGCCAGCTTGCTTGCAAAAAAAGCGCTTATCGATTTGTATCCGATTTGTCGACTTATCGAGCCGACTATCTGGCAGCACTGGCGGTCTGTTTACATTTTCAAAATGCAATTGCTGCACGCGACAAACACACACACACACACACTCACACCAAAAACCAGGTCACATTTATTTTCCCACGCACAGACTATTAATAACTTTACGCATATTGGGCTGCAACTATTGATCTGGCAACATTGACCCACCCATCCACCTAGCCATGTACATCGAATGTGCAAAGGCCGGGAAAAAATCATTTTTACTTATTTATATGATGACCTCATCGGTGAACGTCAGGCAGCAGCAGCGAGCGACACTTTGTCGCATAAATCAACCCCAAATTGTAGCTGGCCCACCCTCCATAAATGATTGCATTGGTTTTTATACCCTTCCCAATGTTATTTTTCTTTTCCTTTTGGTTATTCAATATGCAATGGCAACAATTTGTATGTACTTTAGAGGAATAATTCGTTTATTTATCGAATACATTGAAATGCATACACGAGTTGTTCTCAATTTGTTTTTTGTTGTTGTTGTTTTGTTTTTTTTATCTTTATATTACTTTGTATTTGTTTAAATAAATAAGATACATACGTTTAATCAATAATAGCAGTATTTATCGTGCAAATTTGATAAGCATAATAATTGTTTACGTTTACTTTTTGCTTGTTTCTCTTGCAAGTTTTTTGTTTTTGTTTTTTGCTTTTTTATGAAATAAGTTTTGCATTAAATATATGAAAAAAATATATATGTATTTTTTTGTATTTGTTTTAAATTTTTTTTTTTCTTTTTCTTTTTTGTTTGTTTTAATTAGCTGCTCTATATAATTCAATTTACTTTTTCTTTAAAGTAAAAAACGATCTGCGCTTTGGTTCGTCCTTTTGTGAAGTGGCTGGCAGAGTCTGGGATCTGCTCGCCGCAACAGCTGCCGATTCACTCTGGGCTTTCAGGGCGGACACCCACTGTGACATCTCGTTATCATCATGGGCTTGCATCAAGAACTCAGCCCCACTGGCAAGCCTGGAATGGAGTGACACATTGTAGATTTATATTATTCAGCAAGGATATCTTTTTGATAATCAACAACAACATACTTCACTCGCAGCACGTGCTTCTTCTTGGTGTAATCACTGGCAATTTCAATGGCAGCACCTTGCAGATCATAGCTGGGCTCGCCGCGGAAGGTCAATTCGGGATTACTCTTATAACCCTTCTGATCTTTGAAGAACGAAACGCGTCCGGCTCGTGCAGCCATATAAACCTGTCAAGCAAACAAACGCATATTGAATATTAGCAAATTGGAAACAGATTAAGAACAAGCTGATAACCAAATCAGGTTTAAATGTAATTTGTATCGTATGAAATGCTTACCTTATCCCAAGATCGGTTGGATGCCTTCTTGGTGGCCGACTCCCACTCATGCTTTCGTGTCACATAACCCTCCTGACCATCTCCAGAAGCTGGTGTGGCGCCACGCTCTACAGAAGAGACTTCGATAAATTACTGAACACTTGAGAACATCAAATATGTTATATATATAAATATATATATACATATCCACACACATATACATATATATGAATGATTATAGAGCATACAGATAAGATCAAGAGAAACACACACAGATAAAGAGATAAATATAGAAATACAGATAGAGAGAGAGAGAGAGAGAGAGGAGAGACGACTCCGGGTATCCCATGGTCAAGAGTTGTACCTGTTTGGAGCTCGACAACACGCTCAATGTCGACGGCTGAGTCTGCGGCGCCTGCGTTTAGTTTATTTGGTTAGTTGGTTGATTGGGTTAATCCGACGTTTGTTTGATCGATTGAGCAAGCATGATTGAATGAGATGGAATGTTCAGATTTAGTTGGTTATTCACATAGTTCGCGTGTCGATAGATTCTAGTTGGATGATAGATGATAGGTAGTTCGGGTTATGGGGCGGGGGGGTTAACCTCGTTTACGTGCTTTACGGGGGAAGGGAGATGTGAGTTGAGGTGAGGTATAAGTAAAAATGAGATTTGCAATTCGAAATTGGAATGTATTCATTCAAATTCCGTCATCCTACCTGCTTCGTCATGGGAAACGCCCACATCAACATCGTCGCGTCGCTCAGCCTCACGCTTGGCCAGCTCCGCCGCCTCGGATGCAGCTTTAGCCTCCTGCTCCTCCTTGATGCGATGTCGTTCCGCCTCCTCCGCCATCTCCTGGCGCCTCTTCATTTCCTTAAGCTCAAACTGGAGTGGAGCAAAAAATAAAACACACACAAAATGATTAGCAAATAGGTCTTTGTAGTCAATCAATCAATCATTCGGGGGATTGTTGAGGATCAATCACTTACTGTTGTCAAACGCTCAAGTGCACTAAAGCGCTCCTCCTGAGCGGCAGCCGACTTTTCGAATGCCTCATGCTTCTTAATCAGATTCTCCACTTCGTCAATGGTGTGTCCCAGCTCGGAGGACAGCAGGTACGGCTCCTGGGCAATAAGCCAAGCCTCGGCAACGGCAGCATCTCTGGCAAACTGATAGACCTCCAGGACTGCATAGATAAAATTAATAATACAAGATTAGCTTCATGCTGCGGCTGTGGAATGGATTATGGGATACATACTCAGCTGAAGGTTCTCCCATCGCTCCGCCCAGCGCAAGAGTAGCGCATTGCGGCTGTTGTTCAGCGACTTCAGGCGATCCTTGATGTCAGCGGATGCGTAATGATTGCGAGTAAGCAGCTCCTTGCCCAGGGATATGCAGGCGCTAAAGTTATCCTCGCGAGTATCGATCTCGGCCTTCAGACTCTGATGGTTATTCATCAGCAACTCGACGCCGGAGACATCGCGCGGCTTCTCCGAGGTGTTCATCTGGCGCACCAGATCCTCCATCCAGATGGTGAGTATGCGTACCATATTGAAGAAACGGAACAGATCACCAGTGTCGGCCAGCTTCTGTTTGCGTGCATCGCACATAGCCTGCAGATTGTCCCAGGCATGGAGGACCTCCTGTTCCCGATTGGTGATCTCCTTGGCCTTGTCGCCGGCATAGGCGTCCTGCAGCTTGGCGGACTCCTCCTGGATTTGCTGTACCTGCGAGTACAGCGTGGTCAGATCCTGCAGGAAATTGTAATGCTTGCGCTGCAGCGTCGACACAGATCCAGCATCGCGACCCAGCTCATCGGAGACGCCGTGCTGCTTCTCCAGAATGCGGCCAAGCACATCCTTGCAGTCATGGAAGAATTTGTGCAGTTCCCGCGAGGCGGCCAGCATTTGGGTGCGTGTCTCAATCAGCTCGAGCAGATCCTGCCACGACTCGTTCAGGCTATCCTTCCACTCGGCAATGGTGGCCGAGTCCGAGTGTCCGGCCTGTATCAGATTATCAGCAATGCCATTCACCTTGGCCACACGCTCTCCGCCAACAGCCTCTGTGTCGCGGGCGAACTCATTGAAGCGCTCCGAGAGGAGTGTGACATGATCGTAATCCTGGCCCAGCTCCTGGGAGCCGGCGACCACTTCGCGATCGGTTATCCATTGCTCCAGATCATCGACCTCGCGGCTAAGCATGAACAGTTGGAGAGCCTCATTGAGGCGGGCACGACGCTCACCTGCCAGATCCTTGAGACCGGCATACAGTTTGTCCAGTTGGGATTGCTTGACGGCGACGGCATCACCGCTGGACACATCATCGCTGCTAAATTGGCGCGCCACCTCGCCCAGCTGGCGAATGGTGTTCGCATAGTCCTCGACAGATTGCTCCAGATTCTCGTGCTTCTTCATTAGATTCTGTGCGCTAATCTCATCCTTGCCGCGATCCTCGACCATCATGTAGAGCTCCTGTTCGCTCATCCACGATTCGGCCTCCTGTGCATCGAAGAAATACTGTTGCACCTTCTCCGATTCGAGCAGATGCTTCTTGCGATTATCGATGGCATCCTTGAGCTCCTGCCACTTGGCAGTCAAATCGCTGATCAGCGCCTCAAATTTCTTGGCATCCTCGTGACCCTCATCGATCAGTTTGCGTCCATTGTTGCAGATGGCATTGATGCGCGGCTCATGGTTATCAATTTCAGTGGCCAGCGATTGGTTCTTCTTCTTGAGTACATGAACATTGAACAGAGAGTTGCCGTAGTCGGATGAGTTGGCCACCGGCAACTTCTCATCGATCCAGAGCTTCTCGTCCTCGACATCGCGACAGAACTGGAATGCCTCCTTCTTCTTCTCCAGCTGCTTCTGACGCTCCAACAGCGGCGCCTTGATCTTCTCAAAGCGCTCCAAAACGGCCGTCTTCTTCACCACAATCGGTTCGATCTTCTCCTCGGGCACCGTCTTCTGTAGATATTCGGTCTGTTTGTCAATCTCTTCGACTTGACGCGCCTTCACCGCCATCTGTGTCTGGATAACCTGTTGCTTCTGCATCAGGATATTCACCGAGGTCAAATCGTTGGCGGTATCACCACTAACAATCTGCCGCTCAAGGTCTGTAATATACGAGTCGATGTCGTCGCAGGTCTGCTGGACGAGCACCTCGCGATTAGCATCGAAGAGCAGGGCGCCCTTCTCCTTGGTGTGCACCTCAAGATCATCGAATTGCTTGGCCAGCTCCTTGAGCTTGGGCTCGATGACATCCTTGAATTCGGGCTTCTCCTTCGACAGCTCCTGGGCGGACTTTTCGGCCTCATAGAGGCGCTCCTTATTGGCGGCAATCTCAGCCTCGAATGCCTGATGCCGGGTCCACTTGGAGTGAATTGTCTTTGCGCTGCGATAGGTCTCATCCTGGGATGTAACATACTTCTCCTGCACCCATTCGGCCAGTTCCTCCAAATCCTGGAGGAACTCGTGCAGTTTCACCTGATTCTTCAGCTTCTCATGCTGATCGAGCGCCCGCTGGCGATTATCATCACGTCGTCCAGTGATATTCTCGGCCCGTTTGCCAATCTTGTCGGCATCAAAGTGCTCCTTCTCGACGAGGGTGTCGGCCACTTGAAGCAGCGTATTGATCTTGTCATCGTTGGCCTCCATGGTGGTGAGGAAGGCTTCGTGACGCTTCAATTGATTCTCGGCCTGTTCCAGATTGACCGGTGTGTCGTCCTTGCTAAGGAAGTGCTCCTGCTGGCTGAGCAACACTTCGGTCTGGCGTGCATCCCGATTGAAGAGCTGCTGATCGAGACTCTGCGAGAGCAACACCTGACGATTCTCCCACATCTGATGCAGCTCCTCCCAGCCATCCTTGAGGGCGTTCAAGCGTTCGCGGAGGAACATATACTGCGGATCCTCGGATGTGTTGCCCTCGGAAGTCAAACGTTCGCCGTACTCCATCATGGACTTGTAATCTTCGGTATAATTGTCGATCTCCTCGCGTATGGATTGATGCTGATTGAGCAGCTTCTCGGCTTCCGGCAGTGATGTGGGCGTGTCCTCTGAGGCGACATCCGTCTGGGTCTTGGTTAGCCAGATCTGGAAGTGATCGAGATCGCGCAGGAAGCGATGCAAATCGCCAGCCTCCTCCAGCTTAGAGTCGCGCTCCTTCAGCATCTGTGTCAGCTGCTCCCAAATGAGTTCGATTTGTGCGATACGCTCACGGATTAGCTGCGCCTCCTCCGGATGCTCCACCTCAATGCTGTCTGCCTCGCGACCCAAGCTCGACAATTTCGCCTGAATTGCGGCCAGATCACGATCCATGCCGCTTAGACGACGCTGCAGTGTCATCACACCAGTTAGATCCATCTCCAGGCTGTCGGTTTCGGTGAGGATGCGTTTCTTGTCCTCGATCCAAGAGATAGTCTCGCGGCATTCAATGTAGAAGGTCTGTACACCGTGGGCGGACTTCAGGTCATCCATCTTGGCCTCGGCCTTCTCGCGCAGCGTCGACCACTCCTGGTTGAGATGATTCTGCCTATCGAGAATCTCATCGGAATTAGGATGCTCGACGTGGAGCAGCTGCCGGGCAAGTTGATTGACGACGGCAACGCGGGAAGCATTTGCATTCATTTCCTTGTCGAAGCCCTCGAAGCGATGCTTCATAATCTCAACATCCTCGATATCTTTGCCGGGCACCATGGTGTCCAACATCTTGGTCTTCTCCTTGATCCATTGCTCGACGCCATCCGCCTCCGACATCAGCTTGTACAGGCTGAGTGCGTCGAGGAGACGCTGTTTGCGTAACTTGGCCAGTTCGGTGAGCTCCTTGTAACGTGAATCGATCGCCTCCAGTCGCTTGTCCACACTTGCCTTCTCCGGCTCGTTGAGCTTGAGGGTGTCGGCCTGTTTGTGCAGGGCATCGATGACCTCGGCATAGTTCTTCAGCTCTTCGGCGACATCCTTGTGCTTCTTGAGCAGCGATTGGACATTGGCTTCGTCGCGACCCACATCCTCACTGGAGACAATACGCAGCGTATCCAACATCCAGTTGTCCACGTCATCGGCATCGGCAAACAGTTGGAAGTATTCGACGGCATTCTCCAGACGCTGACGGCGATACTTGGTCAGATCGAGCAGATGATCCCATTTGGATAGGATCTCCTTGAGGCGATCCTTGATGCGATCGGCCCCAAAGTGACCCTCGGTGATCAGCTCGGCACCCACCTTGGCCACATTCTGCAGTTGTGGATCGTGCGATGTGATCTCCGATTCGAGTGCCTTATGCTTGCTCAGCAACAGATTGACGGTGGTCAGATCGTGACCAATTTCATCCGTTGAGACGATCTGCTCCTTCTCCTTGATCCAGTTCTCCTCGTCGGCGGTGTCCCAATAGAATTGCCACAGTTTGCGGCTCTCCTCAAGGCGACTGCGTCGCTCCACAGCCAGACGCACCAGTTCCGCGTACGCATCCTCCAGCTGTTGGACGCGCGATACAATAATCTCGGGATCGCATGGCTTATACGATTCGGGATCGTCGCTGAGGAACTTCTGTGAGTTCTGCACAACGACCTTGACACGTTCGCCCAGTATATTGATGTCGGCCTCGACCAGCGAGTGCTTCTGCAACAGATCCTCGACGCCCATCAGATGCTTGCCATAGTCGTCAGTCATGAGGAGTTGCTTAATCTCCTCCATGTTGTCCAGAATGTAGAGCATCTCCTGGAAGTTCTGTTGCAGCTGCAACGAGATCTCCAAACGCATGCGACGCGCTCGCAGCAACTCCAACAGATACATCCAGAGACGCTTCACGTTATCCTTGCGCAACAGGATGCGCTTCACATCGTGATAGCGCTCCGATTCGAGCTCATCGCAAACAGCAACAACAGCCTCGACACGCTCCTCATACGCAAAGATGTCCGTTTCGATGGCTTCGTGCTTCTTGGCAGCCGCTTCAACTGCGGCCAAATCGAATCCAAAGTTATCCTGGCTGACGAGACGCTGATTCTCGGATAGCCACGTCTCACGCATGGATGCCTTGCGATCGAAACGGGCTGCCAACTGTTCCAGTTTCTCCTGGCGTATGAGCTCCTCGCGCAGCGCCAGCTCACGCTCGTGCTCGGCCTTCTCCAGACGCTCCCAGGCCTTATTTATGTCCGATATCATTTTGCCCTCCTTGGGCGTATAGGGTTTCTGATTATTGGCGCGCATCTTCGATTGGAGGGTGAACAGCAACACCTCCAGGTTGCCCTTCTCAACGAATTTCGGTGGCTTCTCGATGGTACGATAATTGGAGAATTGCGCCAATTGTCCCTGAACACCGACCAATGAGTTGGCAAACTCACGTTCGCCCAGCGACTCTATCGTCGTCTCGATCCATTTGAGCAGATCGCTGGTGAAGTGCTCATAGTCGTGAATCATCTTATCGTTCTCCATTGCAATACCGACCACCTTGCCAATACGCTTGCCCTGTACCGTCTCCTGCTTCAGTTTGCTGAAGTAGTGATAGTATGTGACCACATACGTAATTATCGATTTCTCGTCGGGATGCTCAACGAAAACATCCTCGGCATCGAGCAGCTTGGCCAAACCGAGCTTATCCTCGGCGACATCGAATGCATTGTTCAGATTGTGTATGGCATTCGTTTTCGACAGCTTCTCGAACTGCACCAGATCTGGACGGTGTTTGTGTATGATCGCATTGAAGGCCAATCCATCGCGCCATGATGTCGTAAAGTTTCGCACATTCACATTATGATAGCCAGCGGTCTTCATCTGGCACCACAGCAGCAATGCATCCTTCGCCGACTTTGTCTCCTTGTTGTCCACCTCCTCAATTGTGATATCTTGTATCTATATATTCAACAAGGCGCAGCAGACACGTCAAAAATGAATACAAATATTGCATAAGGAAAAAAAAGAAACACATCAATTTAGATCAAGATCAAGATCAGAATGAGGGCTAACTAATACAACACTGAGAAAAACTCTATTAACATTTATACAAATCATATAAATAATGATATTACCAACTAACTATGATGGCAATTAACTTTTTTCTCAGTGCTTTGCTCACCTGGAAGCGCAAGATAATTGTCCAGATGAGGCCGAGATTGAGTGAGGCATTGCCATCAACAATATCGTGGGAGCCAATGTTCTCGAGATGGACGCGCTGTTCGCGAAGAAATTGGAGTGCCTTATCGACATTCTCCAGGCAGTGGATGCGCATCTTTCCCTTGGTCGGCTTGGGCAGACGTTCGCCGGATAGCACCTCGAGCAGCTTGATTAAATGCTTGCCATCGCGCATATCCACATAGAGATCGGCGATGCGACAATTGACGCGACACAGATGCGAATTCACCCACTTGGTGAATGTCTTCTTCTGTACGCTCTCGCGCTCCTCGGCGAGCGCCTTGATGCGCGACCTCTCGAACAGTCGCGAACTGGAGTTGCCGCCATCGTATTCGTATTCATCGATATATTCGTTGCCAGGACCCTGGCTGGGGTCCCATCGAACAATTGAAATGTCCGTCGTCATTTTGTTATTGTTATTGTTGTCAGCTCTCTCTTAGTAAATTGTCCACAATTCACACCGCAAAGAATTCAATTTTGTACTCGTTCAATTCCAAACCGAAAATAAATCTCAAAGAATAACTGCAAAAACAAGAAACCAAAACATTTTTTTAAAATTAATTCACTTGTGTTTTCCTCCATTTCCTTCTGTTATACTACCTAAAGTATATATACCAAATTGCTACAGATTAGTCATATATAATTCTGATTGAATTAGGCATATATAGCTGATTTTCTATTTATTTTTATAAAAAATTGTGTCTAAATAGCGAAAGTAACGCTGCAACTATTTAATACTGCACTCTGTGCCACATACAATTCACGTCTGGGCCTAAATATGGGTGGCGGTCGAAACTGTGCTTCCCCTGCCCATGCCCATTTCAGTGGCACTTCCCCTGCCTCTTCGATGATTCATAAGACACAATGGCGTCACATTGAGTGGCCCGCGGGTTCGCCTGGGTCAACTGGCGTCCAAGTCCGATCACCACAATTGTCTCTCACTGTATTTATGCATGCATACACACATATACATACATACATAGATATATAGGCATGTGTGTGTATGTGTGTGTTCATTATTTTGACTTTATAGTTAACGCGATTACATCACGCCCCATCCGCAATGGGGCATTCTCATTCTCATTCCAATTTCAAAGTGTGACAGGTTGTGGGCGAGTCTGGGTTCGGTGTGTGGGGGGTGTGGGGCCGGCGGCACTCATTTAAGTCGCACGGTGGTGAAATTGCAGGAAATTCAATTCACAAAAACACAACAAAAAAAACTATCAGAATGACCGAAATGTCTCATACAAACCAAAAAAAGAAATATATGAGTATGTGTGCCTGATATTTTTTTCAATTTATCTGTATACCAATGGGAACTGTTGTACACACACACACACATATACAGATATATATATATACATATATACAAACAGCTACAAGCCAACAAACATTCTCCAGCTATGCAAGTGTATTTTGACCTTTATTCAAAGCTGAGCAGGTCATTCCCTTCACGCTATATACACACACGCACACACACACACACACACACATGCATGCATGTATGTATCTACGTAGTTGAGGCAATTATGTTTTTTTGTTGTTTTTGTTTAACACATCAGACTTAAAATTGCACTCAAAGCTACTGTTGTTGTTGTTGATGTTGTATTACTGGTTGGTTGCCTACTTGCTGATTTAATTTATGCTCTCGATGGGGTATGAGCTAATTTTGCAACAACAATGTATTGAGAAAAAAATAACAAAACAAAAAAAAGCAAAAGAATTTAGCACACTTCTTTATTCGCATACATATGTATGAGCAGCACACACACACAAACAACAAAAAATCGTATTCACGCAGCTCTATTATCTATTACGTAATATTTTTCTGATTATAACGAAAACGAAGCTTAAAACTCGCCGACAAACTGAAAAGACTGAGATGAGCGGGAGAGCAAGCATAACGAAAACAGAGCGAAAACACCAACAACAACAACACCAGCAGCAGAAACACAAACAAACAAACAAACAGGCGGCACACGCACACAATGAGAGCCGTTCGTGAGAGTGACAAAATGAAAATGGAGAGCGTATCTGTGTAAGGCAGCGAGACAGAGAGAGAGAGAAAGAGAGAGCTAATGAGAGCAAAGAGCGAGTCCAAGCGGAGATTGGTGGTGTTAGAGGGGAGCACAGCAAGCCCAGTAAATGGGGTAGGTTTTGAACTGTGGCAACAGTGGCAACTTTGCAATTATGATTGCATGTCATACGAAAAACATTATACATGTGTATGTATGTGTGCGTGTGTGCTTAAGTTGATCTTGTTAAAAGTGAGTTCATCACATTGATTTGATTAACAGCGAGCAGCAGCAGCAAAAGGCGCGGTTTTTGTTTCTTTTCTTTTTTTCTTTCTTGAAGTTGTGCAACTGCCGTCGATTCAATTCAATTAACAAGGGCAGCGACGTCGACGCTCAATGCAAACCACCACCACAAACGGAGTGAAAACTCCATATTTTAATTACACTGTTTTTTTTCTTCTATTTTTATTTGGAAAAACCTGTTTCGTTCTTTTTTTTTTTCTTTTTTTGTGTGTGTGTTTTAGCTAACAAGCGCTCAAAGCTGTGAGGCTTCTCCAACTCGCTCAGTAATACACACACACACACACAGATGCATACATACATACATACATTGCGAGTACGTGCTTATTAGCTTACAACTGTACAATTTGAGTTATGGCTGTTGATTTGTCATTCTTTAAGGCATAAGCAAGGTGGGCCAAACCTTAATGCACACATACAAAAACACACGCACTCCAAATGGATGTGTGTGTGTGTGTGTGTAGACAAGTGCAGCAGCGATTTTTTTTCGTTCGATTCGTTCATTTTCCACCCATTCCAATGTATCAATAAACAACTTCAATTCAACTCGTGACCTCTTAGAAGGATTTCCTATTTTTATATGGTACGTGTGTGTGTTGTGTGTGTATGTTACTGTATTTCAAAGTGCATTTCGCTGTCAATGGGCGTGTGAGTGAGTGAACACAAAAAAAAAGGGAAAAAGATAGAGATAGCAAGAGGAAGAGCGCAAAAGATAGATGTGTATGTGTGTGTGTGTGCGTTTGCATATGTGTAAGTGCGTATTTGTGTGTACGATTAAAAACATTTCATCTATATATGTATGTGTGCATGTGCATGTGTATTTGTATATGTATATCTTGATTAAATATTGCCTTTTATCGCACATTTCTTTCAATCAGCTCTGACGCAAATGTTACTCAATTTTTATTTTTTCTTCCTTTTTTGCGTTTGCTTTTCAAACTTCATTTACTTGTGTGTTTCATATTTTTGTTTTGATTTTGAGCTTAATGTTGATGCACGAAAAGTATTCGTTCAATATTTATGTAGGGGCACTCAACAACACTCAACACTCAACGGTCAACACTCGACTCGACTCTCACATCTCGCATACTGAACGACGACGAACTGAAAACACTGAATGATGTCATCAACGCCAAGGCAGTGACTGCGACGGCGACTGCGATAGTGCGAGTCGGGGGCAGGCAATTTTAATCGATGATGTTTTTATTATGTATATTCATACATACATACGTACATCTATCGAAGGTGTGATCGTGCATATATACAGAGATTATATATATCAGTTATTTAATAGCGACTAAAGTTACACACTGACTGACTGACTCAACTGACTGGCCCACTTTTTGAATTTTGAGATACTTTTTAGCTCACTTCGTCGTCGTCGTCGTCATTGTCTTCTTCTTGTCACTAGGCACTGGTGTAAGGTACTTGTTCGGTACGACTGACTACTGGGCGTTGGTCTATTTCCCGACGAATTTTTGATATTTTTTCGTTTTTGCGTTTGCCGCCTGTTTTCACTGCACTTTTTTGGGCAACTTTCACTTACCTACTCGACAAACTTACTGTTCAATTTTCTCGAATTGATTCATAAAACACACAATCCATATAGATTCCTCACGTTATATATTTATTTTTATTCACATTTATTCTTTGCGGCCGAGCTTCATTTGCGAGTAAAAAAAAAAGTGACTGCTGAATACGAATGAAAAATGTATCTATCAATGAAAAAAAAAAATACATCGATACATCGATTCCATAAAGACTCGATATATTGTCAAACAACAAGTTGGCAGCACAGCACGAATGACCTCTCCGGCGTATATAGATATACATATATTATAAATGGGAGATGGCTGAAACAAGCGTAGTAAATTTGTAGATATTTTCTTTTGCTTAACGACATGGCGATTATAATATAAGAGTATTGATAACATTACATTAGACCATGCCGATTGAAACTAGCGCTAATTAATACCACACATTGTAATATCGAACTTATCGATATCGACGGCGATGGGATGCAGCCACTTAAGAACTGAGTGGTGATTTCTGTATTGAACTCAACACTGATACGGACGCGAATGCGGGTGCGGATGCGTATTCGACGGATAACAAGCGGCAGACACAGATACGTGACAGTTGCGAAAATTTGGCAACAGGTACCACTGCAAGCCGGTGGCAGCCGTCGATCACGAACACAAACATATCAGCAATGCCTGCCGCCCCGAACGAAAAGGAGGAAAAGGATAAGGAGAAGGAGAAGGGCAAACAGCTGTACGATGTCTCCGAGCGAGTGTTTGCCGCCATGCAGAATCTGGACATAACACTGCTGGCCAGCTATCCGGAGCTAGAGATACGGCCGGTGTTGCCATCGCTGGTGCGGATGAGCCTGCTCTCGCCACTGGACAACACAACGTCATCGATGGAGTCACGCAAGGAGATCCTCGCTGTCCTCATTGGCATCGAGGTGGTGAACAGCATTGTTTCCTATTTGCAGGTCAATTACCATGAACTCGAGAACGATCTGAAGAAGGAGCTGCTGGTGCGTCAGAAATCGTCCAGTGCCAACAATGGTAATGGCAACAATGGGAACAACGGCTTCGCCGGCGAAACGCAACCACAGCCGGAGTACGGATTGCAGTCGGGCATTGCTCTCGGATTCGAGCGGGCGGATGTGGCGCGCAAGGTGCGTGTTGTTCTCTCCGAGATATTTAGCTTGCAACAACAGGTATCCGGTTCGGCGACGCCCAGTTCTGGCTCTGGTTCGGGTTCCGGTTCTGGGTCGGATTCTGGTTCGGGTTCGGGTACCGCCTCCGAACCGAAGCCATCATCTTATGCTGCATCATCGACTGGCAAACCGGGCTACCTGGAGATACTCGACGATGGCATCTATCTGGAGGAGGTCGTCGACATCCTGTGCATTGCCCTCGCCGAGCTGCCATCGCTGCTCAACATCCTGGAGCTAGTCGACGCCCTCGTCACTGTGCCGAACGGTTATCGGATCATTTGTGCACTGGTCGCCAATTTTCCGGATTGTTATCGTGATGTTGTCTCGCACGTGATAGCCAACTATTGTGATGACAAGGGTCGCAAGCAGCGACTCCTGCTCCTGATGGCCCTAAGCGAGATGAATCCATCGCAGGCGTTGGTCAATCGCTCCATGTGCGTCGAAATGATGAAAGTGCCTTCGTTTATGCTTAAGCTAGCGCTCAAGCATACCGATGACCTGGTGAGGCATTTATTGATTCATTACCCGAATGATTGATTGATTGACTAACTGACTGACTGACTGATTGATTGATTGACGTTTAACAAAGTAGTTTTCTTGTATAGCTTTCTAAATATTGGCATCTCTGTCTGTCTGTCCTGGATTAGGTTGCCTTCCTCACTGGCCTGCTGCTGGGAAACGATCAGAATCTTCGCTCATGGTTTGCACTCTACATCCGCTCCAGCCAGAAACGCAAGGGCGACGCACTAAATCTGGTGCGTGTCGAGCTGCTGCAAAAGATCGTAAAGATCACCGCGAAGGCATCCGAACTGAAGGACTTCAATCTGCAGGGTGCTGTACTTTTGCGCCTGTATTGCGCCCTTCGCGGCATTGGTGGCCTCAAGTTTAATGACGACGAGATCAATGCACTCTCGCAACTGGTCACCAGTTGCCCCAAGGCAACGCCATCCGGGGTTCGTTTTGTGACGCTGGCACTGTGCATGCTTATCGCGTGTCCATCGCTGGTGTCCACCATTCCGCTGGAGAACAAGGCTGTCGAATGGCTGCAGTGGCTCATACGCGAGGATGCTTTCTTCTGTAAACGTTCCGGGACGAGCAGTTCCCTCGGCGAGATGCTCCTCCTGCTGGCCATCCATTTTCACAGCAATCAGATAACGGCCATCAGTGAAATGGTCTGCTCCACGCTGGCCATGAAGATACCCATCCGGCCGAATAGCACCAATCGCATTAAGCAACTGTTCACACAGGATCTGTTCACCGAACAGGTGGTGGCATTGCATGCGGTTCGGGTGCCTGTCACACCCAATCTGAATGGCACCATACCCGGCTATCTGCCGGTGCACTGCATCCATCAGTTGCTCAAATCGCGCACATTTCTCAAACACAAAGTGCCGATTAAATCGTGGATCTTTAAACAGATCTGTAGCTCGGTGCGACCGGTGCATCCGGTGATGCCGGCCCTGGTTGAGGTATATGTCAATACACTGATCATACCGAATCCCACCGGCAAGGTGAGCATCGATCATATGCATCGACCCTTCACCGAATTGGAAATTTTGCACGTATTTCGTACCTCGCCGCTAACAATTTTTGCGGAGGAGCTGCAACCGTTGGCGGCCAGCGATGAGCTTGCCCAGGTGGAGGTTAGCTGCCCGTTAACATCGCAACTGCTGATGATATACTATCTGATGCTGTACGAGGATACGCGTCTGATGAATCTCAGCGCACTCGGTGGCCGCAAACAAAAGGAGTACTCCAACAATTTAATGGGCGGCCTCCCGCTCAAATATCTCTTGCAGAAGGCACATCAGTATCACAGCGATTATCTGTCACTGTTCCATCCGCTGTTGCGTCTCATCATCTCCAACTATCCGCATCTTAGTATGGTCGACGATTGGCTCGAGGTCGAGGAGCACTATTTGCTTGCCAGCAGCAACAACAGCAGCAGCAGCAGCCTCGAACCAGGTCGTTACGACCTAAAGCCGGAACTGCTCAGTGGGGCACTGGAGACCATCGAAACGAAGCCACAGCTGGCGATACAAGTATTTAAGCGTCTGTTGCAGCTGCCACCCGAGTCTTTGGCACAATATGCCCATCAGTTGGTGCAGCATCTGCCGGTTGTCTTTGTGCGGGATGTGCCGCGCTATGTCAAGGATCTGTATCATGATCTCTGGCTGCGCCTCAACGCCGTTCTGCCCACCACCTTCTGGATTATGTCGTTGCGTGCGATCAGCAACAATGCGGACACTCTAACGCGACGCACCTTCGCCAATGAGAGCCTGCTGGAGCCGATGGATGTGCTCGGGTGCGTTTTCATATATTCCTCTCTCTCTCTCGCTTTCTCTTTCTAATAATGAATCCATTTGTATTTGTTTATAGTTGCCCACGACACGTGTTCTGCTCGCCATATATGCTGGTTATCCTGTTGCGCATATTGAAGGGCAGTCTGGCTGCCTCAAAGACATACCTCAATGTCCACATGCAACAGAAACAGGTGCTCGACAAGAATGGATTAGTGCAAACGGATGCGGATCGGGAGGAGCTGAAGACGACACTGATTGCATCGCAGGAGAGCGCAGCTGTGCACATTCTGCTCGAGGTTCTCGAGTATATGGATAGCAAGGCGGTGACGCGAGTTTCGCAACTGGAGCTGCGCGAAATACAGGGCATCATTGGGACGTATGTGCATCAGGCGTTCATATCGGAGCCATCGCTGGCCAAACTGGTCCACTTCCAGACGTATCCCAAATCGGTGATACCAATGATTGTAGCCAGTGTGCCGTCGATGCATATCTGCATTGATTTCGTTCATGAGTTTCTCAATGTAACCGAAATGAATAAGCAACTGTTTACCATTGAGCTGACATCGCATCTTGTGCTCAACTATTCGATACCAAAGAGTTTGGGCATCTCCAAGTTCTGCCTGAATGTCATCCAGACGACACTGTCGCTGCTCACCTCGTCGGCCAAGTGTAAATACCTGAAGAATGTGTTGCCAGCCATGGTGCGTTTTGTCGAAACGTTTCCCATTCTCGCCGACGATTGCATCAACATTCTGATGAACACCGGACGCAGTCTTCACTCGCAATCCTCGCTGGGCGTCACCACAATGCAAATGCCACTCACCGAGAGTGAAAAGCTGTGCTCCTATCGCGATGCCCAGCTCCACATCACGATGATCGAGGACGCGTTCAAAGCGCTAGTCGAGGCGGTCATGCAAAAGGCGGAACTCTACTAAGCCAGGGCACAGACCTATGTCCAAAAGACTTTATTCAACAATTTAATTATACATATACCTATATATATATATATATATATATATTCGTTAAGCTAAACTCTAAAAAGCAAAACAGTTGCCCAACAACGAGGATTAAGTCAGAAAACCACTAAATGTAAAAATAGGGATTATGTGAGCGTTAATCATGAAATCATATGCTAGGCAAAATCGAGAACTATGTCAGGAAGCACTTCTTATTATTATTATATATATATATAGTTTAAGTCAAAAATGATGTTTAAATTACCTTTGTACCTTTTCCCACTTCGATCAGTCAGTAAAGCAACTTTTTCAACAAACTGCGAGTGATTATTTCTTGTTGCATAAGCGTAGCTACCCTGTACTGTAAGGCTGCGTTGGGTATGTTGGACTCAAGTCACTCTAGTGCTACAGAAGTCTGACGATGTCTGTTCGCAGTGATCTCATTAAAACTGCTTCTGCATTGCATTTCTATTTTTGTGATATACATTTTTTTATATATTTTTTTTGTTTAATTTTATTATTTTACAACTAACGGTATTTCTTGCCTTTACATATATAACATGTAAAAAAAAATAGAATTAAGGAATAGTTTAAAAAAAAGAAACGTCGAACATGAATGCAGCTGCGCCAGCAGACGGGATCAGGCCAAATCCGGGCAAACAGCAGACAAGAAGCTGACACAACCAGCAGCAATTGAATCGTTCGAAGGGGGGAATAAATGCGAAAGAAAACCCGGCATGGGCACAAGGCGGAGTATGAAGAACCTGTATCCACTTCGAGCACATATGTTTGTGTGTTTGTTGTTGTTGTGTGCTGAGCACGGATTGCCCGCAAGCCGTAGTCTGGCGTCGTTCTGCATCCATGCGCTTAAACATATGAATGGTGTGTGTTTGTGTGTGTGTGTGTGTGTAGGGATGGGTGTGCGTGTGTGCGAATGTGTGTACTGATTACATCATGCCACCCATACCGCCCATGCCACCCATGCCGCCCATGCCACCCATACCGCCCATGCCAGGAGCAGCATCCTCCTTGGGTATTTCGGTGACAACAGCCTCAGCGGTGGTCAGCAGCGAGGCAACACCGGCTGCATCAGTGATGGCTGTGCGCACCACCTTGGTGGGATCAATGATGCCCTTCTCGATCAGGTTGCCATATTCGCTCTTGAGCGCATCGTAGCCATAGTCACCCGATTGGGTCTCCACCTTGGCCACAACCATGGCGCCATCGACACCAGCATTCTTGGCAATTGTCATGCAGGGCATGCGCAGTGCTCGACGCACAATGTCCACGCCCAGGTTCTGTAAGAAAGTGAAACGAGATTGATGAGATTAAGGAGGACTAGGCGAATGGCCATGCGAGTTGGGTACCTGATCCTCATTCTGAGTGGCGACGGCATCCAGTTTCTCGATGCAGCGGAGCAGAGCGGTGCCACCGCCGGGCACGATGCCCTCTTCAACGGCAGCGCGTGTTGCATTCAATGCATCATGGACGCGATCCTTCTTCTCGTTGACCTCCACCTCGCTGGAGCCACCGACGCGCAGCAGCGCAACGCCAGAGGCGAGACGTGCCAAACGCTCCTGCAGCTTCTCCTTCTCGTATTCGGAGGTGGTGTCGGTGATCTGTTCCTTGATCTGATCGACGCGACGCTGCACATCCTCCTTCTTGCCCTTGCCCTTCAGCAAGAGTGTGTCATCCTTGGTGACGACCACCTCACCCACTTGGCCCAAATCGCTGATCTTGACATCTTCGAGCTTGACGAGATCGGCATCATCACCGAACACAATGCCGCCCGAGGCGATGGCCATATCGGTCAATGTTGACTTGCGATTATCACCGAAACCAGGTGCTTTGACGGCGGCCACCTGGAGACCGATCTTCAGGCGATTCACCACCAGAGTGCTGAGTGCCTCACCATCGATGTCCTCGGCAATGATGACCAGCGGCTTGCGCTGCGAGTTGGCCAACTCGAGGGCGGGAATGATGCTCTGCACCGAGGAGATTTTCTTCTCCGAGAGCAGCAGGAGGGCATCCTGGAACTCCACCTTGGCGCCCTTTGACGAGTTGATGAAATACGGCGAAATGTAGCCGCGATCGAATTTCATACCCTCAATCACCTCCAGCTCATCGATTAGGGTTTTGCCATCCTTGACGGTGATGACGCCATCGCGTCCCACACGCTTCATCGCATCGCTGATTAGTTTGCCGATGGCCAGGTCACCGTTCGCCGATATCGTTGCCACCTGGGCAATCTCCTCGGGCGTCTTCACCGGCCGCGACATGCTCTTCAGATTCTCCTTGACGGTGTCCACGGCCAGCATGACGCCGCGACGGATCTCAACGGGATTGGCGCCCTTCGAGATCTTCTCGAAACCCTCCTTGGCAATGGCACGGGCCAGCACTGTGGCGGTGGTGGTGCCATCGCCGGCCTCCTCATTGGTATTATTGGCCACATCCTGGACGAGTTTGGCACCAATGTTCTGGAATTTGTCCTTGAGCTCAATGGATTTGGCCACCGTCACTCCATCCTTGGTGATTTTGGGCGAGCCCCACGACTGCTCGATGATCACGTTGCGACCCTTGGGTCCCATGGTGACGGCCACGGCGTCCGCTAGCACATCAACGCCCTGCAGCATCATGGCGCGCACCTCGGGTCCGAATTTGACATCCTTTGCATAGCGGCGCAGCGCCACCTGGCGGCTGATGTTGGTGCGTGCAAGTGAAATTGGTAGGCGGAACATCTGCGAGAAGCGATAACAGAAAAAATATCGATGAACGAATGGAACTCAACACGTGCTCGCTAAATGAACTAACAGCAGTTTTTCAACTTTATTAAATACACTTTAATTTTTCAAACCCCCCTCACATACCCAGAGAGATAAGACAATGTCACGACCTGTCGCACCCCTTTACAGTGGTATCGATAACGTTTTATGCGAGAAACTCTTCCAGAACAAATCATTTATGTAACCCACATGTGCATGTGTATGTGTGTGTGTTGATGCAATGTTTTGGCTTGTTATGAAATACTGGGTAAAAATTTCCCGTTGCCATACAATAAATACAGAGTCCAATTAGCACTCTCCCTTTCTCTCTCTCTCTCTCTGTCGTTCACGTGTAGTAAGCATATGTTTAATCAACTTGCATCAGCGTAAAACCGGCAAGGAAAAAGAAAAAACATGTGCGTTCGCTGCTGTTACGTGAGTGTGTGTGTGCGCCTGAAGGCAATTTCCAAGAGCGGAATATGCACCGTTGCAAGTGATAGCAACACACACACCACTCATGGCAGAAGGGAGCCCGCAGTTGTGATCTTTTGTGATTTAAGATTAACTTATGAATGCCCATTGATTCTTAATTGGAAGGTTCTAGAAACAAGCTTGTCGCTCGTCCGCTTTACCGGCTCTCTCTTATATAACACACAAAACGCACGCAAAACAATGAGAATGCAACTTTTTTGCGCACACACACGCGGTATTTTTACGTAAATGAAAAAGTTGCTAAAAAAAAATATGTTACTTACTTTGATACTGCTTTTTATTTGAATATGAATAGAGTTCACAAAAAATATGTGTCTGATATTTCCGATTCAAATATGATGTAAATTAACAAGCTCACTTGCTCCAAATGTGCCGCAGACGGACTCCTAACCTTAGCAAGACTTTTGAATGAGTGAAGTGACCAATGTGACCGCTGTCGACAATAACGAAAATCACCTAACTTCAGTATTTTAATACTGAAAGCCAACTTAACGAACAACGAACGATAAGAATCGATCATTGAGAAGAATTTCGAGCGCGTTATGGTTGCGAATGTTTATTTGAATAAAAAAAGGAACGTACGCTTACCTCTAGTGTTAATAATTTGTATTATTTGCTCCAATCCAAATAAGTGAGTGTGAATAATATGTAAAAGTTAATTTTGGAGTATTAATTTTCTTAATCTTTCTTGCACGAGCGCTTATGAACGAGAAACCAATGTGACCGCTGTGGCCGTGAACGAAAACTATCTAAATTCAGTATTTTAGTACTGGCAGTCAACTTAACGAACAACGAACAACAATAATCGATAATCGATAAGCATTTAGAAAACGTTATGTTTATTTGAATCAAAAAGTAACGAAAATGTCTCTCAATTGTTTATAATTTGTATTCTTTGCTCCAATCCAGCAGTTATGATTCTAACCGTACTCATGTACTCCATTAAAGCATCTAAGTCAAAGGGGCCCTGTCTGTAAAATATAATATATGGTAACAATAATACGTTTAAGTGAATTTTTGAGCATTAATTTACTCAAGCTCTTTTGCATGATCGCTTATCAGCGAGAAACCGTTTTTGCCATTGGCCAGGTATTCCATGACAACCAGGCGATATTCCTGATGCCGTTGCAATGCCTGATATTGGGGTATTGAGCAATTGGCACAACGCACCAGTAAACTGGAAATACGTTGACCTGGCTCCGATCTAAGATTGTAGCTGATCCTTAAGCCAGAGACTTGCAGGAAACGCTTGGATGATGGTGCAGACAGACTGGCATTCATGGAAGCTACACTATCCTCCAGCAGCTGCCACAAATGCTCGCCACTCAAAGTCAATGCATACAATCGATTCTCCCACGGACACATTGCAACCAGTTGCTTATACGTTATGTCTATCCCAAGAAGAGGACATTAACGAATAATTGTGCATATATATATCAAATATGTACCTACTGCCCGCTGGTATGTCCACACGAAAATTACCCTGGCTGGTCAATGCAATCGACACATTGCTCCAATTGCTCGCCTCGGCAGCGGCATCCTTAACGAACTGCAAAAGCTCAAGGATTAGCAATTATTTAATTTCAGATACGATTACGACTGTGACTTACAGCATAAAGCATGGCATCCGTATAGAAATTACCCAAATTGCATTCGCCTCGGGCGCACTCCGATTGCTGCAATTGGACCCGACTCTTGCCCACAATCCGATTGGATTCGTCCTTCAATATGTCCTGCCAGGGCTGCAGTGCCAAGATAACCTCATCAGCTTCGATATGAAAGTAAATATAAGGATATAGTTATATTTTCGATCGGTATTTGACTCATGTGTGTGTCTATAAATTAATATTTCGACTGACACCTCGACTGATTGATTGATTGATTGATTGGCTAACAGGTCAAATGATTTATTAGCTGCTTAATTGATTTCCAGATCTTTCCTGGCTGAAAACCCCAAACAATTAAACTAAACAAAATTTAATATTTATTTAAATTAATTTTAATTTTATTTAAAAAAAAATGACAAAAATATAAGTTCCAGAAATGGTGCTTATGGTTGGATAATTATGCGCTGCTCGTGACCCGTGTAGATGGGACTAATGTTGCCGGTGTACGAGATGAGCGCATCCACATCCGTAACGCCAATTCTAAAAAAAAACACACGAAAAAAGAAGGATTACTTCCGAGGCGGGGAGCTGGAGGGCTGTGTTCAGTTCACTTACTGAATATCGGTGCCTCCGGTGAGCATGGAGAAACCATCGCCGCCACCCTGTAGAAAATCTGGGGTAACAATGCGATACACTTTCGTCGGCTCCAAGGGCTCATAGATGGGCACATTGCAGTCGGCGCAACGTGCTTTGACATCAACGACTCGCGAATTGACCGGCTTGGTGTAGTCATAGGTGACCTTGAGGCCGGACACTTGCATATAATACATCGAACTGTACACCCCATTCGCCAGATCGATCTTGCTAACCGCGTACTCCAGAGCCGCAATCACATTGCTGCCCGGAAGATTGTAGGCAACCAATTTGTTCTCGAACGGCGACATTGTCACCAGGTGCGCATAGGTCAGATCTATGGTGGAAAGGGTTTTGCTGGATGTTGGATTCGATTGGTGTTGTCTACTTACTGCCGCGGAATAGTGGTACTCGCAGTCCACCCGTGGCCGCCAGTCCAATCGACACATTCGTCCACTCCTTCTGGTCAAAGGGCGTCAGTCCCGCAAACTGCAATCCAAAGAGGATGTTCATTTAGTGGGAACAGACTGGGACTAGCGAGGAGAGATGCTCACCGAATGAATCATCGCATCGCAGAAGAAGTTGCCCAAATTGCATTCCCTGTCGCTGCAGTCGTTCTTGGTCAGATCGACCACGGTGCGTCCAACCACCACTTTGCCCTGCTCATCGATTATCTCCTTCCAGGGCACCAGCTCCGCCAGCACTGTTTCATCTGCACAGCAAGAACAATTGGCTCTAAATTGGCAACGTGAATATTGCAAGCTATGAAGACTACGGTTTCCCGAAATAAACCTCTAGAAATAGGCCTCTAGAAATAGGCCTTTGGAAATAAGCCTCTAGAAATAAGCCTCTTGGAATAAACCTCTAGAAATGAACCCCAAGCAAACAAGCCTCTAGAAATAAGTCTCTTCAATTAAACCTCTAAAGATATGCTTCTAGAAAAAAGTGAAATTCCTCGCTCTCAAAATGACGTCAACTCTCTCGTCTGCCCGATCAAGATAATGAACATATTTATATATATATATAGTTACTATCTGCCTTTTGTTTGCGGTTTGATAAATGTGCGATAAAAACAAAACATGCGCCATAAATGGGATCAATATGAGAACACATTTTCGACTATATCTAGCATGTTTCCCATCCGATCTTGATGATATTTGTCCACTGTATCAATAGTATGCATATGCTTATTATATGTTAATAAAAAGCCTTTGCATACGAGAACCTGTATTCCAAATTTGAAGTTTCTAGCTCTTATAGTCTCTGAGATAGACGAAAGACCGGCGGACATGGCTAGATCGAATCGGCTGTTGATGCTGATCAAGAATATATATGCTTTTTACCCATTTTCAATGGCTGCAGGGCATGAAAAGTTGAAGGAACTCACCCTCGGGCACATCGTGGGCCATGTAGATGGGTGCACCCTCAAAGTCGAGTATGTCGCCGTTGGCATCGAAGTAAACGGTTAGATTGCCGACATATTTGGCATAGGCGCCCGCCTGCACGATGAGCACCCGATGGCCACTGAGCTGATGGGTCACCTGTGTGGGATAATCGCCACGTGGCTTATCCGGTCCCGGTGCCACATCGCCCGTAAAGAGAAACGTGTGCGAATGGGAGCCGATGATTACATCGATCACATCGCCCGCATTTGCAGCGATCACTTTGTCCACCTCGTAGCCGCAATGTGAGATCACAACGATGATATTGGCGCCCTGGGCCATCAGCAGCTGGGCCTCTTTGCGAATCGCGTCGCTCTCGTTGCTGAAGATCATGTCGCCCGTGTTGGCCAAGTCCTGCAAGCGATGCAAAGTTGAGAGAGCTGCTCGACTGCCTATTGCCTACTCTGTCCGAAAATACTTACGTAGGTTGTCTCAAGGATGACGCCAATGAGTCCAATTTTGCGACCGCTGCGCTCAATGATCTTCGACTTTTCGTAGAGGCCCTGCGCTGTGGGCTCGTGGGCGCTGTCCATGTTGGCCACCAGCATGCTGGTGTCGACCGTCTCCAAGAAGGGTACCAGACCCTCGATGCTATGATCGAACTCGTGATTGCCCAGCGTCTGCGCAAGTACGCGAATTAGATGGGATCGGCAAATGGGGTACTCTTTATACAAACCATTGCATCCGCTGGCAGCAGATTGAGGAACTGCTGGGTGACATTCCAGCGTCCGATGTTGTACCAGAGCGTGCCCTGGAAACTGTCGCCCGCATTGATATAGATCGGATTCAGATCCTTCTGTTCGTTGAGGAGTCGCTTCACCGTATAAACGGTACGCGCATAGCCACCGATGCAGTCTTCCCCCTCTTCACAGATGCCGCCGCTGGGATTTGTGGGCTCGAATCTGGATTTCGGCAAAATTGGATGCGCATTAACATAACTTAATGTTTAGTCAATCATGTGGTGTGCAGGTGATTGGGTATTGGGTGTGGAAGGTGGGCAATTGAAAGTGGGTGTTGTGTTAGCCACACAATCTTTATCGATGATGTTGATGAACGCTGACGAATGGTTAGGCACTTAGCCTAGTAAATAATGTCGCACTTGATTATAATTGAACACGGTCACTTGTCGATGCTATCTTAAGCTTGATATATGAATGGTGACATTTGAGTACCTGATTTCGATAACGATATATATTTATATAATGATAATCAAATATGATTGGACGTGCTTAGCTGGCAGGCCACTTACCTCGCGTGTAAATCGTTAATGTGTATTATAGATAAGGGAAATCGATCCTCCGCCTTGACGACATCTGGCACACTGGCCCCACAGATAATCATGATCAAACCGAGCACCCAGATCATATTCTCGGTCATCTTGAGATGCAGTTGTACAGTTGGCACGCAAAAGAGGTAGATATAGTTGGGAGAGGTGCCTTGAGCAGCGTGGCTAATCCCTCCGCTGGCTGTAGTATGACTGACGGCCAGCGAACGCTGACCGAGTTAACAAAACAAATAAAATTGCCAATACTGGTAATATGAATGATTTATATATGTGTCGTTTATCAGTCAGTGTTATATGACTGACCGCTATTAATTGTATACTTTAGAATGAGCTGTACTTAATATAGATACATGCATATATACATAAACCAAATACTCATTGTAGTTTTACACATTTTTGCAGCTAGTACATTGAAATTAGCATTTGGCGCGGTTGGCATTTGAATGATGTTCGTCACTAATTTGATATCGGTGCTAATGCCAAAGCTTATCTGGAGATTATCGGGAGATAAGTGCACGGCTTAATCAACTCACTTATTTTCGCTATTTATGGGAATGTGTTTGCCATTCATTCAATTTGCGAAACACGTACACGTATCGATCAATTTCAATTTTTTTTTACTAATTCACACTTAACTAATCAGACGCACTTTTGTCCTTCTCTGTTTATAATTTTGTATCGATATCGATAAACGGCGATGTATCTGATTGGACTTACGGTTTTCGGTGACCTTTGATCGTACTTCGCATATTATATATATATAAATGTATATTTTGTAGTATAATTTTTATTGACAATAGAATTTGGAGCTCGTCGTGGAATTACTCGTAGGTATAAAGCACAGAATATATAATGTATGTTGATGATTTTTCGTTTTGCAAGTATTTTGTAAGTATTGTATATAAATATATAATGTATATGTATCGTGTATATATATAAATTTATCATATATACATATACAAATGTATATATATATATAATATGAATATATATTATTATTATAATTATTATTATTAATTGCTTAGCTTAAAGCACAGAGAATTTTGATATGGGAATGATAAGAGCATTCTGCATTCGGTGATTGGCGCCTCGCACTCAATTGTGGATAGGGGGAGCAAGAGGAGATTACATTTTGGCATCGGTATATATATATGTATATATATATATATATGTATATATTGGGTAAAACGCAAAGGCAACGAGCGAATGAGCTACAAACACATAAACATGGCAAATAAACAATAAATGACTAGAAAACTAAAAAGAACTCCCTGATTTTCTTAGGGTTGCGGGATGTGTGTGTGTGTGTGTGTGTGTGTGGGGGGGTTGGGGGGGGGGGTTATGGAATCTGGGATATGGGTGTCTAGTGAAAGACATCCATGAAGGGAAAATGTGCCTGCTCCGGCTCGAGAAGATCGACCAGAAAGCAAACGGTGCCAGCGACACCCTCATACAGGCTATGCGGACGATCGGGAACGCGAGCGCGCTGCTTGAACTCCGAGTTGGTCAGCAACTCCATGAATTTGTGCGCCCGATACAGGTACTTCATTTCGTTGGTCAGGCGGAAGAGCAGCAGGAAGACATACGCATTGCCGGCAACGCCATGACAGATGCCCGGCCCCTTGCGCAGGAAGCCCTGCTTCCAGACAAGATCAGAGGCGCGACGCAGCGCGATCAGATACTTGTCCTCCTTGAATATCAAATAGGCCTTGGCCAGCACATAAACGGCGCCGGGTGCGCCATGGCACCAGTGCACCAAACGCTTATCGCGTCCCGATCGCAGATCCTCCAGCGCAACCGGAAAATTACCCTCGCCGTCCTGCAGCTCCAGAAAGAAGTCAATGGAGCGCTTGATGTCGCGCAGCTCAGCGGCCGGCGCCGAAATGGGTACGGTGCGGAACCAGGGACTGTCTAGGAGCATGTGCAATATGGCGCACAGGCCATGGGCAGCACCCAAATACTCAGTGCCATGGTATTGATACATCAGCGGCAGCGGTGAGTTGTTCAGTTTGCTGTATTCGCGTCCGCTCGTGATGATCAGTTGGCAAATGGAGGTCAGGTCGTCGTCGGTGATCTTCTTCTCGGGCAGCACATCGTTCAGCCAATAGCAGCCGGCCAGGTAGCCGGCACGGCCGACGAGAACCTCATCGCAGCCGTATTTGGTGTGCATGAACTCCTTGCTGGAGGGTATGCCCGACTTGAAGTTGGCCAAGTCATTCGACAGCTCCTCAATGTCCTTGGCCTCCTGTGAGATGGCCGCCGACACGGCGTAGATGCCAGCGTTGCCGCACAGAAACGAATAACGTTCCGCCGACCGCTTCTTGTAGCGTTTGGCATTCACCTTGGCGTTGCGTATAAAGGCAGCGGCATGCTCCAAGCCCGGATAGAGATCGCGTGTCTGTTCGCAGATGTGTAACTTCCAGAACATGTAGGCGATGCCCGCATTGCCCAAATACAGATCGCCGCGATTGTCCTCCTCATCGTTATTGGGATGACAATGCTCCAATATGGCATCCACATAGGTGCATATCAACGTCTTGATGTGTTCCTCGTCGGTGGCAAACGGTGTGCTCTCGCCGCCCGAGAAGTCCGCAAACGGATTCTTCAAATAACGACGCTCCATCTCCCAATCCACTGCTGCTGCTGATGCTGCTTCTTGTTCTGCCAGGCCCAGTTTTCCCTGCTGCGCAACGTTCACAATTGTTGCAGTTGTTGTTGTTGTTGTTGCTGTGCCTGTGAAAATGTCTTGCAATGTTATCGTTTATCGCGTATCGATTTGCCGGCATAGTGGCGGAGAGGCAGAGAGCAAGGACGCTGGGCGCGGTCTGGCTGGGTGTCTGCACCGGTCTAGGCCGGCTTATTTGCTTGCTTGCTTACCCGTCTCAGGTGTCCTTCGAGATTTGTGACCTGATGAATAGCTGCGACTGCTCGATATTGTTGCTGTTGTCCTTATTTTGCGCACCTGCAACACGTTTATGCACTCAATTATAATTAAATCAATTTCATACCACCAATCAAAATTAATATTTAATGTTCTGTTTTGTTTTGTTATTTGGTAGTCGAAATGAGAATTAAAATTTGTGTGACACTGTTGCCAAGGCAAACGATTTTAAGCTCTAAACTTTTGCATATATCCTGTATAGCTCGACTACTCATTACCCTTCCAACGTTTATACATCGTTTACTACGCTTTTATTTCGACACTTTTATGCGATATTTTTCGATATATCGCCGCATATCGCAATATGCAATCAACCGGCATTTGCGATATCAAAGGAAATATGCGAATATAAATTTATATACGTATTTACGTAATTATATATATATAGTTATTCACTGTATTATTTTTACAAATGCTAAACAGAAAATACTATGAATAAAGATGGTCACTCATTATATAAATGCTTTGCATAAATGCCCATATCTTCTTCAAAATTGCTGCAAGCGTTAAAGTACTCTTTAGCAGCCGATAACGATAGAAGATGAATGGTATCGATACCGCTGCTACACACATAAAATGAAAGCATTTAAATTTTGTTGGCTTAAGCCGGCTTTATTTAAATATTTTTATATCATAATTCATAAGGTTTTTGCATCACACAACGGCTATAGTTCGTTTAGTTTCTACGGCTACCGCCCATAATGGTCGCAATCCGTATGAATATATTCAATACGTCCAAATAGATGGACATTGAACTGAAATAAAATTATAACAATTAAGAATTACTCAATCATTTTCTTGGTCATTAAATAAAATACGTACGCATTAATGGGGTCGAAGGGCGCATACGCATATTGAGGACACACCTCCGCTTTGCGAACCAGCCGCTGAGTGTCGTAGAGCAGAAATCCGCTGAAGAGCAACAAGCCGCCATAGAGAGACATTGAGGCCAGTCCTATAAAATGAGATGATGGATACAGTGAGCAATGAGAGGGTAACATATATATACTTATATATATATATATTTTAAATTGCCCACTTACCAGCGCCAATCATGGTTGTAGGTGGCAGCCACATCGAGGCAAGCGATGAGGCAAATACAACACCAAGGCCAATGGCCAGTGGTCCACCCATATACAAGAATTTATCGTTTGGAGCACAAGCAGCGATCGTGGACAGGCCACCGACAATGCCACCCGTGTAGAGTGCAGCGCGCGTTAGGATCGGACCGCCCAGAAAGCATAATGGCGCAATGACACCGCCCAAAATGGCACAGTGCAGCGCCCAGGCGAGATGCTTGGGACCCAATCCCTCCTGGTATTGCATAGAACGTGTCACCGCACCGCTGCCAATGACAAGCGCCAGTGAAGCGCATGTCCACTATGAGAAATCAAAAACAACAAACACGTTTACATACAGCGATGCCGGGATCTATACAGACTGTGTGTGTTTCTCAATGTATTTGGTGATCCACAAGTGGAGACGAAACTTACCAGCAGACCGCCACGAGAGGCCAGCGAGAGTAGGCGTGGCGAGCGAAAGACTGCTGCTGCCGAAGCAGCCGTCAGTATGCAAGAGCTGCCAAAGAAGGCGTATGTCGACTGAATGCGATCCTTAACATATTGCGGCCACATGCTGATGAAAAACATCGGGATTTCATTAGAATACTTTAGACGTGGAGCCTAGCACAGAATGGACACATATATGATAGAGGTAGGAAACGGAAAGTGGATTTGAAGAAAAACTCCTTCTGCAATTCATTCCACTCGTTCCGTGCTCCACTCTAATATATATACATATGTGTACATAATAAATGACGATGATTGCTCTACTCACATGGCGTTGTCTGCAATGCTAGTCTCTTTGCCCATGCCGACGCCGTAGTAGCAGAGTGCTCCGAGTCCAACGACCGCTGCTCCAGCTGCTGCTCCTTTGCCCAATGAATAAGCTATGAAAAAGACATTGAACAGACATTGACATTGACACAAGAAGATGCACACTCAAACAGACACACACTTACCGTTGGCACTTGGTGGCGACATTAGCTTCTCCTTGAGTGTGGGTGCGCGTGTTGGCACTGGTGTTGCCTGGACAGGTGCACGAGTGCTGCGCACGGGACCACGGGCATAGCTGCGCACGATGTTGAGAGTGGGCTGCGATTTGAGAAATGCCTGCGAGGATTTGGCTGTGGCCACAAGGAAGCTGCTCGGACGAGCCGTTGACAATGCAAGTCTTAGCAACATGTTATTGTTTTGATGAAATTCGCACTGGTTGAAAAGATGGTTTAGTTCGTTGCTGTTGTAGTTGTTGTTGTTGCTGCCGCTGTTCGTTCAATTTAAAATTGTTTACTGTAAGCGTAGCATTAATTGCGTGCTGCTTTATTTATTTTGATTTTTCTAGAATTTGTTACCTACTCACTTGCACTTGAAAATCGAAAATGATTTGCACAGCTGACGGCTGATGTGTATCGATGGTAGTTATCGATGTTTTGTGAAATATCGTAAAAGTGAAACAACCCTGTTTTATACAAGGCGCCTTTGGGTTAAAAAGTTTTCAAGATTTTTTTTGCTGTTGCTTGTTTTGATTTTTTGTATAATTTTGCTTAACAATTACATACATACACAAATCATATATAAATATATATATATATGGAGAATTCAAATTATGGGACGCAGACAATACATTACGATACTAACTAATTATGGCCTATTCGATACAATCACACTACATATAACGCATAACAACAACAGGATCTAACGGTCTACACCTGATACTGACGCACGGGCACTGCGGGCTTATCGGGTGAACCACTTGGACGCAGCTCCTTGCTGATGACAATCACCTCGGTGACGTTAGATGTGCGCAAATTGCCAGCATGATCGTACGTATTGGTCTGCTCCAGTTCTCCCTGCGCACTTGCCTCGTACGTCTTGCACTCGTACAGTGGACAACATTTGGGATATCCCAGATTCGCATCAGTTGGCGGCAGGACATTACAATCGCCCTGTAGCGTCATCGGCACCTTACAGCTGCATGCAACGTAAATTTTTATTTGTTTATTACAATTGGAATATGGATATGGATTCAAATTCAGTCAGTGTCAGACTCACTTGTCCTCCCACAGCTGCAATGTGCCCAGGCATTGGACTCGCACACACTGGTTGAGGCGTGTGAACACCTCGCCCACATACAATTGGCGTCCGCTCAGCGTATCGATGCAGAACTGTGGATTAAAACTGTAACTGGCCAATGCTGCCAGATGCGAATCAGTGAGAATCGTTTATCAGATCATCTATTTTTCAGTCTGACTTAAAAAATACTTTAACCAACTAATCTGCACTTATTCGAATCCAACAAAATGAAATGGAGAAGATTTTCACTTTTTAACAATGGAAAGGAAGGATTTATGAAAGTAACATAGAAAGTAAGCTATCTGTCCACAAAAAACCCGACAATCTCCACAATTGTAGAGCTGAATTCAATAAATCTAGAAAGTAGATTATTGACAATCTTTTTGAAGGGCCACACAATGCCCGCACCCACAAAAATCCCCGCAAAAGGACTTCTTTTGCATGGCCAAATACTTTTGCCGACGATTTTACAAGATTGTCCTGCGACAAATATACTTACAGTTATGTGGCGGCATTGCTTGGCTATTGCTAAGAAAGATCACAAGTATGATTCCCAAAATTAATGATGGGTAATTGTCGTCCATTTTTTTAAAAATAATTTTAGTGACTGTTTGACTCGCTGACTGACTGACTGGATTCACTAACTGGCTAACGGAGCCGGCCCGACGTTTGCAAAGTTTAGTGCGCAACTGAGGCGAATGTTTAATCTTTCTTTCAGTTCAATTTCAATTTAAATACACATTTGTGCCTCTCTGTGTGTATGTATGTGTGTGTGTGTGTGTGTGTGTGTGTGTGTGTGTGTATGTGTGTAATCACATTTACTTACGACATTTGCGCACTTTCTCTGCTGAGAATTTAACAATTTATGTGTATGAAATGTGTTGATGTTTTTATGCACACGCTTATCGCTTGGCCCGCAACGCAGAAATGCTGAAATAAAGCAAACTAAATATTCTCAAAACGACAGCAACACGACTACTCGATACCCTGCCCCCTAAAAGAGGCTCCCCCTTAAAGGGTTCCTTCTTAATAATATTATGATTGATTTGGTTTCCACTTAGATGATGATTGGCAGGTTGTCTTGAAGGGATTGCGGCTCAGAAGGGTTATCGATTTTAAGTTTTAATTGTCTCTATAGCCCCTCTCTCTCTCTCTCTCTCTCTCAATCCATTCTTTTCTAACTAAGTCATTGTTCCTTTTTTTGTATGCGGATATGAAAGCGGAACAGCAACCGGAAACGTTAAGCGAAATTAATCAATTGAAATTGAAAACCGTTACACGTTCGAACTTCAACATTATTGGTTCTGCAACCAGTAAACGGAAATGAAATTATTGTTAACCAAAACATCATAACGGTATTTGTCACTTGTTTTTATTTTTTTGTAACTTTTGTACCGAGTACTGAAAACAATTGGGTGAATTAACCCTTACACTTTCCATACCAGCACAGGAACCCAAACAGTCTGATTCTTATATTATTATTTAAAGAAAATAATTTTGTTACGGGCTCAACAAATAAATAATATACTCTGAATATACACTCCGCTAGGGAGTATAAGCAACTACAAATTCAGATCAATATGCGAAATGGCAAAGCACTCGAACTGTCAGTGTTTATATGTATGTATATACATATTTATACAGTGAAAAAAACAATGCATTTAGAAAACAAGATTTGACAAATCGATTCAAGAATTTACTTAAAACTAGTTATCTCTAACTAATGTATATATTGTATTTGTTGCACTGCCAAGTATCTCATACGAAGAGTAATATGAACACAACAAAATATAAATATTCTGGACTTGAGGTTGTCTCCTTTTTTTTTCGCTGTGCATAAGTAAAGACTATTTATTATTTAGTGTCTATTTTTGCGTCTATTGCGCCTTAAAGTTTAATGTTAAGACATTGTTTATAAATATTTTGAGTCTTGCAGCACAATTTGGGGCCTGGGTCATCGCTGGGTATGGGGATATGACTCATGGACTACTCTGTACAACGGTGCGTATGTGTTTATTTGTGTGTGTGTGTGTGTGTGTGTGTGTGTGTGTCTGTGTGTGTGCCTGTATTTTTTATGGGTACTTCCCCCATTTCAAACTTGGCGTTACGTTCACGTGTCCCCAGGCAAAGTAACTAATTAAGAAATTCATTTAGCAGCAATTATAGATTTATGATTACTGATTACTGATGATGATTACTGAGTGATGACGGCTTATCAATTTCCAAAGTGAGAGAGAGAGAGAGTCATAGAAAGAGAGCGGAAATTATAATTGCAACACGACAGCAACCTTTTTAGTCCGAGCTATATAAGTGAATAAATGCGGATTCACACAAGTGAAAAATGTGGAAATTTCCGCCGTAGTCGCAATTTCCTGCACAAATCTACTAGAAAGTGGGCGGCATCCTGGCAAGGAATAAGCTTCAGGTTGTGTTTTTCTTAGCTAGATAACCGGAAGCGGAAATGGAAATTGACATAAATTCCCAATAGTCCTATCAAATGTGTGATGGTGATTGCCTCGCATAGATAGATAGATAGATAAGTTGTCTGGTTGTTGTTGCTTCTGCTGAGTCATTCTTCTCTCTAGCTCTCTATCTCTCTCTCTCTCTCTCTCTCTCTCTTTCTCTTTCTCTCCCTCTCGCATTCTTTGTCTTTATTTAATGGCTTTTACTGCTTACTTTTAAGCGCTCGCAATATATTCTGTTTATTTTGTTGCATATTTATACAGGTATTTTTCTTCCAGAAGGAAGGGTATTTGGCATGGTTGTGGCAACTTTTATGCTAATTAATTTTTCCCAGTTTTTATAGATAAATGGATAACAATTTAGTTTCTTGTTGTGAAATTAATTTAATTGGAATGCTTAAGCAGCCATTATCAGATCCCCCTGAAAACTGATTCACTTATGACAATTGCAAATGTCGTAAGGAGTGTTAACGATCATATTTGCTTTTGTAAGTCGGGCGTAATCGACTGTGCAATACTCTGATACCAGTATAATGCCAGCTGATAGCTGACAGGGAGTCTATGAGTGGTAAAGGATTTCCTGATTTTTGGCCAAGAAATTTTTTTTTTACCAATCTGAGATGGCTGTTGTATGGACTTAACTTCCGAATGTGATTATTTTAGCTCTGAAATTGAGGGATATATAGGAACTAGGATCTTGATATAAGCTGATCTTTGAAGGACTTCACCAGCAATTTACCTTCCAAAGTTGGTGACTCGAGCTTTAAAACTATACAGTTTATTTTCATTATTCAATTGAATTCATGCAGATGGATAGACAAAACCAATATGCGCGTCTACCTTCGGTATCAGAATTTTAGAACAGATGTCGAATGGACTGTGGACTGACTGACTGATTGGTGAGTGTAAAGTGTTTACCGGATAAATATAGCTTGAAGAGCAATGGGTTAAACTATTAAAGTGCTTCTATGAGTGTTTTGCTAGCTATTGAAATTAATGTCCAAGTCAATTGGTTGGCTATTAATTAGCAGAGAATGTCAAATCATTTGCGGTTAATTATTGCATATAATATATGGGGAAACGCCTAAAACTAATCGTTAATATACCCTTGAAGCGGTTACAACAGTTGTATTGTAGTTTTCGCTACTCCATAAAGTATATATACTTATATATACACTTGATCTCTACATGTCTATTCGTCCATCACTATCTGATATATGTGGCATAGGAACAAACGGTTGAAAGATCACTTCTTGCATAAGCAACTCGTTTGCTTAACAAGTTATCCGAACCAAATTCAACAGCTATTCGTGTTATTTATTATGCTCCCACAAAATATCATCGGTCGGCAAGGGTATGTAATCTTCGACGTGATAGTGATGATAGTTATTCCTGCTGCTCAATGTGAACCTGCATCGAGTGGAAAGAGTTAAGAGTTTGAATTTGATTGCTGCCCATAACTAGCCACAAAGGGGTTAACCAAATCAGACCTTTGCCCATATGACGTTTGCTTGAATGGGGCTAGCTGGATACGTCATCGCTATCATCAATATATATATATATATATATATATATATATATACATATACATAAATATGTATGAGGTCGGTTTTGTTGTCGTTTTGATCGTTGATCGTCTTTCTTCGGCTGGGGTTGGTTTTTTTTATATTTTTATTTAAGCTGTCGTTTGTCGAGTTTGTCGTTTGCCGGTTCCATCAGTAATGCGACGATCGCGGCACGTTGAAGTACGCAGCGCTGAGATACACAGCTAAAGCTACAGCTACAGCTAAAGCTACAGCTACAGATACGGATACAGGTCTCAGATACAGATACAGATGTATATTTGAGGCGTGAGTTTTAAAGTGGAGTTGAGAGTCGTGAAGTTGGTCCATGGCAAAGGGCTACAATCAAATGCAATTAAGCTCCTCAAATCAATTACCCTCATATAGCGGCAAACAAATTGAATTAAAGCGCGTGAACAACAACAACAACAACAACGACAACGACAATAATGTTTAAACAAGCACAGCAGGAAGAACAACAAACAATGAACGCGAATCTGAAATTTGAGTACAAAATAAATATAAATTTTACTATAGAAATATCAATAAAAAATAAATGCAGTTGAGAAAACAAATGGAGAACTTAACGCCAGCGATTCAATTCACATCGATTAATTGCACGAAATAATTAATTAATTTATAACGGCACATTTGCATCAAAGTTGAAAACAGCAAATTCTGTGCAATTAAACATTGCATTTCTTTTTCCTTTTTTCCCTTTTTTTTTTTTTCTTTGTGTGCGTGTGTTTTTTAAATAACACCTCGCGGTTAATTAGCATTTTTTTTTTATTCGACTTTAATGTTGTTGCTTGCTGTTTTTCGAGATAATTAATTAGGCGGCATTTTAATATTTTTTGTGGCGTGCATATTTTTGTCGGTTTTTATGCGCTTCAATGCGGTTGCATTTTTCAATTGATATTTGTGCATTTGTGGATTTGTGTAAATATTATTAAATTATAATTATCAATTTGATAGTGTTGGAAGCAAAGAAAAGTGAATCTTCATGTAAGAATTGTTTCAATTTGGGATGCAGTATCATAAATCTCTAATCAAGAAAATGTTATCAAAAAACTTGATTGTGATTGTGAGGTATTATTATTGATAGAGTCTCATTTCTCTAGCGATAAAGTCTATTCAATATCGGAGAGAGAGTAATTATAAATTTGTTGCAGGGCTTTACATTCTAGAATAAACCAACTTAAACTAAGAGTATTTATTCTTTTTGCCAGCTCTGTTCACTCAAACTGGAATCGGCAATGCAATCGTTAGCCAAAACTAACCGATTGTAAAACCCGTAAAAGCCGAACCAATATTATTATTATTAGATGGTAATTTACCATCTGCTATCAGAGTATTCCGTCGTATCATAAAAATTAAAGTACCCATACAGAATCCAAAAGAAATGTGGCAAATATTAATAAAGTTTCGTCTATCCTTTAAACTATGTGTATTAGAACCACAATCGGAACCTAAATTCGTTTCGGGTTGACAGCCATTTGATAAATTTCTATTAATATTTGATCAATCCTTTAAGTCAACAACATTTACTACATATATTTGGAATTAAAAAAATACTGAAAGTCAGTCGCAACCTGTCGTCGTTGATCACCTGAGATTGTACATTGAACTTTTGGGCAATTGCTTTAGTTGATTGTTGTTGTTGATTTACATAATAAACAAATTAACTTATGCACTTTACATCGCAAATCGATTCTGATTTCGTTTTTTTGGTTTTTTTCTTCACGTATTTGACTCCCATTTCAGCAAAAATGTAAATGCGAAATTAAAAAAAAAAAAAATAAACAAAATAAAAATCAAAGTTTCTTCAAAAACAAAATCGAACGACAACAAATTAGAAACGAGCTGCAGCGAGACACAGGGCAGACCACCCCTCTGTCCCCTCACCCACACTGCTCCCTTACTCCCGGGGTGTAAGGCGTAGGTCGAGTTTTTTTTGTTCCTTTTTTTTTTTTTTTTTTTGTGCTTGCTTCAATGAACATTCGAGTTGAGGCAGCCCCCGTCTGGTAGCGCAAATCGTGGACTATGTTTTGGCGACAAAATGCGGCAACACAACAACAGAAACAAGCACAACAGCAAAAACAACAACCAAAACGTTTAAGTTTTAGTTTTAATGTGAAAATCGCTGTGAATGTCAATACGAAAATGTCGACGATTCACATCAACCCGGATTGCAACAAGCAGCAGCTGCAGCAGCAGCAGCAGCAGGATCAGCAACAACAGGCAAATCGTTGCAGCTCCCGTTCACGTCGCAACTCGGAGACGCGTATTGTTGGCGTGGGGCAGCATCTGATGCATCTGGGACGTCAGCTAACTGGTGCTTGTGGTGGACAGGTGTTCACTGGTCAGGGTGGCATCTCCACAATTCTAATTGCCAATCTGTTGCTGTTGTTGTTGCTCTCGCTCTGCTGTAATGTGTGCGGTCGCTCGCACGTCGAACAGAGGCAGCAGCTGCAACAAGAGCAACAGCAGCAACAACAAGAGCAGCAACACCAGCAGCTGGTCATCAACTATACGGCAAAAGCGAGGACAACGGCGGCATTGGCGGCATCGCTTGCCCAGGCGAATGTGCGACCCACGCTAGACAGCGATGTTGTGGAGAAGGTTGCCATTTGGGCGACGCATATCGGAGCGGCGCCACCCACTCTAGCAGAGGGCATTGCCATCAGCAGTGTGGCAAGGATGCGACCAGCAGCATTACCATCAGCCACAGCAGCAACTAAACAAACGGATGCTGTCGACACTGGCATCGATGAGCGCATCGCCTTGGAGCAAGTAACACGAGACTGCGTCCAGCGTTGTATTGTCGAGGTGAGTCGTTGGCTAAGGCTAAGTGCTTAAGAGACTCATTCTCTTGAAGTGATTTTGTTAAGAACAGCTATCGATCCATCCATCTAAATATCTAAATATTTTTGAATAGTTTATTCAATGCAAGGTTGCAAACTGAATCGAATTTTAGTTCCGTTCTGGGTCTGATAAGTTAACTTTATAGATCTATCTGCTAAAAATTGTTGAACTGTCGGCTTCTATTCAATTTAATTGAGTAAATCGTTTAATGTTGCTTACCTGTTCCGGTTCTGATTGTGGCTTCTCATCCTGTTTTAATTCGTTAACTTTCTCAAAATTGTTTTCATTTTTAGCCAAGGAATAGTTTTTACTTTCGTCTTGTTTTTATCAAAGTGTGATCTTTAATTGTAATGTGGTTTCTTTAAGATATTACTACTTCTTTGTAAGTACATTAACAATTAAGCATTTGTTCTTCTTTCTTTTGTTTTTGAAAAGTTTTCCTCGAGCTTAATCTCAGCATTCTGAGCAGTTCGAATTAATCACTAGAACAAGTGGGCAACTCAATTGGAGCAAGTGATTGGTGTTGTGCCTAGTCACCTGTCAGTTTCCATTCAGCGATTCAGTACACAGAGAAAAAAGTACGAAACTAATTGTAAGATTTTCAATTCTAGTTTTAGTTTCAACTTTCGATCAAGAAACGAGATTGAAAGTGAGATGTTTAAATTAAGAAGACAACAAGATGGTTCTATCTTAATCTAAGAATATTTTCTTTATGATAGATTGCATTTTTTCTGTGTGCAAGTGTGATCTCGTTGCTTATAGTATTGTCAAGTTGTGTATGATTATAGTTTGTTAGATTTGCTTCACTGTCATGTCAAACTGGCACTTAAATCTTGAGAATTTACAATTTAGATTCTAGAACGACTGTCACATTCTAGCTATTCAACTTTTGCTGCAACAGCTACAGCAACAGCTACTGCATCTGCATCTGCATCTGCATCTGTAATTCGTATCTGAAATTGGAGCTCGAGATATTTGGGTTACCTTTGCGTGGGAACTTGTTGAATTGTGTGTTGTTGAAAACTGATGCCAATTGGCGCTAGTGCGGACAAGTTGATATATGAGTTATTTGCTTGATTAAACTGTTTATTTGTTAATTGTGTGCGCCCAAAAAAATAAGAAAAAAAAGTGCTCAACGTACACACATATTTAATATATAATATTTATTATCATCGTCATCATCATTCCTGCGGCATACACGCGCTGCTTTTAATTAGTTTCTCGCTGAAATCGCCAATCGTATCTGGCATAATTAAAAATGTATTTAAGTGCTGCGGGCTTTTGTTTTAATGTTTTTAATTTGTGCTCTGTTGTTGCTGCTGCAATTGTTATTCAGGCCATTTTGTTGCCACATTGCTGTTCTTTTGTTACCAATTCCCGATTGCATGTCAGTGCACAATAGATGGCGCCACCGGCTAGCAATCTCTATTTTAATATTTTTCTAACGTTTCTTTAATTCTTTATAGTGGGTGGCATGCGTTGATTATGTTATCGATGCACATGCCGAATACAATAATACTGAAAAAATAATCATTTCTATTTCTCTCTCCCTCAATATATTTGTATTTTAGAAATCGATATTTCTCTTCAAAATCTCTTTTCTTTCTCTCCCATCAGAATTACTGAATGCTCTCTATCCCTCGATCGTTGACATTCAGAGAGAGAGTCTCTCTCTTTAAAAATTCAATTGATTCAGTAAAAGTTTTGAAATGATGCACTCTTAAGAATAGTGAGTGATAATTAAGAGCTGCTTATTTCGCACTTGGTTTTATTTGACAATAGGGGGGACAAATAAATTGTTGCCACCACCAACCCTAACCAAATACAGACCCAGACATAGTTCAATCCTAATAAAACACCACAGCAGAATCCAACACAACCCATATCCATGTCAGAAGCTTAATTAAAACTAATCAGGCAGCAAGTCGTTAGGCTGCCTAATTGCTGTAAATGTTGGGCGGACTGCCACTGAGATTGCTCTATCCAGATTGGGGATTTAAGCAGATGTTTCTCTTCCTCTCTCTCTTGCACTATCCCTCTCTCTCTCTCTCTCTCTTGCACTCTCTCACTTGTTTTGAAGCATAAGTTTGTAAATTGCTGCTTAATTGGCAGAGTTACAGTGCGTTGTTGGAGAGGGAGGGGCACGATTAGCATCAGCATCAGCATCAGCATCAGCATTGGAATCTTACAAGAAGCTAATGCAGTTGTGGCGTTGCCCGTGTTTTTTGGATCGCATCGCAAACATCGAGAAATGAGCACCACAAAAGAATCATTCATCACGATGCTAATAATGATTGCCATGCTGTTTGTTGTTGATGATGATGTTCTTTGCAAAATGTTGAGCCAATTTATTTGCTTTTTCGGACTGCAGCGCAACAACAACAGAAATGGTGTCAATAACACACACACACACGCACACACACAAAGATATACACACAAGCTGTTAAATGTGTGAGTTGAGTTTGTCAGTCAGTTAATGTAATAGAAATTGTATAACAAAAGACGCGCAATGACGACATAAAACCCCCAACGCCAATTAGTAAGCAGCCTCTGCACCCTCTCCACTACACCCCTGCACTTCAAAAAATAAAAATAAGGAGATTTTGTACTCAAAATCCAAGGCCAAGGTACAAAAACCAGAGAACAACATTATTGCTCGCAAGGTTTCCCAATCATTAACTGAAGTTAAATGAAATTTAAAATCGGCACTGGAATTCGATTCGAAGGGTAATATTTTTTAAATAAGTATTTTAAATTAAAACGGTTGTTCTTTTTTTCCCAATTTTGTACCGGTTCAGTATCAATGGTCTACCAATGCGAAAATGATTTAAGATTTAGAATAGAAAACCATAATTTTTACCCCTCATATTTTAGATACTCAATTTCTGCGATTACCCAAATTTCAACTTGCAATAAATGTAAATAAGTTTGAAATATGAATATTGATTCTTTAATAATCAACTAGAATGCGAAATATTAACGAAATTTAAAGAACAAACTGTTAGATATTTTATACCATTTGAGCATTGGGATTTCGCTTAGTGTACTCATGCCCCACTGCCACTGTCTCGTCGTGAATGTGGCAGCCTTCATTTCTGTGGCCATAGCAAGCGCCCGAGCATCGCTTCAAGTCGTCACACACACAAACACACACACACACACACACACACACACACACACACACACACACACACACACACACACACACACACACACACACACACACACACACACACACACACACACACACACACACACAAGCGTAGAGAACCATGTTCCGTTTGTGAAAAAGCCAATCAAGCTAAATTAATAAAATATTACGTAGAATTCTAAATTAAATTGACGCGTGTGTGAAAAAAAAATGAAAAGAAAAATACTTAGTAGAGCAAATAAAATGTGTGTGTTTGTGTTCGTTTGTGTGTGTGTTGTGTGTGTGTTGTGTTTGAATGAGTATTGTGAATGCTGCATGCGAGAGGGTGGGCTTTAAAAAAACAACCGAAGCTGAGCCAAATCCTAAACCTGACCTTGGCAATGAAACTAGGTAATTGAAACTGCAACTGGGCAATTATTAATTAGTTTGCAATCTGAATGGAATGGCATCAGGGATGTGCTTCTGAAACCTACCCCACTATTCAAAATGTAAGTGCTCTGTACATGTATAATTAGCATAAAATGCTTACTGTTCGACTTGATTATACGCTATAAAATTAGCATTGTTCGAGAAGACTGCCCATTACAAGCTAGATAGTGACTAATAATTGCAAAAGCAACAGCATTGGGGTAACAGTAACAACATTCGAACTTTCCAATTTAGTAAAACACAAAAATATTTAGCTCAATATTTTGATCGAAACTTTTATGCACTTTTGCAGTAGGTGAGAAATGTATCCATCTAATATTGACTTCGTCTGACATGCCAGCAATGACACCACAGCTATTGGATTCAATTGCATCCACATCCAACTCATCTCGTTTGGAACACAGAATAACAAAAGGATGCAAAAGTCTTTGTTTTTGGATAATCAAACTCGAATTTTTGATAGTAAGTTCGTTGGACTTCCAAATGTTTCGGACTCTTGATTAAATTGCAAACGAAAAACACGTTTATGAATTAGTACTTTCAGTAAAACTATCTTAATTGCACTTGATTTAAATTAACAACAGCATTTATAAGTCAGTTTTTTATTTTAAGGTAACTTCCACTTGATTGTGTGATCTTAGCTTGTGATAATTCTATTATGTTTTATGCATAAATCACTAGGTTAACTGACTAGCTTACTATTTTATTTTTTGCTCATATTCGATGGTCTTTAAAGTTGTTTACCTTCTATATATTTAGATGTATATATACATACCTAAAGACCCTACCAGATAAATATGCATGAATACATTTCGGTTGTTGCCAATGTTCACGTGCTGCGGCTTCGGGGCTAAAAGCAGAAACTTGTTTTAGGTCTGTTTGTGTGTTTTGTCGTCTAATATATAACAGCGACTTGTTCGATCAACTTATGCATTTGTAATGTTCGATTATTCTAGGAAATTGTTGTTCGAATCGGTTGTTAACTTAATTTATACTTGTTATCAATTGTCTATTGTCTCTACTTACTTTTAATTGATTACTATCTTGTTAACTTGTGACTTGTCTCATTAAATAAAAATGTTCTCACAGGCAGTAAATGCCCCCTCCCGTCCCCCCCCTAACCCCTTATAATTTTACTGCATTTCCGTTTGCATTCTTTAGTGCTGATTGATTGACTTATTTCATTTTTCCAGGAGGATCTGTTTCTGGACGAGTTTGGGATTCAATGCGAAAAGGCCGACAACAGCGACAAGTGCTACAAAACACGCGTAAGCTAAAACCCCTTCACCGCCACTCCTCCTCCACAAATCCACTTCACATATTTTTGAAATGGTTTCAAGTGTTTTTTGTTTGCGTAATTCGAAACCGCCTTTCAACTTTACCAGACAATTGGACGGCCAAGAACCAGCCCTTGACCCAAAATACAACCAGCTAAAAGTTCCCAGAAACCAAAACGTTAATGTTAAAAAAAACAATTCACATCACCACCTAAAGACCCTAACCAATGGAGCACTCCTAATCGAAAAAGGCAATTCTCAGACAAAGTGCTTGTCAAAGGCAACGGGGGAAAGGGTATTCAACCACTTGTTATAAAATCCGCAAATCATTTGATATCCAAGCTTGCACTTATTTTATGTGTTAACCACAAGAGGGAGCGCACAGGAAAAGGAGATGGTGAAGGAGCTGAAGAAGAAGGAGAAGAAGGAGAGGAGAGGAGAGGAGCACAAGGTGTCCTTTGATGTGTCGACTCAGTTAGCAGCAGTAGAGTTAATTAACGGATTCAATTAGAATTTAGCTAAATTATATATATTTACCTCATTTAACTTATTTGCATATTGTAGAGTAAATCAATATTTGTGTTTAAATTTGTTTACACCGCAAACGCATTGAAAATGGCTAAAATCGGTTTGATGGAGCTGTGCAGAAGTATGTAACAGGCAGCATGAAGCATCACCGTACTCGTATATAGATTCTTGATCAGCATCAGAAGCCGACTTGATCTACATAGATCTGTCTACGATCTCAGGCACCCGAAGAGATAGCTCGAGCGCTCTCTCTGTCGACCCCACATATATATTACTACTATTTTAAACTTGAATTATATTCGACAGCAGGCAATACACAGTTCAGAGCAGACCAAATAGTAGCATTTTACTATATAGCTGTCAAAGGGACAATCGGATTTTTTTGTTTGTTGTTAAATAATCATCCACATCGAATTATTATATATCATATTGTTTCCATAGACCTCGTCAACTCGACTCCAGTCTGCAAGGCCATATAATCCTCGACATGACTCAGATAGTCGTTCGTCTTATTTATTTATTTATTCTGGTTTTTATATCTACTTCATATAACACAAGATAGTTGCCAACTTGATAATTAATCGAAAACAATGAGCAGGAGGCAATTATGTAAATTGGAATGAGTGTGTCAATAGATGTAATAATTTATCAATAATTTGCAATATTATTATTGCTATCCGATTTAAATCATATTGTAAGGCTCATGATATTATCATTAGGTTTAATCAATTGCCACTTTTGCTTCACTTCAGTGCACCAAGGGTTGTGCGCAATGGTATCGAGCACTCAAGGAGATCGAGCCTTGCCAGGAGGCCTGCGTAAGTGCCAGCATCCACAGAATCAACGTTTGTGCAGCTAATCCAATTAATCTTCTCATGTGGCTGACAGGCATCCACACAATTCCATCTGTATGATATGCCCTGCATTGGAGCCTGCGAGATGGCCCAGCGCGACTATTGGCATCTGCAGCGTCTGGCGATGGCTCATCTTGTGGAGACGACACATCCGCAGCTGGTGGAGATGCCGGGCGATTCATCCACGCTGACCATTAAGTGGTCCATACAATTCCCGGAGAACTATTTGGCCAGTCGACCCTTTAACATACAATATCAGCAAGTGGAGCAGACACATCCAGATGCAGATACATCCTGGTACAATCTGGCCGATTTCGACTGCGATGAGTATTATGTGTGTGAGATTCTTGAGGCACTCATACCGTATACCCGCTACAAGGTATGCCACTAATCCCTGATCGACTCTGATAACAATTTTAATACAGTTCTCTGATCCGATAGTTTCGCTTTGAGCTCCCTTTTGGAGAGGGCAGTGAAGATGTGCTCTACTCGCCAGCCACGTCCACATATCAAACCGAAATGGAGGGCGCACCGATCTCGCCGCCGATCATTGAGTCGCTGCTCGCGCTAGACGAGAGCCATGTGGCGATACACTGGCGTCCTGGACGCTTTAGCAATGCGCCCCTTGAAGGATATAGGATTCGATTGAGCAGCATGGGCAACAATAGTCGTGAGCAGGTGCGTCTACCATTCCATCATCCCCAAGCTAGCTGTTTATGCCTCTAAACTCGTTTTTAGCTGCTGCCTGCTCAACGTTTTAGCTGCATCTTTGCCCAGCTCACGCCGCAGACCAACTACACGGTGACCATCACAATGATCAATAAGCAAGGCGAAGGTCCGCCGGTTGAGGGCAGCATTGCCACCAAAAAGCCACCGGAGCCGGAACAGCTGCAGAGCGTGCTGCTCGCGTCCAAGTACACCATCATATGGCAGTCACTGGAGCCGGCAGGCGAGATGCGAATCCTCTATCGATCACCCGACAATCAGACGACAATCAGCGACTTTGCCTGGTTGGAGCGGGAGCAGCGACTATGGTTCCTCGACTCACTTGGCCAGCTGCACAGGTGAGCAAGAATGCGTACTAAATTTTATATTTGTTATCCATGGATGCCATATTGCAGTCAGCTGCTGCTCGATGAGACGACAACGCAACGGTTGCAGTTCCAGTTGCAGACGAATGATTCTGCGAGTAGTTGGACGCCACGCAAGCTGAGCCTCGACTGGCTGCACCGACGCCTCTATATAGCCGCGGAGTCGAGCACACGAGGATTCGAGCTGTTCAGCAGCGATCTGATGGCTGGCGATGTGCAGCAGCTAAGTGTTGAGCTGGGTTTGATTGTGCAGCAGCTGGAACTGGATGCACTCAATGGCTGGCTCTTCGTCAGCAATGCGGACAGCTTGTGGCGCTACGATTTGCACAGTAAGCAGAGATTGCGTCTCATTGCGATTGGAGCGGGACAACACTTTGTGCTGGAGCCGGCGCGTTGGCTACTCCATCTATTGCTGCCCCAGGACAATCAGCTGCTCGAGCTTAGCTACGATGGCATACACAAGCAACTAGCTCAACAGCTGCCTTTGTCCGGCAACAGCAGCTGGCAAAGCTTTGCTTTGTCTGGGGATGAGGCACAGTTGCTGCTGGTGAGTGGCACACAGCTGCAGCTGCTGGAGCGGCACACGCTTCAGGCGATAATGTCGTGGCCGTTGGAGCTGGCGGAGCACTGGTCACTGCTGGCGCTGGGACGACATCGTCAATTGGCAGCCCTCGACGCAGGTGTGCCAAGTCGCTTGCGTGCACTTCTAGGCGCACAGGCGGCACAAATTACCTGGCTGGAGCCGGCACTCAATCCGTACCAGACAGCAACGGCCACGGCGCGTAACTGCACCTACGAGCTGGAGGTGCTCGATGTGGACAGCCAGAGTGCGTACAACATACGCAACATACGCAGTCCACATTTCGGTCTGGATCGTCTGCAGCCGGACAATCTGTATCAGTTGCGTGTGCGTGCCATCAATGGTGAGGGTCTGCCCGGTGGCTGGACACCGGCGATGTCGACGCGCACCTGGCCGCTGGGTGACCATCGCTTGCGCTGGACGACACAACGTGGTGCATTGTATACCACGAATGAGCTGGGCGGGAAGCTGCATCGGTTGCCTGGCCATCTGTCGCCCGGTCCGGGTCCGTTAACTGCGATCAATGCAAGCGTTGCGTATTATGTCAGCCAATCCACGTTGTACTGCGTCAATCTGTTACAGCCTCAACTCAGTTGCTATCTGCCCGCCACAGAGGTGGAGCATGTGGGCGCCGTCGCCTACGATTGGCGTGGCGGACTGCTCTATTGGACGGATCTGGGCCGTGATTGTGTCCAGCGCATGGATGTGGAGACGGGCGCCCGTGAATTGCTGCCAATATTTGGGGCAAGGCATCTGGCCTTGGATGCGGAACAAGGTCATCTCTACTACTCGAGTGCAGTGCACTTGGCGCGCCGTTCCATGCAACAGCCGGAGCTGGAGTATTACCATGTCAATGGTCTGGCCGGCAAGATAAGTGGCTTCTGTCTGGATCTGCAGCAACGGCACATATATTGGCTCGTCTCCGGGTCCAGTGTGGCATTGCAGCTCTATCGCACCACACTGTCGCCGGCATCATCGCAGCCAGGTCCGCTGCAGCTGCTCGCGACGCTGTCGCAGGCGGACGCACTGCCCCATACGCTGCAGCATCTGGCACCGCTGGGAGCGCTCCTCTGGCTAGCGGCGGATGCGAGCAGCGCGCACCTGATGCGACTCCACGATGCAACGGATGCGGACACGATGCGTCTGCATCCCGTCGAGCTGCAGCAACGTTGGACGGCTGTCCAGCTCCTGGAGACGTCAACGGCGGCGCTGCTGCCGGACGCGGGTGTCCGTCCGCTGGCCGTGCTGCCAGAGAGCGTACGTATCGAGGAGGGCGGCCACTGGGATGATTTCCGCTTGCGCTGGCAGCCAGCGTCCAGCGGTGGCAATCATACAATCACCTACAAACTGCTACTCGAGCATGGATCGCAACGTTTGCTCACCCTGCAGCTGGCCACACCCTTCGCTCGCATTACACAGCTGCCGCAGACGCCACTCGCTCTCCGCGTCAGCATTACACCGCACACGGCATGGCGTGCTGGCAGCACCACCCGAGTCCAGTTGGCGACGCCGATTGCGGCGCCGACGCAACCTCGACGTCTGCGCGTCTTTGTGGAACGGCGCTCGGAGCCGCTGCAACTGGAGCCGAATGTGAGCGCTCTACTGCGCTGGGATGTGCCCGAAGAGGAGGCGGAGGCGAAGGCGGTGGACGAGCACATGACCATGTCTGGTAGCCATTCGCTGCAGTATCGCATCAGTTGCTGGCGCGGCAGCGAACTGCATGCCGAAATGTTGCTTAATCAGAGTGTGCTGGAGGCGCGCATCGATCAACTGCAGCCGGATGAGACATATCGGTTCCAGGTGCAGGCTCATGTTGCTGCCACCGGACTGGCTACAGCGGGCGCCACCAGTCACTCGCTTCATGTGTCGCCGGAGGTGCAGTCTGTGCCCCGACTGCTCTATGCGAATGCGGAGCATATTGGTGAGCTCGATCTGGATACGGGCAATCGGCAGCAGCTCGTGCACACGGCCAGTCCCGTCGAGCATCTGGTGCTGCTGCAGGGCGAGCATCGACTGCTCTGGGTCAACGAGCACGTCGAGCTGCTTAGCCATGCGCCCGGCCAGGCCGGTCCAGCTAAAGTGGCGCGGATGCGCGCCGAAGTCCTCGCTTTAACCGTTGACTGGGTGCAACGCATCGTCTACTGGGCGGAGGTGGACACCATAACACAACCGGCGGCGGCATGCATCTATCGTTTGGATCTGTGCCGCTTCGAGGGACGCATTATGCATGGCGAACGATTGTGGCGACTGCCGCCGGGTCAATTGTTGCGTGATCTGATCGCACTGCCACATGCCCGCTCCCTCATCTGGCTGCAGCATGAGTTGGGTGCGCGCAATGCGACGCTTCAGGGCCGCAATCTCACCGATGACACCGCGTTGAGGTTTGAGGGCAGTAGCGTTACCACGCCCATTTGGCGATTGTTCGAGGGCAGCCAGGAGCCGCTGGCGGAGACACTGAATGTGGTCGATCATCTGGGTCAGCTGTGCGTCTACCATGTGGCCCGTCAGCTGTGCACACCGAACGCTCTGCGTGCACAGCTGAATTTCCTTAACGATGACATCGCCCAATTGGCCCAGGATCCGGGTTATTTGTACGCCCTGCGTAATGGCAGCGTTCGCGCCTATGGGCGACGCAGACAGCAGCTGGAGTATTTGATGGAACTGCAACCGGATGAGGTGCGTCTGCTGCGTGCCTACAACTATCAGGCATATCCCAGTCGTCGTTGCCTCCTCCTCCCCACAATGACCACTCTGCCAATGCCCGATCAGCCCTGCGAGGAGACGCATTGTAGCCTGCAACTGACGGAGCTAACGGCCGGCGCCGATTGTCCGTTGCCAGTGCCGGGTCTCAACTATCAACTGAATCTCACCAGCACCAGCAAGAGCAACCAAACTCTGCTCCAACGTCAACTGCAGTCTGCAGCTGGGCATAGACTTAACATTAGCTCCTTGGAGCCGTTCCATGCATATGAACTGCGTGCCCGCCTCACCGGCTACTATCAGCAGCGTTTGGGTTTGGAGCCGCTGCAACTGCCACCGCTGGAGCTGCACACAGCCCCGGCAACGTCCAGTGCACCGAGCAACTTCTCCGGCCGAGCGTTAAGTCCCAGCGAACTGGAGGTCAGCTGGCTGGCCCCACTTTTATTGCGCAGCGAGAGCGTCTACTACACGCTGCACTGGCAATCGAGGCTCGAGATGGATCAGCAGCTGGCACACGAACCGGAACAGGAGCTGGATGAACCACAACCCGCACAGGAGCAGCGAGTGGAGACAGCGGGTGTCCATCGATTGACAGGTAAGGATTATTCAATAACCATATACATCTATACAGTTAATTTATGAGTTATTTCCTCAGTCAGTCAATCAATAATGCGCTCAATCATTAATCCACTGAATTACATTACTTCGTCAATCTGTCATTCAGTCAGTCAGTCAATCAGGTAAACAGTCAGTCAGTCAATCAGGTCATCAATCACTTAGCGACTCTGACGATAAGTTACTCAGTAATTGGTCCCTCTGTCATCACTCAAATCAGTTTGTCAGCCAGGTATAAGGCAGTTATTTAGTGTGTCAGTCAATCAATCATATGGTCAGTTAATCAGCCATTGAGTAATTCAATTCATTTAATTCACCTGTCCATCAGTCAGCTAATCAATTAGTACATCATTCATCACACAATCAGTGAATCAATCAGTTAATGAGTAAGAATCAATCTCAGAGTATCTGCTAGTCGTACACTCTCATTAAAGCCGAGATACGGGGTATATTTTATGTTGTCACTGGGTACAGGGTATATTTTAGTCTTGCGATCTCGATAAGAACACTCTTATTTAATAATTATTCAGTTAAGACCACCAATACCTCTCTTCTCCCCTTCTCTCTGTTTTCTGCCAGGTTTGCAACCCGGTCGCCTCTATGAGATCTGGGTGCAGGCGCACGCGACTCCCGAGAAGTCTAACAGCAGCGGACGTCTGCTGATCCGTTGCTTTGCGCCGCTGCCACCGCTGCAGTTAGTGGAGCTGAACGCATATGAGATGACACTCTCGTGGCCGGGCACACCGGATGCCCTGAGCTCGTTGACGTTGGAATGCCAGTCACTGCGGGAGCAGCTGCACTTCAATGTGGCAGCGAATCACACACGGATGCAACTGACGAGCCTGCAGCCGAAGACGCGTTACTCCTGCCGCTTGGCATTGGGCTATGCTGCGTCGCCGGGTGCACCTGTTTATTATGGCGCCAGTCATGACTACGAGACGCTGGGCGATGCGCCCAGTGCACCGGGTCGGCCCCAGCTCGAGCATATTGCCGGCGAGATCTTTCGTGTCAGCTGGACGCCAGCGTTGGATAACGGCGCCCCCATTCTGCTGTACAATCTGGAAGCATTGCAGGCCCGACGCAGTACACGTCGACGGAGGCGGCGGGAGACAACCCTAGCACTGCTGCCATGGGCAGAGGAGCCCATGGTCATCGAGGATCTGTGGCTTGATTACTGCAACACCACCGAGCTGAGCTGCATTGTGCGTGAGTTGCACACCCGCCGCCTGCTGCTCTTTCGTGTTCGCGCCCGCAACCGTCCACACGGGTGGGGACCGTACAGTGAGGATAGCGAGCGGATCGCCGAGCCCTTTGTCTCGCCAGAGAAACGTGGCTCCCTTGTCATGGCCATCATTGCGCCAGCGGCCATCGTCTCCAGCTGTGTTTTGGCCTTATTTCTCATTCGCAAGGGTAAGCTAAAAAGTCCAGTTTGTTCTTTTTTTTATCAATCTGTTAGCTAGTCGGTCAATCAGTCCGTTCTTCAGTCAGTCAATAAGGTAATTAATCAGTTAGATAAACAATCAATTGGTCACTCAGTAATCAGTCAATCAGTAATCAATCAACTCAGCTTATCAGTCAGACAATTAATGCGGCAGTATTCACTTAGTCAATCAATCAATCATTTAGTCAATCATTTAACTATTGGCTAAATTACTCTATCAACCTATCCGTTAGTCAGACAATCAGTAAATCAATTAGTCTGTTCATCAGTCAATGAGGTAATCAATTGTGTAGTTAATCAGTCAATTAATTGTTCAGTAATTAGTCAATTTGACCAGACTATCAATCAAATAGGGTAATTTACTTCGTCAATCAAGTAAGCAATCAATCAATAAGTTGGTCAAACAGTCAAATCAGTTGGTCTATCATTCCGTCATTGAGTAATTTACTTCCTCAATCAGTTAGTCAATCAAACAGTCAATGAATCGATTAGTTGCTCAGTAATCGGTCAATTTGGCATATCAGTTGATCAGTCTGTCAATCATATACATATTTAACTAATTGTTAACTTAAAAACTGTCAGTTCAAAAACGTCGCCATCGCGCCAAGAAGCTGCTCCAGCAGAGTCGTCCAAGCATTTGGAGCAATCTATCGGCGCTGCAGACGCAGCAGCAGCTGCTTGCGGCACGGAGTCGCACCTTCTCGATGTCGCTGAGCGATGCGGACATTGCGCTGCTGCCTCAGATCAGCTGGAACCGACTGACGCTGCTTCGGTTTCTGGGCAGTGGCGCCTTTGGCGAGGTCTACGAGGGCCAGCTGCAGGGCGGCGAGGGCGACAATTCGCCGCCACAGCGCGTGGCAATCAAGGTAAATGACTACCTGGATTGATTGACCAACTGACTGATGATATTTGTTACTTGCATTCGTTTAGAGCCTGCGCAAGGGCTACAGTGAGTTTGCCGAGCTGCTCCAGGAGGCGCAGCTGATGAGCAACTTCAAGCATGAGAACATCGTCTGCCTGATTGGTATCTGCTTTGACAGCGATACCATTTCGCTGATCATGGAGCACATGGAGGCGGGCGATCTGCTCAGTTATCTGCGTGCGGCACGGCCCACCTCTCAGGTGAGCAGCGCTCTTCATCGAGATTTGCAATTCGTATTTTTGGAATTTCCATTCGTTAAACCAAGTTTGGCAAGAGTTAGTTGTGATTGAAACGAACTTTAAATGGATTTCAGGAAGCGCTGCCCAAACTGCTGTTGCCGGAGCTGCTCAGCATGTGCCTGGACGTGGCGAACGGATGCAGCTACATGGAGGATATGCATTTTGTGCATCGCGATCTCGCCTGCCGCAATTGTCTGGTGTCCGAGGGCGCCGACATTGGCGGACGGCGCATTGTCAAAATTGGCGATTTTGGGCTGGCGCGCGACATCTACAAGAGCGACTATTATCGCAAGGAAGGCGAGGGTCTGCTGCCCGTGCGTTGGATGGCGCCCGAAAGTCTCGTGGATGGCCTCTTCAGCACACAGTCGGATGTTTGGGCCTTTGGCGTCCTCTGCTGGGAGATACTGACGCTCGGCCAGCAACCGTATGCGGCGCGCAACAATTTCGAGGTGCTCGCCCATGTCAAGGATGGTGGACGCCTCCAGCTGACCAGTGACCAGTGCCCCGATAAGCTGTAAGCACAATACCAAACCAATCTCGGATGCTACACATAGTTCTAATCTATTGTTCTCTATTTTTTGGTTACCTTTTTCCGCTGCAGTTATGCGCTGCTTTTGCACTGCTGGCGCTCTGAGCCATGGGAACGGCCGAGTTTTAGACGCTGCTATAATACGCTGCAGGCCATCAGCACGGAACTGCGGCGAACTGAGGTGCCAGCCATCGAGGGGTCAACCATTGTAGCCGGCCCTGGCACAGCGTTGAAGCCCGAAACCAAGGTGCGATTCGATGATGCCCCGGAGCGACTGTCGCTGCACAATGGCACCAAAGATACGACCGGCAGCAGCACTGCTGGCACAATCGACTCACATCCCAGTCGCACAACCACACCAACATCAACACCCACAGCCACAGACAGAGACATAGCCACACCAACATCCACATCCACACCCACATCCACATCTCGTGACAATTGCCAGCTCTATGCAAATGAGGGCGTATCTCGTCTCTGAGAAGCACATCTCCCCTTCTCTCTTCTCGCTGCAAGTCGTCAGTTTGTCTCAAATTGATGAGCATTCGAGAGCATGCAAACCACGTTACGCCCACTTGCCAAAGCCGCCCACACACACACACACACTCACACATAAATGCGTATGCATAACAAGAATTTCGGGGTCGTTAGAATTATGGTTTATAGTTAATCGATTTATTATTTTGTACTGATTCCAAGCGATATTCAAGACCAATAGATCAAAATCTATTGCAAATCAACTGTTTTTTTTCTGTTTTTTTTTTTTTTGTAAACTCGAATATTTATCGATATATATATACATATATAATTAGTTAGAAGGTCAGCAATAAATACGAATATTTTGTATAAACATTAGTTAAGAATTTTATTATTTGGTTCTTTTTGTATACGATTGTCTTTCGGTTGGAAAATCGATAACATCGATAACAGTGAAACGATAAAATCACATGTCCCCCCATTTAATAGATAGAGATACCAGATGTGGCAGATAGATTTGTGGTGAAGTTCTTCAAAGATCAGCATAGGTATTTTCCAAACAACAACAACAACCACCAACGCCTCCAATCCCTTTAAAATAGATTTATTACCAGTAAGTGCTTTAAAAGGACGATAACATAATGCATAATGTTAAGCGATTTGAAAGACAAGTGCGAATTGGAGAAGCAAGTGTTGAACAGTGACACATTAAATAGTGTCACACCTCAGGGGTTGCTGGGGATTATTTGATTAACAAGCAACATATGCCTCGACAACATAATGGCCACTGAGAGAAGTGAGTATACTTTATATACGTGTCTGTCTTCCATGGAGACTGAGTCTTTAATAATGATAATACTAATCATGAAAGACTCATAACTTTAACTAAATTCCAAATATGCTGCATTCATCTAACACAAATCTGCCAAGAAACAAAAAAAAAGTCCATAAATAATGTAATGCAGGCAAACTTACTTCAGATTATACGTACAAATAGATATATTTTTGCATATATACATGTGTATGTATGTATTCACTTCCATTTTGGCTAAGTTGGCAAAGTAAATAGAAAATCAGCTTAGAGAGCAATTAGAAATGTGTCTTAGCCATCGGCTTGTGCTTTAATTTGTTATTGGACACGCGCTGCGGCTTAGACTAGAGGCGCCGCCAGTCAGCCAGTCAGCCAGTCCGGCAGGGCATTATTTTAATTTCATTAAAATTTAGGTCTTTATTGCCGGACAAAGTTTGTGCCTGATATTTTATTATTTTCGCTTCCTATTCTTGCCTTCGTTTCGCTTTTGTTTTATTTTGCTTTAGCTCTGTGTAAAGTTTTTGGGTGCTCAAAAAGAAAAAAAAAGAAAAAAGAAGAAGAGAGGGACGAGAGCTGTGAACCATTTTTAAAGGCGAACATAATCAAATTAAATGTGACTTGGTGCCAAACTTGTGCCCAAAGCCTTTCTACGCACTCTACTCTTGCGGATCTCAAGAGTTCTCCCTCTCTCTCTCTCTCTCTGTCTCTCTCTCTCTCTCTCTCTCTCTCCCTCTCTATCTCTCTCTCTCTCTCTGTCACACTCTCTTTTTCTGCTTGAACTTTCTATGTTCAGCCAAAAGGTGCGTCAGTTACAGAGCTCTTACTATCCTGCTCCCACTCACACGCAGGCAGGCAGGCAGCACTTGCTTTCAGCAATGCTTTGACATCTTCCTCCCATCCTTCGTGATTTGCGTGAATTTTTGCATATGTCTCGCATCGCAATTCAAAAAGCACCGCTTAAGCTTACTTGCTTACAAAAGAGGAACAGGAGGGGTGGGTAGGGGGCACTGTTTGTGCCGCCTAAATAACAAATTGTAAATAGCAGCGCGCATAAATCGATTACCGTCGCGCCTTTCCGCCCCGTTCCGCCCCGCAGTCCCCCACAACATAAATAAACCATTTTTAATATGCGCGTAAGCAGTTTTCTTTTCATACCCTAGCCTAGCACAAGCGACAACAGAGCGGCATATTAGTTGTCGTCCTTTTTTATTTCTTATTCATATTTTTTGGTAGTGGTGGTGTATGTTAAAGTCGAGCATACCCTGAACCAAATTGCTGCTTAGTCGCGTTTGCTTTACTCATATTCTTTATTTCCTTTTCTTGCGCCCAAAACGCAGAACAGTTAGTCGCATGTGGGTTGTTAGGGAAAGGGGAAACGGGGGAAGGGGCGGGGCAGTTGATATTTTGTCGGTTGCTGACTTTAGCATTGATTTTGCTTGTTGGTTTTTCAGGCGCCATTCGCTACGGTTATTATGCCATATATAATATCCTCCTTATATTTTAAGTAAGGTGGGTTTGTTTACTCTAACATCCCCTTCCGCCCCCCTTCCCCCCACCAGTCCCCGCTACGATGCTTTTTGAGCTTTTAAGAGTGCGCGCGGCAAGAAGGATTTAATTTTATTACCGTGGTGCGTTTCCTGTTGACTTATTGTGCTGATATGATTAAGTGGCTCCATGGTGGATACTTGAGACTTAACTTTGTCGATGGAGGCGTGGCTGAGCGTAGCGTGACGTCACAACTAGCTGTCGCTTTAGGCAATAAAATACATATGTATATGTAATATTTGCCACGTGAGACGAGGCAGTTATTAAATTTCGTTTTGATTTTATTGAATTTGATTTTGTTCAACTTTCTGCCATATCTATGGGCAAAGGACGAAAGGAAGGAAGCAAGGCAGGCAGGCAGACAGGAAAGGAACGGTAACTTTTTGTTAAACGCCTGCTGCAGCTTTGGCCCCGGCAAGAAGCACTTAAAATTTACCCTCAACTGGCACAATTGATTGAAATTAGATGAGCTTTTCATAATACACGACCATCTCGCTTTCTCTCTCTCTCTCTCTCTCTCTCTCTCGCTCTCGCTCTCCCCCACCTGGTGTGCGTGTGCGTTTTTCGATTAAGCTCAACCTCTCTTTCTTTTCTCGACTGGCGCCTCTCTTTTAGCTATACGACCCAGCAGCGAAAAGAACCCATTACGAATTCCATTCATAATCTATACTTTGTAGGCGATGTAGCCTCAAATCCATATGACAGCCCACATTACTTTCCCATAAGCAAGGCTACCTCACATGATGAATTACCCTGTAATGTGGACTCCATATATAATGGAAGATATCTACTAATAAGATTCTACCAAATATGTTCACTAGTTATATATATTTAAAATATAGAAAGATTGTTAAGCTTATAGAATTTTATGAATCATACTAGGCTATATAATAATTTTAAATCGACACGTCTGTCCAAACTAGAGTAAGATAAGGGATAGAAAAAAATATATATATATATATATATATAATTAATAAAAAGCAGCATACAACTCTGCATAAGAGAGTATTAATAGGTAATCAATTACATAGTCTGCATACAGAATGCTTTACCAGAAGCATCAGAAGTGATTCACTATTTCGCTGCTGGGGAGTTGCTTTTGTTATCCTTGTAAACAGGGCCAGGACGACATTGACGCTAATACCGTTCTAGTTACTGCTGATGCTGCTGCTGACTGTGTGCCAAATTGGTTATTAAAAGAGTCAACTAGTTGAGGCGGCGCCGCAAAGCCATAAATAAATTGAAAGGTGTCCTTCGTCTTAAATATATGTAGCTTTAAGAGTAACTCCAGGACAAGCTAAAGATACTGTGAGGAGAGATCATTCGAGAGATCGCTGCACATGCAATGGAAACTAATCTGATTTGGTTTTTCAGGATTTTCCCGAAATCCATGCAACAAATGTTGAACCATTTTGCGTTTAAATACCCACAGAAGCCTTATAAATTTTTAATTAGGTTAAATTTGATTTTAAGTTAAAGTTAAAGAATTTTGGTAAATTGGTAATGTGTCGACAGACGGAGAAATACAATTTTAAGGGGGACTGGGCTGTACTGGTTTTTCTTTTTGTGACAAAAAGTGTAAAGTGTACGGAGAAAATCAAGGGAGGATTACAATTTAATTGCTACTCGTAGCACTTGCAATTTTTCCTTCTTTTTTTTGTAATTTTGCTCTAATTAAATTTTGGCTTGCACTCAAACACAGAAAACGTGATATGATTGTCCCAAAAATTAGACTCTGTTCTTGCCAAACAATTTCCACACTTATCAGAGTGAAACTTCTCCATGCAGAAGACAGGACGATAGCAAATTAGATAGATGGAGTGGAGAGATGGGCGATGGACAAGGAGAAGGAGATGGAGAGTGAGATGATTATCTATTGTTCAAGTATGTTGAGTATGCGACAAAGAGCTGAGTTGCCATGCGATAAGCTGTCCAACTAATTGAGCTAGTTTCCACAGCTTTTTTGTCGTTGTGCGAGAAAGAGAGCGAGAGCGAGAGAGAGAGAGATAGAGAGAGTGGGGAGAGAGGGGCGTGGCTTGAGAGGAGAAATCACAATTTGAGCTGCACGAGTATCTCAAGCTTTAACGCTGAAATCCTTTTAATGAACAGGATTGGGGTGCTTGGGTCCAGGCCAGGCCAAGATTCTAGCTCAGCTTGTTCATTATTTCGCACTAATTAACAGTTTTGCTACAAAGGGTTGCGGCTTATTTATTTATTTATTTATTTTTTTATGTTTATTTTTTTATTGTATATGCAGAAATTGCAACTCGTTCTCCGTTTGACGCTCTGTTTGCAGTTGCAGTTGGCTACAGTATGCCGCCAGGGCGCCACTCCATGGGGACCCTTGTGTGTGTGTTTGGGCCACTTTAATTGCTGTTAACGAGCTGGTTTGGTAATTACGCAACTTCTTTGACTGCCGCTCGAGAGCAAAGCAACTGTGTCACAAACACACACACACACACACACACATAAAGAAAATCAACTTAAAATCATGAATATATTCCGGATTCAATTACATACAGTATTTTGAAAGTGAATCGAGGCCAAAACATATATGACACCATTGAATATATTCTAGAATAAAAGAGACAGAACAGCTCTCTGAGGAATGTCGATGATTTGAAACAAACAACAAATAAAGAAACCTACAAATAAAAAAACCTAACCTAAACCTAGTTCTACGATTGAAAGCCAAAAACGAATCATTCACATAAATTCATATTTCCAGCTCGAAACACATTTAATTTTTACGCGAGCGAGATTTGTAGCTGTCCCTTTCTTTTCGAGTGACATCTTTCTGGGGCATGCGACAGATTATACACCCTTTGTGTCAACCTAATCAATTGCGATAATCTAAATTCCATTTGCAATTTTAATATCCGACAGAATATTGCTATGGTATACAAAGGGATACAGCTACATCGACTCGGCTGGTGATCAAGAATATATATACTTAATGGTGTCGAAGATGTCTCCTTCAATGCCATACAAACGTCACGACAAAATTATATTATACTAAGCAAGGGAGTAAGCACCTCAAGTATATATTATATATTTTACAGTAAATAAACGCAATATTAAAAATTTGAAATAATTTACAATTGTATTTAAGTTGTGTCTGATTGCTATTAACACTATTAAGTGAAATATAATGCAAACTATTTAGAATATTATTTCTAATAAAACTCAAACTCATTTTGAATCGTTTTGGAATCGTTTTAAAAGCACAACTTTAAGATTTTAACTTGCTTAAAATAAGGTTGTTTCCAGGCTGACATTCTTAATTTGAGACTTAACGCTTCATTTAAGATTTTCCGTCAACGAACGAAAGTATTCTTGAATCAATGTCAAATCGAATTTTGGTTTTCGTTCCGGTTCCGTCTCTGTATCAATTATTTAGAGTACAAAAAAAAAAAAGATTTATTCGTTACAACAAAATGGAAATGTACAAAATAAATTAGCATAGCTTGGCAGTCCGGATAGATCCCACTGATCCGCTCCAGCTCCTTCAGTGCCGTATACATGTGTGTGTGTGTGTGTGTGAGTGTGTGAGAGTGTTAATATATTTGTACATCTCACGCCCCCACAGCGGTATTCCACTCAATGTGGTGGGACGTTCCGTCCGCCCGCTTGCACTTGTACCGCAACAGGCAGCAGTCCGGGAAGGGATCCGTCTGATGGATGCGTTCGCCCTGATTGCATTTCTGGAAGCGCACTTTTCCGCACCTGAACGGGGAAAAGAGATAGAAGCAAACAGAGACAGAGATAGTGACAAAGACGATTAGCAAGAGTGATGCGAAGTTAATGATGTAGCTATCTATATATGTATGTGTGTGTGTGTGTGAATGTATGTGTGTATATATATTTACACATCTTATACACTCATGTGTCTGTGTGTGTGTTTTTGGTTAATGTTTTTAATATTATAATATGTTCCCCATCTCAATATTGCATGCATTTTACCATTTTGTCGACATGTTTGTACTGCATTGAAAGAGACACCGCCGACAGCATATAGTCTCTATATATATTTTTGATCAATCACATAATACAAACTCACAATTTATGAGTGTTCGGCATGGGACTACTATATCTGTCATCGGAATAATCGATCAGTTATTTAAATTGATAGTGAAATATAGATGTCTGCAAGGGTATCTAAACTTTGGCGTAACTCAGATATCTGTTTTCTTCTGGCTTTTGTTGGAGTTACTGGTTCAAGGAGCGAGTTTTCGTATTTATATGACATTTTAGCTTGTGCCACTCGAAAAAGAAAGAAATTAGCATTCACAGCAAAATATATAATTTTTGCTTAATAAAATATAGATTTGTTTGTGTTCAGCTTTCAATCGCAGAATGACTTTCCAATTTACACTTAATCAATTCTAAATCGAATATGTACATAAATATAAATATAAATGTAAATATAAATATAAATATAAATAAAAATTTCAAAGTTCGACTTGTTGATTGTTTTTAATTTGGACAATATACAAAACAAGATACCTTATCTCGAGCCTCTCTTCAAGGTTATGTCTCTTTCTCTCTCTCTCTCTCTCTCTCTCTCTCTCTGTCTGTGTCCAAGTTAGCTGTTCCGTCGTGTTTTCGGATAGATCTGGAAGCTCTTACGATCCCAATAGATTCTCTTTCTCGCTCACTCTCTTTTAATCTAATTAGCTGACAGTCTTGACCTACAAATTGCTGACCACAACAACTTTTGCGCAACTCTGGAAAATCTATGCGAAAAACTCAAATCTCGTATTTGAATTGCGTCGAATTCATCTTCTTATCAGTTGCAAAACATTTCGAATATTTGTATTGGGTGTTGTCTGCTTGTGTGCGACTGCTTGTGTGTGTGTGTGTGTGTGTGTGTTTGACCATGATCTCGTGACTCACCCTTCGACCAGCATGGAGCCATCCTCGTTGCAAGTTAGTCGCTGGCAGGGCGGAATACCATTGTTGATGCCCAGTTTAAGCTCATCGCCCCGATAAATGCATTTACCAAGATTCGCTAAGCAGAAAGAAGGAGACAGAGACAGAGAGTGAGAATGAGTGAAGGAGTGTAGTGAATGTGAGGGAGTCGTACCTGGATCGGCGGGTAACAGGGCCCTGTAGGCACTCACCTCTGCCAGCTGGAGCAGCAACGGCAGTACCAACAGCAATGGCACAAAAATCGATGCTCGCGCATTAATTGGCAATCCCAATCCACGTTTCTCAGACATTGCGACGCGTTCAATGGTCGAAATGGCACTGCCAGCAGATCTCTCAATTGACTCGAATTATTGGTATGCATCTGTCTCCGTTCCAGCGTCGTCATCGTCATCGTTATCGGCATCGACATCGACATCGACGAATTTTTCTTGTTGTTTTATTGCCTAGATTGGGTGAGTTGTTTGGATGTTGTTGTTGTTGTTGCTGATCGCCTATTTGTGGCTTAGATTGGGTCAATTGATTTCATTTTATACACTAACAGAATGGGGAGTAACCTAAAATTGTTGAATAGTGCTCAACTTTTTATTGTTAACTTATGAAATAACAATTAAAGTTTCTGCACTAATTTCAATATTAATTCAAAAAGAGTTTCTGGGATATTTATTTTGTGATTGGGTTTTCAAAAATTAGGCATTTGAGTTCTGGATTTGAATTAGAGATTAAAAATTCTATATTTAATATTCAATTTTAAATAAGTTCGACTCTTGTAAGGTTGCAGGGTGTTTAACAATCGGCATGCCATAGCTGGCTGTATTTGCTTGTCTTCTATTCAGTATTTGATGTTGTTTGTTTTGTTTTTGTTGCTTATTTTGTATTACTATTTAATTGAAGACACTGTCGGTATCGCCTCCCCTCATCTCTCCATCCCATCGTCATTTGCTCGCTTTTATTCTCTCGGGCCCGGGTCAGTGAGATTATCAAGGCATCGCCAGAGCTCTGATCCCCTCAACCCTCTACCCACTGTTCCGGTTGCCCTGCCACTGTTACAGTGTGTTGATCAATTCTTTGAGCATCTCATCATTTACAAGTAGAGTCGGTTGCTGTTTTACTGTTGTTGGGACATTGTTGGTTTCCTGTTTTTTCCCTTTTTTCATTTCAGAATTAAAGATTGCTCGCCTTGAGCCAATAATAGTTTCGAGCTGAACGGAAAGAAAAGTTTTTACTAAATGAAAAAGTAAATTCTTATTCTTAGCTTTGATCAGCTTGAATGAAGTTGAGTTCGATACATGCTTAGCATAATTCTATAAATCCCAAACCCTTTGAAAAAGGAGTATCATCTGCGATCCATAAAGTGTAATTTATATGTAATTTCATCAAGATCAACAACTCCTATTTACATAACTGATTACACTGATATACACTTACATATATAAGAGTGAAATAGGTCAAAAGTACGATAAGTTCATTTGAAACAATTTAATTTAGTATTGAGTAACAGTTTCAAATTTTCGCTTTTCATTGGTATCGATAACAGGACGTGCAATTGATTGTCTAGTCTAAATTGCATAATTCTTGACATACATATCTATAATTTGATTCGTACGAAGCATATTCAAGTTTGCAAAACTGAATTAATGAAATGCATTCACACTCAACACACACACACACACACACACACACACACACCAGAGCACATAGATAGAAGAGTGAAAGCAAATGTTGTGGCAAGTTGTGCAATTGAATAGACAACTTGAAGGGGCCAAGTAACCAAGAGTTGGAGCAGTTGAAACAGAATAAGGAGACAGATGAGCTGAAGCAAATGTTTACCCTACTGGCTATTAAATTTTTAATCAAGTTAAAGTGTTGCCAAACACTTCATTCATTCAGCTGCATATTCAGTTTGAGGTTGCCTTTCTCGTTCTATACAGTTAACTTCTGCTATGAGCATTGTTGGGGGACGAGTTTTGAGTTTGGAGTTGGAGCAATGTGAAACATGCGTTGACAGTCTGCTGGGAGTGGCTTTGTGTTAGTTATGCATGCATTCATTCATACATTCATACAACTCATTCAGCGACATTCATTTCGTTTCATTGCGTTTTCTTGCAACTTGCCGTTGCATATGCCACATATAGACACATGCACACATAACCATAACCGCATTGCATACAAGCCAACTGCATACAGCACACAGCACACAGCACACTTTCCCATTCCCCATTTCGCCCCATCCATCCCTTATGGAGCCATGGAACTCTTCAATCCCTTGGGTGTCACAACGGCAGCCTTTTGGGGCTCTTGTTCCCCATGCTGCTTGTCATCCTTTTGGCAAGTTTTTTCTTGTTCAGGCTGCTGCTTCTGGTTCATCTTCAGCTTGCTTCTTTTGTGGTAAATGAAATGCAAATAAATTGTCAACTGCAGTTAAATAAATTTTTAATTTATTACACTTTGACTAGCTCGGTATGCCAATGTGAATGCGAGTGTGAATGTGAATGGGAATGGGAATGTGAGTGGTGAATGTGAGTGTGAGCGTGAATGAAGCTGTTGCCATGAATGTGGCGCGTGCCGAAAGAAGACGTTTTACATGCCCCAATTACAACTATACCATCTTGTTTGACTTGAAGCTGATTTGCTAAATGATTACGTTACACGACTGAAACATGTTTGTTATCGATAAATTGACTGAACTTGTATTTTGTGATTGATCATCTGCTATATATTTATGCATATATTTCTACAGATTTCTACAAGTTAGACGGCGTAGGCTGGTGTCTACTCGGAGCATCTATATTTTTATTAAACATATCGGAACTCCACAATCTAAACTTTCCCGGGAAGCCGGAAACCGCCCTCACCCAACCATCTAACCTAATCTAACCCACCCAGGAAAAAAGATATATATACATATTTAGCCCTTTGTCGTCAGCTTGTGCATTCCAGGTGCCAGGATCGTTGCGATCTTTCTCTTTTGCTCGATTTCACAAAATCGATTTCCGATCAAATGTTGCCAATCCCGAAATTGATTCATCGTTCAGTTAAAAAAAAACAACTGACGCGCGATCGATAATAGTTGGTCAATGTGCTAAGTTAGTTAGTTGAAATCGCAATTACTTCTAAATTTAGACACACACAAATTTCTGGGTACGTTGACTGCGACTGGGGGTTCGTAGCCCCTTGACACGATGTGCACCCCCAGCAATGGGGGCGAGCAAGAGAGAACGGCCGCCAGAGTGGGATAGAGATAGACGTTAAGCTAATTCAACGTTGATTATTTAAATTAGCGAAATGAGTGACAGACCAACGAGATGCGCAATCCAAAATACAAAAATACTAAAATACTTACTCACACAAATTGAATAGGTTCATGAATGATGACCGAAAAAATACAATTACAAATACAAATACAAATTCAAATACAAATACGAATACGAATACAAATACGAATACAAATATGAATACGAATACAAAAGAAAAAACAACACAAAAATGCGAAATCCAAAAGAATAAATACAAATGGTGTGCAGATGTGAAATCACGACACAGACCAACTACGGCCACAATGTATATGGGTAGAGTGAATAGAGTGGTGGAGGAGGAGGAGGAGGAGCAGAGTCAGCGTCAGCTTCTGAGCTTCAAGCAAAACAAATTCACTTTTTCAGAAAATGTATTCAGTGCAGGGGCGACATTCGCAGCGGCAACGAAAGCGACAGCCATAATACACAAACACCTAAAGAGAGAGCGAGACCGAGAGAGTCAGAGAGAGTGAGACAGAGAGAGAGAGCGAGAGAAAGTGTGAGAGTGTGTGTGTGTGAGAGAGAGAGAGAGAGAGCGGGAGGGAGACAGAGCGAGAGAGAGAGAGAGAGAGAGCGAGCGAGAGCGAGAGAAAGCGAGACAGAGACAAAGTGTAGGGAAAAAAGTGTGTGCAGAAGTGCAAAGTGCATTTAACAGGCGACCATCAAAAAGTTGCAATAAAAGTGCCACAGAACCCAATCCAAATCCGACCCGCCAAAGGACTTCAAAACACCCAGAAGCAATTGCAGGAAATGGCCAAATTAGTGACGTACATCTTCATCGTTAGCTCGTTGATACTTTGGTATCTGCTGCTATTTGGTGGCTCGCGAGCTGGCAGCAGCCTTCTCGTTGGCGTCGAGGCAACCAATGGGCATGGCAGCCAGCTGGAAGGACGCGACTTTCATCACCATGGCGGCAGTCATCACATTCGACGTAAGTCTTGTGACATTTACCCCGCTATTGGGCAAAAAAACAACAACAAATAAAGGAAAGAAAAGAAAAAAAGATTTAAGAAAAACCCCACTCAAATCACCTCGTTTGCAGGCAATATCAATCACTGCTGGCGACGCTACGATGGCTACAATCTACAGAACACCATTGTCAACAAGAAGGAGCAGCTGAAGAAACCGTATGGCATTCTGTGCAACTTCAAGTGCACCTGGTTCTTTACAATCAGGTAAGACGGCACACACACATACTCCCCATTCAAGAGAGATGAACGCGTGCAACAAATGACTCTAAAATTGAATATAACTAAACTGACACTATTTCAGACATTCCCATCGTCATCGTCATCGATTTGTGTTACTTATCGATATCGATATACATTTATTAATGACTGCATGACTGTCAAATTTAATAGTTGTCACTTTTAGTTTGTTATTGATACCGATATACATTTTGTACTAGATGGATTTGAGTTACTTATTGCTCTCGATATATAGATATACTTTTTAAGGAGTGAGTCGGTGTCGCAAATTATTGTTCTATATATCGTTATCGATTTTATTTACTGTGAATATCGTATTTGATCGTTTTGAGTAGTGCTATTATCGAAACTTATATATATGTATTCCTTGACATCGAAATGTATTTGTATTATTTGATCAATATCGATAAGTAAGTAAGTCGTGACACGTACGATAAGAAAAAGCAGGACACGCGCCCATCTCTTCACTAAATATATGAGGTTTCAAATTCAACTTGAACACATTTCCAATAACAGTTTAGAAAATTTCAATGATTCTGGCATTTAACTCAAACTCTACTCACTTGTCTCTCCCTCTCTCTCCCTCTCTCTCTCTATCTCGCTATCTCTCTGTCTCACTCTTTCTTGTTGCTGGTTTTATTCAACTTCTTCATTTTGTTGCAGTTATCCCACTTGCGAATTCATCTACGACTACAAGCTGTCCTGCGTGCTGTTCACTTCACTGCCCGATTGCACCAACGTCAAGTGCACGCTCTTAAATTATTTTAGCTAGATTGGAAGCACAATACCGTTAACTGTAGATGGACTATAATGGTATACCATTTATTCAGCCCTGGCTGGCTGATCCGCTAAATCTTTAAATATTGTTAACTATTGTACTCAATGCCTAATATGTATTTCTAGCTCTTTAAGCAGTCGATTTTTTTTTTTTTTGTTTTCGTATTGCTTAAGTTAATTTAATATAAATGTAATTTAATTTTTACTTGTGTACAATTTTATAGTGAAAAGAAAGTCGTATTATCACAATTAACTTAAATTCGTTATTTGGGTTTTAATTGTTTTTTTTTTTGTTTTTTTTTGGTATTTTTGATCAAAATATGTTTGAACTAAGATTTGCAAAGTTGTTTTTTTCTCCGATGAGTTGCATGGGGTATAGAAAGTAGTCACACATGTTTGCTTGAGTTGCAAGCTAAATAATTAAATTGCTTAAAATTGTATACAATTTATGTACATTTTCTTAAATGGAGCAACTGGTTCATGAGTGCGTTAAGTGATTTGTTGACTCGATTCACAGCTAGTCGAATGTTTATTCAGCTCGAGCCACGAGCTAACTCCAGGGACGTGACTTGCATTGCATCTCTGACCGAGGATTGCGGATACGCGATGTGTGCTGGATGCATGCATGCATGCATGCCTTCATTCATTCAATCGCTCATTCATTGGCTCATTCAGCTTGCAGCTGAGTGACGCCATTAAAGTTGCACTCTAAACTCTCACAGTCTCTAGAAGAACGAAATTTGCACCTCATTTGACGGCAAGGGCGAGGCCAAAAGGCCACAGAAGCCAACAATGAGTGGCATGTGGTGCAAGTGGCAAGTGGCAAATGCCACACCCCATTTAACGCCCGCCCACCTGAGCGCTGGCCAAAACCAATTCTGACTTTTCCCCCAGTAGTAAACAAATTTGAAACACTTTGTTTGCCGCGTCAGCAGTATGGGGATATATAGATGTATATATGCTCTATATTCTATATGTATATATATATATATATGTATTTATACATATATGCATATGTATTGGCAAGTAGATAGGTATTCGTACCTGTCTGTTTTGTAGGGTGCTTACCTGTACCAGTGTGCAAACAGCCGCAAATAAATCGTTCGACATTTATAAGCCAGTCAAAGTTATGCTGAAATTTGTGTATTGCAGCTTGGGGAGGATGGGGTCTCGGGGCAGGAGGGGAATATAGAGTGGGTTGGGGGCTGGTTGCGGTTTGTTGTGACAGCTTGCCTTAAACGTAGCCCGAAAGTCATGGCCCTAAAAAGTTGGCCAGTGCTAAAAATAAGATAAATTATGTGGCTCCAGTCAATGGAGCTGTTAACTCACGCACCTGCGTCGCCATCAACCTGGAGTTGGAGGAGTTGTGGATACATGGATATATGGAGACGTGAAGTGGCGCAAAAGGGATGCGATTGATTTCACATTGCCAGCTTTGAGCTTCTATTCCCATTTCCATTTCCATTTCCATTTCCACTTTCGCTTTGTTGCCGTTCGCTTAGTTCGCCGTACGCAGTATTTTTATTTTTTGGGGTCGCACTTTAATGGAATCAAACGAAATGACATTGATCGCTGAAGGCCACTGGCCCCCAAGCCTGCCCCTGCCCCTGCCCGTGCCCACTCCTCAGAAGATCAACAGAGTAATGCGACGCATATCCAAACAGTAGTGACCAGTATGCCCAACTGTAATTGTATCTGTATCTGAATCTGTATCTCGGATTTGGGATTTGGGTCGTGGTCGTTGTGCGTTGATTGGCGCTCGTTAGAATTTTGTAGAACACTGCGTTTTACATTTTTATACCCTGAGCCCATTGAAAATGTATGAAAAGAGTATAATATAGATGGGCAAAAGAATGTAACAGGCAGTAAGAAGTAAATTTGATCATGTGCGTGCTTACAAGCCAGCCGATCTGAGAGTTATAAGAGATTGGAAAAATTTGAAACTCAAGTTTTCGTATACCATATAAAGATCAAGTTTTGTTTGTGCATCTTTGTTTTATCGCAAACGCTTCGTAAATATCGATGAAAATCGATTTCTAATTGCAATAAAATATATATTTTTGGTATTAGGTATGTAGATATCCTAAATTTAACATCGGTTGACACACAGACATTGAAAGTCTGAGCCGTGTACGACGTATGACAACTGAAGAGTTGCCTCCAAGGTATCTCCTGGTCGAGCTCTCTCGACTAGCGCATTCTTGCTAGTTTTCGTACATTGGGCGCACGCTCACCGTGCCGGACTTCAGTTTCAATGCTGATTGGCAAATTACGGCAATTTTCGCATGAAATTAGATTATTTCGAAATAGTTATAAACAAATTAATTGCGTGTTACGCATGTAAAAAATGCAACTGATACTCGGAAAGAGAAGCACTCAGTCCCCAAAAAAAACGATCGTTTATTTCATTCAATGTTTTACTGCAATTTAATGTGAATACATTTAAATACAAGTTAGTGGAATTAAATACACAAGTGCTGGTCTTTGTCCTTGCTTGCATTCCAATTTCAAATTATTATTCAAAATTTACTATGAATACTCAAGTGAAAAAGTTATTACGTATGCATGAAATCAAATTTGACTTCTTTTGTTTATTTGTTAATCGACTTAAAGTTTGAAATCGAGTTTTTCTTTGAAATAAATGCCAACAAAAAACTAAAGTGCATAAGTCGTACTTATGTTTAAAAACATTTCAATACATTAAGACTCGCAACAGCTCTGGCATGCAAACAAACAAACAGATTTATGCGAGAAAATGTATCCCGATGGAATTTATCACATTGAGATTGCTGAAGCGCAAAATGCTTTTTATAAATAGCACAACAAAAGTGACTACAAATTATGAGAAACAGAAACAGAAACTCGAGCAGCAGTCTCAGCTCAGTCAGAGACAAAGAGACAAAGAGAGAGAGAGAAAGAGATGGAGAAACAGACAGATGACTGACTGATTGACGTAGCAACACAAAAGGTGTCAACAATATCATCAGATGTGGGCTATTAAGCCTGAAAGAAACAGATACAGATACGAGATACGGGATACGCAGACCTGCAGATAGAAATAACGATAGAAATGCAGATACAGATGATAAGGGCAAATTGAGTGTTAGCTATATGTACATAGAAACACAGCTACGGTTACGAATATAAATAAAGATGGAAATAAAGATACAATTATGCTTAGGTACGAATAGTGTAAGTATAAGATACGTATATGCATATCTAGATGAATCCATATGAAATACTTGGATAGAGATACAAATAGAGATATAAAATACCACAGCTGATGGAGGCGTGAGTGTATGTAGACTGAAGAGTATATGATAAGGATAAACATGTGAAGATACAATCAGATAAATATATATGTACACATATAGAAGAACATGTCAAAATGAATACATGTACATATTAAGCTAGGGATTCGAATAAAGCTAAAGCACAGAGATACAGAAACAGATACAGAAACTGATACAGATACAGATACAGATACAGACACAGATACATTTACATATTAAGATAGATAAATAGATGCTTGCTAAAGATGAGGGCATAAAATAGATAGAAATGGAAACTCGTACATATATGAGCAGAGCTTCTGGCATTTGGGGCTTTAGGGATGGAGAATGGGAATACGAATGAGAATGGGACTGGGACTGGGAATGGGAATGGGTATGAGCTGTGAATTCAGATTTGAGTTGGGCCAGCCAATCGGGTGGCAGTCGTGCAAAAATACTCACAAAAAAAAAGGAAAAAAAAACACCCCGCCAGGCACTTAGTGCGATAATTTATCAATTGTCATCAATTTAGAAGCAACAAAAACAAACTTGTGGCTGCTTTCTTTGCTGTCTTGGGCTATGTGTGTGCTTCAGTGTGTTTGTGTGTGTGTGTGTGTGTGTGTGGGTGCGTTGTCATAGGCTTCGTTAGATGTGGCGCGCATGAAACTGATGGCAGTTAAAAACGCGTCGAGACAAACACCGAACATCGATGCTGATGCTGAACAGAAACAGAAACCGAAATAGAAACCGAAACCGAAATAGAAGCGTACCAAAAATTGGAACATGTTAGACGACGGCGGTTGTGTTGTCAATGATTGTTATGCAATGGCCAAATCGATAACAACACCAACAACAATCACAACGATACACACACGCAAAGGCGCAACAACAACAATCACATTTGTGCTGCTTTTAATTTTATGCTGTTTATGTGATTACAATTATGGCAGTACGTACATGCATACATACAAACATACATATGTACATATACAAACATACATAGATACATACAGACAAGTGTACGTTGTGTAACGGTTTATCGCATTGCATATTCTATTGAAATGAAAGTGTGTGTGTGAGTGTGTGTGTGTGTGCCTCTCCTCGTCTATCAACTGTGCATTTTATTTGCAAATTTTTATTTTTTTTTGTTGTTCTTTCTAATTTTTTTCTGTCTATTTTTTTTTGGTACTTTGTGCGCCGTTAATTTATGGTTTCATGAAAGTTTCAAAAATATTTTGCGGCACTCGTTGCGTATACGCAACATAACGCACTATGTGTGTGTGTGAAGCAAATTTGAAGCAAACTCATTTTTGCATATCCGATTCGTGTGTGTGTGTGTGTGTGTGTGTGTGCGTGTTAATGAGTTAGTTACAATTTAATTTTGATGCACATTTTGCTGATGTTACGCATACGCCGCATTGGTTTGCCCTTCTTATACGCTGATAACCGGTAATAATGTGTAAATAGGGTATACTTTTGAACAACTTTAAAAGTATCTCCGACTCCATAAAGTATATATATTTATATATATTCTTGATAGAGATCATCCACAGACTTTAAATTTGAATTGCAACTTCTTGTGTACCATTCGCGGATCAAGTTTATTTCATTTTCTCGATAATTTAATTCGTTACGCAAATATCGATGTAAGTCGATTACCGATTGTAAGAACTGCAACATTCTAAAAGATATAGCTTTCTAATTGAGTGTGTATAAATACCTTGCAAGCAGCAAGCTCAGGCTTTTCTGTATACTTGTGTTCACACACACACACACACACACACATACACATATAATGAGTGTACGAGTTATGATAGGAAAAGACTTGGTTTCCGGGTACCTCCAAGTCCTTGATTTAGGCATCGGAAACATAACCATAACCAGCATATAGCACGTTAAATATTTACAAGTAGTAGATTAGATTGCTGCTTGCTTTATTTATTTTTTAGGCTAAAATCAAATTAGATAATTAGTTGTTGTTGACTGCGTTTGTTGATTGAGTACAACAAGGATATTCCGTTTACAGGCTGGGCCTCGCAGTGCTGGAAGAAGCACAATTCGGGCTCAATACAAACGCCGGATGGTGAATTCAAGCGGCCATTTGGCATACTCTGCACATATCGCTGCTTCCTATGGTTTCCGCCAATGTAAGTTAAGCAATCAGCAATCACATATATCCGTATATTACATACATAAGCACATGCACACATACATATACATATATACATATAGCGCACAACCCTAACCCCAATGTTAACCGCACCCGCACATACAATTTACAATTTATGTTTATTTTCAACTCGTGTGAATTGCATTTTAAAACAAAACTTGCCAAGTTTCTGCTTTTTATTTGTGGTGTGCCAAAGGGGTTGCCTCTCGCCCCTCCACCTCCCCGCCTAGCATTTCCTCCTGCCACAAGGTAACAAGGTAAAAGACGATTGGTAGGGGAGGCGGTGGACTGGTGTAGTTTGGCATTTGAATTGCATAACAATTAAAATAGCTGGCAGCGCCATTTCATTGCTGGCTGACGCGAGTGTTGCCACCCTCTCAAAATAAATATTTCAGCAGCATTGCGAACACGCTAAAAGAACGCATAAATATATTTATATATATATATGTATATATATAAAACCACATTTATACGTGGTGAAATTCCCAATTATTAAGCAGACCATAACTGTGGTTCTCCTTGCTTCATTCCAATTCATTATATCCTGTACAGTTACGTAGCAGTACCGATTACCCTAAATAATTGGGAAAAAATTCATAGTCCTTATCGGACCCATTAGACTGGATCTGGAACCCAAATTCGTTTCGGTTTGACACACTGCTTAATACCAAGCTACAGTTCACGATACAATGTCTCAGCCGGTTTGAGAACCTAGTTATAATATATTTACTGTGTGGTATATGCATATATATGAATCATACTTGAAATACTTTGGTTCACCCTAAAATTACATCAACTGAAACGAATCACATATTATTGAAACAGGGAAATATAATGAATTCCACAAAACACAATTTGCAAATCTTGATTTAAGAATATATATATTGCCTTTAATCTAGAATAGAATATCTTAAGTTAAGAGTTTTAATGTGAAATCAAGAATATGTTCTTGAAAATAAGAACTAAAAAGGCAGTTAAACTTAGGCTTAATGATTTGTGATCTGATGTGCTTGATCTTATGTTATTTGATTACTAACTATAATTGATTCGTTTCTCAAATATCTGTGTGTCCCGATAGCTATCCGTACTGCGAGTTCATATTCGATTTGCGCTTATCGAGGCACTTCACTTCGTTTCCGGATTGCTACGAGATACGATGTAATGAGACGTTCACCTTCTTTGGCAGCGAGCAGCAGAACTACTGAATGAGCTTCGACCAAGTATATATATTCTCAAAGAATATATAACAAAAAGAAAACGTATGCAGAACGTTTTTCAAATATAATCTAAGACTATTATCGATAAATTGCTCAACAAAGTGTTGTCGATAGTTTTTCAGCACTATTCTATTCTATATAATATGATTTTTTTTTTGTTTTTTTTTTTTCTGCTTAACATTAACATGTATACTTTAATAAAACATTTACTGAAATTATGAAATACAAATAAAACTCAATTTAAGAATTTATGGAAATGCCGGTCTTGGTTTTTCTTTGGAAAGGGGCAGTTTATGTGCCGTCTGAGTTTGTGTTACCTGCTGTTTTAGATTGTTTATGGCGAACATAGCGGAGCCTACTGCCTTGGCCAGAGTGTCCATTAATTTGTGCCAACCTGCCGGCAATTTCCTTTGGAGCGAATTTACTTAGTTTATTTCCGCCAACTGCTCTTGTCCATAATAATAAAGAACCGGCTGGCGCCAACAACAGGCAAATAAACAAAGCGCCAGACAAAGCTACTGCACAGACACAACCAGACAACCAAAACAACCAGAATAAACCCGACACAGCAAACAACAACAAAAGCATCCCATTCCCAAAGACAACTGAAACCTATCCGCAGAAATTTGCATAAAAATTAGCATTCTAATTGACATGAGGCCCAAAATTGAAGTAACCAGGCTAAGCTTTCACTCCTTCTTTTTTACTTTGAATGTGTATGTGTGTGTGTGTGTGTCTGGGTGTATGCGGGTGTGTGTGTGTGGGTGTATATATGTGTGGGCATTGTCTTGGCCGCGTTGCTTAGGCGTCGAGTTAATTGTTTGTTTAGTGTCATAAAAATACAGTTTACGCCTTTCGCAACAACACGTGCAGACGCGGCCACAATTACAGATACGAATGCGGATAGCGTTTGGTTGGCCCATCAGGCTCTACACCTACATGAAACCTAAACACACAGGATATCCCGACTATCCCAATATCCTCTCAGTGCGATAGCACATGCATCCACAATCAAGGCAAACATATCCATAAGCTGATTTATTTATAACATATAACTATTTATTTATAATTTAATGTAAAACATACACAGCATTTAAGATAGATTTAAGAATTATAAATCATACAGAGAGTAAAAACCAACAACCGGAACTGATAAGATTATTATTATCAAACTGAAGGTACAAAAAGATGAAAATAATTTGGAGAACAGAATTTCATAATCTTTATCGTACCCGAAGTCGACCCGGCACCTAAATTCCTTTCCGGTTAGACAATCGAAAAGGGCTATGAATTCCTAGTAGGGATCACAAAGTAAATATGACTTAATAGAAAGGCCGAATTAATGTTGTTGAATGATTAATAAAAAGAAGAAGAAGCCTCCTGGAGTACGATGAGGATTAGGGATTCTAGACGAAGAAAAGGTAATTTTTGTAGCATAAAGCCTGGTTATGGCGGCTGTTTCTCTAGCTGATGATACCCGGTACAGTGTGCTCTAGTCGGGGCACAGGGCATCATCACAATGGCAACGCATTTGGCCACGTGCAAACAAAAGGGTCGCAGCAGACAATGTTGTCGCTGGGAAAACTTTAAATTTGCACAAAACTTAATTGCTGGCTGCTCGTTGGGGCGCAACGTGCTCTAAAAATATAAGTATAGTACTTGAGCATCTCTGGTAGCTGGGAGACAGAGGCCAGTCAGTATCTGTGGACGGGGGGATGCAGTGTCTGTCTGCTGACCAATAAGGAAGCGCGGAAGAAGGGGTGCCAGGTAGGGATGGGGGGATTGCTTTAAGTAGTTGCCCGAAACGCTTTGTTCTTTCGAAGGGCGTTTCATTTGATATTTCGCCATAATAAATTTAATGAAATTAAAATACTTTAGAAATTCCCTAAACTATGTCGCAACTGATTAAAACGTTATCAATGGAATTTTCTACGTACTCTATTACGATGCTATCCCTGCTCATTTCCTTTAAATTTACTCATCGAGCTTAAAGCATACTCAATGCATACAAATATGTCGAATATGAAATGAGAAAAGTAAGTAATTAATTACGAGTTACACTCAAACTTAATCGGTCTAGTATATAGTACAGCTGCCATAGTGTATAAATGAGTTCTTGTAATACAAATATTTTTGTGTATATTGCTGCTTTGCAATTTTCGGCAAAGTGGTGCTACGTCGGCTAGGGGGCTATCGATAAAATCGATAATTCCAAATCGATAAAACACGCAATATGATTGGTATATTATATTATATATGCAGCAATTTAGAAGATCAAGTTACCAAACATGGGAGCAGGTTACTAGGAACTACTAGGGCCACGCTCAACCTGTTCCTTGACACCGGTTATCAGCTGGTTGGCACCAGAGTGTTTCGCAGTCGGTCATACCCAAGTTAAACGTTCTCACTTATTTAATTTACAAAGTTATTCGAGCCTTGCCAAATGCTCCTTACATTTGAACATATAACTTTCATAATCGGTTAACCATTCTTTTTTTTTTTAATTTATAGTTAGATGGCAACGTGTTGATAAGGAGAAGGCGTGCATAGCAAAGGAAGGACTTGGGCTGAATGATTTTGTGTAATGCATCTGATGTCGAGTTGAAAAGAGGCAGAAGCAAATCCAGTTGTTGAAGGAATGGGAATGGGAAACACTTAAACTTGAACTGCACAAAATATTCAGAATGCAATTATGCATGGAATTCGCTGGCACTTATCGTTGCGTTTTTCTCAATTATTGTTGGTATTGCTGTTGTTACAAAACTTGTTTAACTTTTACGATGTCGTTTGGAAAAAAGTTTGTAATCATTTTCGTTAGTGCCTAGTAGTAGTACTTCCAAATTGCGATGGGAGACGGGGCTCAAGAAAGCAATTGTAAGAAATTATTTATACGATTTTACTGGCAAGAGCTTTCAACTAGTTGAAGCCACGCCCCCATTGCCCCCGTACGCAAACATATAAATAAAGCTGCACTGCACCCGACGACTCTTCGCCAGAAACTCTGCTCAACCAAAGGCCAACTAACATCCGCACAGTCCAAGTTTTCTTTTCCATTCCACTTCTTCTTTTTTTGTTGTTTCTTTTTTTTTTTTTTTTGGTATTGTCGAGCCACAAATTTGGCAGCTGGAAGCGGAATGAGACTTTTACTTTTCATAGAGGCACTGTTGCTGCTCGTGGCGCTACAGCAAGGTTAGAGACAGAGAGAGTCAGAGAGAGAGAGAGAGAGAGAGAGAGAGAGAGGGAGAGAGAGAGAGAGAGAGAGAGAGAGAGAGAGATAGACAGAGAGAGACGTTTCATTTATGTGTTTGTGTTTTGGGTTTACTTACAGCAACCGCAGTCCAATTGCACTACAATTCGGAGCCCAGGCTCTGCTCTAATCTTAATATGCGAGGTAAGTACTTGGAGTAATCGGGAAGTTTGACCCATCCAACAGCAGTCTCCCCTCTCCTCCCCAACCAAATGCAGTGTTTGACGCTAAGTGCGAGATACATGGTTTCATCTTATACTCCAAGTGCCTCTACCACTGCGATTTCAATGATAGATTGTGGTATGCCTTTAATATGCCTTTTTATGATTAGACATTTCTAAGCCAAACATTTTGACTCCAGGACTACTGATTGCACAAGGCATTTATTTGGCAAACATACTTTTCAGGAGTGCTCTAACATCTGCTGCGTAACACCTCCATCAAAATCAACAACAACGACAACCTCAACAACATCAACCCCATCATGTGTTGTAGAAAGAACAAGTGCGCAAAACTCAGAATTGATGGAATCTACATATCCAGAGACAATTGAAACTACATCCTCGGTGGAGCCAAGTGAGTCTTCAACAGAGACTGGGACGAGTGATGCTTCGGGTCTGCAAGTGGCAACAGATGACTCAAGTTCATAGCCATTTGGCAGACTTATTTGCGTATAATTTCGGCAAGATGCAGTTGGCCACAATTGCTAACTAATATTAGGATTATTTTATGTTTTTTTTTTTTATTTCGGTGGTGGATATATACTAAATTGAAATGCAGATAAATAAAGTGAACTCTACATATATTCAATGGTAACTCAAAGCTGATTTGAGCTGAAATCATCAGCAAGCACTCAAAGCTTCTTTTTTTTTAGAATGTGTTTTGTTCAGAATGTGTTATCTCTGGTTGGTCGTAAATGTCTTGTGTGCAGGTATTGGCAGCTGTGAATAATAAAACATGATTTGAGCGCTAGATGACCTCCACACCGTACCCCATGTATTTATATTTTGTGGTGCCCAAAGTTGTGGCACAAGTTGCACTTGACATTTTGCACAAGTTGAGATTTAAACTGGGCGACAATTATGACAGACTGCTCAACACAATTCGGCGGATGGCAGTGATTCAGTTTTTAGCGCGAATATACTCATATTCTGTATTTGTATGTATTCACATGCTTGTATATTCATATTCATATTTATCAGTGAGTACTCGAAGGGGATATTTATTAATCATGGGCAAAAATGTACATCGCAAGTTTTTTGTTTGTTTGTTTGTTGATTTAATCAAGTGCCACAGCCAATTTAACTACACACACACACACACGCACACACACACTTGGCAGTACATTGCGTATACGTAACGCTGAGTGGGTGAGATTTTTGTTTGCATTTTATCAGTTGTTGAGCTTGTTGGGGTCTGTGGTGTGAGTTGGGCGCGTAGTTGCCACACATCAGCCGCCAGTTTCGAACGTTTCGAAATACACTGAGATATATTATACTAAATACACTTACATCAAAATATTGAGAGAAAGAAAGAAAGAGACAAAGATATTGAGAGATAGATAGAGAGAGAGAGAGAGAGATGTATATGATGCACTCGCTGCTCGCCGGGATCTGGTTGAGCCTGGCCCTCTGCCTGGGCTGGCTTGGCTGCTGCAATGGCTTTGGCCAGTTTCACATGAAACGCTATCAGCTGCAACGCGGCTACAATTCCCAGGACGATTCCAGCGAGAATGATAATAGCGTGTTGCGTAAGTCCAAATCTGAACAGAAAATGAGCAACCACAATCCACATTCATGGCTCACTCTTCACTCAACAGGCACCTATCGTCGCTGCATGTGGGAGCAGTCCAAGTTTCTGCCACGCCGCCTCGTCCTGTTGAGCCTCTGCTCGAACCTGTTCTGCGAGAACAATCAGATAATGCCGCGCTCCAGGTCTATTTTCGTAGTGGAAAAAATGTCTAGACCCAACGAGTAGTGTCACCCAAAAGATTTCTAGTCGCATGTCCTAATGTCTAATGCATGTTGCATGATGTATGATGCATGCCCCCCGTTTCACTAGCAAGACTAACCTCAATTTGAGTATTGTGTGCTTGTGGCACTTAGCTAATGCAACCTGTTCTCTCCTCTTTCTGTCTCTCCGTCTCCCTCTGTCCAGTTGCCTGGACATTCTGCCGGAGCAGTGCGAACAGGGCGATGAGGAGGACCTCATGTACAAGCCTTTCCCCGACTGTTGTCCCGTTTATTGCAACCTGAAGCGACGCATGCAACGCCTGAGGACAATGCACTTCCGACATCGCATGCTGCGCAACATGCAGGACTCTGGCACCGCCTCCTCTTCAGCCTCCTCGGATGCCAAAAGCCTGCTCAGCGAGATTGGCTACAACAATTACTGATGCAGCGCGTGCAGCAATTGAGGCAGCATCTGACATTGAGATTTGTTAACTTTGTTGCACAAATTATAGACCTGTAACAAGCAGCCGATTGGCAATTTTGATTCCTTCTCCAGTTTGTTGATTGGGATTGAAATTGCACTTGGGGCTTGGGTTTTGAATTGGGATTGAGGGATTGGGATTGGGATATCGATTGAGATTGCGATTGGCATTGAGTTTGTATCGTCTAACGTCTAGACAAAGCTCTTGAAAGTGGCAAGGCATAAGATGGAATAGCTAACTTTACCTAACACTATCGAAGATTGAGTGCCCTTTCTTCATATTCATATTCTATATACATAAGTGTATATTCATGTTAGTCGTATATCCAATGTATTCAACTTTATGCTATATATATATAAGATCGATCAATCATATACAAATTCTCGATATTAAATACTCTATATAAATCAAAATAAATCTCATATTGGACAAGTCTGTTCCATCAAGCTTTTTGAATAAACAAAATATACAATCGCATCTGCGATATATAAAAGATAAAAATAAAATAAGAAGCATCTGCCACAAGTCACACCCTGGCTGGTTTCTATGGCAATCGTGATGTAGAGTTAATGCTCTTATTCGTTCCCTACACTTTTCAGGGAATTCATACAATGCGAATACCCTTTAGTTAGGGCATTCTTAGAAGAGTTGAAAGTAAGTTGGACACTCGAGACATTTGATTGCGCGACGGTTGCTGGCTGCTCCTGAGTAACATTGAGTGGCACTGTCAAGTGGCCAGTTGCCAGTTACCAGTTGCCAGTTGCCAGTTGCCAATTGTCAGTTGCCAGTAAGCAGTTGGCTTATTTACATTTCATTTTTTGTGCAATTTAATTGCGTTTGGCTTTTGTCTAGTTTGCTGCCTGCTTAGCTGACAATCGTTCTCAGTGTTCCTTTGGCGTCCTTTTTGGTCCTTTGGTGCTTTTGTTCTCTGGTCTTGCGGCTGCATGATTTTATGACGCTGCACTTTCCGTTGCAGCAAAATTCTTTATGTCTGTTTTTTTACACTATCGCCGCTTATCGTTTTAACACTCTTACGTGCCACATACAGAAGCTGCCACAGCAGGGCTCCCTCGAGGCGGGCTAAGCAGCTTGCTGCATGCCTCCCTGGCTGCCTGACTGGGTGGCTGGTTGGCTGGCGTCTGTCTTCATTTTTATCAGCAAACAAGCAATAAATTTTATTTTAATAAGCAACACTTTTGATAGCTTGCAACGCTGAGGCTGCTGCTTGCAACCTCCATTACATCCTTCCTCCGTACCGCCCTCCATTGCCACTTTTACAGGGAAGCGTCGCAATGGGGGACTCCCACTCTTGCTGTAAGCAATCCTCGTCGTTGTCGCTGTTGCCGCATATTGCATGCGGCACAGAAGTAAATACAAAAGATTCAAGTCGGCATCATCAGCTGCCATAATGTTGCGGCTGAGTCCAGTGGAGTCCCTCTCAGAGGGATCGGTACAATTCTAATTGAAATGCAGAGCCAAATTCAAGCTCGATTATCCAAATTTATATTTGTTTAACTAAGTTCAATACTTACATAAATAATTGTTGTTTACTTCGCTGTGGAATTCTTAAGACTATGAATCCTGTAGCAACTTGAACACAACTGTACCTAATGTGAAGTAACTTAAGATCCCTAAATGCATATCTTATTGGATAGAAAAGATGTAAGTCGGATGAGATTTGGATTTCCTTTATATTAAGACAGTGATTGAGATTGCAAATGAGAAAGAAACTTCAATTAAGGTTGTTCATTCAATCAGATTCAATTAAAGCAATTGTCTGCTGCAAGGTGTGTGGCGATCCGGTCACTTTTGATACATGTGATGAGAATATTCGAATCGCATCGAAATGCCAATGCGTCCCATTGATGGAACGCCAATGGATTTGGCTTTGGTCCCATTACGCAGCCAACAACAGCAGTCTGCCGCAGTGGTAACGACCACCGAGGAGGCGGTGGCATGCAACCCGAGTTCTCTTCGAACCACCAGCCAGCCAGGCTTCAGTTGTTGGTTGGGCAACCTGTCTGCCTCGTTTATTTGGTGGGGTTACATCCGGGCTGTTTGCTTTTGATGCACGTTGTTGTTGTTGTTGTTGCACTTGGTCTGGCTGCGTTCGGTGTTCCGCTTATTTTTTATGTGGCTTTAAGCAGGTTGCTGGTTGCAGCATCAGATTCTCATTGGGTTTTGTTGCCGGAGCTTTCTTGAAATCGTTGTTCTTGTTGCGGCGCTTGTTGTTTATACTTTGTTGCACTTTGAAGATTATTGCACAATGCAATTTATATTTATCGTACGCTTTTTAGTTGTTGCCATTTCTTGTTTTTCTTTTACATATGCCTTTTTACATACACACAGTACTTATATAATATATTAACCATATAACCCAACAGGACTCACATAAGCATGTATCAGTGCTCAGTGCTGTATCTATTTAAGTTGTAAATAGATAAATGATATTTGCAACTCGAATATTATACACACATTTCACATATATATATTGGCTTAGGTGTCAGCCGAAGTTCTTTAATCTAATTCGTAAGCACAGTGTCTCGCTGGGTGACTTTAATGCTTTTATATCCTAACAGTAGCACTATGATACTTACTATTCCAATCTAAGCCGTTGCAGCCAATTCCCCAACCCTTTCCTTCTACACTCAGTAAAAAATCAACCAAAAAAAAGAACGTTTTTCTTGGTCTTAGAATTGATTTTTAAATATAAGAAAAAAAGATTTTGAAATAATTAGAAAGCCTTGCCCTAAATCAAAAATCTAGAAATATTTTCTATTATTAAGAAACACACTTAAAATAAGTGGCAATGCAATGGAAAATATCCTTTCTGAGATTCAGAAAATATTAATAAAATTGGGTTTCTTGATGCGCTGTTAACTGCCGATTAGCTCAGTGGGAAGGGGTCTCTGGTTCGAATCCCCATAAAATTGTACGTTTTTTCCAAGTTGGTATACTATTTTTTTACATTTTAGAAAATTGTACGCTGAAATTAGGATCAGAAATATGCTTGTTTTTAGGGAGATTCTCTCTGAATCGAAGCGAGTAACCCTTGACGAACATCTAAAATTCATGACGATGTATCTTTTTCTGAGTGTAGGTTGTCTGCTGATAGTGGTAACTATGAAATGTTGTTCTCCATCTCTATCTCCATCTCTATCTCCATCTCCATCTCTATCTCCATCTCCATCTGCATCTGCAACTCAACACTGTACGAGACTAACGTGGAAACTCTGTGTGACATTATCTTGCAACGTTGTGCAACGTTGATATTGTTATTGTTGCTGTTGTTGCTGTTGTCGTTAGTGTTATTGCAATTGTTCTCTTTTTTTGCTTCTCGCCACACAATGATTGTGAAATAAAGAAATGCAATACCTTTTTACGTATGCTTATGTTTTCCTTTTACAACCATATGCTCAGTTGAATTCTATGTGTGTGTGGTGTGTGTGTGTGATGTGGTTGTTGTTTTTGTTGATATTGTGCTGTGTAGTCTGCTCTTAGATGATGGCTTTCCTTCCATTTAAGCACTGCATTAAACAGTTGTCTACCTGTTGCGGACAGTTGGGTAAAGTCTTAAAACTTCAATACTGCAGCAATTGTAATTCACAAGAAAAGCAAGCAGACAAAAATTCAAAGAGAAAGAGAGAGAGAGAGAGAGAATGAGAGAGAGAGAGAGAGACAAGCCGTCGAATGAATGAATGTCATTTCTAATTGGTACTCGAAAGCGCTTAAGGAAAATAAGTGTGGGCTTTTCACTTATATTTTATGGACATGGTACGACCCTTGAAAAGGGTCGTTTTTTAATCTTTTGCTAAAGAGTGGGTAGTGAGAGTGGTCATGTGTAGAAGCTAAAGGTTTTTCTCGATTGTTATGGATAGATAGGCAGAAGGTTTCCAAGTATCCATTTACAATTTGTAAGCCCTATGCTTAAGATTGTGGGAAGGAAGTTTGTAAGTTTTTATCGGTTTACACTTTGAGGACTATGGTTTCGTACCTTTAAAGTCCCATAACTTTTAAAACTTTGAAAGAGATTAAAAAAGTATTTAGCGAAGGCCGATCGCAAAAACAATGTATGATAATAGCAGTAAATTTGACAATTTAAGCATATAGCACATATTTTTTTTGAGTGGATTTCTGCTACATTTGAGTGAGACTAATGGCGACAGCGATAACAATAACCGCAGATTGAGCTGCTCCCACAGTGTTGCCTCAGCTGGCTGACCTTTGTTTTTGCCAGGGCAACGAAAAAGTTGAGTTGCCATCAAATTGACAGCGTCGCTAAAAATGTGCATTGTAATAAAAGTAAAAGTTGCTGTCAACTATCAATGACAATGGCGAGCAGCTAGGCAGGCAGGGCAATGGACGGAATCCGAATGGGAAAGGAAGTGGAGTGGAACGCAAATGGAAGCATCATCCTTGAGCATCCTTGTTTGACCATTTGCTCAGTTGTCGCTGTGTGCTTCCGTTTCGAAGGGCAATTAGCTGACAACGATGCCCGAGCTGAACCCAAGTTGAACTGATTTTCTCGTACTTAATATTTGAATGACGAAGTAAAACGCAAGCAAAGTATAAGCAAAGTTACACACAAGATACAAAGAGTGAGAGTTCATGCAACATCTTGACTAATTAAAAATTTGTTGCAAGTTTCACACAATTCGCATGCGGAAACTTTCGCCAAATATTGTCAGTTCAGTGCAATACTTGAAACTTAAGCCAAGAATATATATTGTTAGATTGGTTCTGCATATTTTAAATCAAGTTTATTGTCTCCTTCTTTTTGTTGATGACAATAATTCTGGTTATGAAAATCATTTACCAATTTGCTGTGCCAAAATTTCAACATTTTTTACAAAGATTCAAGATTAAAATTATGATAAGTATTATAATTTGTAAGAAAAACAAAATTGTAGATTTTTAATTAAGGTTAAAATTCTTAATTTAAGAGCAGGAATTCTGAAATAAAAAACCATTGAATCAAGATACGCAGTTTAATGTATAAAATACATTTGCTTTGATCTGCCATTAAATCGGATTAATTTGTAACCTTGACCAGTAATAACAATATATACATATATTTAGATTCAGATTCTTATATAGTACGATATCGTGTTAAGAGCCCATTTTGGTGAGTGCATCGGCAGCAGCGAGACCCATTTCATGCTCACTGGAACCGGGTGGTTCGAGTTGCAGGATGCGTGCACTGTCCTTCAGCAGTTTGGCGACCTCCTTGATGCGCTTCAGAAACTCCTGGCGGGTCAACTGGCCACTCTGCATGCCCAGCTGGGCAAGCACCATAATCGGAGCATGCAGCTCGTACATGATGAGCCCTGCAACGGGTTAATAAATGCAAGTTGCAACTGGTTTTACTGGGTATATATTAACTCACCTCTCAGACGCGTCAAACCTGGATCCAGTAGATCGACGATCTCGAGAAAATCACGACAATAGCGCTCCTTGCGCTCTATATCCTGCGGCGACATCTCCGGCAGTAGATAGCCCTCGATGCGTCCATAGATCTGACACAGCGAGTACTTGGCCGACAGCAGCAGATAATGATTTGGACGCAACACCTCACGGTACCTACAAGTATTGCCCAATCAAGTCTGGTCAAGTCTAGTGGGGCAAGGTTGGATTCACGTTTGGCCACAATGCATGTGATACAAACCATGATCGCAATGAAGCAAATGCGACTATAGAGGTCTTATAACTCCAGTTCTTGCCAAGTTAGCCAAGTTAGTATCAACAAGAGAAGAGCGAGCTAGGCTAGCGTGCTGGAATTGATGCTAACTATAAATGATATTGTGTTCTGACTGAGAACTGTGTCAAAAACTCCAATTGTAGACAGCTTTTCATTTTATATGAAAGTTTATCGATATCGACACATTCGCAAACTCCGATATAAATCGATTTGCGATTATTAACATCAGCAAGCTGGATTCCTAGTCGACTTCTATCGACTATAGCATTCTAACTGGCTAAGTTATCTGTTATTGAGTTAGAACAAGAAGAAACCACAGCTATTTCAATTTCATTATACATTTTAAAATCGTCACCCGATATTACCATCTTTATCCGATTTTTTAAAAAGGGATTCCCAGGGATACCAAAGATATTGACATTCATATTGAGTCGCCTGTCGGGGCTTAATGTGTATGAAAATGGATTATCTTTATCTGTGGAGTTAATGATGTTTCTGTTAGAAATTTGCTTTAGATGAGATTGTAAATAAAGAACTAAATTCCTGTTAGTTGGAAGCATCAAATATTTAGAGATTGTAAATGGCGTAAATGAATCATAGCGAAACTCACCGTGTCAGAAAGTTCTCCAAGGCGGGAATGTCGTGCACATCGATCTCTTCGAGATCATCGTTGATGCGATCGATAAGACGCTCCAGATCCGCAGCACTAAGCCGACAATCGCAGCGATCGCAGCTGGAAAATATTGTAAATTATGCGCAGATAGAGAATCAGATTCAGAAGGATGTGGAGAGGATTGGCTACTTACGCCCAGTCGGCTGTCTGTTCCAGTGGTGCTGTGGCTCTGATGCTGCCTAAACGGCATGATCTGCAAACGAGGGCACTGCAGTCGCTACCCAGCTCGCGGGGATCGGCACAGCGCTGGCATTGGCACCAGAACAGCTTGCCGCCCTGGATGAAGGTGCGCCGCTTCAGTGTGCCCTGCAGCGTGTACGCATAGCTGAGCGTCAACGGCTCCTGCTCGAGCACGCGTCGCGACGTACGCAGCAGGATGGCAAACGTGGCTGGGTCATCCGTGTGCGCCGTGTTCGGGGTGCAATCGTGCGCGAGCAGGAACGCGCTCGGATATAGCGTGCGCGCCTTGGCGCCTCGCTGACCAATCTCAAAGCAATTCACATCCAGTATGCCACAGATTTCGTGCAGCTCCAGTTCATCGCACACATTGGCCAGCTGCCAATCGTTGCGTAATCGCTGCACCACCTTCTGTTCGTAGTGTTGCCACAGTGTCGCATTCTCACGCCTCTCCGCCGTGTGCGATTCCATGCGCCGTATATTGGCATACTGTTCGGCTGAGTGCTGCTTGAGCAGCACAATGCGCACGATCAGCACCAGCTCGTACAGATCTCTCCGCTGCTCCAGTGTCGCATTCGCTGTGAGCACATCTGCAAGCAGCGCCCGTCGTTCCGCATACAGGGCACATTCCTCGGCGCTGTGTCCGGTGCGCTGTCGGATGCCACGGCAGGTGGGGCCACACAGTGGCCAGTTGCAGTCGGGACAGCGATACTGTTGCGAGTCGAGTTGGACGGGCTGATAGCAGCCGAGGCAGACGGGCTCACAGCTCACGCAGGGTCCAATCGCAAGCGGCTCCTCGCTGATGAGCAGCTCGCCCGCCTCCAACCGACGATTGGCCACCAAATATCTTCCAAATACATCTGAGTGTGCCACACGATATGCTGGCACCGGTTTGTTGGTCTCCGTCTCTGGTTGTGCCACCGAATTTGTCTTTGACTGTGGTTGTTGTTGTTGTTGTTGCTTGTGATGTTTGTGGTGACGATTCTGCTGCAAAATGCCGACAACAACAAAGGAAAAATGCTCATTAGTGACGTTGGCAATGGCTGTCGGCACATTCCCTGCTAATTGTATTCTAATTGCTCTGCCATGCTCTCGTGTCCGGCTCATTAATCACCCGTGCCTCGATGCCCCTCTCCCTCTCCGATGGCCCGATTGACCAATCTTTCGCTCCTGACACCCTGCTCATTTTGTCAACAGCTGGCAATTAAATGACACTCATCGCTCCGCTCCACTCGATTCGACTCACCTCGCCCCTCGCTCCTCGCCCCTAGCTCCACAACAGGTGCACAACACTCATTGTTGCTTACAGTTTTCAATTATGTACACCTCTCCAAGAACGTGCCCAGATCATATTTATTAAGTTATGGCTCGGGGAAGCACCTCTCAACTTGACTTAAAGTCAGAATTGTGTGTTGCCAACTTTGATCGAGATGTCAAACCATGATGCAAAAGTCCTGGCTTGGACACTTTGGCCAAAGCTAGGCCGCTGAGCTCATTTTTAGATTTTAGCAAGTTAGATTGATTGATTGATTCCTGAATCGAACCTATCTTAAGACGCACAAGTCGTAATTATAAATGTTTGATAAAATTCTGTGGTTCTTTGCCAATCTTTTTGCAGTTGATCATTCGGGCTATATTCATAACCGTTTGGAAATACTTTTGATGCTGATTAAGAACACATATAGCTTATCGGGTAAGGCGTGTTTCCTTACGTCTGCCACACAGTTTTCTATATTTTCAACGCAATTTCAGGTCTCGATTGAAGAGTTTTTATGACATTTGAAATGTATCCGTGTTGTGTGCATAGATCAGAGTCGGCCACTATATCATATAGCTGGCAATCGATACAATCGGCCGAACAACGAGCGCTTGTTGAAGCGAGGGAGGGGAAAGACTGCTTTTTGGGGGGCTGTGTGAATATTTTGGTGGTATACAGTGATTATTTATAGTTTCCGTATATTGAGAATAGCTGCTGAGAGAAATGTGCGCCGACTATTAATAGAAGACGTGGCTGGGTGGTGGTGCGACCGGGTGGTGCAATCGAATCGGGCGGGTGGTGGTGCTCTGTCGTGGAATTCTACAACATGTGGCACGGATTGTCTTTTGTTTGTTTGTTATTTTGACCAAACGACGTGGTTGCTTTGGGAACTTTGATGTGTGCCTATTAGCAGCATTAGCAAAATACGAAAATTTGCCCATAAATCTAAGAAATCTTAGAACACGCGCCCAATGATTATTTCCCAATGGGAAAAGCAAAAAAAATGTTCATTTTACTTTTCACACAAATATAAAATATGAAAAAAGAATGCAAAACTATATCGACTTTCTGTATTTTTATTTTTTTTTTCAATTGGCATTTTATATTGGTCGTGCCATAAAAATGTTAATACATACACACACTCTACCGCACACACACACACACACACACACATTTGTGGTTGCGTTGGTCATTTAATATGTGTATTTATTGAGTGGATAAATCCATTTTTAATCATGCTGCAAGCCCACTTTCAATGCAAATCCCAACAACAATCCCATCTCAGTATCCTTCCCCTTTCAAGCGCCCCCCACCAGCCCCCTTCCACACACACTGGGATCAATGTTTACATTTTTTCTTGGAGGCATTTTCGGTCGAGTTGTTTGTTTAAATTGAATTTAATTTATCGTTTTTATGCTGTGAGCATGCGAAGAGTTGTGCATTTAAATAGATGTGATTAACAACTTGTCATTTAATTACACAGATAACACGACAACAATAATGACAACAATAATGACAACAGCAACACCAACAATAACAATAACAGCAACAACAACAACAACGAGAAACACTGCGTTGTTTCTTTGTTCGTTGTTTGAACCGCGACGCACAGATTGCAACTGTGTCCAATTGTCGTCGCCGACAAGATCTTCCTCTTCATCTTCGACAGCGTCTCCGGCACTTGGCACAGTTTCAGCTGTACACACACACACACACACACACACACACACACATACATGCTTGCCTGCATGTAATGGAGCATAAAATAAAAAGCATTTGATGATATTTATAAATTTATGATATTGAAAACACTATTTCACACACAGAGAGACAGAAAAGAGACAGAGAGAGAGAGAGACACAGAGAGAGAGACACAGAGAGAGAGAGAGAGAGGGAAACAGAGAGTTCTCTTGGCCGATCCATACTGTTACGCTCACAAATGCAACTTGGCGTTAGTACACTCGGAAAAAAATCACACCCTTAGCAAAACAAGAGGGAAAAATTATTGATTTTAGTTTTAGATTAAAGTGCTTAATCTTCAGAAGTTTCGCTGTTGATGAATATTCGAATGTTTTTTATACCCAGCACTGAAAATTGTTGTCTTATGTAACAGGTAATTGGCATTTTAATGACATTTTCGATCCCATATATACCTTGACATACATACATCTTTTCTTGTCTATACCTTAACATACACATCACATCTTTATTACAGATTTTTCATATACGCTTTTTTTTGGTTAGTTAAATTTCGTCTGAAAGCAAAGCTCTCAAATCCTTCGCATAACATCAACATCAACAACAAAGACAAAACACACAGAAAGCGATGCATTTGGCTAATAAAGCAAATTGAATTTTTAGGCACATTTTCTGTTATTGCCAAAAACTATGCTAAGGCTTAGTAGGCAAATTTCGCAACAAACATTTTTCAACACAAATATTTAATGCAATTTTGTTTCGCACTCAGTAATATATGCTCTCTCTATCTCTTTCCTCCTTCCCCTCTCTTTTCTAGCTACACTCAGAAAAATAAATATAAAGATTGCTGTACTCAAATCAAGACTTGGTAATCAAGTTCTTATATAAATCATGTTATAATCTAAAACTGAAATTCAACATTTCAAAATTGACAATTTTAGCTTTTGAAATATTTTACAAGAAGTACAAAAATGCTTGTCATGAGTATTGTGAACTTGATCCAATCCAAATGGTTCTAATTGCGTTTCTTGATTTTAGAATTGATAGTTTATGTTGCAATCTTAATTCGTGTAGAAGAATGTAACAGACTTAATTTAAGCAGCTTTATTCCAGCATAAGCGAACATAATTCAAATTTAACAAATTTGCCTAGATATTGGCGGCTTCTTCTCTCTGTGTATACAAATTTACCATATTTTTTTGTTTATAGCAATTTGTTTTATGTGGATTTCAGATTTCTTGCCTTTGGGCGTGTGTCAACACGGTCGGCTGGAACCAGTGGAACCGGTACGGAACAGGGCAACATGAAAACGTGAACCATGCTGCAAATGGAACATTCATAACTATCGCTTCAGCTCTGTTTTATTTATGAAAATTGGATGCATGCAGCGACACCCAAAAATGAACTACCAACCAAACCCAACATAACCTGCCCGACTGAGTGGCTGCCCGACTGAGTGACTGCCCGACTGAGTGACTGCCCGACTGAGTGACAGAATGGCTGAATGGCTGACTGAATGCCCGCTTGTTAGCCAGGGGCAATGGCACAAGTTTGCCAAGCCGGCAAATATTTTTGCCAGTCAAGAGATGACAAGATGGGCGATTTGCTTAGGATTGGGATTGTGGTTGGTATCTAGATTGGGTGTAAACGGCATCTGCTTCCATTGTTGTTGATGATGATTTTTAGTGTCAGCATAAATGTCATTCCCTTCCTTCCTTCCTTGCGCTCACCCCCTCCCTTCCGGCTGTCTGCATGTGCGTCGTCTGCTCTCAGAATCTATGCAACTGTGTCAACTTAACCCATTGTCTGGCCATTGCCAGACACGACTCATGGCCCAGTTCCCTCCCTCTGCCCCCCACAGAGACGAGACGAGAGATGCCAAGTGCAAGTTGGCACTGAATTTTGGCGAGAGTTGCTCAATCGTATAAGTATGTACCTAAATGTAGCAAGTATTATCTGTAGGACATATCTATCTGATCAGACCGGCGTAACCATTCAAAATTTATAGAGAGGGTATAATGAAGTTGTCACAGTCAAATAGAATCTGCGATCTCCGATCCCCGATGGCTTGCCCGAATTTATAAATATCTAGCAATTGTTCAGTTACTCTCTTTGTATTATACATAATCCAATATCGACTAACAATAAGCCTAATTTATGTGTAAGCAAAAAAAAACAAAACATAGATATTAATAATAAAAATTGATTTTATTAACTTGATAATCAAGTACGCAAATCCAGCACAACCCACTGCGAAAAGTATGCAAGTGTAGGGTGTCCATCGGGTGGATGGTACAGGGTGCAGGGGGTTGCGGTACCGTTGGCTTGAAATCACAGTAGCTGTAAGTAAGTAAAGTAAGCATTCCGCAATTGCTTTGTTTTTCTCCTTTTGAAATTATGCATCAGTATCAGGAGTAGTAGAAGCAGTCGTAGAAGCAGTCGTAGAAGCAGTCGTAGAAGCAGTCGTAGAATCAGTGGTAGTAGTATTAGTAAGTTAGTAGTAGCAACGCGAAGTGCGCATGTGTGTGTGTGTGCGTGTGCGTGTGTGCGCGTGTGCGTGTGTGCGTGTGTGCGTGTGCGTGTGTGTGCGTGCGTGTGTGTGCGTGCGTGTGCGTGCGTGTGTGTGTGTGTGTTAATCTAGATTCAAATCAAATTCAAATAATACAATCGTCACTGCAAAGAAAGTAAGGATTATGATTAATTAATGAGAGTTTTTATATTTGCATCAATCAGAGAAACTTACATGTGCAGCAGTAATAGTAGCGCTAGTTACAGGTTCTGCAAAAAATATGCTTTAAAATGCCTTGGATTGTTGATTCCTTTGTTTTTGTATTGGATTCATAAAAGTAAACATTGATGGATGCAAATTTAAAACATTCATGTTTGTGGTGAAAACGTCTTGACACTGGCTGTCAATACTGCAAAAAAAGAGTGGTATAATTAAATAAATACTTAATTCAGTCAAACATGATTTTTATTCCTAATTTACTTTTTTTTTTTAGTATCTCCGAGTCTTTTTTATTGAGTTTGCGATATAAAAATATATTTCCTCAGTTTTTTCCACTTAAAATGTTGCCATTTCGTATTTTTGAACAGAACTTGTTTTTTTTCCCACAATTTTGTGTTTCCAATTTTTTTTCACTTTTTCAAATACATTTACTGCCACTTTTATAAACAGAAAAAATTTTATTTTTCACTTTTTAATTTTTGTTTTAGATGTTACTTGCTCGAGAGCTGAATTGCAAGTGAATTTCATATATTTCTCACATTGGGGGCCCAAAAATTTGCTGAGCTTCAAGGCTGACTAGATGAGAATATGTGTTTTGTTGAACTGTAAATCGCCTGCTAGATGGGAATATGCACTTTGTTTAACTGTAAAACGCCTGATATGACTATGGAAATGATTCTGGCCTTAGGCAAATTGATGCATGCGCAACAAGCAAGAACAAGAACAGCAGCTTAAGCCGCTCGCGCTGTGAGAGAAATAAATGGATTCATTTGCACCTGTGGTGAGTTGAGTGCAGTCGTGCATTTGTTTGCTATTGGAAACAGTCAAGATTTTCAGCATTTCCAATACGAAGTAAGTTGTATTATTAAAAAATGCATACCATCGATGTTTGTAAACATTTCAAAATCATCGATATATCGATGCTTTGTGCTGCATTCTTTTGCTGTCAGCGGACGATAATATTGACTGAATCACATTTCGTAGATGGCTTTGAAAGTTCCTATTGTTATTTCGGCGACCATTTCGAACTCACCACAGAGTGCTTTCGAAGAGAGTGGGAGTGTGTGTGACTTCACAGCCGGCTTTTGTGCGCCCAGCACAATGAGGGAAACCCACTCAAAACAAACAAATCAAAGCGGCCCATGCACGTGTTATGCGGATGAACTGAGGCTCAGACTTTGCGAGACTCAGCGTCTCAGTTGACGAGCCGAGCCGAATCGAGCCGAATCAAGCTGAGCCGAATTGAGTGCGAAGGATGGCAGTGTGTTTGTGTGTTTGTTGAAGCTATATAATTCACCACACAGCCAGCAGTTGGCACAGTCGTCGACCGGCTTTCGCAGTGTTCGCACTTGTCGCCGTGGTTCAAATCGCAACGTTAGCCGTATCGTAAGCAAATATCGGAACTTTACGAAATAATAGCGTAAGCAAAAAAGCTAATCAAAGCTGTTGTCAACACACGTGTGGAGCCAAAGAACAAGCACAAACCGTTAAAAATATTTGCTATTGTTGTTGAAATTGTTGATGGCAGCCGCGGCTATTGGATTTTTATTTTGAGGCCAAGTCCCAGCTGCTGCTTTGGGACAATTTCTCCTTCTGCCGTTTTTTTTTTTTTTTGTGTTTTGTTTTTGTTCTTGCTGATGAGTGAAACTGTAACTGAAACCGCGATTCGCTTTAGCAAAAGCGGCACAGCATGTTTGTTGCGACAAAAAGGAGTGACAAAGTTATTAATCATTAAAGAACATTTATATAGTCTGGTGTTGCACACTCTCTCACACACACACACACACACACGTACTTGCGTGCATCAAGCGGAAATTTAGTTTGTCTTTTATGTGCGTTCTTTTCTTTTTTTACGGCCTCCTTAAATTTGTGTCCTGCCTTTGTGTTGCTGTTGTTGTTGTTTTCGCTTTATTCAGCGTGTCAAATATATTTCATGCGTTCTATTTTAAGGCATTTTCGCAAAATTTGATAGCGGCACCTGTCAAAAAAGGTGTCCATCTACAATTGTGTGAGTGCTTTGGCATGCGAGTGAGTGATTTTTGAATAATATTCGAGTGAATGCTGTCGACTCACTGAATGATCGTGGATTTTTCTGTATATGAAAATGATATTTTCACACTTTTCCAAATTGTATTTCCTTTTCGAGAATTTCAATTCGTTTTTATTTTTCTTCCACGTTTTCCGAAAAATTATTCTTTTTTGTATATTCTTCAATATTAATAAATCAATAATATTATCGATTCAACATGTTTAATCAATAATATAAAATGTAATCATTACAAACATTTTTGTACTTTAATTAAGTGTAAAGTGTTTTAAAGAGTTTTTTTTGGTTTTAGAATTTTGTTTCTTTATTCAAGTCAATATAGTTTTATTTTGAGATTACTAAATAGTTTAAATTAGAATTAACTATCTAACTGCAAGCAATTAAGTAGTTTCCTCAAGAAGAAGATTTGAGATGCTGTTTTCTTTTAATAAATATATTTTTCTGGTATATGATTTAATGTTACTTAATTTGAGCACACTCAGACACAGTGAATTTAGTTCATACTTCAAATTAAAAATATTGGCATATTCAAATTCGGGCAGGACGAGTTGAAGTCTCTACTTAAGCGATGACATTCTAGTCTATTCACATTTATTCACGTTTTGTATTCACATTGAGTGTGATTAAGTGTTCAATCATTTTGTTCAGCTCATGAGCTTGCTGCTCATTTGCACACACACACACACTCACACACACACACACAAAGAAAGAGACAAAGACGTGAATACAATTGAAATGGCATACTATATTGTCGTGACAGTTGGACGGATACAATGAGTCCACTCGCTTTGGCATTCACTTCCAGCTCATTGAGTCTGTCAGCCCTTTTCTTGCCACAGCTGTTAATATAAATTCTCAATGTATTTTACGATTCCGACTCCGATTCCGATTTCTGCACTGCACTTCGCAAACGATTTATGAAAATTGAAGTCTTTGTTTTATTATCCTCAGCCTTTCTCTCTCAGTCTTGAATGCCATCGATTCGATTTCGCCTGCTTCTTTTCAGTCCCTCTGCCCCAGTCTGTCCGTCCGTCTGTCTGTCCTGCCCCATTGTTGCCGCTCAATATTTTATGCAAAACAGGCCAACATCTTGCCAGCCTGCCTGCCCTGCCTTGTCCCATTTGGCTGGGTTTCCAGTGATTTAGCGTTCAGGTAACTCCTCCTATCCCCTTCCCCGTTTCTCCTTCCTCCAAGATGCTCACATTCTGTCTCGACCTACTTTGAATCCGTTGTTGGCCATGTTTAGAGTTCATATTGTGCTAATGCTGCTAATATCGACGAGGATTGCTTTTGGCCCTTATATACCTATGTCGGTATGTGTATGTTTGTATAGACGCAATACTTTTTCGGCTTTCGTGTCCTTATTCCGAGAAACCCCCCTCTATCTCAACTCGACTTCTCAAATACAGTGCTTGGTCGATAAATAGACTTCAGCCCGAAACTCAAATGTAGTCAAATCATTTACAACTTAATGAATTTCACTTTTCGAATACTTAGTCTTCTTATCTTAAATTTGTTCAACTTTATAATTATAGAATTCAATAAAGTTGAACTGCAGAATGTATAACACTTAAAATTCTTTCACATAGAACCCCTTAAATATATATATACTTCATAAGCATTAATACCTAAGTCGATATAGTTATGTCCATCTGTCTATCTGTTCATCTGTCCATAAACATTCACCTAACTATGTGAACTTAGTCAGTTGTAAAGCTATCTTGATGAGAATTTGAATATATTCATTTGCGGCCCGATCTGACTACTATATTTTTATAGTTACCATAGCAAAAATCGATCGAATTGTTGATAAATGATAGATGAGATGGTCTGCTGATGTACTAAAATCATTATATTTATGATATTATCTTCAACTTGGGACTGAAAAATAGATGCCAGTCTGCGTTCTACTGAGCGAGCGACCACTGTAGCCTGTAGCTGTATGCTTCCCTATCCTTATCCCCAGCTTTATCCTCTCTCTCTCTCTCTCTGTCTCTCTCTCACGGTAGTTTAAACTCTGCGCTCGGCACACAATTGCCATAATTCAATTTTAGTTTTAATTTCCGCTTTTCGACATAAATTGCATTTGCATACACACACATGGCTCACACACACACACTCACATATACAATGAGGCACGCTTTAATACATTTGTGTGTATGTATTCTTGTGTAGAAATCGTTAATCGAATACGCGCAAAAATGTCACAAAATTTGATAACCGCGTCCGCCCCCGTTGAGATGAGGATGCAGATGAGAATGCGTCGGGGAGATGGCAGTGGACAATGGCTGATGAGAGCCATGTTGATGGCCTTGTGGGTTTTTGCTGGCTCGGATTTGCTGCCAATGGCTGCAGCCGGCTCGTGCCGCGAGGCACAGCTCTGTTGTAATGGACGCGACTCGTCCTGCGTGGTGCAGAAGGCGCCCGTCAACGCCATCATCGAGGATCTGAGCGATAAGCCGTGCTACTGCGATCACGCTTGCCTCAAGCTCGGCGACTGCTGTGATGACTTCAAGGATCACTGTGGAGGTGAGTACTCAATCTCTATCTTGAAATGTTCTTTGAAAATACTACAAGTTGAACTTAACGCATTCCGCCCATTGTTCTAGTTTTCGGCCATCGAAATTTCTTACTTAAATTACAATAATATTCTAATTATAGCAGTGTACTGAAAAAATATTCAAGATGCAGATTTCTTGTTACCAAAATTGACAAGGAGTTATGAATAGAATTATTATAAATATTATACAGACATTGTCAAACCGGAACGACTTTAGGTCCTGCTATGTAATGAGGAACATTTGCTTCGAATGTTAAAGAATTAGCATTTTTTAATAATCTTTTAAGGGTTTTGATACTTTGACTTTTACTGGGTCCTAAAGAAATATTGAATTTCGTTTTCGATTATGTTTTTGAATGGCAGCTGAATTTCAATCGGTTTCTGATTTCCGTTCCGGTTTGATACCCTGTTTAAACCAACTATTATTGAAAGATTTTGGATCTATATACAATTGTGCTATTGTGGCCGATAAATATGTAACTGATGTATTGATAACAATGTGTTGCAAAGGGACCATTTGAAACACAACCAAACCGAACCGAATCGAACCAAAGCAGACATCAGCTATCAGCTATCAGTGATCCAATTGGAAAGTTAACAATTCAAATTCCCCAATAGGGAACACAACCAAATGCTAATAAATCAGCTCATTTTTGTGTGGGGAATTTCTAAACAGCTGCCAGATAAATATTTTACTAAATGCCACTTAACAGTGAGAGAATGAGACTGATAGGGAGGGGGACACACACAGAGAGAGAGAGAGAGAGAGAGATAGAGAGAGAGAGAGAGAGAGAAAGGGGTTTAATGCTGCTTTAGACTGTGTGTAGTTCATTAACAAAGTCTGCGATATAAACATATATACATAGTAAGATACGAAAATAAACTAGCTAAAGAACAGTGCGAAATCCTCAATATGTCTCAACTCGGCTCGAAGTTTACTTTTGCCCGACATAACTAGACAAGAATGAAATGAGACTGCCTCCCCCCACCCCCTGGCCCACTGTGCCCCTCGTTCCCCTCGTCGATGGCATGTAACTAGGACTATAAAAAGGCCAACTTAATGGCCACATCCACAACTAAGAGGCAACATTCATGGCTCGTTGGCCTCGCTTCTCCTGCTGCTCGCTCTAGCTGCAGCAAGTGTGTGTTTGTGTGTGTGAGACTACAATTTGTTCTTTTGCGTTGTCGTATTTTTCTTTTCTTTTTTTCGAAAGTACAATAGCTAAAGGGCTTTAATTTTATTACACACAGCAAATAAAGTCAACGAACATGCGGCGGCATCTTCGCCCCTCCCCTCGCCTCTCCTCTCCTCACCCCTCTTCTCAGACTGCCAAATTAAATAAGATACAGACACGCACACACACACTGATATACAGTTGCAGACAGAGACACAAAGACACGAAGACTTGGCCAAAAGTTGAAATTTTTCGTGCCAGCTGCGGCTACAACTTGCCACATGCCTCCGGCAAATGAAAGACAAAATGGAAAGCAAAAAAAAGAAGAAGAAAGTAAAAGTTGCAATGACGAATGCGACTCGTAGATATCATATGGTACTATACAAGAATATTTCATTCTCGAAACGAAATTCTTAAGCCGGACACCCATATTAAGAACTATATAATCAAACATCAAGAATTCTGTCATAAAAAATGATAGAAATCGATGAAAAGCAAGCAGATGCCAAGCCTGATGCAAGTTTCTTAACTCTTTAACTAAGATCTTGAAACGAATATAAAGATAGATTTTTATTTAAGTTTCTTAATGCTACAATGAATGGACTCAATCTTTAAATTGGTTTCTGTGTACTTGACAAAAAAAAATATATATTTCCGAGTTGAGCTTGTTTGATTTCTCTTAAGGGATTGGTATACCCCTTTCGGTGATTTTGGCGAGTACAGGGTAAACGAAAAAAAAAAACTACAAACACTTGCAGCAAGTACAACAGCAGCAGCAAAATCAGCAGCTGAATTCTAAAGAAACTGCCCAACTTTATTTAATTTTGTATTAAATTTGATTTGATTTTTATTGTTGTTGTTAAGAGAGAGAAACGGAGAAAATACACAGAGAGAGAGAGAGAAAGAGAGAGAGAGAGAGAGAGAGATCCGAGTGAGATTTATGATTTCGAGTAGGGGGTGCATCAATTAAACAACCACTGCAAAACACACCCAACCACTGACACAAATACAACTATAATAATAACATACACACACACACACACACAGCCAGGGGCAACAATGAAACATAAAACGGACAATGACAATCATTTGCCAGCCTCTGTTGCTGGAGCTAAAGGTGCTATCAGGGGAGAGACAGGGGCGTTTCAATTGCTCGAAGGGGTTGGGCCCAAGAGTGGTGGGGCCCACAGCACAGTTCGTGTGTGTGGAGTAAAAAACATCAGCAACTTTAAACACATATCTTAAATCAATGCCAGCCTTCATTTAAAGTTTACCACCTGCTTTTGATGTCTTCTCTGGGGCGCTTCCTTAGCACTCTCGGCTGTTTCGTTCTGTTTTTCATTTTTGTATTTGTACTTCTATAACTACCAATTAAGTTGGTAAATATATCGTCCCATAAACATAACAAACATGTCAAACTAACAGAAGAGGCAGGCAGCAAACGGACGGGAGGCGTGGTGGAGTGGAACTGCGGAATGAATGAGGGGATGGGCAGATGGACGAGCTGACTGACAGCCAGGCAGACAGGCAGGCATGCAGACAGACAGACAGACAGACAGACAGACATCGAGGCACGCTGGCAGTCAGGCATTTGAAAGGAAATGCGTATAAAGCGATAAATGTCAAGTTACAAAGGGAAAAGACGACAGCAAGGGGCGAACCGAAGGAATGAGGGGGTTTGGGCATTGGGGAGCTTGTAAAGAGCTTGTTGTAGATCGAGCCAGTGTTGACCAGTGTCGACACATAAAGCACGATGCATCGTTTTTGGTTGGCAAATACATCTCTGTCGGGGTCTTAACTGGGATAAGTAGGCGCAGATGCCGTATTTGCGTATCTGTGTGGGTGTGGGTGTGTGTGAATCGGCTCAATCAATCAAAGTCGTTTTTTTTTTGTGTAATCAAAACATATCGATAACGATAACATTCATGAAATTGGCCATTGATGCAGCAAACGCGTCAGCTGAACTTAAAGTTGTGCAATCAATTAAATCTCTCATCGCTCAATCAAGAGAGAGGGAGAGAGAGAGAGAGGAATATGGAGGGGGTGATGTGTGGAGCACCCAGCAACAAATGGTCCATCCAAACTTGCCACTCATCAAACAATCATAATTCAAGCTAATTAGTTGCTACGGAAAAAAGCCTCCAAAAAAATATAAATATTAAATAAATTGAAAGGCTTGTTGCTCCCGATAGCGGTGGCTGTTGGGTGTGCTGCATGGTGCAAAGTGAGCAGTGGACAGCTTTCGGTGTTTTGTATTTTACGCATAATTAATGCCAAACACTTAAATGCGTATTTTGTTACGTGTCTATCATATCGTTGACCCTTTTTTTTTTTTACTGTGCTGTCCTTTCCTAGCACTACAACAAAAAGCTAGATAGAATGTTCTAGTTGAGAGAACTCGACTAGGAGATACCCTTTTAAATATATAGCCGGTCTGCTGATATTAGTTTGACTTTTATGAAGATACAATTTTAATTTGCTCTTAATTAAAATATGTCAGGGAATATTATAAATATAAATATATAAGATATATGATATATATCAATTAGAAGGCAGTATCTTTATGGTTGTGTATTTTACTTCTTGGAAATTGATTTATATTGATGATGATGATCAATAAAACGAAATAAGCTTGATTTGTCTATGCTATTCGAGAATTCATATTCGAAATGTATAATCTCTGAGATCGGCTTGTTCATATAGACTGACAGACATGGCTGGCTCGACTCGCCTGTAGATGCTGTTTGTTAAATACTTTTGCACAGCTTCATTATACCTTTTTTTTTTTTAACTTTTTACTACCCAAATGAAAGTCGCTTGTTCCCAGCATGTGCTCGAGGGCTTCTTGCAACAGCTTATTTTTTTTTTTAGATTATTTATAGCATTTACTCTAACAGCATTTTCTAATTTTACATTTCACTCAAATGCATTATAGCACTAACAAACAACTAAAACACTTTTTTCTAACATAGTTTTCCTTGTGTAGGGTATACGAATGGAGCGGTTAACCCAAAAAGTAGCGAATGCCGTATCGAATGACCGAAAAGAAACTCAGCACCCCTACCACCTCTTGACCCCTTGACCCTTTCACACTGATTCAAATTGTTTGCGACAACTTAAAGGAAAGGCCAAGCACACAGACAGACCCAGAGCGAGCCTTCATTCTCAACTCCTTACATCCTCCTTAACTCGTCCTCACTTCACCTCGTCTATTCATCCAGCCACCCATTCATTCATCCATTCATCCCTTCGACCCAACGAAAGTCAGTTGAAAGAGTGCTGTGAGTAGGTAAATGAAACACATTTGCGTCAAGACTTATCAAATCAAATAAATCAGTTGAGAAATGGAAAAGAAAACAGCTTGGAATGCTGCTCCAGCAAAGAGTGCTCGACCCAAAGATACTCTGTGCATATAGTCGACCCAACTCTTGTATTAATTAATCGATAGACTAATAGATATTGAATAGTTAGATATTGCTTTTATTTCAGTTAAGCTTATGTCTTGTGCAATGTATAAGTGGATCATGAGGACCCAATTACCGCCCTTTTGCAGGGTATACCAAAAGGGTTTAAGCATCGCTTTTGGGCTTGGACCGGGGTCAAAGTCAATTCCTTGCAGCAGCAGCGCCTAATGAGCACTGATTTCAACTTGACACACTCAATTTGCATGGGGATGGGGAGGGATTGGATGGGATGGGATGGGATGGGCTGGGAACGGAAACGGAAGTGGGAGCGTAGGCAGACAGGAACTGTAGACTAGATAGACACCCCATGCCGGATGCCCTTCACTTGGG